TAGTATTGTGTGATTCTCCATTGCAGATTGCACACACTGCACATGAGCCTGAAACTTGCAACAGGTCCACATGTGCGCATCTCGGTGAATGCTGTACGAGTTGATGCATATTGACCAACCAGACATGTGATAAGAATATCTCTACCTGCGTCGAGCACATCTCTGCCCTGAGCAGTGAGGTGTAGGCGAGATATCCATGTCGGCAGTGAAAGGGCTGACGGCCTGCAGCGGGCCGGGGAGATCTGTGGGGTTTGAGGCCATTGTCAGACAAAAGCAATTCTCGACAGCCGATTGTTCAACGCAACATCCATCTATCCCCGGGCTCGGAGGATCAGTCGCTAGGCCCTGTGGAATACGGAGTGGTGATCAAGTGATCTCCCTGAATACGAAAGCTAATATCTATCCGTCTTCGGAGAGCTCTGTGCTTTTGATGATATGCCGAGCGGCAAGGTCAAGGCTGAGATGCTGCGTGTCAAGCAAAACCTACTAGTTCGACATAGCATGTCTCACAGAAATGATGTTGTGCGCATGTGTGAACGGGCACTGGCCATGGCGCAATCCGTGAGCCTCAAAAGCCCCCCTTACACAGATTGCCAAGACTGATCATTATAGGATGTATCACTATTTTGAACAGATAAGCACTGTGATATTGGCATGGTGTTCTATTGCTGTTGTTGGCTATTGTGTTTATTTTGGTATTTGTTCTGTGACTAGACTACTCGCATCGGCAATGGAATCTGCCGGGCGGATTCGAGCCTCACGAAATGCCCGTCAAATCCTTCGGTTTTACGGAGTCTACTACTGTCCGTATTTACAGTGCGTTACTTGACTCAAGTTCAGTTAGGATCGTCCTTTGAACTGACTGGGAGATTCTCTGTGCCCCAGACCTGCCTTGCAGATTGCTCCTCGCATCCAGCCAACACTAGCAACACAACACAGCACAGCACACAGAAAAGACCAAGTTGGAAGGGCCTTTGTAAACAGGATTCATATGCTTGTCTTTGTCTAAGCTTCGTGTCCGTCGCAAATAGGTTGAAGTATTTGTAGGGCTGGCGGGCTCAATATGCTCGAGACGTCTTATCTTGCTTGCACTTTGCTTTTGCCCGGTGGTTCAAGTGCCGATTGAGTCAAGCGTTATGACATGTTTGGCACTTTTGGCACTGGATTTTTGCATGTGTTGACAAGGTGAGGAACCTTAGCGAGGTCGATCTTTTATCTGAAACGAAATTGATTAAGGTTACGTTGAGCGATTGTGCCCTGGCTGGAAGGATGCCCTTGTAGGTGCAGATGCGTGGTTCTGTATGCACCAACACCAAGACCAGCACCAAAAGATTGCCAGCTAGCACACCGGTTCCGCTTAGTCAATTAATTCTCATTTTGGAAGCGGTGGCATCTTTTCCGTTCGCCTCCTCATTCATTACCTGGCCGAAAGAGGGTGAAGTTATTGTGGTCATGGACTCACGGCTATATAACAGGTGATAAAGATGCTGATAATGATCGACACATCATCCAGGTTTACTGTTTGATGAAAGGGGTGTGAAGCAGACCAACCAATGAGAAGACTCACACCCACGTCGTCACCGACTGCTAATCCCGGGATGCTTCCAGAAATGTTCTGGAATGATTCCTCTTCGGGTGAGCATATCAGGGGGGTCGGCCAAACGCCCAATCGAGCAAGCATCGAGCCCTGGACCACGCAATGCAATCCATGCGGAAAGGGTGTCATCTTCCGTGTTTTCCTTTCTTTCTTGGATTGAACTACAAACTATTGCTTGTTAACTCCCTAGGGCGTCACCTCGGTGCTTATGCGGGCCAAGCTCGTTTTGGCACCCAAATCCCCCATCCTTGTACGGAGTATGATCCTTCTTCTTTTTCCTTTCCTTTTTATTTTTAAATAACGGTAATAACGGTGTCCTTGAAACTATCTTCTTGGCAGTATTTGGCCTTGTTTATGAGGATATAATCACATGCAATTGACCGCGGGTAACAATGAGGTCCGTTCTCATCCATCAGGCTCCAGTTTCTTTCGGCTGGGGTCATCGAGGGTTCAAGCGTTTTCGGTGCAATTCCGCACTCTTAATACAAGACTAGTTTAGTTAATTTATTACTGCTGGGCGTTGCGGGTGGTGGGTTGTTAGTGTTGGTGCTGGCGCTGGTGCTGGTTCTGGTTTATCAATATTTGTTCCACTCGCTTACGTTGACTCTCGTGGCATCTTCCGTTCCGCAGACGGTATGATAGCGCGGCATAGGTACTATAATGGACGCAATCCAAGGTCTGGGCCTTGATCTAGTGATTTCGAAAGCTTGAGAGCTGAAACTAGGGAGTGATAGGTCATAAGAAGTTTCTGTTCAAGTGTGTGTATGTAGATTTGAACACATACTTTGATACCTGGAATCCTCGAGCATGTTCTTGTGTTCAGGCTGGGGCGGATAATTGACCACATCTGTCAACCGACATGGGACGATTTCACGAGCTTTTGCTACAGCTGTCGCGGAATCATTTAACCAACAGCCACCATTATAAACCATGAACTAAAATGTCAGATCATGGGCGTATGTATCAAAAGAATATGTGAACGCTCAGCCCTTCTAGAACGGAGGTGATTACCCTTCGCAGGGCGACAGTCCGTGAGCCCGAAACGGATCGGTCTGGTCGGAGGTCGGGGGGTTTATGTGTGTTTTCCGACCCAAACCAAAGGAAAAGAAGGGGGCTTCTGACGTCGATAGTTTCTTTACCTTAATTATTCCCATGCCAAAACAATAGGGCCCCAAGTCTGGCGATACTAGCTTCGTTATTAACTTAACCCTTGGCGGATCCTCCAAAGTGCCGTTCTCAGTAATTGCTGTACCTCCGTACGGAGTACACACTCCGTCATTCAACGGCAGTGGCATTTGATGAGGTTGCACTGAACCCCACTGGAAGGAAAGTTTATACGCGATGATGAGTGTTTATACAGTTCCCTACGCAGTATTGCCTATTATCATGTTCTTCCAATTTGAACCTCTGCTGTGCTCTAAAGATTATCTTAATGTTAGTTCTGCTCTATCTTCGCCATATCACCACCTATAGTTCCCCGTATTCTAATACCTTCTTCTAAATAATCTCAGGTAGTGTTTCCCTTGTACGGATGTAACCTTGGCCTGGGGACCGCCCACGCACCCCACTGCTGGTTGCGGAAACAGAGGCCGTCTGCCCGTTCCGCTGTGCGGTGAGGGGATCGCTGTTTTCCCCTTGAAGTCACTCTCTTGTGGGGAGGGGGTTTCGATCGGCCTTTGTGTGTTTGAGCCAAGCGGTAAGGCAAGGTCTCAAGCTCCAGGGTTCGTCTTGTCCTGAGCTTTGAGGGCCGTGGGGACGTCATGTCAAAAACGTAACAGCCCGAGACATTACAGGAGTCGATCATCTCCGAATAGTAGGTTTCAAGGTTTCCCTGGGTATTATACCTTCGGAGGATTAATACACGACATGGAGAAACACCAGGACTGGGACAATTGGTTCAGTGGTGCAACTCGGTAAGGCTAGCCTTGAAGTGAATCCCAGACTCTGCATATCAGAATGGCAGAAACGGGTAAAACCCGCTGCTCATCACCACCCGCACGCACGTGAATGGATGCTTCTTCTGTCATATTCATACCTGATCAGCCAAATTCCCTGTCTAGGCAAGGGAACACAGGGCATCACAGAGTAGCAACGTTATCAATGTGCGCGTTTCACCATGTAGGACGTCCTTCGGCAAGGTTTTAGGCAAAAACGAGTGCGGCTACGGGTATTGTTTTCCCGCTGCAGCAGCACAACAAGTGTTTTCCTTTTCTGCAACTGCACTGCGCTGCAAACGGACCGTTTTACCAGACTGTCGGGTCCGTCATTGGTAAGCTGATATGCAGGATTCGGGGGATGAGGAATACGCCGCTGGGCTGTGCTGTTTGTGAAGGAATGAATCCTGAGGGGTATTTGCGGTTGAGTGAATGATCATGATAACGAAGCTTTTAATATCAATAGTATGTGTGGTTACATGACAATTATATGTCGTGTTGTAGAGTTTCTCAAGTGGGTTGGTACCGGGTAAGCAGCCGTGTAAGTTGTTACGGGTAGTTACAAGTGAATGAACGCAACGATTACACGGGATATAGACTTTTGACTAGGGGGTTACAAAGGGTGGGAAATATAACAGATAAGCTCAAGCTGGTATGCCGTATAATATTAACCTGGGATGCACCCCATGGCCACCATACTGTGGTGCTCGGCCAGAAATGATTTCATCTCCAAGACATACACTGAGTCCATCATGCCTGACTTCCGTCTGTGTGCCCAATAGCTTCTTGAAGCCAGCAAATGAACAAACAGCATGCTCCAACGGCAACTTACTTTCCCTCTTTGTGAAACCGTAGTCCAGTCGATTGATAGTCACACAACTTCTTGAGCATGCTTCAAGACAGCAATCTGATCGACGACAAAATACTTCCGGACTGGATATCGCGAACCTTGGCAGAAACAAATCCATGTATCGCAGTTTCTCGAAGCTAGCTAAACTTCGGATGGATCAACGAACGATTGATAGTTTCGTGAATATTGAACCGAGTAAAAGAAGATTCATTCGGATCTGATAGAAACATCCTGCAAAGGCCGGAGAGCATCTACAGGTATTCTTGACCTCGCACAATTAAGCTATCAAAGCTCCTTCACATAAGAAACCCATTCAGAGGTATACCATCTACAAAGATATTCGTAATGCTTCATTTGTGTCTTACAGTAATGGCTTGTCCACAAGAATTGAGACTGCATCTTACAATAAAAAGATCTCAAAGGAAATACCATTGCGCCAATCTAGTTTCCTACCATCTATGTTTCTCAATCCCAGATAACAATTCTCAAATCAACAACTCCAACAATGCCATAGTCCAAATCGTGTATGCCCGCTCAGATAATTCCTCTACCAAACCTTCACTTGCCTCCCCATTCAACGTCCCTGATTTCATCACTCCCTCAACTCCCGTTGCAGCGCTTAGAAGTAAGACGCCATGGCGGCATCGACAAGCTCGAAGAAATCGGGGTAGTAGCTGTGGTAGATGTACTCAATAATCACCGAGATGATGTAGATAAGAGCGATTTTGATGATGGCGTAGAAAAGCTTCATGACCTTCGAGGCGGCACGGCGGCTCACAACGCGCTTCTCACCAGAGATCCGAACATCCTCCATTTCGATACGGAGGATCTTAACCTCGTCGCGAAGAATCTCGGTGGCCAGAGCCTGGCCCTGCATGGTGTTGAGCCGACGATCAGTCTCGTTCGCAAGTGAAGCAACCTCCTCGACGCGAGTTTCAGTGTTGTCCAGCTGCCACTGCTGCACGGGGCGAGGGTCCAGCATGATCAAGTTCCCGTCGGTGATGTTGGCGCGGGCACCACGGGGTGCGAAACGGATTGGTGTTGCTGTGCTGTAGAGGCGCTCAGACTGGGGAGGCTCCTGGACGGGAGTGTTGGTTTCGTCCTTGTTATCAATAGACATGTTGATCTTGAAGTAAGATAAACAGGTGTGGTGTTTTGCTGATTTGGTTGGCTTGGGGAGTTGGTAACTGGCCTTTGGAGAAGATGTGGTTGATCGGAGAACGAATCTGATGGCCGCAGACCGGTATTTATGTCTTCAGGGTCTACTGCACTGCTAAGATATCAATTTGACGTGATATCTCATAAAGGAGATAACCCATAACCGGAACTCAGAGTACATCCCCTGTTTCTTTCCCCATGTACTCCTACCGCCAGATCACCAGATAGGATAATGACACTGCAAGTGTAGTCAGATTATACTGTCCTCCGAACAAAGCATCATTTCGTTGTTAGAGAGAGCATAAAGCTTCATTTTTATGTCAAAACACTGCCACTAGCCGTGGAGGCGTTGCAGCTGGACCAGAGATAAGTGAGTGTTTGTCAGGGTTCCATATTCCTGTCAAAGAACAAAGAAACATGAAGCATAAATGAACTGAACAGTCCGCACACGACAGCCAAACATTGATCCCTGCATTCATTGAAGAATAGTCTTTATGGTCTCCTAGTTTGATCGGCAGCTAAAGTTGCATATTCCCGTTGGCATTCACCCCAAATTTGACAGACTGAAAAATGTGACCTTTACAAAGCAGCTTTTTGCAGCACAAGCTTAGGATGAAAGACATGACGATTCTGTTCCCAGGCTACACTCGCTGCTATCCAATGCCAAGCCATGGTAGGTTGAATCTTTGTCAAATATGGTTTGTCCAGATTATGCCCTTATTTGCTAGCTGGATGATATTCTGCGTAATTGGCAATGTTCCGTATACGTAATCGGGGGATCTTTGACATCCTTTGACAATTCATGACCAACAACTTTGCGCGGCTTCATAGGCCTGACGTCCAGGAATATCGTGAATCATATCAACCCACATAACCTCTTTGACACGCTCCTGAACCTCCGCCCATGTCTGTCGACCCACCAGGCTACGTATGGACTGAACAAGCCAGTCTTCGCTACCATTAAACACCATGATAGACCCGATCAGGAGCAGCCAAAGCTTGACGTTGGCGGTGGCTTCTCCTTGCACGGGTGTGGCCTGGATCGCTAACCGTAGCTGTTCATTAAAGGATTGTGATTTTAGCTTAGTGCCCTGTATTTGGAGGAAGATGGTTGATTCGAAGGCTAAAAGGCCAATTCGAAGGGCCTCTTGGATTGGGTCTGAGTCCTCGGAGAAGTCCATTTGTAGAAGTCGGTATTGGATCGAAAGCATGATCTCTTGGAAAGCTTCAGGTTTGAGTTTCTGGCTACTGGGGGATAGCCTGTTGGCCAAGGTAGAAAAGTCGCGAAGGTCTTTGAACGCGTTTTGGAGCTTCCAGTCCAAGGTGTAGTATAAATTCATAAAGTCTTCGGATGGCTTTTGAAGATCAAATGAACAAGCAACGGTTCCGAAAGCTTCGAAGAGAGGCCCCCAAGCCGGAGTCTCGTTATATATCTCAGGCTTGCAGCCATTTCGGATAGACCAGCCAAGATCAACACTGTTATTGTTAGTTTGCCCAGGCCCAAAATTAAAAATAACTTACCGGCAGAGCTTAATCTGCAGCTGTCTATTGTGGGCATATCCTGGTAGGCCACCTCGCAACTTTACGATTCGCCGAAGGCCTTCCGAATGGGCTTCGAAAGCCTGGGTATCTTCCATGGCATCTGCCATCATGGCCAACGATATAACGGTGGCAGCAGTGGAGTCTTCGAGCTGCTTCTTGGGATCTTGGAGCTTTTCTTGCAGATGTTTGATGGTATGTCGTAGGCGACTGCGTGTCTGAGAAGAAAACTCTCCACCCCAGCCATTCTCGTATGGACCACGGCTGAGTGACGATTGCATATCGATTAGATCTTGAAATGCGCTGACCATGAAGCAGATCACATGGAGATAGGTGACATCTTCAAGGAGCCAGCGAAACCAGCAGGCTTTCTCGCGGTCGGTATCGAAACACCACTCTGCAGGATACAAGGTTTCTTTGATGGTGGTTAGAACTGTAAGGGTTCAGCAAACAGGGTCATCGTTAACGGGGCGAAAGTCTTACACCTGAAAATGAGATACTGAGACTTCTTGTCAAGGGGGGCTGCAAAGGTAAAAAGCTCCAGATCAGGAGGAGGCCTGACTAGATGTACTATGAGAGCGGGTGACTGAACCCAGTTTCTCTCTCGGCGGGGGTATGCATGCCCCAAAGTCCAAAGGCCATTGTCTGTGGAGTGAGTGACTGCTAAGGACGTGCGTCGATCAACTTCCTCCGCATTATCCTGATTGGACTCAGGAGTGGCACCGTCACTTAAGCATAGTGTTGAAGTTTGGGGTGGGCTTTTCTTGGTATTCTTGCCTCGCATGACATGGCTACGGATGAACTTGCGAGACTCTGGTGCAGGTTTGCCCACGTTGTCCGACGTCACAAACTCGAATTTCTTAGCTGAACATGCTTAGTCAGCTCGCGTTGATAGTAAAACAAGATAACTTATAACTTACGAGCCTGTTTACGAGGTTCTGTTCTCCGGGCGCGTGGCTTTGCCCTCGTGGGCAGCGGTTGTGGAACTGGCTGTGCAAAGAAGGGCTCTAACATAATGATGGTCCCCTGGCTCCGAGTTTGTACAGTAGTCTCACCCTGGTATTGTCGCTTACGATCTGATCGCGAAAATAGGCTCAGAGGTAGACGGTTAGAACGATGAGTAAAGAGTTGAGTTGCGATTGTTTACTCTTTACGGCAAGCAATCAGTTCTAGAAAGTCAGTCAGCATCAACTCCTTCCCTAGGTGTCAACGATTGTTTTCCTATTCGGGTTAGTATACAAGGCTTAGTGTGGGACTGGCGATTAAGTCTGACCCGATCGTGGCTGACAGAATAAGTCATGTGCTGATGACTCCTATAAGTGATAATTACTTCCATCGCTTTGACAGCAATTTTGTCATCCTCATTGCACTAACATCATCTTTAATCGGATTGCCCCGCTCTGAAACTGTTCGGAGGTTGAGAGATGTCCGTTGTCGAATGAGAAACGTCCGGTATGAGGCCTACATTTTACGTTACTCTGGACGTATGCCATTGCTTTCCCAAAACGGCTCACAGTCGCTCGGTTGGTCATGTAAAAGCCGATGCCGAATACCTAATGTTTAGCACAATGCCACACGAGGCACAGATTGCTTTCCTGTTAGGGTATATAGTGAATATGCTTGCGAATCTCGCAGTTCGCGTTCACCTTTATAGAAACTCATAAAAGAGACTCAAATCCACGTCTTTTAATCATGTCCAGAACAGCTCATTCAATACAACCATCAGCACTCACAGCAAGCCTACTACTTCCAACTAAATAACACTATCTCAACTTCAAATCACTATACCCTCTTCACACTTACACATTTATACCAACACCAAGCAACACAATGGCTCCCAAGTCTCTTGACCTCGTCCCCGATGACTACCACTTCTTCCGCTCTCAATTCACCAAACAAGTTCCTCTTCCCACGGACATCTCCCTGGCTAGTAGCACCATCATCATTACGGGTGGAAACACCGGCATTGGCTATACGGCCGCTGAGTCCTTCTTGGCTATGAACCTCAAGCGCCTCGTCATCGCTGTGCGTACACCTTCAAAGGGCGAAGCAGCTGCAGCCACACTGCGCGCCAAGTACCCCACTGCCGAGATCCTCGTCTGGCAAGTCGATATGCTCTCCTACAAAAGCATTCAAGCCTTTGCCAAGCAGTGCGAGACCCTTGATCGTATCGATCTCGCCATCCTCAATGCTGGAACTCAGATGACCAAGTTTGTACTGAGTCCTGAGGGCCATGAATCCTCGTTCCAGGTTAACTACCTGTCTACTGTTCTCCTTGCAACTCTTCTGCTGCCCACTCTCAAGCAGAAGGCTCCCGCCGGACAGCCAGGTCATCTCACCATCGTCGGTTCAGGGACCGCTCTAACAGCCGAGTTCCCTAATGCGAAAGACGAGAGCGTCCTCCCCTTCTACGATGACGAGGCCAACTTCTATGGTGGCGCAAACCCACTTCCCTCGTACGGAAAGCACAAAGCTCTCTCGCACTTCTGGATGCTCAAGCTCGCCGAGCGCGTCAGCGCAGACGATGTGATTGTAAACGTTGTCGACCCAGGACTGATAAGAAACACCGGTCTTCAGCAACAGGGCAATGCGGTTGTTCGCTATGTCAGTGCAGTCTTCAAGTGGTTTCTGGCCCGAAGCCTGGAGCAGGGTGCCAGCACTTTTGTGCAGGCAGGAGTTGTTATGGGAAAGGAGAGCCACGGATCATTTGTCATGGACTGGAGGATTCACCAGTAAGTACTCCGGGTCTCTGGTATGCGAAAATATGCTAACAATGTGCTTTTAGCTACACAAAGTTCCTGCACACCGCAGAGGGCAAGGCTTTTGCAGACAAGCTCTGGTATGAAACTCTCAAGGAGTTTTCCTTTGTTGATGTTAATGGTATTCTAAACTCTTTGTAATTGAGAAACAGTGTCTTTTCCGCTGGGAGTTCTTGGTAAATGGTTCTTTTTCACGGGTATGGGTGTTGGTATGGATGTTTCATATAGACGATATAGACTAATATTTAATATTTTGCGTGTCATCCCACTTGAAGCAAACTATCCCACAACTCCAGCGTGGTAAGAACGCAAGTGTTCAGGAGCAATATGGACAAATACCTGAGCCAATTGTGTCGCAATTCAGTTTAATAATGGCACTTGCAAAACCAGATATCTTACTGGGTCAAGTTTCTGAATCGCACCAACAACATATTCCAGCCGTATTGAGAAATCGCATGATGTATGGCGTTGTGAGACGTCAGATGATATTGAAATGGGACTGAGGTTGTTCCGAAACTGGAACGTGTATCGGTACTCACACAACCGTAAGATCTGTGCTTGATATTGGACTTGGTTTTTACCGATGTTTCATGCCTTGAAGCTATTCATAAGTCACGGATCTTAATGAAATCGAACAGTGAGGATGAGAATGTTGTGTTTTGTGAAGGAGCTACGATATCTTGTGCAGCCTGTTGATATGAATACTATTGCTGAGTATCCTTCAAGGATCCTAAAGAACAGCGCAATAATTGATTATATCCATGCTTAATACTGATATGTTGACTGTTTGTTAGCATCTAAGTCTTACACTGAGTATGAAGTTAATGGACGCCTGGAGGTTTTAATGGCGTTACCCTATACCCATGACTAAGACGCAAGCTGCAACGATCTAGACACTAATCCATCCAAGGCAAGTCTTGGACAGCCATCGCCAAGATTTGTAACATGGCAGATGGTTTTAGTGTGCCATGGCAATGCAGTCTTGGACAGACTAGACAGTGTCTTGGTACAGCGCATCTCATACCTTGAAAACTACCTCACGCTTTTGCACCATAACATGATCCGATACTGGCATCAAAAGAATAGAGAAACAAAGCAATCGAAGCCCAATAGTGGATCAATGGATGAAAAGGCATGTCGTGCTGTGCCGAGAGCCGTGCAGCTGTCGTCGAAGTGAACAACAGTTGATGATCAATGCAAAGTAGAGTTGTAAAATAGTCGGCAAGGACCAATTAGGATTGAGCGACATGTTTCGTTAATGTTACAAGTGGAAGAAATGCACAGAGTAGATTTCCTTCCATGCGGTGGCTTGAGGCCGGATAATCGGCCACCAGAAGGAGGACGGACAGCGCCCAGACGTAACAGGCCGATACCCGTGCCGTTAGTTCCGAGGAGCTACGTACCGCGGCATTGAAGTTATCGCGACAATGGGGTTGGTAGAGGCTCGCAACAGGGGAATATTTATAAGTGGATGTGCGATTTGACACTGGGAGAGATGGGTAATTGGGATGTCCTTTCACGGGGACTATTTAATTGATATCAAACACCTGGATAAATAATAATGGAAAATGGCCGCCATCAACGGAGTGGCCGCAAGGTTCCATTGTGGTGGCTGTTCCAAATCCAGATTGTCCCACAGCTCACAGTGCGATAGCGCGCCAAGACATGGAGAAGGGGACCAAGGGGCAGTGACTGATTCCTCCCGCCTTATTCGCAGTTGTTGCCAAGTCTGTCATTGAACTCTTTGGAGAACAAACTTGAAGATACCGACAAGGAAGAGATGCCAGGTTCCGTGTTCACATCTTGGCAGATAAAAAAAAAGTAAAATGTCCCGACTCTACCGAGTACCTACAGAGTACGGATATAGACTGCAGAGTACGGATACTTGAGATATTAATGCACCGTTACTTGCCGACGGTAAATCATCACAGCTCTCTCTGGGTACAGTTTCTGCCGTCTTTGCCGTTGCGCTGCTTGCTTTTGGACTACGGCTCCCCAGTTCCGAGCCCAAGCCTTTTCTTCTCTCCCACCTCCGCAGAGCAAAGGAACCCCAAGGGCCCCCCCAAGGCTTCAACCCCCGAGACGCCCCAGCTCGTGTTCAGTCTAGTCTGTCCAATCACAGCCGCTCAAATCCTCGTCTCCCTCCTCGGATTTATCCACCTGCCGAAAATCCTGTCCTGTCCTTGCTGCTCAGGCCCGCCACGCTCGCTGGACGCACCGTACTGTACCGTGCTGTAGGGACTGTGGGCAATTGAGGTGGTCACTGTGAACTACACTAAACTGAACTGATCACCTCCGTCAGGGCCCTTGCGCGCATCTTTACCTTCCATTGCTTTATCCTGTCATTTCCTCATTCTCCCCATCTCGACTCCAATCTGTCGTTGCCGGACTCCGATCCTCCTCTCCTCTTTTTCTTCACCAGCAGGCTTCTCCTCACTCTGGCTTCACTTTCGCGACACGGTAGTCATCTCTCAACCGAGACCTGTACCTTCTTTCGACGATAGCGACAGTTACAACGCCACGCGTACCGTATCCCGCTCGTCTAGACTCGAATCGACTCGACCACCCACGCACGCTACATTACCTGCTTGTCACCACTCCCACTCGGCACCGAGATTCCTGTTCGATCACCTGCTTGCTTCCTCCTTCCTTATTCTGCTCTTAACCTGGAAACTTGTCATCCATCGCGCTGTTTCGTCATTCTCTCATCGTCAACCACGACAATCGCCTCGGTATTGCCATCGCCAATTATTTCAGCCCATCTTAACACGATTGGCACGATCCGAATTGCCACTTCGACGTTCGTCGCTTGGCCATCATTCTAATCTGCATCAATTCACACCGGCGCGCAATCAACTGAACGGATCAAGAGCGACTCAAGGTCGAGGGATTGTGGTACAGATATTGAAACTGGAGGAATAGAAGATCCATCGCCTGAACGAGGCCTTTGGCCATGGCCGACAACGAGAAACGGGTTTCTACAGGTGAGACTCAGGAGATTCCCCTCGAATCTCTGCCGCCGACCCAACTCCCCATCGCGAGCGATTCATCATCTGAGTTTGACGAGGTAAGTGTCTCCTCCTTGCATTGTGTTCCTTGGTGCTTTATCCTCCCAACACTATCGCTCCGGATCAATCGAGCTGACACCTAGGTCTTCAACAGTCCTTCTCTTACGACCAAGATGAACGCGATTTCCATATCACTGAGCAGGACCTTCACGTCACCGAGGATGACCTGCTCGAGGCTCGCGAACTTGCTTCAAAGTACACCCTCGAGGATGTGCGCCACATAATGGCTCGCGTCTACCGTATCCACGAAAAGGACCCCAATTTCCCGCACACGGTGATCCAGAAGATCGAGGCTTTTCTAGGAAACGACGAACTGTTCACGAACCCTGAGAAACACGAGAACCTGGTGCAGGAGATGAAGCTTGAGGCCGCCCTCATCACAAATAACAGCCCTTACGCCGAAGTTCGTGCTGTTGTTGAGAACAAGGACGACACCAGCATTCCCAGTTCTACTATTCGAAGTTGGGCAATCGGCCTCATCTTTTCCATGCTCCTTGCTTTCACCAACCAGCTCTTCGATATTCGCCAGCCTGCCATCCGCATCATGGCTAACGTCGCTCAGCTGCTTTCATACCCGATTGGCAAAGGTTGCGAAAGGTGGCTACCTGACTATGGCATCACCCTCTTCGGAGTGCGACATTCTCTCAATCCAGGCCCTTTTTCCAAGAAGGAGCATATGCTTATCACCATTATGGCCAATGTTGCGTACAACACTCCCTATACCAACCTGATCATCTGGGTTCAATACCTGCCCCAGTACTTCAACCAGCCATATGCCTCGCACTTCGCCTACCAGATTCTCATTGCTCTGAGTACCAACTTTATCGGTTACGGAATGGCTGGTGTCTGCCGTCGCTTCCTCGTTTATCCCTCGTACTGTGTTTGGCCCGCCTCATTGGTTACGATTGCGCTCAACTCGGCTTTCCATACAGACAACAACTCCCCGGTACAGGGACCCTTTGCCAAGATTTGGCGCGTTTCCCGCATCAAGTTCTTCTACGTCATGTTTGGTGCCATGTTTGTCTGGTTCTGGTTCCCTAACTACATCTGGACCTCGTTATCCAACTTTAGCTGGATGTCTTGGATTGATCCCTACAACCGCGATCTCAACACCATTACCGGTTTCAACAATGGTCTTGGCATCAACCCGTTCCCAACTTGGGATTGGAACGTTCTCCTCTGGGATTCGGCTGATCCGCTCATGGTTCCTTTCTTTAGTACCTTCAACCGATTTGTTGGTGCTTTCATCTCTATGTGGGTGGTGTTGGGTCTTTGGTACTCCAACATCTACAACACTGGATATCTTCCCATCAACAGTAACCGTGTCTACGATCGCTGGGGTCAGCTCTACAACGTCACTCGAGCCATTAATGACCGAGGCCTTTTCGACGCTGAAAAATACGAAGACTACTCACCTCCCTTCCTCGGAGCTGGCAACGTTGTCATCTACATCTTCTTTTTCGGTATCTACACTTCGACACTCACTTACGCTCTCCTGTTCCACAGACGTGAGATTGTTACTGGTTTCAAGGGTCTCTTCAACAGCATGAGGAAGAAGTCAAAGCGTGCCGAGGAAGTTCACGATCTTGATGTCCATACTCGTCTCATGAAGGCGTACCGCGAAGTCCCCGAGTGGTGGTATATGGTGTGCCTTGTTTGCGCCATGGCATTCGGTATTTCTGGTATTGCTGGATGGGACACACATACGTCGCCTGGTGTTATCTTCTACGGTCTCGCGCTTTGCATCGTCTTTGTTATTCCTGTCGGAATCATCAAGGCCATGACTGGAATCGAGGTCACTCTCACTGTTCTTGCAGAGTTTATCGGAGGTTCTTTCGTTGAAGGTAATGCTCTGGCTATGAACTACTTCAAGTCGTTCGGTTACGTCACTTGCGCTCATGCTGTCATGTTCTCCAACGATTTGAAGCTCGCTCATTACGTCAAGATTCCTCCTCGACATACCTTCTTTGCTCAAATTATTGCTACCTTCATCAGCACCTTTGTTTGCGTCGGTGTTCTCAACTTCCAGATGACTCAAATCCCCGGTGTCTGCACAGAGGATGCCCGCTGGAAGATGTCATGCCCCAGTGTCAACACTTTCTTCACTGCCTCTGTTCTATGGGGTACCGTTGGACCAAGCAAGATTTTCGGAAAGGACGGTCTTTATACAGAGGTCTTGATTGGTTTCCCTCTCGGAGTTGTGGTTGTCCTCGCTGTTTGGGCGATCAACAAGAGGTTCCCTCACTGGACATGGACAAGACAGATCCACCCTGTGGCCATCATGTACGGAGGCATTGTCTGGGCTCCTTACAACATGTCTTATGTCTGGCCTTCAGTACCCATTGCGTACTTTTCCTGGATTTATCTCAAGTCACGATACCTTGGCTTGTGGTCTAAAGTAAGTCAACTTGCCAATCATATTTTCCATAAATCAATACTAACAATACTGCAGTACAACTTCGTGCTATCTGCAGCTTGGTCCTGCGGCATTGCCATTGCAGGCATCATCATCTTCTTCTCCCTTCAGCTTGAAGGCACCGAATTCAAGTGGTGGGGCAATACCGTTGGCTACGTAGGATGTGAGGACGACGCTTGTCCCCTCCAGCCTCTGGAGGGTAACGAGTACTTTGGCCCCCGGGTGGGAGAGTTCTACTAGCCTCCTTGACCTTGACTTGAGGCCCTCACGATAAGATGATTTTGGCGCAATGTAAAATGTTTTGAGCGTGCGTTTTTGTATTGGGACATTTCTTTTTGGACATATCGTTTTGGACTACCTGGAGACTTTTATATACCCCGGCTGCATTTATATAGAGATTGTCGGCTGAAACAGATATTGTACAAAAACCTCGAGGTTTAATGTCAAACAATTTTATTATGCAGAGATTTTGTTCCTCCCACCTGATGATTTGTGTCGTGAAGCGTGAAGTGTTGAGTCAATACAGCATCGTAATGTCCATATGGTGTCGAGTAGTTAATGTTAGGTTATATTTTGTAATCGATACTGGGCACGTCTTTTCATAGCCTGTGCTAACTAAACAAGACTTGTCAACACTGGCCCTCTTACCTCTGTTTCTCGTCCTCTTCTAATCCAATACATCAGAGCTTCGCCAAGTCCCCGATGGAAGAACTCTTATTTCTGCTCTTTCTAAAGGCCTAACCCAACAGTGCAATTCCCCTTCTAGAGGATACTGCGTGTATTCCGAACTGGGAAGGGGCCAAAGGTCAGCAGGGGCGAAGGAGACCATCGTGTACATTGGGCCATCACCAAGCGATCCGCCCGTGGTCATGGGGGCTGTAGTTTCGACACTCAGGTGAGTGGGCTCCTTGCAGTATGCTGACTCTGTTGCGGGAACCAAGTGCTGGTTGATGCCGACGAAACGCTCTCCTCCATTCTTGTAAACGATGCGCATTCCCTGGAAGTTTCCGTTATGCTCTTCATAGACAGATACATTATCTATATGCTCCAGCGGGGCCCAGGACCATAGTAGCTGGGAGCTGGGTGGGATGTGTCTGAGTTGCGGTCCGGTTATCATGCTGAGGGCTCGTGGGTCGTTCGAATCTCCCTTTGGATAGAAAGCAAGAGGCTGGTGGAAGCCGGCTTCGCCTAGACCGTTGTTACAGAGCATGCGCTGGGGACGCCGGCTGAATGCCTTGACTCGGAAATCTTCCGTAGCTTGGGATCCGATGTGTATGACGCCCGAGAGCTTGGTTTTAACCTTGAGTATGGTTAGCTATAGCTTGAAGTTTAAGAGAGGGCCAGTTAGCAGGGAAGAATGGGACATATCAGAACATACCATTAAGCTAGAGGCATGCTTGCTTGACCGTAGCTGGAGCCACAATATCTCGTCGTCGGTAGGTAGAGGCATAAACACAAACTTGCCGGATTTGGTACACGATGTTGGCTTCTTGCTTTTGTCGTGAACGAAGACGTCGAACTTCTTCCATTGTAGAGAAGGGGACAACCTAAAGCTGATCCCAGTAATGCACCTGGCAGTGATGTCGATAGTTTCAATTGAGAGAGTTCGCGGTATCGAATCCGGAACCATGCTGCATTCCTCGAACCCTACGATCTTGGGGTATCTGCCGTTGTTTGCCGTGGAAGAAAGCTCGAGTGCCTGAGGCGGTGCTGAGGTATCCCAGATTGTGAATCCAGGGTGGAAGGTCGGATGAAGTAGCCAGCAGAGACCATCCTGCACTGTTAGCTACTGTTTATATGAGAGATGGTATTCACTTACTTTAAAGTACGCACGGATAGACTTCACTTGATCGACATTTGCAATAATGTATCTTTTCAGACGCCTTTTGAGCAACTTCGGCGGATGAACGTGCTCAGAAAGACGCTCGATCTTGTAAATGCCGTCCGAGTCAATAGTGATGCGCAGACGTTCAGTGTTGCTTAGAAATGTAGAGCACAGAGGAGTGGCATCTCCCCGCTTCCAAGAAACTAGAGTACTCAGATAATCCTCGACTTGTTCGCCATCAGGGAGTGTTAACAAACGGAACTTAAGCGTATAAACCCTGACTAGTTCCCAAAAGGGTTTGTCAGGGCAGAGGGACTGGATGGACACGACGAGCTCTGGTGGTAGTCGGCCAAGCAGGGGAATTCCAGCTCTTCTCGCTGCGGTCGATACGGCAAGGTGATGAAACCCGTCAGGCTCTGGGACGTTAATGCGCGGATGACAGTTCTTAACAAACCACAAGTTCGAGGGTTTGCGCCATACCAGGTCTGTCCCAAGACGGTTGATCATCTCTCGAGATGGGCTTGGTCCTAGAACCAAATCGAAGCATCTCGAATGAAGTACTGCACAGCCTAGGAAACTACTGCGCGGGCCGTTGCAGAAGCAGAGACCATCGATTTGGGTCATGCTACCTCTCCTGTTATACCCTTCTACTCGGTATAAAGACCAGCAAATAGACCATGGACCCATGGGCCACTCTTTGGTATAGACTGGCAACGGCATGTTAGCGACATGCTTACAAGGAGAACACAAGGAATAAACGTACCAAAGACAACATTGTCCCAAGGATCTAAGGGCACTTCACAGGCATCGCAGGTATTGGAAAAGGAGAGATGCTTGGACCGTTCGCACACCAGGGCTTGTCGCTCTTCTAATGGCCTGAGAGGGCGAGGGAGTAGGTCATACTCCATCAAGCTTTCCGCAGCAAGGCCAATGAGGTTCATCTTGTCGTGTCTGATAGAGATCGAAGTAGGTTAGAGTAAGGAGAGGGAAGAAGAGGTAGGAAAGGGGACGATATGAAAGAGCAGCGTAAAATAGAGCAAAGGATATGCGGCTCTTTTATCAGAGTTTGATACACTGTCTCAATTTATGTACTCTTTTTAACCACTCGAGGAGAGGACTTGGACGAAGTTTATTACCACATATTGTTGACTCCATGAGTCAATTGTGTAAACATCCGAATGCTGTAACGTCAGCTTCAGCCATAATCAAGACCACCACCACTCGGTTTGTGATCACACACAGTTTCTCTCTACTTGATCTCGAGCAGCTGCGATTGAAGTCGCATTGTTGTAGCAGTCCCAGCTTGGGAATCCTAGACACAAAAGCGCAAGTCGTGGATATTTACTGCCGTCACACAGAGGAAGCCCAAATGGGTATCAGTGACTCTTCCCCCGTCCAGCCAACCAATATGCGAGGAGTCTATACGTCTATCTCATGGCCACTGTATATGACCCCGCTTGAGATAAACCGCGGGAGACTACTCGTTCGTCAAAAAAGTGTAACATTGATAACGTTCAGTATTTGCATGACCTGATACTAAGGGCTGGAATTGATACCAAATATCTGCCCTCCATGGACAGGTCTACCACGCCGCGAAAGCCACACTATATAACACTACGCTGTCAGTAAATAAAGACATGCTGCTATTAAAGCATCATGCTCATCAGTCGGGCCAATCTCTTCAGGCTCCCGTCTCTATCCTCGAGTGGGAGCATCAGAAGGCACAGAAGGAAAGTATCCAGGCTTTGATGCTCGCTCCCGATCCTGTTTTGCGGCTTCAGCCTGTCGCTTCTTCAATAGCCTCTGCTGATAGAACGTGCTGCGTACATTGTTAGCATGTTGACTCATAAGAGGTGCGAAAACGGCATACGTCTTTAACTCAAACACACGTGGCTCTTCCTCAGGCGTAGGACTGTCATCCTCCGTTTCCTGAGCACATTAGTTGGTTACTCACAAGCCACACATCTCATGACAGAAACATACCTTGTCCCCATCTTTCTCCTCGTCTTTGTCTTTGTCTTTATCCTTGTCTTTATCCTTTTCTTTAGCATCATCCTTGTCCTTATCGTCTTTATCCTTCTTCGCCTCCTTCTCCTTCTTTTTCTTCTGTTTCTCCTCGTACTCTTTCTTGACGCGCTCCTTCTCCTCCTCTAACTCCTTCTCGCGCTTCTTTTTGGCGGCTTCCTCATCAATCTTGGGCGTGCAAAAGTAGCGATCCTTCAAGTGAACGGGGCAAACAAAGAAGAAATCCTACCCATGTGACTGCATGAGCTTACAAAGAAATCAGCTGAATTTGCTTAATGTTGCTTTCCGGCATACCTTCTTGTCTGGCGTGATCAGCACTGATGTGCTGGACTTGTAGCATATGTCGCACGCTTTGGCTGCTGTCTCAGCAACCTTGCGGTGCGTATAGAGGTTTGCAAACGTGGTTGCCATGATGAGTGTCTCAGTGGTCAAAGGGGCTTGTCAAGAATCAACGCTGTGAGACAGAGATCGCTTGTTCATCACGATGCAATGCCTGACCGCTCGTATCACTTTGAGGTTGGTGAATAAGAATAAGGTTGGGTCTCGCGGGGAAGCGCTGGGATACCTGACGTCAGAAGCTGATAGGGTGAAAGCATCCACGGATCCCCCTGAAAATTAACAGCAGCGCCTGTAACCCGCTAAAGCTGCAAGGCCTAGCGCCAGGACCTGACTAATAAGCGCCATCCATCATGAATCGCTATCTTATCGCAGCCCATGAAATATGATGACCTATGCACGCCCGAACCAACCCATTGCCACAGACAAACTTGTAAACAATTCTTTTCTCTTTTCACCAACAATTTCACCCCAGATTTTCCCTCAAAAGTCAACGTCATACCAAGCTACGCGATTGGAGTAGCCATGGGGAAAACCCTCGACACAGAGAAGCTGGGTTCAGTATTTGGAACCCGGCCAGATATTTTACAAAACATCCAGAAAGCTGCTGGTAAACAAAACCCCTGAAGACGACGATGATGACAACGTTAGACTAACACGAGAACATAGACTCTCCTGGAAGAATCGCCTTGTTCAACGAAATTGCGACTCATGTTTACGATCAGTTATTAAATGTGGGCAGCGAACCCGCGCATAAGAAGAGAAGAGTCGATGTTCAGCAGTCCAACGGAGCTGCGAACGGTACAAAACCTCCCGTCAAGACTGAGACTAACGCTGCGGACGAGTCTGTGCTGCTGGAAATTAAAGAAATATCTGTTTCGGTACCTCAAAGGAAGAAGTTTGAGTTGTGTTTTACCGACGGCCACATCTACGCTCGTGCGCCAAACACTACAGCTCCAATTCCAGCTATAACACACGCGTGGTCGGATATAGGTACGCGTTATCCTGGAGTCGTTATGCACCCCATGCTAATCTTGCGCTAGAATATGCTTTTTACCTCCCCGTACCCGAAAAGAACCAGGTCCAGCATAACTACATCCTTTTCCCCCGAGGAACATGTCTACCTTCCAAGACGAACCCTCCGACCGAAGAGCCGCTTGTTTTTACAGTACCCGCGACGGCTCCCAAGCAGGGCACGATAGGTGGACCAGATGCTGGAAGTGCAGCAGCAGTTTCGGACAATTACAAGTCTTTGTTCCATTGGGTCTTGACCCGTCACCTTAAGCCCAATGGCATTGATATCACATCAGCAAACCCCAACAAGTTTCATAGCATGGTGCGACAACCTCATCGACCGAGCGAGAGAGCTGTGCATGTCAAGGCCTTCAGGGGCTCGAAAGACGGTTACTTGTTCTTCCTTGAAACCGGCATTCTGTGGGGATTCAAGAAGCCTCTTATGTTCATCCCGCTAAATCGCATTGCGGCAACGAGTTACACCAACATTCTGCAGCGAACATTTAACGTTGCCATTGAGGTGCTTGTAGGCGAGGGTGACGAGACAGAAGAGGCCGAATTCTCCATGATTGACCAGGAGGACTACGGTGGTATTGACGACTACATCAAGACACACCGCCTGCAAGATCGCAGTATGGCTGAGCAGAGGAAGGCCAAGCTTGAGCTAGCGGAGAATCGAGCAAAGAAGAATGGCGAGGAGGCCGAGGGTGCTGCGGCTGCCGGTGGTGATATATCCGAACTTGCAAAGGCGGAACTCGATGCCGAGCAAGCGCTACAGGATGAAGAGGATGAGGACGAGGAGGACTACGATCCTGGTAGCGATGGTGATACTGACGGCTCTGGAGAGTCGGACGATGATGACAGTGACGACGATGACGAAGATGATGAAGAAGACGAGGAGGACGGTGAGGGAGAAGACGAAGAAGGCGAAGATCAAGCTGAGGACGACGAAGAGGAAGAGCCAGCGGAGATCAAGAAAGAAGTGAAGAAGGAACCCAAGAAGGAAGTAAAAAAGGAGGTGAAGAAGGTGGTGAAGGCGGAGGTCAAGAAAGAGGTGAAACAGGAAGCGCCCGCACCACCACCAAAACCTGTCCAACAACCCACTGTGAAATCAGGCTGGGCGGCACTCAGAAGCGTTCCTCGAGCACCAGCTCCCGAGAGCATGGATCTGGACGAGGAAAAGTTTGATGTCGTCTAGTGTCACTAGGATCGTTTATGTGTAACATAGAAGCTTGTGGAATTCGACAAGATATGTTGGTGTAAATGATAGGCATGGAGTGAGATACGGTGTAGGAATAACATCGACGTTGAAGAGCACAGGTCCTAGCCATCAAAAGCAAATCCTGCATTGATATACATGTATGTGAAATATCCTGCTCGCGTAAAAAGGAAGTCCAAATTGACAAAAGGGCAAAACAAAAGCCCCATGGTATCACGCTGCAATCTAACTTAAAAGCAAATTCCCCGTCTCCCCACCCCAACACTGCAGTATCATGATACCCTATTATTTTTGGAAGCAGCGCACTTCAGTATGACCGCTTCGATGGTAATCAGCAAGAGGCATATTGCACTGCTACATGTTAGCTCATCACTCATCCACCGCAAATGCTAGGACGACTTACGTTGCCGCACTGATGATGGACATCCTTCAGGGAACCGATGAGATACGGGATACAGCCCAGGCAGCTGGTGAAACAGGCCAGCGCAGCAATAGAACTGCATCTGTTAGTACTCAACTCCTGATGCTTTCGAGAGTGTACTTACTGCATCATCCCACCAGACTCTGTCGTCGTAATCGTCATTGCCCTCACTCCGCAACTTGGACAAACTACCGGCGCACTCTGGCTCTGCAGGTTCTGGATCGGCAAACTGTTGAAGCTCTGGTGTGATTGACCTTGGGGGACAGCATACTTGTCCTGCGGCCCTTGATACGCGGGGGCAGGGGTCGTGGGTCGGTCGTTGGAAGATGAGCTGTAGTCGCGGTTCTCGTACTGAGGAGGCTGTTGCTGCTCGGTCTCATTCTGCTGTTCGATATCGTTCTGCGAAGCAGGATGAGTCTGCTCGGAGTGGTTGTTCGATGTGGCTGCTACAATGCTGTGTTAGTGGGAGGATACCCGTCTAGTGCAACTGGGACATACTAGACTTCTCCATTGTGACTATTGTAAGTTAAGTTGACGCTTGGAAAGCAGATATGATCCGGACTTGGTATGTTCCTGCGCTCGAGTTTATAAACAACTTGAATTAGCAGCCAGGATAAAACGGCATTCTCGGGCGCTACTTGTGTCCGTCCCTGCCAAGGCGATTCACATCTACACAGCCGCATGGTCACTCGCTGCATCTCTTGCAAGGCAGTGCTCTGCAGGCAAAGACCTGAGGTCATAACCCATTGCGATAGTTTATTGGTCCACGCTCAGACGATCCTAGCGAATGCGTTATAAGTCATATGAAGGGCCCCAACTTTCGCTGTCTGCCTTACCCGCCCGGCAGTTATTTTTGGTAAAAGGGGCAGTGATGCCGCGAGTAAATAAGGCTTATATTGCATTCTACTACGTTTGATTCGTTGATTCACCATTGATGGGATGTTGACATGGTTGTGAGAGAATTACCGAAGCAGAAGCAAGGGTTTGAGACGAGTCATTTGAGGTTGTATCGGCAGACGTCACGAGCTGTGGCTGAGCTGTAGACCAGGGAGGCGAGCAACAGCAACACATCACAAGGGACTAGGAGTACTCCGTCAAGATTGGCTTTGGGATGTGTTGTACTCTGGATGTAATATGAGATGGCTGTATAGTAATGGTGTTGCTGGGGAATGGGATCAAAGACAGCAGAGACAGCAGAGACACTTGGCCAAACCTTACGATTGACTTGAGCAATTTTAAAAATTCCGGGTACGTCTAGAAGTCTATAGCTTTCTGATTATTTGGCTATATAATTATGTACTGACAGTCTATTTCAGCTCCGGCGATGCCGGATCTTTACCACCGTCGTCTGGAGCTTCCTATAAGCGCGCGGTTGAGTTACTCACGGAGAGATCCATGGTTTCAGAGCTACGCAACTACTAAGCACTTCAAACCTAAAAGTTGAGTATGATACAGTTTACGTAGATTGATCAATTGAATAGGATAATTAAAGGACTATACTAAAAAGAAAAAGAATTATCCGGCTCAACCATGAATCCATTAACATCCATCAACCCACTATCTTATCTCCCCTTATCTTATCTTTTCACCGCCCACACGTGACCCTCCTCCAAACTTTCCACTCCATCATCAGCATCACATCCCGAAGCTGAGTCCAATTGCCCCGTCGCCGTTGTCGTCAATTCAATCCCCGATCCTCGCTGCCCACGCGTAATTCCGCAACAATGGCCGGCCGTCACAAACCCATCCGTCTTCCCCCCCTGAAGACCCTGCGCGTGCACGACCCAAAGCGCTCGGTCGAGAACCCTTGCATCGCCATCATGTCCAGCGTTCTCGGTACGTTTTCTTCCTTCCCTACCCTCTCTCTCTCTCCCAAGTTTAGTGAAGATCGGACAATTGACTTGTGGCATAGCATGCTGGGCTTCAGCAGGTTACAACGCAACGGGTTGCGCAGCCGTAGAGAACCAGCTCCGAAAATGCATGGATGGCCCCCCGCCTCCTCCCGCGCCTACAAACACCATCAATTACCACTTGGCACGAATGTCAAAGCACATGACCGGGCCAAGGAAGCAGAAGTAAAAAGAAAAGAAATGGGTGATTGATGGATTGCGGAGAGGGAAAGGCAGGGAGTGTGCATTTTGGGCGTCGGTAGAAAGCGCTGCTTTTACTTGGATGGCATGGGATGGGAATCGACAACTGTATAACAATACCCGTACTGGGATAAATGATGAGGGGGATGTACAAAATATCTGTACAATTACAATTCAAGTCATGATCAACCAACCCCGAGAGATAGGCGACCGTTATAATGACATGCGTTAACAATAGATTCATGGCTTATCTACAACATCACAACGAAACCAGACATCACACGGCAGTTTCCTTCATTCAAAGTGTTTGCATTTCATCTCACTACCTCACCCTACATAACATCGTGGTACCAAACCACCTCTACCTCCACTATCATGGGCACACACCCAATCCCATATTTCCCATCCACCCTCTATGCGCTGCGGGGGAATCTCATGTAAAGAGTCAAGAAAACAAAAATGAACGACAACCCGGAGAGAGAAGAGAGAAACAAAAACAAAAAAAAGTGTGAAGTAAATGACAAAGAACGAGAAGAAAAACAAAACGCCCCCATTTCTTAGTAGTAGCGCCGGATCCCATGAAAGTGTAAGTGACCGAAAAGATGCGATCCGAGGAACCGAACAACAATAACTCCATGGGGTAAAGGTGTCGAGGCAACTATCTCACAATAATAAGATCTTTTCAAGACGCATGCAAGCCTCGCCAAAGCGTAGATGTGCGAATTGATCATCTCATACAAGATAGTCGACTCAACCCCAAAAAGCAACCAAAGAAGAGTGCGTCCAATGGACGAATGAGTGGCTCGAGTAGGGGTTCTCGTTGGAAAGTGACAATGAAAAGAGATGTGTTAGAAGTCGAGTCGCTTGCCGTCTATATGGTATGTTTCGGCCTGCCTTGCCGTCCGGACGTCCTTGGTGTTCGTTATCGTGCCTTGATCATGGGTTGAAGTAAATGTATGATGTTTTCCGAGCGCCGAAAAATGCGGTAATGATCCGTGGGTATCCTAAGCACAATGCACCATTTCTGCCTCCTCTCCGGGTGTCGATCAATATTGAGTTCGCGTGTTCTGGGCGTCTAGGAAGTATCACCGACGCAGAAGAGCTCTATCTCTCCTACACCTCCAGAGTACATGTTCCTGACACCCTCGCGCCACTCCATGAAAGCGATTTGGATATCATCGTCGCCTTCGATGTTAACAAAATCGCCGTCTTCATCGCGATATCGCAGCTTGAGAGCACCTTTGCTGATGCTGCTCGTGGTGAAACGGGCGAGCTTGGCATCAATACGATCAACCAGAGACTGGTAAGTGATGTTGAAAGCCACCACCAAAGTAACGTAGTTTCCTGAGTCGGAGTTCACCCGAACCTTGAGTTGGGTCGGGAGAGGCATCTCGGGACTCAATGGGTTGACCGGTGGTGGCATTGTTGCGGTACCAAGAGCCGGAGATACAGTTCGTGAGTTTGCCGCAGCAGCATCCACGCGGAGAGCGTTGTTCCCAGAGCCTGGTGTGAGTGATCGTGGGTACACTGGCTGTGCGGGGAAATGGTTCATACTGCCACCCACGCTTCCTGAAGGCTTGTGCATCCTCTCTCGTTGGGTGCCCGGACTGTTGGTCTGAGCTCGGTTTGGCTGCTCGTTTCTAGGTGAGCTTGTTTGGTCCCGAGAAGCGTTAGGATTGTGTCCAGGATGCAAGTGCTGGGGAATTCCAGGCACTGCTGGAATAGTTCCCTGGCTAGGCTGACGTTGGCGCGGCATTCCTGGCACAGCGATGTCAGGGGTGCTGTATGAGCGGTTTCTCTGTTGAGCAGCGGCCGCCGCTGCTGCTGCCTGACTGTTGGTAGCCATTGCTGGAAGAGAAGGGCCTCGAGGGTTTCGCCCGTGAGGGTTCGGTGAGGGGCCGTCTCTTGAGGGAGCACGCGGCATAGCGGGAGCAGTGTATCTGTTGCCGTTGTTGTCCTCCCAGCTCGGTTGAGGAGTAGCACTCTTGGGTAGACCATAGTGGGGCGTTGAGAACATCCCGCTGGCAGCGCTCGTCCTTGATGATGCTGGCGACTCGGCAACCGGTGAGAAGTAGCTGTCGCCTGCCCAAGCACCAGGGGAAGAGGCGCCGTTTCCTTGTGTCTGGACGCTGAGCTGAGCAGGTGGCATGGGAAGAGGAAATCGAGGCGGAGGTGCCCTGGCCATGCCGGCAAGTGATGCAGAGCTTTCTCCGGTTCCTGCTCGTGCGCGAAGGTTGCTAGTCGAGGCTGTTCGAAGGCCCATACCAAGAGGATGGTGACCAGTGCTAAATCCGGCAGGTGCTGTCGCTGGGCCAATGTCTTCCTCGTCGTCATCTTCCTGCAGGTAAGGGTTCTCGAGGCCTTGCGCTTGGTCTCTGGTCCAGGCAAAGTCGGTTGCAAGCGAGTCCGAGTTCGAAGACTGACGGGGCACGTTATGCTTCCTCTGAGTCTCCAGAGTCTGTACCCACTTCCTCAAAGTCTCCTCGTTTAGGAACTTGATGACAAAGTTCTCAACGCCAGGATCTCCCTTCCACCAAATCTGTACGCTGTGGTTGCCTAAAGAAATCAGTTTTGCTGACTGCGATATCTTGATTACACAACTCACCTGGTTTAGAGAAAGACACAATGTCAGTCACGTTAGTCATGAAGATCCTGCCCTTCAACTGGAGCTTGGCGTTCTTGTTTCGGGCCTTGGGGCCTGATGATCGCAGCTTGTCCTTCTTGTCCTTGCTCTTGCTGGATGAGATCTCTTTGCAGCACAGAAGAATGGACTCGAAAAGATAAATTTCGTACTCGAAAAATGTTAGTCAAGGTAAATGAGGCTTCTGGAAAGCCAACTTACATCCTTCTCCTGATCAGTCTTTCCGGTGATGACACCATACACACCATGCATGAGGAGCTTTCCAAACTGTTCCACCTTGAGGCTCTTCCAGTCCTCAACACGGCCGGTCAGGTCCTCCAGAACCTCGTCAAGAAGATCACGGTTCACAGCCTCATTAGCCTTGGACAGTACTCGTTCAGCAGCCTCGCAACCGCTGAGCAAATCCATCTTGATTTCTTCATCCTCAGTCTTCTTGTTCAAATCCTGTCATGTGTCAGTTGTTGAAAGTTCAAGGCAATAACATCAACCCACCTTGAGCAAGAGAGGATATTTCACCAGTCTTTGCATAGGCTTCAGCAAGAAACCGTCGAGGGTGTTGAAGTCGGCTGCCACAGGATGTGCGGAACGTTGAATCTTGTCAAAAACCTGGTTGGCAACCTGGGCCGCCTTGCGCTGGTTCGCGATGAATGGCTGGTAAATATCGAAGGCATCCTCATACATGACAAATGGAGCCCCCCAACGTTGGTTCGCGTCGGTCATAGAATTTGTTGTCTCCACACGGATCAAGAAACGTCGCTGGAAGTCGAGAATGGCATTGATGTTGAGGAATATTTGGTGAAGAGTATCACCAGGAATTGCACCTTGCTGTTCGAGCGTCTTCTTCAAATCGTGCAGGTTCTCGAGATCTTGGACGTATTTTCGCTCGGTATCGACAAGTTCTCGGATGATGTGATCTCGGTAGGTCATCTGTCCACCATTGGCTTCCTTGCCAGGCGCATTCTCGAAAGCTTGGGCTTGGAGGAGGTAGCCGCGTTCCTCTGCTTTGTCCAAGACGTAGTTAACGACTTGAGTCACCTAAAAAAAAAGAAAATGACATAAGCTCAGTCCACAACCGCTATATATGAACTCACTAACCTTGACGAAGCCACTAGTGTCGTTACCCATCAAGTCGGCTATCACAAAGCTATGGGATGAGGGGATCTCCAGGTCCTTCATGCAGGCCTGAACGAATTTGAAGATGGCGATCTTGGACTTCTTAGCTTCATTAGCGCTAGCGTCCTCGACCTTGAGGTCCTCGTTAGGTCGCAGGGCATTGTAGATTAGGAGGAGAGGATATCCGGTACGAAAGAGATTCCATAGTGGATCGACAGGGTCCGCGGGGTCGAGCTGGTCAAGATAAGGGTCGAAGCCAGGCACTTGGGCCAGACGCTGCTTGAGAGAGATGCAGATCTGGTAGAGCGACCGCGAGGCATCGGCCTTCTGATTAATGATGTTGGCCGTGGCAAGCACAGGGCCGCCATTCTGTGGTGTGGCGGTAGCAGCGCTTCCAAGGGAACTCAACGAAGCCGACGAGCCAGCAAAGGCTGTCGAGCCTGAGAGTTGGCTGGCGCGCGGCGCATGGTTCATACTGGGTTGCGGGAAACCACCGAATCCGTTAGAGGTTGAGTGAAAGACCGGAGTTGTGTTATTTCGAATCAACGGGGCGTGGGCCATAGCCTTCTAATCCATCCGTCGAAAGAGCGGACTGGGGGAAATTTGAGGCGACCGCAGGGAGAGATTCGCGAGCGTGTCGAGGGAGGTCGTGAGAGCGCTAACGAGGGGTTGCAAATGGTCTGCTGTGAATAGATGTCTTTAGGAATGTCGCTTGGCGTCGACTCAAGAACGTTTCAACGAGGAGTTCGACGTCATTCGGCGGTGAATCGAAGCGTGAGATTTGAAAGTTGTACTTTTCGCAGGAACGAGACAGGCGGGGTAGAGGATTGAGAAAGTGTCGAAGCGTTGTAAGAGAATCGTGGGTTGAAGAGGATGTCAAAGAGTAAATGGTTGATCGCGGCGGGTGTCTCTCCTCTGGGTATACTTTGGTTTCGGCGGGCGGGCCTGGTGATGGCTGGTTAAGGTAGAGGTGGTGGTGGTGGTCTCGGGGTCAGGCGGTGGAGCGATCGAAGGGGGGGTTCAGTGAAGCGGATCGACGATGCCGAAGGTGAAGAAACAGAGAGTGATCTGGCAGGCGGGCCAAGGAGTCCGATGTATTGAAACTTAATTTATTGTATGATCTGAGCTGATCACCGACGAGGAAAAATTAATTATTCGCCAAAATAAACCGTTGCCGCAACTGTGAAAGAAGGCGATAGCGAGGCTGGGTGTAGGTTTAGATTGAACGGCAGATGGGAAAGTCGTTTAAAGGAGGAAGACGGATGTGGGATGGGAATTGGACTGGGTTGGATTGGATTGGATTGGATTGGATTGGGAGCTGGAGCTGGCTGTTGCTGGCTGGCTACTGGACTGAGGAGGCGGAAACGGAAGCGGGCGGTTGCAATTTAGCGGCTAGTGGGGGGCCAGTCCAGAGGTACTATGGAAGGTAGCCAGCGAGACAAGAGTGGAGGATCTCTGTTTAGGTGATACCTTAGGCGCTGGGCTGACAATGCCTTTAAGCGTGTATGAACAGTCAATGGTGATTTGACGGTTGATCTTGATTCGATTGATGATATAGTACTCTCCTGTTGTCAGCTTTTGTCTCTGTAGAACCATCCATACCACGAGACAATGTTCAAAAAAGGTTGATGATCTGGAGGGGAAAAAAGGGGATTGCACCCGGTAACACAGTGACTGTGCGTGATGCCTTCGAGTCGACACTGTATCACTGGGCGCAATTGTAGCCGATGGAGTCCGTGCGATGAGTCTGTGGGACGTGCATTTCTTTGGGCATGAACAAGTCTGTCTTTCCCAGTGCATATCCCACCAGGCTCACCTGTACTATCGAATTAGCCCAGCTACTCCGTACTTTAGCTGAAGTCAATCGGACTTTTTTGTTCCCAGGTTTGTGAAGCAAGAGCATTTTAATTAAAATCGATCATCGTCCATGACCTGACTACTTGCTAGTAACGATTTGGGCTTACTCGAAAGAAGGTTTCTGGAAAACTGCTCCCTTGACATGGCATGAATCGCGCTGTTCAGTTCGGAGGCAGATACCGGCCAAGACCCTTGATTTACATGTACCTAGTCTGTCCAATAGACAGAAAAATGGTTCAGTATTGAGTGTTACCAAGCATTCACTAACCTTTGCTAGCCCACGTTGTTTTTGCTTCAGGGATCAACAGGGGTTCTGATCCATCAAAGATACCGAAGGCTGAAGAGAAGGATTGCGGACCGTCACCGTCGGTGGTGAAGCCAAGCCAGAGATGCAAAAGCTTGGCTCGCCATTGCCATGGTACATTGTACCGTCACATGGGAAGAAGCCATCAAAGTTGACGCCCAAAGAGGGGGGGATTGACTGACTTGACATGGGATAAGCCCCTGAATCCGCCAGAACGGGTGGTGTGGTGCGGTTCCCCTCCCTTCCAGAAGGACGTTGCATGAATGTGCAAGGTTAGATTTTAACACTTTTCTTTTCTTTTTCGAAGCATCCTTCCCTTGTTTGCAACGAAAAAGCAAGTTGTTGCAATTCGGTACGTCCGAGGAGAAGCTCGATGCGCGTTATCAACACCATGCTGCTCACCGATTATGCACTAGATAAGTCGCTCTCCAGCTATCTTCCTATCTATCTCTGCCGCAATTATACACAACTTATCTCCAGGCCTACGCTACCGTTCTCAGGCAGCGCTATGTGCCTGCTGTCTGCGGCGGCTAGTCACTTTAAAATGACCAATCACCGTTAGGCCAAGATATGTCTTGTTTCGGGGGTCGACTACTGGAGTCCTATTTTGCAGATCATTGCACGCAATGAAGGTAGCTGTCCATGGTGATTGTTTCTTGTCACAAGATTTGGCTGTCAATCTTGGCCATGATAAGAACCCTTTAAACAAGCACCCATGAAAAAGAAACATGGCCAAATCCTACGACATCCACACTCACATCATATCAATAGAGCTGGTCTGCTGGCTGGCAATAACCCCCTGGCTGACATCATGAGTCCCAAAGCTCTTCAATCTCTCCAAGCTCAGGGGGCGCTCGCTAGCTTCACTTTGGGACGCAAGAGAAGGTTTCATGGAAGCTTCGATGGCTCCTCTTATGCATGTCGCTGTTGGTTTCTGTTTCTGCACATTTCCGTTCTGGAAGTATTTGGGGCTAGTCTTTATGCATTACGGCGTATGCAATTCTGAAACGCGCGACTTAATGCACAGGCCCTATTTTGTCCCTTCTGAAAGCACAAGCTTGGTGCACACTGCGCTGCGTAGTTTACTCAATTCGCATCACGCTTCTTTCATATAAGCCAAACTGAACCACAAGGACGAGCACAGAAAGAAGGCTTGCCATCTTCATGCTTCGCGAAAGACCACGCAAAACTCGGCTTTGTGACTAAAGAGTAGCTTGAAACATAAGAGATGCCCGCTTTTGCTTACTGCATGTGCGTGTTGCATGTTTATGCCTCAGCTGCACTGCGACGATCTTCACAGAACTCTCTCGGGGGTTTTCCATATGTCGTAAACGATCAGCGCCTCTTCCTGGTGCGTGTTTCTCTAATATCCGGCACCTGCATTGCACATCTCTTCTAGACCACATCGTATCGGCCATCGCCCGAATGCTGTGAAACTCTCGCCCTCTTGCCCTCTCTCTCAAGCCCAGCTCAATAGGCAGCCTACAGATAAAGCTCGTATTATTCCCGTGGGTGAGCGATGGCATGTCGCCTCATGGCTTCGAGACGAGGTGCCATCCCGACTTCGGTCGGTGGATAGCGTTCATGCGTGTGTTCTACAAGTGGAAATACTCCCGCTAATACTCCGTATGCCAAGCTAGATTGAAGAGCTCTGTGGGTTTTGGTCTCTTGGTTTGTTTCAGAGTTGCGCCTCCACATTCTGTATTCCAGCCTTGTGGGCTCTGTTACTTCTGCTCGCGGCTTCTTACGTGCCTCGGGCTTTTGTTGAAACTTCGATAAGCTTTGGCTAAAGTCAGCAAGGTTTGCTTGACCTCGACTCTGGAAGCTCGGCCGAATCGCGGATCAGTGGGTGTCCAGCCAATTGTTGGACGAAACTGTCGTTGACATGCACATGAATATTTGATGCCGAGGTTCGTGGCAATTGAACTATTTGATGGTTGTGAGAACGGTTCGGCATAGGGTAGGCTAGTCGTCAAGTCTTGCTTGTAAAGCCATGGCTGTGTTGACACACATCGTATTTAGCACTGAACTACTAAGATATCTTGCTGGACATTCTCCCTATGGCGTGTATTCTAGATATTGAGGCTTACATCCAATTATCTGACCTATGAAAACAAGGCATCCCATCAAAGAGTATGTCACAACTCTTCTCACCCTTTCTTGAACACCCGTTCCCAAGAGCTCGGGTCCTTTCCAAAAGACAGGGTAATTATCGTGATGCCAACAAATCACCATAACCGACAGCAACATGTCTCCTGTTCCTAGCAAAGTGTCTTTCTTGTCCATCATCAAGCTGATAATATTGCGAAAGAAGATTTCCTTGTCTCCATCACCAGGCTCTGTCCACTCGCGTACAATGAGATCCACGTCTTTCCCCGCATATCCCTGTTCGGTTTTATCTGCACGCATGTACTGGTGGATTGCATAACGCGGTATGGTGATGATACCGTCGTCTTTGGTGAATACCGAGGTGTGGTTTCCGACTGTCACGAGGGCGTAGCCCTGGACAACTTCAAGGTACTCGGTATGCGTTTCGTGCCAATGGAGGCCCGTACCGGGTGTGTTCTCGCCAACCTTTAGATAGATATGGACTACTCCAGTCTTTTTCTCCTTGGAGCCGAAGTCGAGACCTCCAGGTGGAAGGAAGAGCTTGTCTTGGTGTCGTGTGATTGAGCGGGTCATGCTGGCAATATGTTGGCTTTAATAAAGTCGAGCAAAGACTGTTTTCATAGCGTAAATTCAATAGTAGTTCGGAGGTGTTGACGAATTTCTCTGACTTAGTACCTGAGCAGTATTGGTGACATTGTTGTGCTTTTATATTGTTTAGAACTCCATGTCGGCGACTTTGTGGTGATGCGGAAACCTATTGTGCCGAGTTGTTGTTCTTTCATCCACGATGTTTCATTTGGGTCTAGTAAGCAGGACCCCACGACTTAACATAAGTATTTTTTTTGGACCGAAAACATACCGTGGGTTAGCCAGTATCCGTTTCAAATGATTGTTTAACTGTACTGCCGTGATCAAATATGTTTGAGATGAGGCCTGACCAAAAAGAAGGACAGAGTCAGGTAGAAGACTTGTGGCCATATGTCAACCATGAGAGGATAAGGAGCTTACAATATGACCAAGGATTCGAGAAGTGACTGTATGGTGTTTACATTCAGACCAATCTTCGACTTTATTTTAGGAGCCTTCGGTGATACAAAACTGGAAGGTTGTCGCGCTACATTCAGTCTTGTCCCCCCAAGCTAAGGGTATGCTGGATGGATCAATCATCTGGAACAACTATTTCCTATCCAGCTTTGACTTTCCTTTTGAAACTACTGTACTAACTGTAGAGACTAAATTTCAAGCTCTTAATGTTTCTTAATAGTCTACGGACGTTGAGTATTATTTAGGACACTGATTATGAGATGAAAGCACAAGAAGATCGAAAAACCTACGGTTGGACCTCGAGATTATTTTTGAGGGTTCAGTTTCATCATATGTGGACCATACAACTCATTTTCCAGCTTAGGCGCTTAACATCTGTAGGCAAGGTCACCAAGCTGGGCGGCTATTGTGCCTGCGAGTTGAGTCCAATCACTCAGAAACGGAGCAATCACCTTGCATCGTTTTGCGTCGAAGGTTGTTTGATGCATTGAGGCATGCACAATTGATATACGCAGATCGCTAAAGTGGGTTTCTTATGATAGCATCATGTGGTTGGCTTATAATAGGCCCGCGCCCTCAAGCGAGCGTGGATGATCTTATTGAATCTTGGCGGCCTATAAAGAGCCTGAGGCCACGAGATCGGCGACTCCGCACATATTCGTCGAGCAATGAATATTTGCGGCCCAAAGTCGTCCTGAAAACATATATACCCGTGAACAACGTAAGTGTCGAACCCACACAGTGCCGTGATGTTGTTAATCAAGGCCCTTGGCAGCTTCTCATCATGGTGCAACTAGTTGCGGTGGCTTTATACCATCGGAACCATTTTTCGCTCGGAAATGCCCGGCAGGCTTTTGGCTATGAGGCGTACCACTGGAGCATCATGGTCATGCCTGACGTAGCCCAAGGGGATGACGAAGTTTGTCACCTGTTTGATGCTACCGACACGTCTGCAATCAATCCTCACACATTCCGGATGAATAACCCAAAAATGGAATGGTGGTACCGGTCCCAGATTGATATCAATCCTCGCATGAATATGAAGCTTCTGGGGCGAGTTGTCTTTGGCCAGATACCAGACGACATATCGAGTGCTGAGCTTGATGAGTTCTTCCACAGTATTCCTTTACCGGTCAAGAATACATATCCACAGCAAAGCTCTGTGTCGTGGGCGATAGATGCGATATGCGCCATCCAGAAGCAAGGATGGGCACCGGCGTTCGATCTGCGTAAGTTCAAGGACTTTGCGCTTGCTTATGGCGACGAAAGGATGCGAGGGTCAGAATCAGAGGAGTTGGATGTGAAGCATTTTGATGTTAGGAAGGAAGATGCTCTTGTGGATAAAGAAGAGCCTCTCGAAGATGACGAGGTTTCTCTTACGGATAAAGAGGGATGACCCCCGATGAAATGTTCAGTAAAGACATACCTAGGCCAGGGCTATGCGTCGTAGGAGATGGATCTCGCCCAGATGAGCGTTGCGCTGGGAGCCTGAGATGGAGGGACTCGCCTGTTCTGATGCGGTTTCTTTCTAGTTGATACCAAATTATAAATTCAAATTTTAAGTGTATAGAGTATTTTTCAACTATGTAATTTTTTTGATGATTACTGGGAGAGGTTGGAGAATGAACGAAATCAGAAACTACTATGTGTATCAAATAGGTAACAAGTGTACACTACTTGAAACAGCTGATAGGCTTGATTTGCTACTGAGCTGTCTTGATTTTAGAAAGACTAGTAGGATACTTGGCTGAATTTCACTAGAGAGACACTAATGCAGGCCATGACTGTTGCCTACATGCTGCAACCTAGATAAAAACACTGCATTGCTTGCAGCCTCTACCATTTATCTCTTAGAAAGTAAAGAATAAACACATCACTCTAAGTTACTATTTGAATACCTTTGTTTTGTTGGATGAAGCTACTAAAAGATTAAATCATGCAATATGTAAATTAGAACTGGATACAGAACAGATCACAGTAGACTATTGAGCTGTGAGGATATGAAAAGGGTTTCGAGTTGCTATCTAACCTGGCAACCAGCCTGAACTCATTGTCCTCACTTTTCTCACCCAGGTAGTGCCTCTCCGATTTATGTCAGTCTGTTGCTAAGACAAATTGCCTTTCATCAAATTTAAGTAGAAACAACCTCTCTGTGTGATAAAACAAACATATTTTCAGCACAGCAGGTCCTGTAGCGCATAAATATCATGTATTCACGATAATGAACGACCCCGATCGTTCTTGTTACTTTCAGAACTGGCCAACTGTCTCCACAGACAGTAACTAGATTTCGTTATCTCTTCTGATATAATAGAAACCCCTACCTTTAGGCGTGTTGACGTTTGAACCACTAGCACGATTTCGCCCATCATGCCATCGTTGCGATCTTCGTAAACCTCTCTCCTCTTTTGGGTTGTAAGACCAAGCACGCTTAGAATATTCTTTGGTGGGTTCTTCCATGAGAAAACTTTCCGATGGGAAGTTCGGCCGCTCAGGGCTCTCTTGGGGGTAGAAGCGATTGTCGTCAAAGAACACCCAAGCACGCTGCTGAAAGATCTGGTGTCGGAGTGTATTATCGCGGTTCAAAAAAAGTTGCTTATACATAGATGATTCTTCGTATGTTGGCTTAGTTGTGAGTAAGAGCGCGAAGCTTATGTCCCACTTGTAAGATCGAAAAGGTCTTTCAAAGCCCCAGACATATTCGAATTGCGCCATGAGGGCTTCTCTTTCATCTTGAATGGCCAAACCATAGCCAAGGAAAATGGTGAGATAATCAAGCCCAGTCGTGGAGAAACAGTCCCCAAGGTCATGCCTAGGGACTATGCCAAGAGAACACACATCAAAGTTAGGGGAGTAGGATTTTGCGTCAAAATAATAGGTATCGGGAAATAGTAACCCAGATCCAAGTGAAGCCTCCGTCGAAGTGCTGGGAAGCCAACCATCGTTGCATTGGGCAAACATTGCCCCGTAAAGAGAACGGATGTAGTTGTGGACACACCCGAGCGCTTCATACTCGAAATAGCTGACTTCGCGATGTTGCCGTACCAAGCCGGAGGCGTGAGGGGCATTGCTGATCTTACAAAATAGCTCGTATAGCAGAAATGCTTTGATAAACCTTTTACGTTCCAAGGATGTGAGATTTGCCGAACTGAATCGTGGCGTTACCTTGACCCCTCTGAACATAACATGTCCTTCAGTTAATGGCTGCTGAACATGCGGTAGACAAAGATATTCCCGTGGAGGAAAGGAAGCGGTGGCTTTGGTAATATAGTCCTCGACCAAAACAAGAAGTTGACTGTGCAATTTGTTCAGTTGACCTAGCCGGTCGTCGTTGCCCTCCTTGATAGGATCGGGCAGTTGAGACTCCGACCAAGCCAGTATATGTTCGCGTATGGACCGTGACTGGCGCTTACTGAGTTTATTCCAATGGGTGCTTCGCGGAATTGGTAGTAAGATGATTGCCATGGCGTCTTGTATCATCTGTTCGTCAAATTCAGACGCCATCACTTGTCGTATAATATGCTTCTTTTGTGCGAGATATTCTCGAAGCATGATCGGAGAGGCTTGAATCATGCGTAGTATCGACGATTTGCAGTCAGTCAATAGGAGAACCTGACGACGAAGCTCGGAGGGCAGCTTGGCGAAAGGATCTGTTACCGCGACCGCCATATTTTCGTTCTTCAATCGGACGTCTGCGTTGGTGAGAAGAGTAGAAAAGGGGGGGGAGGGGGGGGGAAGGAGATTGCAAGGTGGTCGTTTTGTATTTCTTGTTTATAGTTGAGTCTTATGGCAAGTACGACAGAAATAAGTTCTTGTATTTTATATTCATTGCAAAGTCAAAGTATGATATCGGCTATCGTGTTCTCATCAAAAGAGAAAGCTTATTTTAGGGATAATGCCCTGTCGTGTATCACGAAACTCTGTTATTTTATTTGTGTAGCCTTGATCTATCTTGCCGAGGTTTTGAATAAGGTTATAGTAACACTTAATCGCTTACTGCACCTCGACTGCTGCTACACATCAATGGAATTCCCTACGGAACCCAAGGATAGATATAATCCGCTGCAAACCGACATTCAGCAGTATGGCTCGCATCCCCATCCGGTTACCCAATCCAAACCAAGTATTCTCTTTGCTTTGGCATCCCACCCATGACAGCCAGGCGGGAGTCGTCGATGGAGATCATGGTGGTGTTATCGACATGCTGTCGATATCGCCCCCCCCTTATGGACTATATCGCATACAGTAACTCTAGAAGTTCTACTGATTTTCTTATTTATATTTTAATAATATTTAATAAATTATAATAAATTAAACTTAGTTTTTATGAATTAAACTGAATTAAACTAAATAGTAATAGATTATTATAAATTATATCTAATTGTAATAAATTGTCCTAATTTTACATAATTTATGTGATTTTAGTAAAAAGATTTAAGTATTATAAACCTTTATTTAGAACTATATCTTAATAGAAAACAGGTACCAAGCTCATTTACACGTAGTTTCGTCAATTAGCTTCTTATCCCCTGGATTGCGAGTTTTGGTCACCAGTAATTGCTCCGTGGGGACTGATCTCTCCTATTTTCGCATGATCCTTGGCTGAGGCGATGACTTTGTCTTCGAAAGCTGTGCACCAATTCTGTGGTTATATGATCCGTGAATACATCCGTCTTCAACTATCAACTTCAGTGTATATTGACATATCTAATTTAAATTCCAAGCTTTGTAGACTCCAGGATAGCTTCAAGCTGCATGACAACATCATTGTAGACCTCCTGCCTGAAACTGTCTTCGTCTAGGCCACTGGACTCGGTGCAGTCTATACACCGTTGCACTACGGCCTTGTAGACGGGGTTGATCAGTGCCACCCTCTGTTCCAACAATCTGTGCGCTGCAATCGAGGCGCGGATAATACCGTCGTAATCACCGGAAATAGCTTGCTCTTCTGAGGATTGTTGTTTTTCAAATGAAGATCCCGTGATGATCTCTAGTAAGAGAATCCCTAATGCGAACAGGGTTGGATTGACCAGTGGCAAACATCCTGATTTTGCGGATGGAGTTGCAATTTGTAGAGGTTCAAGTGGGCGTACCGGGAATTGTCTGAGGAGAAATGGGCTTCTGTACGAGAAATTGTCATCACGTCTGAAGAAATGTACGTTTCTTCGTGTCAGAGCCTCTGGAAGCCATGGTGTTTTGCTGAGCTGGAGTACACTTGACGCGATAGTAAGTGCAAGTCGAACTTTCTCAGCCAGCGAAACCAATGGTCGAAGACCTTTCTTTCCCTCAAGCACGTCGTCTAAAGTAACTATTGACCAGTCATCACTGTTGGCTGTTGTACCTAGCGGGTAAACTTGAAATAGTCGATTGGTGCACTGGGCATCAACAAGATGGCCGTAGCAGACAGGGCGCGCTTCTCTAGCTTTTATAAGAGCTGTGCATAGATTGAGAGGTTTTTGTGCCACCTTTTCGTTTTCGTCCTGACAAGTTTTGATGAACGCTATGTCGGTTGCAGGACGGCTGAATATGGCCATGGCTGATTTCATATCGTGAGATTTGGTCGAGGTTCTAAGCGATAATGTCTGCTTCAGTCCAAATGAGACTCGTTTCAAGCTTTGAGTTTGAACCTCTGGTATGGGCAGCTGAGATTGCACTACCGCTACTGGTGTCGCAGTCTTGATGTTGACCTCATCCCAGAATCGCTTGGTCGCTGGACCTCTAACGATTTCGAATGAGATCGCCACTTTGAATTGCGCATCACGAAACACCTTTTCATGTTCCTCTTCATGTCCGAATTCGATAAGTCTCGGCTGGAGTTCGAGACTGACATCGTGTGAGCCTGTGCAGATTATACTGGAAGAGAGTGCCCGATATATGCTCGTTGAGAGATCCCGAAGAGTTTTGAAAAGCTTTCCACGTGATTGCTTCCTCCGACTCGGTTCAAGATGGATGCTTAACCGAATGAGCGTTTCAAGATCGCTAATGCCTTTGGAGATGGTGGATAGAGAGTCATTGTAATCTTCTCTGTTGATGCGATACAGTAACTTCTTGAAATCACGAGTGATCTTTCCCTTGCTCATCCATTCGACCTAGCCTTGTTAGCACCTGACCCAGTTGCCAAAAGACATCATCTCACCTCCCCATCTGCAGAGACTTGCACTCTTAACCGCTGCATGATACTTTGAAGAGCTTCTTCCACTTCTATAACTGTTTCTTCAAACGGCTTGTAGGCGTCCCATAACCTCCGTCGAATTTTGTCATTGGTATCTGTAGCCTTCCACAGCGGCCCAAACGGGTTCAACAACATTGGCTCAATGTCCTGATGTGGAACAGCATCGCTGATGAGCAGATCACAGACGTTGTACAATTTAGCTCGCTCAGTAGTAAGCTGACGATTGAGGCTCCTGAGCTCCGATGGGGCTTTGCCCCAGTCCCGCATGAACTTGCTGTAAGTCTCGAGAGCTGATACAAGCAGGGGAAGTGTTCCCAGAACTATGCCGACCACTTCGAAACCGGACATGATGTGTATATTTCGTCTCTGCCTCTTCTCTTGGGTTTGGGGGATAATCAGTCCGCGAGCCGTAGGGCCTGGGAGTTTGGATAAATGCCGATAAGCGCGCATTTCTCGCCGTCTGCATGTCGCTAGTCCAATTGAGCCCTGCCACTAGCCGCAGAAAAGCGTACCCCTCACTCAGCTGAAGCTTTGCAAGGAGTCTTAGCTTCCGGTAGCTTGACTGTCTCTGGTATTCCCCATATCATTATCAAAACCCTCACACCGAGGGCCAGACGTAGGTTTACTCTATGAACCCAAGTGTGATGCTCAACATCTCATCCTCACTATGAATGAGAAGCAGCAATTACGAACGATTGCGAACCATGTCTTCAAGGCTCTGGAGTCTTTCCGGGATCTCAATATTTCTCTTGCCAAGCTTGTCAGTTCTCCAGAATCTTCAAATCCAACAAATTCCTTTGATTTCAAGACTCAACTGGAGAATGATTTCCTTCGCTTCAAGATGTGGGCTGGCAATCAAGCAGCTCACCAGACTGGCCCCTCGTCTCTTGATCACCGACTTAGAGAGGCCCCTCATCTGCACGAGCAGGTCATATATCTTCTAAAGGATATATGTGAATCTCTGCAAGATGCCATCTCACTTTCCACAGAGGGCTTTCCTTCTCTGAACCGAGATGGACTGGGAGGGGAGAAGCAAGAAGATCAAAACACCGAACCTTCCTCTCACAACCTGGACGATGATGATGACGATGACAGTGACTTCTCGGACTATGGCAGCAATTCCTCGCCAATCTCTGGTCTGCCAACGTTTTTCACTGATGTGGGAGAAGCTGTCGATTGTTTATTACGTCTTTCAGTTGCCATCGCAAACCCTGCTCCTCACGAGAGATTCCGCAAGCTTGGTGCTGGCCTTGATGAGGACGTCTCCTTCTACGAACCACATGATATCGCTTATGTTAAAGACAAGTTCCCACATATCGATGACAGTCTAGCCAAGGTTCTCGGAAAGTTCATCACGCGTAGGCGCCAGTTCTTTAAATATCGAAGGGCACACCATACCAGACTAGCTTCTAACCTCGAGTCTGTGGTGTCTGACGAAAAAACGGATACAAGCCGTACAGAGATCGTTCAGAAGACGGTTGCTTCTTCTCTTCCTGAACATTTCAAGGCCATGTCGAACTTCGATCCCAGAGCCAACATCATAGATGAAGACGTTCGATCCGATACTGGAATGTCACAGACATCTTATGCTACATCTGCTGGCTTTCTCATCGAGAATCAAGACGATCAAGCATGGGATCGACCGCCTCCGCTAAGGGTACCCCCTATGCCTAATGCTGGCGAAGACGGAATATTCGAGTGTCCTTTTTGTTATAGAATGATTGCTGCCAAATCTCGAGCAGCATGGAAGTGAGTCAACCCACCTAACTCAGATCTAAGCGCTTCGTTGTTGACATCCACGACAGACGCCATGTTTTTGGGGATCTTCGGCCATTTACCTGTCTCTTCTCCCAGTGCACCGAATCGAATATTGACTTTGACCGCCGGCATAATTGGCAACTACATGTTTCCAAGTATCACTGGAGTTCATGGCAATGCCCGTTCAGGTGCGAGGGGTTGTTTCTTTCTGCGACTGAGCTCACCCTCCATGTCAAAGCTAAGCATCTTCCAAATGGGGACGAACAAGAGTTAAGAACTGCTGTCTCGCTAGGCGAAAGCGCAGCTCCGACTGACACCAGCAACCAATGCCCCGTTTGTGGGAGTACAGTAAGCGGACTCAAGAAGTATATCAAGCATGTTGGAAGACATCTTGAGCAACTGGCATTATTTGCTCTTCCCAGCTTGGAAGAGCAGAATCCAGTAGAGGATGCTGCGAGTGACGAGCAGATTAGTGCCCAATCTTCACTAGACGTGAGGTCGCAAAGTACTTCGCAGGCTGGTTCATTAATTATAGAAGAGAAAAGTATGGCTCTTCCAGAAGAAGAAGAAGAAGAAGAAGAAGATGCTTCCTTAATAGGAGACAATACAAGTATACAGGAAGCATACTTGGTTCAGGCCAGGGCTGAGAAACGTCCAGCGACGTCGGGTTCTACAAGTGAGGATTTCAAAGATATTGGAAGCTCGGCTGTCATGCAGAACATCTCTGTGGCAAAGGAGGATGAGATAAGGGTTATTGATGACAGGGTTTCCTGGTTTAGGCGGGAAGTAGCTTCTTTCAAGACCTCTAGTATACAGTTAGTGCTACTGATTAGAACAGAGGCGAGGCTCGTGAAAGGTGCTCCACCCGAGGGGTCATCGTGGAAAGGCATTATACGGGTTTCGGAACAGATGGTAAAGGTCGCGAGACGGGAAGTTGATGAGCTCAAATCGTTCCCAAAATCACACGATTTAAGGGGCCTGAGCCCAGAGGAAGTCACTCAGCTCTTGGAAACGATAAACGTCGACCGGATGAAATTAGATAAAACGCTAGCAGAGGTTGAGCTCAGCTTTAGCATCCTCAAAGCTAGAGTGAGTCAGAAAGGGGTATCACATGCTGAAGATACAGGCGAAATGCCAGCAACGCTGGTAGACCTGGAAGGAAAGATATCCGAGTCATCGGAAAGCTCTGCTTATGACCAGCCCATAATGAACATGGTGTCTATGAGACACCAGGCGATGGCATTGAGGAAATCGATGGCAGCATTAATGGAGGCGAGGGCTAAAAGGGGAGAAGAGAACGCGACAATAGAAGAGGATACTGTGAGAAGGGAGAAGGAGATCGCGACGAAACACACTGAAGCGCCTCTATCGACACAAGAATATGAAGCTGAGATTGGTCCGAAGCAACCAGTTGCTGACGCTCCTCAAAGTTTGAACCTCGAGGACGATAAAACTATCGCTCGGGGGGGGGGGGAGAAGAGAAGAGTGCTAGCCCGTCTAGAATATCGTTTGCCGAGCATCCGGAGCAAAACAGACCCTCGCTTTCGGATTCTAAGGAGGAACCACCTATTAAGTTCAAGGATGCGGTCGGTCGAAAATTCAGCTTTCCCTTTCATCTGGTTAGAACTTGGACGGTAAAAACCCAAAGAAAGACAAACCTGACACGCAGAAACTGACATGATTTCAGGGTATGCGTGAACTAATCGAGCAGGCTTTCATGATGGTGGATGTGCTAGGCCCTCATGTCATGGAAGGGCACTACGATCTCATCGGCCCGGATGGGGAAATCATCTTGCCATCTATGTGGGAACAGGTGGTTCAGCCTGACTGGGCTGTCACCATGACAATGTGGCCGATGGAGCAAAATATCTCTGGGAAAGCAGAGTAGTAAGTACTAGCCACTTTTGATAAAAGTGAAGCCTCTTTGGGGGGTGTTTTATAGATAGTGGTTGGATTTATTAAACAGCTCAATCGTAGCCAAGGTCAGGTGCAACCAAACGAGTAGCATCTTCGGTTTCATGTTTAACCTCGTCAGTAGTTGCCATAGCTCTTGAAGATAGCCTGCTGTGATCCTCATCCAACTCCATACCGAATGTGTATCCTTTAGCGAAGTGATTTTCCGCCATAGCTCGCATTCTATCCTGTTTCTTCCCATCCTAATATAACTCTTGATGGCTGGAAAATCAAGTCCATCTAGTAGTGGCGGAGTACCATAAACATCAAGATAGAACGGCTTCTGATATGAATCAAATGGCTAGGGCTTGATCCTTGAGCGATCCAATCAGAAGAATGGTCCATATTTTAGATCAAATATTCAAAACGTAATTCTCAAGATCTATATCGCTGGTATAATAACGCTAGTTCTCATGGCAAATCATACAAAATACATGACTACCCCATCTCTCTACTCGTCGTTGCTCCATGTCCAAGCATCCTGGATCGCCTTCCAGTACTGCTCCGGGTGCTCACGCATGTGCCCAACATGGTTCGTGTCCTGGAAAAGCTCTGCCCGAATCTCGTAACCTCTCTGTTGTGACTCGGCGATATAGCCTTCGATATCCATGTGGGAAATAATCTCATCCTCCTTGCTGTAGAGATACAGTCGCTTGGCGTCCAGGGTCTCGTAGTTTGCGTCGTCAACCACGCGCAGGGCGAACGCTCCAGAGGGTTCGCCGCCTGTCAACTTCTTGAAGATGACGTCCAGCGTGAGAAAGACACCCCAGATGCCCTGTGTGATGAAAGAGGGCCAAGGGAAGAATTTGGCGGTGCCGAGAGCCATTGCGTGTGACCATTTGCCCAGTCTCTCCCACGACCAAAAGGGGTTTCCGGGCGTTGAGTCGAGGACTAGAAGCTGGTGGGGCAGTTGTCTTGAGTTCTTCTCCAAAAAGGCTTTGAGGGTGGTGGCGTAGCTAATGGCGCCTGTGTTGGACATGATGTGGATAAGAATAGGGGCAGCCTTGTCGTCGAGAAGTCCGTCGAGGTTGGTGATGACAGTTTCCATGGCGCGTGTTCTTGTCTCGAGACTGGTGAACATGGCGTCGGAGATGGGGCTCAGTATCATGATCTGCTTTGAGTGTGGGAATAGAGCGCGATAGCCATCTGCGTACTTGCCCACGTGTCGAGCAAGACCATCGCCCCAGCCGTAAATGACTACAGCCGCTGGGTGTCCCTCAGGCGTTTGTTCAACTGCATCCTCGCTGACTAGGACCTGGCTGCTGAGAGCCTTGAAGCCGGCGAGCTCGGGGAGTTTTTTAGGCGCCATTATTTTTAGAGGGTTTTCAGCGGTAGTGGGGGAATTGCACAATAGCGAAGAGTAAGTAATCCAAAGGATCGGACGATGGAGGAGACACCGACATTTTATAAATTCTGGAAAATATACTAGTCTAAGCGTTAGTTTCGAGGATCGAGTAATGTGTCTGACGCTGACACGGGCTCAGCCTGTAAGATTCCAATGCCATAGTGTTGGGGACGAATTGTGTAAAGTCCGTCGGACGTTTTTTTTACGTGCTGCGGACCAATTTCTACTTTAGGTTACAAGTGCGCTCCCATCAAAATCCCTTCAAACTCAACAATATAATGCCGAGGCTCGCGTAGACTTTATGTTCTAGAACAATGAATTTTTAAAAGAATTCTTGCAGACTTGTTAATGAGAATGGAGCTCAGTCGTACGATCCATCTAATGATGTTGAGTGAACTTCTTTGCGTCCAGGTTCAGGTTTCGACATCAATCGACCAGGTCCACATCTTAGACATCCACAGACAGGTCTTGGCATTCGTCAACATTTAAGCATAAGGCGCTAAAACTAACAACTCATGACGAGTATCCGTAATCAGCTTTGGACTTAGCTATGTAGCATCTTACTCAGCCTGTGCTACTTCCTACAGCCTATTCGTCAAACCTAAAGTGTAATTGGTCGCTGAGCAGAGAGTTCCATGCAACAATTCGACTATCCAATGAGTGGTAAGCACTCATGAATGCCAACGGGATATAAGCTGACAGACTAGAAAGAACCTGAAAGGCCTGGTCTAAATTTTGACCAATTACACGAGCAAAAATAGAACCCGGTCGTCTTGTACTCAGCCTCACTGTTAGTTTAACATTATCTATTTAGCCTGAGTCAACCGCGACCGGGTGGGGAGAAGAGAGTATAATTGCAGACCACTAGCAAATCTATCAAAATCAAATATCAAACTGAGTAGTAATATTCTAAAAGGTAGCGTTAAGCTTCCATCCAACACGATGGACTCTAGCGCATACGATAAATGTGGTTCCGACAAAACAAAAGACGCCAGCAAACACCTTCACCCCGAGCCAATGAGTAGGTCTCTCGAGGATTGCGCCATTGATAGGGCTAGTGGTCAATCCACCGATAGACGAGATGAAGAACACAATGCCACTGCGGAATCCGATCTCCTGAATAGGTGAAATCTGCGCCACGAGTGGTGCAATGAGAGAAACGTAGGCGCCGGAGCTGAAGCCGAAAAGGGCGGCAAAGGCGATGATACCGTTCTGGGTGTTGCAAGGAATCCAAAGAGCCAGGATCCAAATCGTAGATAGGTAACACACGACGATAAAAATGTTATACTTTCCGATCCTATCGCCGAGGATTCCTGACGTAATTCGTCCGAAGAGACTGGCGGCGTTCAGGATGGGGATGAGATACTGGACGAGACCAGGGTCCAAGCCGGCCGATAGTGCTTGAACAGGTAGGTAATCGATAGGGATGAAAAGTCCATAAGTAAAGAAGAAGAAACCCAGGGCACAGAAGATGAATTCGGGTTCGCGAAACGGCTTGAGCATCTGAGCGCCGCTGACCTTCTGAGGGTTTGGTGGATGCAAAGACTTGACGGTGAGATTGGCGATGATGAGAAGAAAGAGGATCATAAAGGCGCAAATTCGCATGGACCAACCAAATCCGACCTCCTTGATGAGACGGGTGACCATGATGGGGAAGATGACACCACCCAGACTCGATCCAGTGGAGAGAATACCAAAGGCGGCTCCTCTGTTTTTGTCGAACCATCCGTGAATCGTGGATAAAGCTGGACTCGTTAGTTGAATTCAAGATAAAGGACCGAGGAAAATCTTACCTGGTTGGAAGATAGCAGAGACACCAATTGCAGAGCATACACCCTGAGACAGAAGAATCTGGTAGTACTCGGTGCTAATCGAAGCCATCATAAGACCGAAAACGTGCAGGAAAGTTCCAACAAGAATGAGATATCGAGGACCGTAGGTATCGTAGAGTTTTCCGATGATAGGGCCCGTACCCATGATGAAGAAGATCTGTAGCGAAGGGATCCAAGCAACAGTACTTGGTGAGGTTCCCTTTAAGAGGTCGTTCTGATAGTATTCTTGGAAAGCTCCCACACCTGAAACTGTTAGTCAAGCCTCCAAAATACACTCATAGTGACGAGGCCACATACTGTTGATCCAGCCGAAGGAGCAGAAACTGGTACACCATGCGCCAAGTACGACAAGCCAAGCTGTGAGACCACCATCTGGCGGTCCACCAGCCGCGGGCTTAGCTTCAAGCTGTGTGCTACCATCCTCCAAGTCTGACTTTTCGTTGTTAAAGGGCGCCTGATTCTGCAGGGTAGTTTCCGACAACCGAGGAGACGAGGGCATTATGTTAGTGTTTTGTGTTGCCATGATGAAGAGCTGTTGTCAAGAAGGTTGCTTGGAGGCTCAAAATAAACGACTAGGGCGTGGAGATGTGACGCCTATATAGTCGCCAAGTGCTCGGGAGATCTGAGCCTAAAAGGGGCCCATATCGAAGGCTACAGGGTTCCATCATGGTGGACTATTGCTCATGGAGTTAGCAATTTCGCTCCGCGACAGAGTAAGAGCCGAAGTAGAAGGCCGAACGATGGCATCTGATTGGCTCTGTCGGTCTCGGCGCGTGTATTTCTGCCGAATCCGAAGCTAGGATGGGAGATAAGATATGGTGCAACGAATTACGTCTTGTCCCCAACTCCACCATCTTGAATACACCGACGCTTCGGACATATCATCATCACAACTGGCTCGGCGCCAAAAGCATTCAAAAGACCGAGACATTATCCCATCTGATAACTCTTTCTCGGTCCGTCCATTTCTATTTGTAATCTCCATTTCGGCGATAGACTGCACCATGTCGTCTCGGCCCCGAACTCAACCCAACCGGCGTATTGAGCGGTCTTGCGCCGTTTGTCATCGTCGAAAGGTTCGCTGTAACAAGACTTTGCCCTGCTCGCACTGCATTCGTAGCGGCTTTGAGTGCACGTATCCTCCTGCTGGCCCGACTGTCAGACGGGCGAAGAAAACAACCATTAGTGATGTCGCAAGTCGCATTTCACATATGGAAAAGACCATTGAGGCGTTCAAAGCAGGCCAAGTCGCGGCTCCACAGCCATCGGAATCTGTTTCTTCACTCACTCCTACGAACACATCGATAGCTACACCTGCAACTACTTTCAATGGTGGTGAATTAAGAGAAAGCGTGCCAAGGTCGAACGCTACGGAACGAAATCGTGACGAAGGTCTTTTATTGAATAAGGGAAGATTCAGTCACTACGTCAATGAAGTTCTTCTCTCGCGAGTCATCCAACAGGTACGCATCTCACAGGCCACTCGTTGCATACCGTCTAACACAGCGTCTAGGAAGATGATGTACGGACAGCCCTCGCAACACCAAGGGATGAACCCCCCCGTGAAGCTAATTCCCCTGCCTCTCCTTTTAATCCAATGGGATTGCTATCCGCCAAATTATCATTTGCATCTCTTACCAGCTTCCATCCTCCTAGGAAAATCGCTATTCATCTCTGGAAAGTCTTTGTCGATGTTGTCGATCCATGCACCAAAGTCACTCATATTCCAACTTCTGAGACGATAGTCTACACTGTGGCCAGTGACCCTTCCAAAGCAACTGCTGAAAACCTAGGGTTATGTTTTGCTATTTTCTATGCGTCAATCACAGCTCTTACTCCAGAGGAAGTCTTTGGTGTCACGGGCGAGGACAAGAAAGAAGTCCTCCATCGCTATAGAGTCTGTTTAGAGCAGTCCTTGGCCCAGGCTGATTTCCTCGATAATCCCACCCTAACCCTTGTCCAAGCTCTAGCAATATGCTCAGTAAGACCAGCACGAAAATCAAATGACCAGCGCTAACATCCACACAGGCAGCAATGCGTGTTCACAACAGTGGCCGGGCCGTATGGATAATGAACGGCATTACCATTCGAGCAGCACAGTCGATAGGCCTGCACAGGGATGGCAGTAAGCTCGGTCTGCCTCCTTTCGAATCGGAAATCCGCCGTCGAGTGTGGTGGCATTTCCTCGAGCGAGACGCCAGAGGCGCCGAGGACTATGGGCTTCAAAATCCATCAAGCTCTTCTGTAATTGGCGTGGAACAACCCCGAAACCTTCATGACAGTGACCTTTTTCCAGGGATGAAAGAGCTTCCTCCTTCTAGACCAGATTGGACACGGATGACGCTACCTCTCTGCAACACCCAAGTATCACGGGCATGGGCACGGTTATCTCTGATGAGTTGTTCGGAAGATGGAATTCCAGGTGAAGATGTTCGAAAACAGGTTTTCGACGATGCCATGAGTAAGGTGGAGGCGATTCTGCAGCGCTGCAATCCCGTGATACCAGAGCAACGCATGACGATTCTCATATCCCAACTGGTTTTGCGTAAAGTAGAGGTCGTCTCCCGTCGACAATGGCAAACACTCCGTCAATCCGACAACCAACAGTCCTTAGCGACCGAGAGTGACGTCCTCGAGGCAGTGGAACTCCTCGAGCACGCCAACATGATGTGGCAAGACGACGACATGGTTCCGTTCCGATGGATAGCCCAAGCTTTCCCACAATACCACATGATGCTCTATATCCTGCGCCACCTTTGCGTGTCTCCTCGAGGACCAAGCGCAGCCAGGGCATTTGCAGCGGTAGAAGAGCATCTGGAGAATTTCAAATCCTGTGGCAGCGGACCGCTGAGCGGATTGAAGTGGACGGTGCTTACTACGTTGAGGAACCGGGCGGTTCTTCTGATGCAGAGAGTTGAGAGGGAGGGCGCAGGTGGACATGAGGGACAGGGTAATAATCTTCAGATGGGGATGGCGAGCAGTGGTGCTGGGGAGATGCGGGATAAGGGTGAGGGGGATTTTAATATGCCGGATTGGAATACGATATTGGAGGAGTTTCCGTTGGAGATGGAAGATTTTTCTTTGCTTTTCTGATATGGACCGCAACTTGCTCTACCATTTGTATTACATAGCCTTTTCTACTGTTGTCCTCCACTAAGAATCTAATATAAAGTCGTCCACAATCAGCGTTCTGTGGTCTCAGAATGTGCTTCTTCTCCTCTCAAGTCTAAAAGCTACCACTATGTTAGTTTTTATAACAGCAAGACCAAAGAGACACTTGCGAGTCACCCAATAAAGGCGATGTTGCAGCCAAAGGGAAATAAGACCTATAATCAACTGCAGGATGCCAAATATGACGGCAATAACAACTTCAGCGGATAGCGTTTCTTGGGCCATTGTGCAATATCGGCCGAGGGGATATGTGGTGGTCGTGTGTGTTGGCAAAGATGGAGAAGTACTGACAAAGGAATGGATTTGTAAGACTGTTGCTGTAATTGAGTGCAAGACTAACCAAGCGGTGAGTATGCTGTCTTTTTATCAATTTCCATTTAGTAGTTTTGCAGTACCAGTGTCGACATGCTCTCCCTACATGGCAAAGTTGTCTTCTTGTCTACTTGTCGCTACCAATAGGATCAAGGATATTTGCAGGCGAGAAATAGTAGTTTTGAACAAGGCTCCCATTGCAGCTGGCAACTCATGCATGACGGGCTGTCTCACTAGCTGCATAGCCCGGGTCAGCAGCATGACATTCCAGCCAACGAGGATTAATGTGGCGTGGCGCCTATGCCAACATGGAGTCCTGCCATGGAAAAAACAGTAGTTTTGTTTGCCTCTTTGCCTTATCTCTTTGACCGGCATAAGACTGCAATAAGGTCATAACAGGGGTTTAAAGCCAATTAAAATTAATATAACTTAAGATATATCTTTACATACCTAATTTAGTATATAATAGAAATACTAGTAACTTACTATATTATAAATAGCTATATTATATTCTTTATAGCTATATTAGGTCTATAACCGCCGCTAATTTCTTAATATTAACTATAAATAACCTCCTTTTTTATTTCTTTTTTTAAAGGGTTATAACTACCCTTACCTATAGCCTTTATAAACTAGGCAGGTAAAGTTTTTACCTCTATTAATATAATTAATATCTTTTTATAGGTAAATTTACTATACTTTAAGATCCTTACTGTCTTTTTCCTTTCCTATATAGTATCTTTTCTTTATATTGCTATTGGTATTATATTTATTAAAAATAGTATTATAAATAGCCTCTTTCTAGTCTTAAAGTGTATTATAGGGCTTTTAATAAGACTACTAGGTCTTTTTCTATAAAATAAAGCTATTTATAAGTATAATATTAAAGAGGAAAGACTAAAGTAATACTTATTAAAGGCCATACCGGAAATAATATTAATATAAAGTATAGGATCTTATTTAATTACTATAATTTATATAATTTATTTTATTATTATATTAAGTGGTAATAAAAAGAATAGGGATTATTTTAGCCTAATCTTTATTAAAGACCTCTTTTAGGCGTTATATCTCTGCCTTTATATCTCTTTTAGTAGGTAATTTCCTTTCTTTTAGTATGTAATTAAGAGGGGCTTTGCTATATATAGTTATAAAGAAAAGGACTATAAAGCTATCCTTCTAAGTAACTTAAAAGACCTAAAGGGAAGGAAAAGAGATAAATTAGTAAGGAAAATATAGATAAAGCTATCTATACCTATTTATTTATTATTAAGATTAAATATACCTTATTATATATTAAAGGCTGGCTATTAAGAAGCTTCCCGGTCTTTTTAATTTATTTTATTATAATAATAATACCGTAATTAAGGTATACTATATCTATAGCCCTGTAATTAAGCTACTAAAGGAGGTAAAAAAGTTACGGTAAGGAAAAAAGGTTATTTATAAAGACGTAATATATTACTATTATTAGCCTTTATAGTAGGTAAACCATAACGTTTTATGTATTATTAAGAGGGGTCTCGGTTTATAGCTTTCCTTTCTTACCGTATGGCTTTAATACCTCTAGCTTAATTATTATAGCTATAATTAGTAATACCTTTATATACTAAAGTTATTATAGAAAGTAGCCCTATTATATAATAACCTAGACTTTAAAGCCTATTAGTATAGGCTTTCCCTTAATAAGTATTATCTATTTTAATCTGCCTGTAAAAGGGATTATATACTTATTTATAATTAGATTAGTTCTTAAAAGATAGAGCTTAATAGATACCTTTTATATATAATTAGATTACTTTTTAGCTACTTAAAAGGTCTTTAAAAGATCTTTTTTATTACTTATATTAAGATTAGTATAATTAAAAGTATAAAAATACTATATAATTAGCTTAAACTTCCGTAATAGTATAAACTTTATAAATAGATAAAGGGGGCGTTAATCTCCTAGGCTAGGGGCCTTTTAATAGTCTTTAAGGGATATTTCTTTATAAATTCCTAGGTAAATAAGGATACTAAGCTATATATAAGCCGTTACGGTAGAGATACCTTCCTAAGCCTATAAGTATAAGTAGTTAGAAATAAGGGTATTCTAGCTATTAATAACGCTATTTTTAGTATAGAAAAAAGCCTAGTTATTAATATATCTAACCTATAACTATATAAAGGAAATAGATATAAAAAGCTAGAATAATTTAAGTAATTACTAAGGTAGAAGGTTAATCTAAAAATTATAATCTTTTATTTTAAAAGGTTAAAAATTATTATTACGGCCCTTTTTAGGCAGAAGGTTAGGTATATAAGTAAGGTTATTAATAGCTACCTAAAAAGGTAGGCTATTAAAGCTATAATTATTTATAAAATTATATATCTCTTAAGAGCTTATTATTTTAATTAAGACTTATTATAATTAATTTATATAAGGATTTTAATAATTTTAGTGGTATTAAAAGAAGAAGCTATTTAATAGGAACTTTACGTACCCCGTAGGTACCTATAAAAAAGCGGGGTATATAACATCTTGCAGTCTTGTGCCGGTTAAAGAGATAGGCCTAGGGTAAACAGTAGTTTTGTAACTGTGGCTTACAAGGGCTTCCTTAGATTGTTGGTTCGCCTACCCCCCTTCTCGAGCTGCCCAGGATAGTACTTTTGTGCCCAAGCGGTATGCGCTTCTCTCAACTTTTCGCAGCGATGAATGTTTATTTATATCTGTCCCGTCCACTACGTTTGATATCCCACAACACTGCCATTCTCATACCTTCTGCACTCACTTGCTTGGACCTTCAAATCCTCTTTTGGTTGACATTGCTGTGTGAGATCAAATCTCAAGATGAACTCGCAGGCCACCAACGTCTCAGGCTTCTTCGCTAGGCCCAATCCCATTGAGCAACAGCCTGAAGCTTACCATACCTTGCGGGTGGGCTCACAACAGTTCATGACAAGCCAAGATCATGCGTTTCATTCCCTTCATATACCCCAAGATTCTCTCATTCAAGCACCCCAGGACGCGGGGCCACTTATTGATTTCGATGGTTCTCTTGTGTCCTCCATGGGACCGCCGCCCAAACGTCGCAAGAAGAAGGCTCCAACTCTACGCGCCAAAGACTGGGAGCCTTACAAAGCTCGCATTCTTGATCTCCATGATACTCAGAGGCTATCGCTTGAGACAGTCAAGAATATGATGGAGATGGAATTTGGCTTTACCGCAGAGTATGTGAAAGAAAGATCTTTCTTCTCTTTCTGTGCAGTTATATTCGTGCTGTGAGTTGTATTAATCTCAATTCTGTTGTGCAGGATTCGTCAATATCGAACGCGTATAAGCCAATGGGGCAAGGATAAAAACATCAAGCCAGCGGAGATGGCTGCCATCGTCCGAAAACGACAACAAAGAAAGCTTGTTGAGAACTACAAAAGGGATCAGAGGTTCACAGTCAGAAAGAGAGTCGTCGAGCCACAAAAGATTGACCGATGGATGGGTAGACATGACATCTCTCAGACTACTTTATATGCTCCTAGTCCCGCGGCTTGTAAGTCCAATTTTTACAAATAATCCTCTTGTGAAGACTGACATTGAATACTGAAGCCACTCCATCCGCTGTGGGCTGTCGGACTATATCTGAAATCGGCTCCGCCGCTCCCAGCCCTATGTTCTCACCACAAGGTCTGGATGTTCCGCCTGGAGAAGCCATGACTATGGCTCCCAGTCCCGTGGCTCCCTCACCCACTCCCTCCTTGCGGACAGTAGCACAATCTCTCACTGGTGTCTTTTCTGGACAAAGCCCAGCCCCAATACATCAGCCTCTACCAACCAATATGCTGCTCCCCCATTACCCTACTCCGAATGCTTTCTTCCCAGCCCAGCTTGATTCTGTATCGGGAACGAGACGTCATCGTTACAGGCAAATTGACGAGGAGCGGCTGCGGGGAAAACTATCCGTAGCTGAGATTACGCATGGGGCTAGCGACCATCAAACCTTGGGTATATCGTGTGATTTGGCTGGTGTTCTTAGGGATCAGGGAAGATACAAATCTGCCGAGGAAGTGATTCGCAGAGGTTTAAATGACTTCTGGACCCCTTCTAGACATCAGTCTGTTCAATGGCTCGAAGCTATGGATCGTCTTGGGGAGGTTCTACATTTCCAAGGGCTTAATCCTCAGGCTCTTCAACTTCAGAAACGGACACTCCAGTCGAAGAAGGCTATATTGCCGGACGACCACCCATCTACACTAACTAGCATGCTCTGTTTATCGAAGACATACAGAACGCTAGAGCAACTGGAAGAAGCTGAAACTCTTGCGACACAAGCTGTCAAAATACTATCGAGTACGCAAAGCGAGGAGGGCCATCTAACAATAATCGCAACGCGTGAGCTGATGTGGATTCGCAATTGTCAAGAACGGTTCGATGAGGCGGAAAAGCTCGGACTCTGGGTTGTAGCGATGGGAATGAAAGTGTTTGGTGAGCAGCACCCCGGCACGCTTGTGAGTATGGGCAGGCTGGCAACGGTATATGCTGGTCAGGGGCGATGGAAAGAGGCTGAGGATCTAGGGTTAAAGGTCATGGATATGAGAAGCAGAGTCTTAGGGGAGGAACACCCAAATACACTGGAAACTATAAGCAACTTAGCATTGGTTTATCATAATCAAGGTAGGCTGGATGAGGCTGAACAGCTGGGAGTCCAAGTATTGGGAACGAGAAGAAGGATACTTGGGGAGAATCATCCTCATACATTACATGCCATAGATCATCTGGTATTGGTATATGAGGGTAAAGGGCAGTATGAGAAGGCGAAGGAGTTTAGGCAACTCAAACTAGAGGTACAATCAGTGTGAATAGAAAGTTGTTTTCCGTCTCTCACTTCCAATACAGTCCTGAGATTCATTACGATTGTTGTCAGAAGAGCCCAGGCGGTGTTGAAGTTGAATTAGACAACAAAATCCGAATTGGTCTCCTTGGTTTTATTGAGTGAATATCAAAGTTTAGCTGAGTCTTCGAATGTTTGGAGATAAATTGACATCGGGAACGTAAGTCGGCAATGTCGATATCAATTCAAATCACCCTCTAGTTACGCTCTCTCTTAACCACCTTCGGGGACTACAGGCAGCATGAAAGCATCAGCCGGAATAGCCAACACGAGCGTTTAATATAAAGAATAAGTATAAAAAACCTGTAACTTAGGTATGCCCAGTTTGCGGAAGTAATGACATGTTGTCGCCTTATTAGTGTCACCAACTAACAGGCCAAAACAGGAATGTTAGGAATAAGGCTGCTTCCTTGCATAAGCGCTTGGTCATTCTTGGAAGGGTCATTTTATGGTTGCCGCCCCCTCTCGGCAGAAAGAGACAGGCCCATTCCATGGCAACAGCCAATCCGGTCCATAACAACCCTCATATAAGTGGGTTCTGTTTTGGCCTGTAGCCTGTAACGTTAGGCCTGGTCTTGGCCTGGTCCGGGCCTTGATTATCGGAGCCTCCACCTTCTAGTCTACGTCTTCCAATCTCATACCATGAATGTTTAGCATCATCTTCATTTGTTCATTATCTCCAGTCGATTGTCTTGTTTTTGGAGTATTATCATCATCACTCTCTGTACGGGCCTTTCTTTCTCTATCTCATATTCAAGAACTGTACATTTGCTGTATATTCATCTTGTTTTCGAGTCTCGTGTCTTGCATTACATCGGTCGCCCACTCTCTTGACCTCTTGTTGTGTCGTGTGTTGCGCGTCCTGCTGTGACACTCTCCCGTCCTGCCACTCAACGTCTTGAACCGCCAAGCTTACGCCATCGTACGCATCCTGTCTCTGCTGACCGCCGTGCTGCTCTCGATCGTCTTGCCGCCGGATCTTGATCCCCTCATTTGAACGAACCGCTACATCAACAGGGGCCCAAGGCCTCGCCATTTCAATGTCGAATAAGAATGAGGCCTTGTCCTCTATGGATCCATTCTCGCCTGCACATCAACCTGACGAAGGTTACTCCGAGGACCCTTTGACTCCGACAGTTAACCAAGACCTCTCAACCGCCCTCGCTACTCTACGATCTCCCTCAGACCTAAGCACATGGCTTGTCGCAAACTCGTCTCTTTTGCCCCTCGAGGTCAGGACAGGTACGTAATGTTGGCTGGCTCTCTAACATCCACTCGCTGATGCATGGCAGAATTGACTATGGCTCTTCTTGATAACCTCCCCACTTCCGTTATCGCCGAGATCGTTCACCGTTTGAACCCGAGACTTTATATCGACTTCATCCAATATCTTCCTGCGGAAATCTGTCTTAAGATTCTAGGTTTCCTTGACCCTGTCTCCCTCGTGAGTGTCACACAAACATGCCGCGCCTGGTACGAGTTGGCTCTCGATAGGAAACTATGGGAGCACTTATACTACATGGAGGGGTGGAAGACTATCCTGAGCGAGGTTGAAGCCTGCGAGACTAAGGTTAACAACGGCCTCGACCGCTCAATCCGTCAACTCGACCGGCTTCAATCGATGCAAGACGCCCACCCAAACAAGATCCGCGCCGTTGTCAATGCCGACGAAGACCTCGAAATGACGGATCGTGACCGCACACCAGCCCCCGCCGACACTTTAGCCAGCGGAAGCATGTTCGGCAGCCCTTCATCCTCCTTCTCCTCGAGTAGACCGGCGATTGTACCCATGGGAGATATGGACCTTGATGGCCTAGGCGCCAGAACCGCGAGCTTGGATCGAACCCTTTCTTCGTCCTCCGACAGCAGAGGGAAACGCAAGGAGCCTAGTGGCGACCCTGAATCCTCAGTACCTCCGATGTCGCTAGCCGACGCAGCCAACACCTTGCCGCCATCATCTCTGTATCACTGGGATATTAGCCGATCACGATATCGTATGGACTGGCGATATCTGTACGCTATGCGACGCAAGTTGGAATCGAATTGGGAGTTAGGGAAATACAGTACTTTCCAGTTCCCCCATCCCAACTTCCCTGAGGAAGGACATCAGGAGTGTGTGTATGCATTACAGTTTGACAAAGACTATCTGGTGAGCGGTAGCAGGGATCAGACTATGCGTATATGGAATGTGCGCACCCGCCGACTGGTTCAACCTCCACTTACAGGACATGAGGGCTCCGTCCTGTGTCTTCAGTTTGATGCTGACCCAGAAGAAGATCTCCTTGTTTCTGGAAGTAGTGATTCCAATGTCTTCATTTGGAAGTTCTCAACTGGCAAATTGGTACAAAAGCTGACTAGAGCTCACCATGAATCTGTTCTTAACGTGCGATTCGACAAGCGAATTCTAGTCACATCCTCCAAGGATAAGACGATCAAAATCTTCAACAGACATCCCCTGAGACATGGGGATATAGGTTATGGTGGAAACGATATTGTTGGTGCAGTGCCCATAAACCTTCGAAAGTACGGATACGAACTCGACCTCGCCAAAGAGCTTCCTGTTAGGCCTGCCTTTTCAATGATCGGTCGCCTTGATGGACATAGCGCTGCTGTTAACGCGATCCAAGTTCGCGGTCAAACTATTGTTTCTGTATCTGGAGACAGACATATCAAAGTGTGGAAGTGGCCGGAGCAAGTTTGCACCCAGACAATCCCAGCACATGATAAAGGCATTGCTTGTGTCGAGTTCGATGGACGCAGAATTGTGAGTGGCAGCAGTGACTGGGAAGTGTGCATTTTTGATGCGCCTACAGGCCTCAAGGTCGCCCAGTTGAGGGGGCACGCTCACTTAGTCCGTACTGTTCAAGCTGGTTTTGGTGATCTGCCATACAGCACATCTGAAGATGAAGCTGAAGCGAAGGCGGTTGACGCCGAGTACTTCCGAGCTCTCGAGGCTGGTGAGATTGACCATAGCATGGATCGCAGAAGTCGTAGGGACCGTCGAGCGAATGCTGGCAGCTCACGGCCTCAGGACGTCCAAGCCTTTGGCGCCAAGGTTCCTCCGGGTGGCGGAGGAGGTAGAAAGTATGGCCGCATTGTATCCGGTTCCTATGATCAGAGCATCATTATCTGGCGACGCGACAAGGAAGGCGTTTGGAAGCCTGCGCATCATCTCAGACAGGAAGAGGCCGCAGCTGCTGCTCAACGTGAGGCTGCTGCCGCCTTGTCTAGCGCAACTTCGAACGTTGCGACGGCTGGGTCTGTGGCCAGTAGGTCTTCTCACGCATCAACCATCGTACCACGTTCTCCACCTACAAACGGCACACCTCTTGGTCCAATGATGCTACGCGATCATCATGGGGATACTCATCGAACAGCGAATTCATACCAGGTGCTGATCGATCAGACTGTACCGCTTGGCCCAGGCGCGTTACAGCATGTGCTCGCAACATATCCGATTGCGTTGGCACAGCACTCCTATCTGCAGTCCGCGATTGAACGCGAGACATCGCCTTTGGTTCGAGCTCAACTTAGAAGCGTGGTTACGGATGCTTTGGCTACTCTCCAACTCCGCCAGCTACCAATGCGACAACCGTCTAGTTCTGGCAGTTCCCATTACAACTCTAGCGACAGTGGCCGTACTAATCCAAGGTCCGGTACGTCAGTCCCACATGCTGCTGCTGGGGCCAACCCGCCTCACATGCCCGTGGTCCTCGGAGGACCGGTTACGCAACCTCCTGCCGTTATCAATACCAACGCTCAAGGCGCACCACCTGTACAGCCACCCACAGCGGTTCAACCACAGAACGCACCAGGGAACGGACATCATGCCGGTCATCACCCACACATCGCCACAGCAGAGAACACATCGGCGCGAGTTTTCAAGCTGCAATTTGATGCGCACAAGATTATCTGCTGTAGTCAAACCCCTACAATTGTGGGGTGGGATTTCTGTAATAAGGATCCAGCATTGGAAGAAGCTGTGAGATTCTTTGCAACAGTCGACTAAATCTGTTAGAGTCAGCACGGCATCTGCATTCAATGTGTGTTCTTTCGAGCGAGGGAGTTGGCGAATCACATGGGCGTGACGGGAGAATTTGTCTGAAATCGGGATTGGATACATCATCAAATAATTCATGAGCTGTGTCAGTCTACCTGCTGATGTGCAGCACGACGACGAAGAACACTGTATTCGATCATGATGGAAAACATTATTTAACGAGTAAAAATATGTGTATAGAACAATCATGTTTATAATTGGAAGAGTGAAATGATATGCTTGAGACCCTCCTGACCCTCCCTACCCAACGCCTTGTACGAGCAAAACAACACGAGACTTTCCCCAGTTTGACGTGATCCGACGCTTTCTCTATCAACCTGCGGCCTGCTTCACCTTGCCCTCAGTCTGAGGTGGCTCATCCACAAACTCTGGCACAACCTCATCCTGCAAGAAACCTGGCACCGCGCCACCCATCTCATGCTCCATCTCGACCTCCATCCCCAATGCCTCCAGCTCAGCATCCAGCTCGTCTTCCTCGACATCATCAGGGATATCGTAACTCCTCGCCAAGCTCTCCTGGATCTCGTTACCCACATCCATCAAATCGGCCATCTCATCCTGCAGCCTCTCAATCTTATCGATATCGATCTTTCCGTACTGCTTCTTCAGCTCCTTATTGGTCGTCTTCATGGCATCTACCTGCGTCATGACGTTCTTCAGGTTGTCCTGCATGTTGTTCGCCTGCTCCATGTTCCACACCTGGCTCTCGAGCTTGTCCTTCTCCGCCTCGTACGCCTTGCGCCGCTGGAGAACCTTGAGCGCCTTCTGCTTCATGGCCTGCTTGCCGGGGCCCTCGCGCATCCGGGACAGCTTCTCTTGGTATGCGCCCAGCTCGCTGTTGAGCGCCTTGAGTTTGGTGTCGACGGAGGAGATGCGGGTGTCGAGGTTGTTGATGGCTCCGCCGAGCGTGGGTTTGGGGCCCGTGGGCTTGGAGCCGAAGAGGCGGTTCATGGCTGTGTATCTGCAGGAGTGGTTTCGTAGACGGTGTATTTCTGTTTGTAGAGAGTTGAGGGGTGGTAGTAAAAAGCCGTCGGATGGGTATTGTTATAGGTGTCGGATCGGAAATGGTGGCCTGGAGGGATGACGTTTCACGCACGCGGCTCAAAGATGGAGATGGGTGGTGGGGCGGTCAAACCCCACCTGAAGATCTGAGTTTGAGATTTGGCTACCCTATACCTGAATTCAGGGTCTGATTGTGTGAGAGCGTTCGTTAGTCGTGTATTTGAGGCTTGATAGTTATCATAAATTGATAAAAGGCTGATTATATTTATCATTGGTACTTATTCTTTCTATCAGTCTCTTCAAGTATCTGTTTACGTGTTGTTGTGGCTTGTTGCTGTCATTGTCGCAATTTTTGGATGATCTTAGAAAGTAAACAAATATTTCCACGCCAAAGGACCCTGACCCAGTCTAGCACTGCCGCTTGTTCCCGCGTAGCCCAAGGGTTTTAATTATGAACACAAGCCTCAACGCAAAGCAACTCATATTTTACAAAATTCACTGGAAGCATTGAGACGATTTCCTCTCTGGAATGTTGAGACATCGATCAGCTCTGTTATCTTGGATGATTATGGTTTAGATCCCGTTCACCACCTTTCGGAGTGCGGCGTAATGGGTCAGGTTCAGTGTCATTCAGTTAAGATGATTGGCTTCTTGTGCTGTCAATGTTTTAACTCTCAGCCTCCTGATCTACAAACGCTCGTGCCGAAACCACCTTAATTGCAATCCGACGTCGCTCCGTATTGTCCTTGAGTTCAGATCGTGATCGAGTACCCGTACTCCGTAGCATAGACCCATGGCATTGAACACAATCGCTAGTGTTTATAATAAAATCAGCTTCATCTTATGAACCTGTCATCCCCCCTGTCGACGCTTGACACTCCTATTCCCTGAGTAGCGTAAGAAAGCAGTGCTCGGACACTTTGACCAGGTGAGGGGAGGAGATCAACCCCGATATTGAGCATCATTGAACCAACACCGGCAGATCAACACAACCCGTCCTGCTTCACCTATCATATTGTAATTCTCTCCCAAAGTCAGGCTGTCTGAATTATTTCCAAAATCACTGGCTGGCACTGCTTTGGCAGCCGTGGACCCCGAGAACAGTGAATGCACGTGACCCCACACGCACCCGTTGGTTCTCGACGCGTTCGGCTTCGGCGCCACGGTGCTAAAGTCCAAGCGCCCTCCATTCTCGCAGCCCACATCCACATCGAATCTATTTCGCAAAACAAAACAAACCTTCCTTTGCGCAACTCAGATCGACACCCTTTTCGACCACTTTTCGATCTAACTTTCGCAATCCCCAAACTTTACTCACTTCTTCAGCTTCACAAAGCTTCACTTTAACTTTCTCGCACCGTTATCGAACGTTACCCCGTAGCTCGGCGGTTTGTTTACTTTCATCTCTTCTGCGCTGCTACATCTTCGCGATGGCGGCAGCGGATGTCCCCAAATGGGGCTTTGGGCAAGAGCCCATGGAAATGTTCGTTGTCCTCCCTACTGATTTATTTTCATCCCGAGATGTTATGATCTCTTCAAGCATGCTAACATTTATTCCAACACAGTAAACCCGTTGCGAACTTCATTTCGTTCTTCTCAACTTGCGACACGACCCTCCCCACCGAAAACAAGATGTAGGCTTGCATCACCGTTGAAACCTAAACCACGAATACTAACGGCTCGATAGGTCTCTCGACTTCAGCTTTTCCACACCTTCGCTCACTCGACAGCCCGCCTGGGAACGTGTCTCGACACAGTCGCATCCTGCTACAGGAAAGAACCGACGGATCATGAAGCGCGTAGGACTTCCCACCGAACGACGAGTTGCTGCCAAGCACTCTCCTCTCCTCACGCCTCCCGCTGCTGTTGTTCCCCCTCCCACCCGCGAGGATATCGCTCTCGATCAGCTTGCACAGCGAAAGGTTCGCCGAGGAACCAACTTCGTGCCTGCTATTGGATTTACCGATTACTCGGGCAAGCCCAGCAGTCATGCCAAGTGCCTCAGCAGCATGATGCAAGCAAAGGGTCAGTTTTGTTTCCTCATATTTGCCAAACTGCTTACTGACATTTTCTGAACTTAGCCGATGTCGCTAATAACTTTATGATCACATCTTCCTGCACTACGTATCATGATAAGGTTGCCGCTTCGCGTGGCATCCTCCAGGTCACTCCTCGCAAGCGACGTGCCGACAGCGACGATGTCATCGATATTCCTGTTCACATGGATCGCGTCACTGGCAACAGGCTCACTAGCTACCAGTCTTTGATCCCCATCATCAAGAAAGCCATCCGCTCCGGCAAGCACGAGATCGACATCGCTACTGCTTCTGTGGCAGAGTTCGCGAGATTCATGCGTATAATGCGCCGAAACCCTCGAAAGTACCTCGCTGCACAGGGTGCTTCCGACCTCTCTGCTATCGAGGACATGTCCGAACCTGATAGCCCTACGGTTATCCGACAGCCTAACCTCAAGGCCGAGAGTCGATCCCCTCAGAAGCGAATTGCTCGTCTTATGACCAACCCATTCAAGAGCCGTACAAACCGTCTTGCCGAGGGCTTCGTCCAACTTGCTCCCGGACCTAGCCGCATGCTGGATTCTTCTCCTACCAAGACTGCTTCTGCACCATCTTCCCCGACGGCATCTTCTCCTCTGCCCCACTCTACCAGCCCTGTGCTGCCTACCATGACACGCGCTGGTATCAACTCGAGCCCTGTCTCTGAGTCTGCAGCCTCTGCTAAGGAGAATGCGTTCAATGGATCTGTCGCGTTTGATAGCTCACCCGCTCGCCCTGGTCGTGCTTTCCGAGTTCCTTCCGAGTTCGATTCGTCTTCCATCGCTGATAGCACCCATGGTCCCCCAGAGACTCCCACGAAGTCCTCGTCCCCCGTGAACTATTCGCGTCCTATTGCTCCCACTCCCTCTCAATGGAACCGAGCTGAGCCTTCGACTCCTTTCACTCCCAAGCCTCAGAGTGCTGCCCCTACCACACCCGGCATGACATCGAGCCCTATTGGCCTGTCAGCTCTGCTTCCTCCTTCTACCCCCAACGTGCCCCAGTGCACCTACAACACCCCCAGCGGTGTCGACTCTATTGACTTCGGCAAGGAATCTCCTTTCCGCAGCAACTCTATTTCTTGGATGAACAACTCTGTTCAAGACAACGAGCCCAAGCGCATTAAGAATGTGAACCATGCTCGCCGTCGCCAGAGCGAGCCTCTGCTCCGCAAGTATTTTGACACCCAGGCCCGCCGTCGCTCAGCCTCTCCCAAGAAGGTCCAGTACCAGGATGAGGATACCTTCCGCGATGAGGTCTCTATTGCTTCACTTTTTGATACACCATTTGCTACCCCTGCTAAGGCAGCTGTCTCCAAGTCTACACCGATCGAGACCACCATTGCTATTGAGGCCATCGTCACTGAGAACGCTACCACTGAGAACGCTACCACTGAGAACGCTACCACTGAGAACGCTACCACTGAGAACGCTATCAATGAAAACGCTACCACTGAGAACGCTACCACTGAGAACGCTATCAATGAAAACGCTATCAATGAAAACGCTACCACTGAAAACGCTATCACTGAGAACGCTGTTACCGAGACTGTTCCTGCTGAGGACACCGCCCTTACTGTCGACGCTGTTGAAGAATCTTCCAACGATGAAGATGTATCTTCCCCGATTGAGCCTGAGGCTATTGAGGAGGCCTCTGAGCTTTCCAACACTGAACCCGTTGATATCGCGATGGATGTCGATGCTGAAGAGACCGCTGTCCTCGAGACTGCTGCTCAGGCCACTACCTCTGATGCCACTTCTACCGAGGTCACTGCCGAGCAAACTCTTGTTGACAACGAGGTTTCCCTTATGACTGAGCCTGAGGCTACCCAAGAGGTCTCCGACCTTCCTGAACCCGAATCTACTGATGTCGCAATGGATCTCACCACAGCTGAGACTGCTATCGCTGATTTCGAAGCTGTCGAGACAACTTCCGCTGATCCCACTGAGACTTCCGCGATTGAAAATGGTGCACATGAAACATCCATTGATGATAACATCACGATGGAACTTGAGCCCGAGGCTACACCCGAGGTTACTGACCTCGCCGATTCCACCAACCCAGACTCTACTGTCCATGAGACGACTGCTGCTGAGTCTTCTGTCAATAGCGACTACATTATTATCGCTGTTGATTACTCTACTACTGAGAATGCAGCCCAACCTGATGTTGATAAGAATATGTCCGACGACCTCGAAGACATTTCCGAAGCCCCTACTGTTATCATTCGTACACCTACCGATACCGATATGAATGAAACCCTCCCCATCCCTACCGATGATGAAAACACCGAACTCACCACCGCCGAGCAAGGTGTTGTTGAAATTGACGTGCGAGAAAACCCCGATATTTTCGGAGCCCATGTCTCCTCCCCTCCTGCTCCAATTCGCAAATTGTCACGCATGGCCGACAATGCCTGCAGTGGTCACGCTAAGGTCGTGGTCAACGAACAGAATGGCAGACTTTTTGTCCGATTTAAGCTCTCGGCTGAGTATGCTCATTTGTTCCCTGCGAGCCAAGGTTTTGACGAGAGCCAACTTACTCTGACTCCATCCGCCATCTCCCACTCGCCTAGAATCTCATTTGATTCGAACCGTATCCATCGTCAGTCTGATATGTCCTCACCTGCGAAGGCCCAAGACACACCTACCGCCACTCGACTTCCTTCTCTTAGCGAGATGCTGAAGACCCCAGATATCAGCGCCTTTGGCCGCTCACCATCCTTTGCATCTGAGTTCCGCACACCTGAACTCCCAGCCCACGATAACACACTTATGTTTGGCAGTCCCGCGGGTGGTCTTACTCCTGCCTTTAAACCGTTTACACCCAACACTCGATCTATCGATTCTCTACTCCAGACACCTGATATGTCTGCTTTCGGCACTACTACCAAGACCCCCGGTGATGGCTTCCAGACTCCTGAGCTGCCTCCCTCTGACAACACTCTCATGTTTGGATCTACCAAACCGATGTCAACCAAGCGCGTAACTCGACGCCAGAGTGCCATGACGCCTCTGAAACAAGCACTCACAAATGCTACAGGAACTCACAGGCCTGCCACACCTAAAGAGCCGACCGCATTCAATTACAACACCCCCAAGTTTGCCACACCCATGAACGATGCTGCTGATCGCACTCTTGCTTTCTCATGGTCCGATACCAAGGACTCTCCCACACATGATAACGACCGAGCCACCCAGATCGCGACACCTACCAAGTTGACACACACTGAAGTGCAACCCGCTACTGAGGAACCTACTACCGAGGAACCCACTACCGCGACATCTACTACTGAGCAGCCCACTATTGACCAACCTACTATTGAGGCATCGACCATTACCGAGCAACTTCCTATCGAAAAGTCTACTACCGAGACATTGACTACCTCCGACGATCAGCCTATTGAGCTCAGCAACGCACCCGAGCAACCCATCCCTAACATCGAAGTCGCACCAGCCCAAGAGGCACCTGCCGCAGACGATAGTCACCAGGATCTTGACAGCCCAGGCCGCGAGTACATGCGTAACTTCATCAAACGCTCTCGACAAGCTGCGACTACTACTGACGCCGGATCACCCATTGCTCCCATTAACCAACGTCAGCCTCTAGGAGCTCGAAGCCCTAACAGGGGTAGCCCTATGAAGACGAAGCGTAAGCACGAGGAAGACCATGAGACCGACGTACAGTCTCCTCCCAAGAAGGTCAAGGTCGAAGAGGTCACAGAGACCGCCTCCAAGTCTGCACCCAAGAAGGGCAGACGAACAAAGAACAGCCGGCAAAAGTCCGAGCTAGAGATCGATATGACAGATCTCCCCGCCGCCACTCCCACCACCTCCTTCTCCACCACCGACAAGCAAGTTGACGAGCTTGATGCGGTGACTCCAGCGACGCGTCGATCCAGCCGACTGCGAGTCCAGGAGACCGCCAGTGGTGCCCCCAAGTCCTCCCTTCCAACACCAATCAAGCTCAACCGAGCTGGTGCTGGCCGCAACGGAGGGGCCAACCTGACAAAGAAGCCCCGAACCGAGGACCAGGAGTTGGATCGCAAGACGCGATCCAACACCAAGAAGAACATGGGTGACGCCGAGTTCCCCTCCGAGGTCCTCGTTAGACTCGCGGGCCAGGTTGAGGAGGACTCTGATGTGAGCCAGGAGTCGGAGGGTTCGGCCGGCGGGCGACGCGTGGGTTGGAAGACCCCCCTGGAGAAGGTCCAGGGTGAAACACCAAAGAAGGGACGGGCCGCGCCCAAGGGCAAGGGCAAGGCCACCCAAGGAGAGACGGGCATCTCGAAGCCCAAGTCGACCAGCAAGTCGACACCGAAGACGGCGCGGGCCACCAAGGTGGCGGAGGGTTTGGGCATGGTTGCCAATGGCACGCCCGCCAAGCCCCAGCGCGTGACGCGATCTCGCGCACGCTCTGGGGTTTGAGCCCTCAACAGTCTCCCGACACATGGAGACACCACCTTGGTGGTTTGCTTTTGTTGTTGTTTTTTGTTGTTTTTTCGCCTGCGACAGGGCAGGCAGGACGGGACGAGAAGGCACCAGAGGGTGCGTAAAGACAAGTTGCTTTTCTTTTTGGCGGCGTTGGGAGGGCGGTCCCAACGCCTTTATGCGAAATAACGAATGTATGAGTTGCATTGCGAGGCGTTGGTGGTTACGCACGATACCACATTTTGGAAGCTTTCTATTGCGATTTGGGCCCTGTTTTCGGTGGACGACGCAGGCCGGTGTATGGTTTGGAAAGTCCTCGGGATGAGGCACGGAAAGCATAGGGGCCTTCGGGCGTGTGAGAATAAGACCTTTTTGTACACTTGACGCTTGCCACCTGTGATGTTTTGACTTGTGACTTTGTGTTGGATGTGACATTTGCCCTTGACTACATTGCCTTTTGCCTCAGTCAGTTCAACAATCCTTTCCCATCTTGTTATTCGCACCTATGAACAAAGTAGACTCCTGCATTGCATATCAGTCTGATTGTCTGGCTCAGTGGTCTACGCCTACGCTCAAGGTCATCGTGTCTATTAACCGAGCTCTTCTAGATATTACGGGAGCACCCATGCCTTACTGGCATTGGTATCATCAATAATACGGACAGCATGTCTCAACGATTTAAGGACCTACCAACTTTAAGACAAACACTCAGCAGGGGATACGGTTCAAGGGATCATGTTAGTGGTTGTTGTAGGAATGGCAACTTCTCTCTCAAATGTCAGGGAAGACCCAAGGAGCGATCATGGTTACTAGACAAGTTTTCCCAAGCTGTCAATTCGAAGAAGTGGTGAATTATATCTCTAGAGTGCCTAGCTGACATGAAAACACCAAGGCATTCGTATCGCGGATGGCGAATCTTGGTATCTCCCATGTTCTTCTTTGTGTTGGATCGTCGTATGCTTCAATCTTGCCTCTTAGCCCATATAAGAGCGCAGCGTCTACGATGTTTGCTTTGAAGAAAGGCAGCTCGTGGCTGTTGAATTAGAGGGGACATTTCTCAGCAAAGAATTCAAAGTAAAATAAAATGCATATACCAACCATACGATAGTCGAACCACTTCATCAACCAAGAGCATCATTATCCTGTAGGTTGTCAAATGCAGACATGCACTCGCAAGGTATTTTGTCTCACCCCCACACGTCACCTCTACATGCTGCATCTCATACCTACTACCTCAGCTCACTATCCATTGTTAAACACTCACCCAGCACACTTTACACCTCACAGCATGCAAACACAGCAGCATGGAAGGAAACATCTAAATTAAGACAACTGCCCCGATCAATGCATCCTCCCGTCCATCTCACACAAGAGAAAACAAACAACAAAAATCCCCTCCTCTTGTATCAGTATCAGCGGCAACCCGCATTTTGTTTCTTTTCTTTTTAGTCGTGAAACACCAGATCTGCTGTCAAAACCACGGCTCATCCTTCCCAACTTCCGTGCTTAATGAAACGAAACGAAACAATTGTACCACCCACCCTAATGCTATTAGCCCATGGCGTTAGACGCGTAACTATCCGTGAGGTGATAGGTAAAGTAAAGCCCATGCGTATCCTTGCTTACTTCCCCGCGCTTTTTCCTTCGTACACTATCAATATTTGATACGGTGGTTGCGGGCGGGTGAAGTGTCGTCATCGCTTTTGGCTGCAAGATCCAATAGAGGCTCTTGAATGGACGTGTTTGCTCGTGTTGTCTTGGTGAAAGGAGGGGGAGGGGGGGGGCGCCCATTGTCGCTTGTGGAGGGTCGTGTCGTGCCGCGCTTGGAGTGTCACGACAGGATCAAAGTTGAGTCTAGTTTGTTCAGTCGATGGAGGATAAGGATTGACTGGTTATCGTGACTCTTCGCTTGGACGACCCGTGTCTGGGCGACAACTTGAAGGCTTCACGGCATGGCTGTCAGTCACAACGTACGGCTTAAGACACAGCACGAGTAGGAGAGAGCATAAGTTATTTTAGTAATTTTTATTTTTATTTTATTTTGATTATTGCATCAGCCTCCTCGACACCTTGGTTGCTTTGTCAACAACTCAAAGCCGGAGAGCTGTCCAAGTCGACAGCCATTAATATCGTCCCCTCACCCTCCACCTTTCCTTTCCAATGCCAATGATACACATGATTGTACACTCGTCCCCTGTGACATGTTCCCCGACTCCAGAATCTGCCCATTATCTGCGTTTGCAATGTCCGGGGATAAATGTTTGTGTTCTGTTTGTGCATGCAGACCTGCGTGGTGCAATGTCGTGCACATTCATCCACGGCGGGGAAACAATGTACTGTAAAAGCAATCCCGAACGCCTGAGCTAGAGCTGCGTCCCCTTTGCAATGCTCTGCTCGTCCGTCTTGTCTGTACCCCAAGCTCCATCTAAACTTTTTCATCTTTCGCTTTTCGATACCCAGGTCTTCCTTTGGTAAACGCCCCGCACTTCCCTTTATGTACAAATCTAAACAATAAACAATATGTGCAAGCCTCTATCTCAACCGAGAAGACTCAAAATATGTTGTGCCGTCGCGGCTATATCGGGGAGATCCCCCCCAAGTAAAAAGGAATGACATGAGTCGGGGTATCTCTGTAAAAGAAGCAAAAAAAGAACATTAAAGAAGTAAAAACGCCAAGCAACCCCATGATAGCTGGCTGTGTCATCCAACGACTTGTAGCTTTTGTCTAGTCGTCATTGCGTTGAAGGTCATTAAGTTGATCGTTGATCTGTCGTCCACTTTGTTGTAGAGGGAGGGGCCATTACTTTCGCAGGCCAACTTTGCCTGCAAGGCTCTTCCAGAACCGTGCCCCTCTTCGCTCTTCGCTGTGCGTCCGTAGCATAACCTCGTCCCGTTGCATAGGTCCTACAATGTCCTCGTCGCCTCGGGCGGGGAACTTGCCGTCAGCATCCACGAGCCGGGGAATTGCGCTGGGTAGACCATCCTCTAGTCGCTTCCATTGCATTCCGGCGAAGACATCGTCCATAGGAGGTGGGCGACCAAGGATAGAACCGCCGCTGTTCGCTCGTGCTCGTCCGCGGCCACGGCTTCGGCTTCGTGAGGTGCTTGTTGAACCAGGTGCAGAGCTGGTAGCTTCTGCAATCTGTGCCATGAGGGCATCGTGGGTTGCCCTCCATCGCTTCTCGATGTGGGTCCATTTGGCCTCGGTAAGAGCATAGATCTTGCTCGTCTCGCCGTAGTTCTCGCCCGTGCGCACCAGGTGCTTGGTATAGTTGCATCGTGCTGCGTCCCAATCGTTACGCAACTGCTGGAGCGCGTCCATGTTCGCAGCCTCGGGCTGGTAAGGCTGAGGGAAAATTGTGAAGTTGGCGTGGCCGAGGCGATCCGACCATTCATCGTGTTCTTGCAGCATCGGAGGGAAAGGAAGTGGAACCTCAGGGCTGTTGGCACCAAAGCGAAAAGACGATATCGAAGGCTTGGTGCTGAGCGATGGTCGAGGGAACTGTGTTGTAGAAAGAATCGGCGACGGAACTTCGGTGGTTGAAGAAGGCGGCGCGATAGTTGGTGACTGCAGAGGTGACTCTGGTGGTGGTCCACTCAATGGGCTGGTCATTAGAGGAGGAAGTAGGGGGGTGGTGGCCATGCCTCGCTCTCGCTCGAGGTCCGATTGCTCGATAAGCGCTTGTGCCTTTTCAATGTCGATAGGCGCAGGTAGGTTGATACTCTCGGTGCTTCCATAGTAGGATACTGCAGGAGTGGGTAGGCCAGTGTTATCCGACATGCGATCTAGACCAGATCGGGTGGGTGCAGACATGGATGATGATCGACTTGAAGGACCTCCAGATAGTACAACGCTTTCCAAGCTGAGTTCAGTGCTGGGTGATAGCATGGGGTTGCCCCTGCGACCACTTGATTTCCAAAGAGGCATGTTGGGGAAACGAGCGCCGATGCGCGACGTAAGACCGGCGAAAGGTGACTCGCTACCAGACCTCTTCTTACGGGATCGCTCGTCCACGGGCATGTCGCCGTCACTCAAGAAGCCCATGTCGTAGTCGATATCGTAATCGCGGACGATGTTGTCATGGAACATGATATCTTCGGAACTATTTCGGAGATCACAAGAGTTGTCGCCTATACAGGAAGAGGTTGGGTCAGTAACTCCACGATCACGGATTTGGCAGGCCAAGCACGGTTCCTCCAAAGATATGACGACTTGGCCAGGCGGGCAAAACATACACAAACAGTCATAGAGACTAAACTGGTCCGAAGGAGCAAGGCTTTTACGGTCGCTGTTATCGTTGTCTAGTTCCAAAGGCTCCTCTTGAACATCGGGCAATGATCGCATTGGCGGCTTTGTGTGAACCGATTGTGTAGGCGACACAGGGTTTTCGTTCAATTGCGGTGGCAGATCGAGAGAAGAAGTTGAGCTGGACATTCTGAAGTGACCCTTTCCAGGGGAGAAAGTCGGGGTGATAGGCGAAGCAACATCGGATGAGGAGGAATTTGTTGTGTAGTAGACGTATGAGAGGTCGGTTTCGGGGCTAACTTGTTGTACTTCCCACTTACGGCGCTCCTCCACCAACTGCGGGAGAAGCAGCGGCTTGAGCTGAGGCGACATGATGTCGGCCGGTACGGTCGAGGCCGTGATGATTGAGAGAATCGGAAAAGCGAACGACTACCTTCAGGCTGTTGTGTTTTGTTTTGGTGTTGTGAAGAAAAACAGAGGAAGAGGAAAACAAGAAGTTGGAGGGATGGCTCGGGAGGTGGATGTTGATAGAGGCAGTAGTGCCAGTGACACAGACAGCAGCCCCGTTGGGTTAGCTCGGGTACTTGTGTACTTGGATACTTTGGGCTGTCGGGCCAGGTGGCGACGGATCCGGGGACCGGGGGTGCTCTTTCCACTGCGACCGGGGTGGGAGGATGGGAAGGATGGCAGGCCAGGAAGCGGAAAGTCGTTCTGGTGGGTGGGCAGGGGTGGGCAGGAGCGGGTCTTGTTCTAAGACTGGGTTGCAACTTTTTTGTCTGAGCGAGCGGGAAGAAAAAATTGGTGGGGTATGTTGGGTAGGAGTCGACGAGGTGACCGTTCCCGATGGTGGATTTTTTTCTTCCTGGTCTAAGTGGGCTGTGTGCCCGGTAGAGAGAGAGAAGAGACTAGGGCGAAAGAGTGCTGGTGCGGTGCTGGACTGTGACTCTGACTCTTGTTTTTTGTTGATGTTTGGTAGTCGATTCAAGAAAAACAAAGGCTGGTTGCTGGTTGCTTTTTTGACTTTGGCCCGCCGTTGAACGGTGCTGGTTGGTTGTCCTCGCGAGATGGGTGTGACTCGTAACAAGCGACAGAGATATTGATGGTAAATCAAAGTCTCAATGACGACAATGATGCTTTGTCTGATCAGCCAAGGTTGGGGTTTGATCTAATAGAAACTGTTCAAGATGGAAGTAAAGTTTCCAAGACAAACGTGGGAGGAGAGTAATTATTATGCATGGGATGATGGACTGCTGAGTCTTTGGACTTCTGAGTCGGTGTCTCTACGTCTGGGCGGCGGCTGGGCAGGGCTGCGACCAGTGCTGAGTGCGCGGAAGCACAGTCAAATCGCTAGTATATGGATGTAACTGAGAGAACAAGCGCTCAACCGTCCACGTGTTATTGAACCGAGGATTGGGCGCAACTACATGAGGAGTGCTGGCGGTCGCTTCTTTCTCAACCGCGGCTGTAGGTGTGATGTGATAAGGTGTTATCGTGGAGTTGTACTTTATGTATGTGTCTGGTGATGGGTGACGCTGTGTGGTGGATTGGCAAGTGACCGGTGAGGTGGCTTTTGATTTGACCTTGGTAAAGGTCTCTGCGTTGTGTTTGCTGCCGTTTCCTCCTCTATTGATGTTGCGGTTCAAGAACAATACAATAGAAGTATCTCTTTATTAGTTGGCGTTACCGTATTAACATGTATGTAAGTGTTCTTACAATAAGATCATAAGATATTAGTCAAGGTTTCACAGTTCTTATCATTCTCTCTATAGTCCATCCAGTCTATCTACTGTTCTAAGGAAATATACTCTTCATCTGGTATGGTTACAGAATCCCGTGTTCCCATCCCTTGACTGCACCACTCTGCGGATTTTGGCAGGCGGTGATGAATAATTACGGAGTACCGACGTTGGGTTCTCGATATTCATGCAGTGCACAAGAACATTAGAAGTTGCGTTATGCCTGATTCTCCTGCAGGGATAAAGGTTGGCTGACGTTCGAGTTCTGGGGCACAAAAGCGGGGGAAGCGCCGTGTCCTGGAACAACTCGCTGCTGGTTAATTGTTCTTGCAACACCTTGGCTGACAAGGGTTCGACTGTGACGTGGGAAATAAGGTGATGAGGGGAATGATTCAGATGAATTCATAGGTTCGTCGACTGGCAGTTGTTGAGAAACCTGCTTGTTCTGCTGTGAGACTGTACAGCAACTTACAGTGGCCGCTTACAGCGCGCACAGGATCTTTTACAGAGCCTGCTCCAAGGCTCAGGCAAGTGGGGCCGTGCTTCCGCCTGCTCCATTGTTCTCTCTGGGCTTTACAGCAGGGGGAGGAGGTTGGCTTTGGATCATAACTCTGGAAACGCACAGCTCAATGAAACCCCGGAAAGCCCTGTCCTGGCGAGGCTGGCTTCCTACAAGTGAGGCAGTCTGGCGAGAAACATGGTGCGCAAGGGGAACAGCCCGTGCATTTGTTCGTGGCTCAGATGTGTTAGTGTTAGTGTCGAGGCTACGTATCTCCATTTGGGTGATCGACACGCAGCAACCGGACTATTGATGGCGAGGTTTGAAACAATAGCATTATGAACGGACGGAACGGGCATATTGAAACAACTGCACAGCTCGGCTGCACATAACTCTGAGTCAAAGAGAAACCAGACGCAATAACAAAACCCACGAACGATAGGTGGAGGGAACCGTAAGGACCCTGAAAGAGACAACAAACCTGAGGTCCATGACCAAGAGACTCAGTTGCTAGCAGGAGCAGGGGTATACGCTGTATCGACGAGAGCGAATGAACTCGCAATTGGTCATCAACGTTGATTCAAAGTCAATTCTCTTAGTCGTGTCGTCTGCCATAACTGTTCTATGCAAGCTCGGTTGTTTTGTCGTCTTTTTATGCATTCACTAAATTCCATTTATGCTTCTGTGGCTCAACGTTGAAACCGTTTTGTGTAGCTCCCGAAATGGTAAGAGCTGGCTGACACTCATTCCTTGCGCCGCTCCAGCCATTTTTCACATGATTGACAGAGCTCTCCTGCCATTGGATGCAAAGATCGTCGCCTTCTGAAGTTTTCCGCTTTCTTTTTTCCCGACCATTTCCAGCTATTGACCTCATCACTATTGCCGATCACCTTTTACCACTGCCGTTTCTAGATTCCTCACTCCTGATTCCCACCATCTCCCAGTCTCCTCCATCTCTTCCCATCTCCTCTTTCAATCTTCTTGACGTCCCCCGCTCTAGGCTCGACCCAGCTCTCTTCAAAAAGTTACATCCCCTGTCAGGCAGGGCTCTTACAGGCAGACCAGCATCAACCAGCCGGTGACAAGGGTAGCAGAGGGCTCGAGAGGAGTCACCAGGGGGTACGTAGCCTTGTACCCAAGCATCGTATCTGGCACCGCCTTGTTGGGTCGGCCTCGATTTTTGTCGTTACCCTTTCCAGCCCATCCTTGTCCCCGGATTATCATGGGATCAGTGAGTTCGAGGGCCAACTTTGCGTTGCGGTAGTCGCCGCTATCTTCTTCTTCGCTTGTGAACGTGATCTCTGACTCCGGACTCTCTTCAGACGCTTGTGCCATTGTGGGAATACCGCGCGTGCTTTGGAAACGGAAATCTAAGCCGAGCTTCGAGAGTCCGCCCGCCATTGCGCCACCAATCAATCAATCAGAAGGATTGCGAAACCGTTAACCAAAGCCGCTGACGGCACAACCCTATTCGCGAAAAAGCAATCTCTTTTTTTCTGTCATGACAATGGCTGGCTGGATATCTTGCTGAGTATCCTGGATATGCAATATTACGTCGTTATTCAGAGCTTCACTGGATGAAGCAGCTGCGTCGATCACTTCCTCAGTGAGATTGAGACTGAGCGCTGGGTTTGTTCCCACGGCCACGAGACAACTGGGCCTTCCCGTTTCCCCGTCTTACCGACCCCGTCTATTGTCTTCTCCAGCCAGTCGTCGAATTTACCTTAGACTGACCGTTTGTCTCTTCGGCGTTCATCTGAGTCGAGAGTTGACCGCCCATAGTCGACTAAAATGCGGTCCACTGTCAAAGTCGCGACGGCTGGTTCCGATGCACAAGGCCTTCTCTCCTTTTTCTATAGCCAACGAAGAGTCATTTGCAATTGACTTATCAAGTCCATTGAATCGCTCCGCGCCGCTCTAAAAGACCGCGTTCTCGCCTAATGGATGCCCTTATCCTTTCAAGACCCTTGAACAGAGTTGAGGTGGAGTGACACATCGAGCAAATGCATCGAGATACACTCGTTTCCCGCAAACAGTGCTACCCTGCATCTGAAAAATCCAGCATCCCGTACCATATCTGCTTTGTCATGTGTCGTCTTCGATTCTTGAATCTTGCATCCTGTCACCTCCCAAACTCATGGTCAACAACGGGGCACGCCTACCCTTCGCGGCATAGTGGCCGCAGTCCAAGCTTCCCAGCGGAAGGGAAGCGACGCCGATGGTGCGCCGGGAGCCCATGGAAGAACATGGAAGGAAGGGTCTTTAGCCTTGCTGGTGGGCCTTCGTGGCTGCAAAGCTTGACAACAAGAGGTTGCTGGGACGCCAAAACGAGCTGGCGTCCAGCGCTCCGGGAACAAAGCCATTGGTGAAAAGCTTATACCTCCACTGCTCATTTTACTGCCCCAGTCTGTCTGTGTCGATCTGCCAAAGACCTAACCAGTCGTCTTTCATCGAACAAGCATCACGATCTCATATGACCAAATGGAGAATTGATAGGCCTGATAGGCAAACAATTCCTTGAGAGCATCGGAGAATTAGCAACTTTGTTTATACTAAAGCAATTCTGGTAATTGTGTCGTTGTTGCCTCGAAGCATCATCGCTTCGGATGAACAGACCGACCCTAATTTCTTTACCGAACAGCACAGAAAACGCGACTAGTGGTATGTACTGCCAGTAGTTGTCTGCTGTCGGACCTTCTAGCCATCCTCCAACAGCCACGACAACCCTAGGCCCCGAGATTGAAAGCCCTGCTGCATTAGCTGCATTGCGGTACCTGGGGCCGATGCTGGTGAAAAGTCTGGAGGCTGACCGTTATGCTCGCGGAAGCTTTCAACGGTTCCGCCCCTGCGCCGGCGGACCTTGTCGTTGGAAACTCTTGTTCACGAGCATGGGTGGTGAGAAGACATGGGTCTCAAGGTTTCCTGAAGGGGCTCACTAACACACATCGACTTCTTAGCTGGTGATGGCGATAGACCTGCCAATTTTGATCAATTGCGTGATGGCGAATGTACAATCGAGCACCAAGGCTCTAGCTTGTTGCTTCGGCTGGGTGCGCGAATTGCCGTTGTGAGGCAGTAACCCAAGTGGCGTAACTATCACGTCCTGTTGGACTTGGGAAAGAGCGCGCGCAAGTAGCATTTTGAGTTTACACTTTGCAGTCCGTTGAGCTTGTCAGACACGCGTGCCATGTGGCAAGCGAAGCACCAGGTTTGAAGAAACGGTCACCCATCCGGTGTCGGAGTTTCATACTCATCGCTCCTTTGAAGCAGTTTCTCTCGATAATTAGTGATTTTGGTTGGACGAGTCGATATACGATGATCCTTCAAAGTCTCCTTGCTATGCTGCCTTTCCGCCAATAACAAGCTATATCTTCATGGCCAACACCCAGCGTTATGGTTGGCAACTATATTGCTACACCCCAGATGTCGCCTACAGCTTCAATGCGATCTCTTTGTGCCGCACAAACTCAATTCTTTCGCGATTATCTAGCCCTCCCCCCATCAGCCATCAACTTGCACTAGGGCTACAACTATCGTCTCCGAGGCACAATTGTACCGATATTGCTTCTGATCTCAGGTCAAAAGTCTTTGTCAACTACTCCGTAGGGCTTTGTTGATTGGCTGACCGCGCCCGTTCAGGCCCCTTGCAGAACCTTCTGCTTGGACCCACCAACATCTTGAATGCCTTGGTCGCAAGGCAGAAGTATCTACACTTTGCGCCGATCATCACCAACAAGGAAACAAGCTCAACTAGTGAGTGGGTGAAGCAATGGAGAGCTTCAATAAGAGTCCACCGGGCTTCGTCATTGTTATCATCATTGTCATCATCAATTGGCAGTCTGGCTACCACGTTCGAAGTCCTCCGCCGGGTGGTAACGAAAACGATCAATTAAGCCGTCCAATGCCAACTGAATGGTGTTGGGCCACCCAACATGTTTGGGCGCTACATATGCATGCTCTATATGCCAACGGTCAAAACGCCGCGATTGTGACGAGAGATTGATCAAGAAAAGATGCAGTGCACGGGCTCAAGACCGAGTTCCACAAATTGAAATGCCCCTTCATCAAGCCACTGCCACTTTATGGTGTATTCGTCGAGAAGAGAGTTCAGCCATCGTGATAACTTTATGCCAGAATCAGTTCCGGGAATGACACACGGGCCGCAATACTGTTATTTTTCAGGCACCACTGACGGCAGCGGCAACGGCAATGGCTTGCATTCCTTAAACTGCCAACGGTTGGACTTCATAAAATGTTCATACGAGCGCATGGGGATAGAAGGATGAATCGAAATCGAAAACTTACATGTGAACGCAAGCCCATCAGCGCACTGTATGATACTCAACAACATGTTCTTTAGTACTTAGAACTTTGTTGAAAGTCTATGCACGCAATAGTCTTGATGCAACCAAAACTTTAAGCCCAAGCCGCTAAGAACCCACCTTGACATCTGTTCCTGGTGGCGATGTTAGGGCTACTAGCAACTCAATTGGGCAATTCCTGTGTCTTCAGTGTGGTTGCATCGTGGTCAACTTTGCAACCTGCGATGTTACCCAAAGGCACAATTAGATATTGGGCCTGATATTCGCATAGTAATCTGCCACTCAGAGGCGAGGTGCAGGCCTAAACTGCTGGGAACTGTGCATGAGCCTCATGAATTGTTGGTGAACCTCGACGTTGATACCAACTCAAATTAACTACAGCCAATCGCGATTCAACGACTGATTATCTCTTCACATGGAGTCGACATCGCCAAGTCCATTCGGCTCGTCAGATTCACGTCACGTTATGTGTCGGGATACTATGTCTGCTCCCCGAGAGCTTGACGGTTACATTTTAGAACTGATATGTCTAGATGCCATGTGTTTTTAGATGGTAATACTGGGCCGGGACTTAGGGCATCCGTCTGCAAGAAAGACAATTCAGACACGCTCTCGGGCAAAATATGGAACAGGTCTGAATGAGTTTTACTACGATTGGATCAAATGGAAGAAGAGACTGGGCCCCTTCAGGAACGACCTCCGAATGAGACAGGAACTGGAGGAAGAAAGGCGTGGCGCTGACGACATTTGAGGAGCATTGGGGAGAGATTCCCACATGCATCTCCACCATGGCTGACGAAATCAGAATTTTCAGTCTTGGTTTCCTGCCCGCCATCGCAGAAGACTCTTACAATAGACTGCCCCGCCGCGTCTTATGCCTCTTGGTCGCTATCCAAGAGCGGCTCCGACTGTCTCCGTGATGCTGCTGCAAGAGATAGGTGGTGGTAGCCTGCGATGCACCATGGGGAGTAAGCAGAGAAGTGAATCGGACGATATGCGACCTGTGGGTGTCATCTCTGAAAGTGGCTGCAGAACGACTCTTCCAAAACGCTTATTACTTTTTATGATGCTTCGCTCGATGGTGGCAAGTCCACCATGGGAACAAAAGGCCCAATTGAACCTAGCCGTCCGCAGGGAGAAGTCTGTCTGTCACGGATTGATAATGTCTCAACATCCATGTGAAATGTAGCGAAAACTTTTCAACGGTGGCCCATTGACTTTCTTCTTTTAAGCCTCTTCAACAAGTGCATGAGAATAATGCCTCTCAAATGCCCTGGCTATGCCCAAATAGGGAGACCAGAGAGAGCGCGGCCAGCGGACATGGGGTCCGAAGGATTTGGTGTGTCGCGTTCCTGACGATCTGACAAGGGTCGTGGTGGTCGCAGTGTGCCTCATTAAAAGCTGTGGCTTATTTGAACTGGGACAAGGCATTTGCGATGCAACGAAATGGGCTCAACACGACGCGACCTGATGCGACTTGATGCGTGCTGATGCGATGCACATGTCATGTTGGTCTCTGCTTGACAAGTTTCTGCTCGTTAAGCAGGAAAATGTCTCCTCGGGACGCTCGGTAATCCGGCCTCAATGCATGAGGTTGCCATTGACCTCAGTTTCCTCAGTCTCATCCTCAATCGGTGGTCGATGCACGCTAGGTCTTTGGCCTATTGAGTAATACTTTTGGCCTTTCTATTGGCCATTAGATGCAATTGAGTGGTTGTATTCCTTTCGCTGCCGGCAACATCAACGCTGAGGGCATGTACATCCAACACCTGTACGCTTTGCGCCAGCTCCTGCACTGCACCCTCGGTAGGGCTCTTGTACTGGTCTGAGTGGCTATCTGTCGTCCGAACTGCTGCTGGCATGTTTATTCATTTGAATGAAACAATTCACCTCGGCATGGCATGTGGTCCGACAGATCCTACTTGGGCGAATTCATGATAGGACATGGAGATCTGCATGTCAGCCTGTGTACCTAGAAATGTACTGGAGCCGCGGCTGAGACGCTCTAATCTTTCGATGCCTCTCGGAACCATAGGCTCATACTTGAAATGTCGAATCAATATCCGTACATTGCTTAGACATCGTTGCTGCTACCTTGTTGTTGAGAATACGCTCCGGTGAATGAACCCCCTGCCAGTGCAGCTCATTCTATTCACCGCCGGTGCATTGTTGCTTTTTGGAGTTGATCCAAGGAAATCTTGTTCCTTTCGGAATCTTGATCCTCCAAGTGTTCGACGTTTCAACATGGGCCTGGCTTAGTGGCCGGCGCTGTGTGGCGCACGCTCATTCGCTCAGAGCTTGATACCGTGACCAAGGCTACCAAACCAGACCGAGAACCAAGATTACAATCGATGAGTTGTATCGATTGCGGGGGGCAATTGCTCTGAGATAGCCACGGCGTCTATGGCGTTCACGGGATCAAGGCATCAGGCTATCTTGTTACACCAATGCAAATGCCATGTCAGCCTCGACCCCAGTCGCCCTAGGCCTCACCGGTCTCTGGGGGACACCGTTCCTGCATATTTTCTGGCCTCGAGATGCGCGTATGTCGGTGATATCACACAAGGATTGCTCTGACGTGGGTAAAGCAATTTACCAATCACTCGCGGAAACTTTGTGAGCTGATGGCGGAATTGGCGTTGTGGTAGAACGAGGCCATATTGTGGCGAGATGTTCGCGATTGAACAGAACCGTGAGTTACTCAAGGCATTATTGACGACGTGTCTGTCCGCCTCACTCCTGTGCTGTTTGTAGATCATTTGAACGTGTTGAGCTGGCAGTCGAGGATAGCAGGCTTCATTGGGATGGCTGAGAAATGATTGTATGAACCATTTGAGAAAGCTGGCTTTGTCCGAGTTGAGAGCACTGATATTACCCAATGGGCTGAGCATGGATAGATATCGAGTCTTTGTAATCACGTCGATCTTCTTGGGTCACTGTCTGGCTGGATGGGTGCGATCAAGGTGAACTGGATAAGTCTCTGGCAGGTATTTGGCCAACTGTGTCGTATGAGCCGTGGCCTGTAGGCAAACGTATCATTGAAATGAAGTCGTATTTCGCTTAGTTTACCAGAGCCAATCTCATCAAAAGCTGTAGTTGTCGCATGTTGGTTGATTGATGTCTGATGTAGGGTAGACAGAATCTGTCAGATCCAACTCCTGTGAACGAAGACGAGTGTTGGAACATGGTCTTTGGATCTTTGTCTCATTTCAGGTTTCAACGTAGGTGAAGAGTATGTGCTGAGTGAGACTCACAAGCCTGAAGTGTTCAAAACCTAGAGCTATGTGTTGAAAGGTGAGAATGGGTAGTCTGTCAAGAATGAGATATCCGTCCCTTTGTTGCGCGCTCAGGTGGTGATGACAGTAAGGATATGGGCTAAAATAGAAGATCTGAGTAAATATAGTCTCTGTCGACTGTGTTTGAGACATTGAGGTTCATGTTTGAGCTGATGTGCTGTGTGAGCTTGAAGCTATAGGGTAGTCAAATTGACATGTAACGAATGGAGGCGAAGACGAGCTATAAGCAAGAGGTACAGGAAGAGACAGACAGGCCTGTGGAAGCAATTGTTAAGTGTGTGAGGAAGATGGTGCGAAGATGGAGGCTGTATCCTCGTCTCGTGTTGAGCTTGTGTCCTGTGGAAGGTGCCTACCATTTGCTTGTCGTAGAACCGTGACACTCAACTCTCTTGTACACTGCACAGAAGGGTTTGGCTTGAGCGTCGTATATCTGAATAATACATTGTAGTAGTAGAAAGAGGAACGGTTTTGAGCAAGCTGACACACTATGTCAGAGAATAATACCAGAGTGACTGATTTTGGGTTCCGGTTGGAGTCTCATGAAGCTCTGCTCATGAATAGGACTTCTGCCATAATCGAAAGGGCGACGCTGACCTGATTCAGGACACTTCCAGGTAAGAACCGAGATTATTACTCGAATGCTGTACTTCTTGTTCGATGGGACATAAAGGCAACTGACGCCCTCCGGATGTTGCAGGCCGGCGATATCGGCGACCGGCCCCGCTCCGGAGGTTGCAACCGGGATCGACGTAATCCTTGGCCGAGCCTCAATCAGATGCGAGTATCCGTAAATACGTGTCAAAAACAAGGCATGGATGTTTTACCAAGAAGGAGAGGATGTTCAGTGTGTTCCAGACCCGGACGCTAAAACAATGGCGTAGTGTCATTTGTGGAATCGTGACGTGGAGGTTGCAGTCGTGAGCTGCACTTGTAACAAAAAGCAGCTGAATCACAAGGATTACAGGCCACTAAATAACCGTTTTAGGAGACACTTGTGTTTGTTTCTCCAGGATGTTCTTAATGATTGAATCCCTGTTGGTTCGTTGCTATCTGTGATGGTCTTTCAGCTGAGATCTCATGACGTCACGATTCGTGGTTAGATGTCATGATACTGATTCCCTGGCAGTTTTGACGTAGGCGGCGGGGTATCAAATTCCAGTTTATTACCGTGTAACGAGGGGGATACGAATAATCATTTAAGCCTTTGCAAACTTCGTTCCGAACAACAAACAGTAGCTGCAGGTATCAAACCAAACCATGGCTACTACAATCCCCGACGACCCCAACCGTCGTTTCTCGGCGGGTGTCACAGGAAGCGAACCCGAGATTGTCGAAGAACACTATGAAGAAGCCCCAACCGTGAGCCACGCCCTCGCCGAGGAGAGTAAGGACTTTGAAGAAAAGGGCGCTGCGCAGATCGAGCACGGAGACGTCGAAGTCAAGAATCTGGGATGGAACGAGGAGGCTCGTCTTGTGCCGCCGCTGGTGGGGGGTCTCAAGAACGAAGATGTCTGGACTTTGGTTCGACGGTTTGACAAGCAGGTCTTTTACGTCCGGAGCATCGACGAGCCTCCTCTAGGAGCTCTTGATATGAACATTGCAGACGAAGAGGAGTTTTCGCCCGACAAGCTCAGGGCTCAGATCGAGCGTCTCTACGTAACTGTCTTTACGCAGCTCTTTTCCTTTTGGAAGCACATCGTTCGACTTCGATCGTGGAGGGAATATCAGCGAACCTCTGCATTTTTGGCCGTCTACACTGTAGCATGGCTGCTCGATATTCTCGGACCGACTATCATGCTCTTTCTCATGGCTCTTATCTATTCACCTGAGGCCCGTGATATTTGCTTTCCTGGAGCACCACCCTCTCTGATCGACTCCAAGACGGGGGGCGTCAAGAAGCCAGCAGCTGGTGTTCTCGCCTCGGATGATTCAGTCACTGGTGCTCCGGAGAAGCACAAGGGCGAAGCGGTGGAGCAAGAGGCTCATAGCTTTGTGACAAGCCTCTCTACGGTATGTTCCGGTGTAAGGACTTGTGCTTTTTGCTTTGTATTTCGCCATGACAGAAAGAGACTGAACAGAGTGTAGATTGTTGTTAGCACTGCTGCTGGAAAAGATCCCCAGAGCGACCCCCACGATGACAGTGCTACTCCAGACCCTACGAAGCTTACTGAAGAAGCCACGGAAGCCAGACAGAAATCTGGCGGAGAGAATCCTCATGCCGAGCACAATAGGGCCAAGAAGCCGGTCTCCAAAGCTGTCTGGGATAAGGCTCGTCCCACGATGCATATGATTGCTGACTTTGTCGACACCTGGGAACGATTTGGAAACGCTCTTAGCCCATCTGCGCCTTTTCACCGCCACCGACCCAAGTTCATCCTCATCGGTGTTCTTGTCCCTATGCTCCTTGGATCGTATTTTACATCCCCCTACATGGCCGTCAAGGGCATGGGCTTCGGTGCTGGTTTTGGCTTCTTCGGTGATCCCATCATTACACCTACTATGAACTTCCTCAACAGGACGTATCCTCGCTGGGAGAAGTATGTCGAATTGCGAAACACCATCCTTCGAGGAGTCCCGACCAATGCACAGCTGGCCATCACTCTTCTCCGTATTGGGGAGAAGAACAAGGCTCCTCTGCCTCCGCCTCCTACCTCGGACGTGCCAGCTCCGCCTGTTCCCCACCAGACTGCTGGAGAGGGCCTGGAACATTTAGGTGTGTATTGACTGGATGCATGTTGAACTCGAGCTAACAACATCAGAAGGAGTATCGCAAGGTGAAATTGCAGAGGCTGTCCAGCCTGATCCTAACGTGATCCACGAGCATGAGGAAGAAGAGGAGGAAGACAAGAACAAGCACAAGAAGACGCATCGTCTCATGAACTTCATCCGTGGTACTGCCAAGGGAGGTGTCGCGACAGCACTCGCTGCCGACAAGGCTAAGGCTAAAGCAGGCGCCCATCACGCAAAGGACCGACTTGGTGTTGTGAAAGGCGAGGAACCCCCTCCCGTTACCGGTCCCATTCGTTTCCCAGCTCGCTACAAGGGTAAGAAGGGTCACGCATTCATCACTGCCACGGCGACTACACCGGCTGTAAGCTGGACGACCGAGACTGGCGACCTCAAACCCGCATGGACGGTGACTATTGGGGAGATTGACGAGCTCAAGAAGATGGGCGGTCTGGGCTGGAAGAGCAAGATCCTCGTCGGATGGGCGATGGGGAGTGAAATTGTGGACGGATTGATGATCCGCACAAAGGACGGTACTGAACATCATCTCACGGCGGTCTCCATGCGGGATCAGTTGTTCAACAGGTTGATCTCCATGGGAAATCAGATGTGGGAGGCGTGGTAATTACCAGGTTATGACTATGAAGATTGGGGTATGGTGTTTTGGGTTGGCATGAAAAATAAGGTGCCCGGAGTTTGGTAGGGGTTTGTGTGCAAGCAATAGCACGCGATGGATACTTTACTCTGTTTGATATCATGAATACGACGAGATATGATGATGTGGAATCAATTTGTCGAATATGTCAAGTCTAGACTTTGCTAGTTGACGTGTCAATCAAGCAAAAGGTCCGTCCTGCTTGGTAATCTCGCGACAATATTTCTTAAATCTTCAAGCGAGATCGCTAACGTCGTCGAACGTGGGGAAGTGGAACACTTATCGATTCAGCCATGTGGAATCATGATAAAATGACGTCAACCAGACCGAATCAACTTTAAGATGCTGACAGAGCAGACAATTGATTGCTCAATGTCAAAATGCCGAGGTCGGCTTTGGGAGCTTGAGCTCGAAAGTGGGGGAAGTCATCTCGATACAAGAAGTCGGGATAATCCAGCTTTGTTTCTGAACTATCTGTTTACGTGCAAGATCGACCACAACACCACAGAAACAAGTTCTCTTCTCGAAAGCTACGCTAGGCTATCATGGGCATCACCACTGAGTCGTACGACCCCGACACTGCAGACGCTTGGCTTGTTTGCGATACATGCGGCACACAGTTCCCTACCGGTGATGGCAGCAAAGTCAAGACGTGCCATATCTGCGATGACCCTCGGCAGTTTGTGCCGGCGTCGGGACAGTCGTTTACTCCGCTGGGGGAGCTAAAGAAGAAACACAAGAACGAATGGACGCCGTGTGCTTCGGATCCGAACATCACGTTTATATCGTCCACGCCCAGACTGGCTATCGGGCAACGCGCTATCTTGATCAAGACGCCCAAGGGCAATATCCTGTGGGACTGCATCTCGCTTCTCGACGATGAGACTATCGAGCGAATTAATGATCTGGGTGGTCTCAGGGCTATTGTTATAAGCCACCCGCACTTCTACAGCACCCATGTCCAATGGGCCCGCGCCTTTGCATGTCCAGTGTACCTATCATCCGAAGACAAGACCTGGACGACACTATCGTCAACACACCAAGTCTTCCTCACAGAAGCCTCGACACCCATCTTGGATACAGGTGCCACGGCGATCAAGCTCGGCGGACACTTCCCAGGCTCACTGGTTCTGCACTACAACACGCGGCTCTTCATCGCCGACACGCTCATGACCACTGCGTCGGGCGTCGGGAACTGGGACGTGGACGCCACGGGTGCCGAGCGGTCGAGACCAGAGGGGTTGAACTCGTTCTCGTTCCTGTGGAGTATCCCGAACTTCATCCCGTTGGGCGTGGAGGATATGGTGAGGATGTGGAAGGCGCTGAGGGACGTGGACTTTACAGCTACGCATGGTGGATTTATGGGGATGGATATTGAGCATGAGAGTGTCAAGGAGAGGGTTCTGGAGAGTATGAAGATCCAGGCGAGGTTTATTGGGGAGAAGGCGTTTGAAGAGAAGCTGTAGATTTGACGATGTTTGAAGAGGCGATTATGAAGTATGTTTGTTTATTCGTAATTAACTAATTGTATAAATCAGGGCCATTCTGATATCGCGGGTATCGATCAATAATTTAAAGTAGCAATATCCAACTCCCGCTGCATGCTTCACCTAATGCCTTTATAATTCTCAGTCGTGCCAACGCCAGAAACCAAATGCCAGAAAGTGAAGCCTAGTCCTTCTTCCAGAACTTCCACTTTTGCTTACTCGGCGACGACGGACATAGATATCGGTTGAGTAGCTCGCGACCCTCATCGGGGAGATCAACGACGCTGTCATTGAGTGTGTCGATGATAAATTTATTCGCTAACAAATGTTAAATAAAAAGTCTGAGTAAGTAGGAGGTGGAATAGACTTACGCATCAAATCAACACCGCATTCACCGGCATCAACAGCCATATTTATCCTTGTGGAGTTGTAGCAGCCGTATCGAAGCTGCAACTCGAGCATACACCTCCACAACTCCCTGGTCTCTTCAGAAGTCATGGCCTCGCAGCTACGCTCAGAACAGGTGCTCGCTTGGCGACCTCGTGTGTCGTTGTCGTGCTGGGGGTGTTTTGGTAGAGGGACTGCTTCGTCGCTGGGGGAGTTCCACATGGGGGGCAGAGAGAGGTTGCCGGGGCGGTTCTCGCGATACATTGTGGATATGGGTTGAGTGTAAGTCGAGTGTGTAAGTCGAATGTGATTGAGTTGTTGATGAGGATAGAGATGGAAGAGGAAAAAGAAGTGTTTGTTGAGGGTATTATATCGATTATCACAACTGTCTCAGCTCAATTGCCTCGTCTCCTTTTTATCCTCCTTCTTTTTTCTTTTTTCTTTCTTATTTCGTCGCCCTTGTCTCTTGTTTCTTCCCTGCTTTTTTCTGCTTCAGGCTCTTAGTTAAAGCTCAGGGCGGTAATTGATGCGTTGTCTCTGATGTGGTGGGGTAAGACTGGCCCAATACGACAGGCAGAACCCTGCTTATTATCAAAGCGTAGGCTTGTTTCGTACCTGAACAGGAACAAAAAAGAATAACTAATAATAATAAGGCGGTCTCTGTGACGACGTTTGACAAGGGGCCAGACGGGAGTTTAATATACTTTATGCCCAAACGGCGGATACCGAGAAATAAGATAAGGGAGGGGGGGAGTCAGTGCTTTTGGGAACTCTCGGGAGAGGAGGGAGTCATCCGCGAAGAACGAAGAACGCCACTATTTTATAGAGGGTCCAAGACAAGACAAGACAGCTTCAAGTTTCCCTTTTCTTCATGATTGTTGGAGGGTGGGAATTGAGTCACATGGGGAATAAGAGACGAGCATTTCCGATGGCCCGCCCTTTAAATCCAAATCATCAAGTTTTTCACTACTTCTGCCGGCTGTTGTCGTATCCGGACGACATCACTGATCGACTCTGCATGAGGGATCATCTCGGCAGACGGCAGTTGACGTGCTAACTAGGACTTTTGTTGTTATCCAGGGCTAACCGCTCACTAATCGGGGCTCTGTCACTCACCTTTTTGGGCCGAGGGACGCGTACAAATGATCATGATCTGCACTAACCCTCCAACAGCCAAGACCCCAAGAGACAAAGAAAGGGCTTGCAAGCCTGATCTGATGCCCAATACAAATAGCAACCATACACAAGAAATGGGGCTGGTCACAAGGTCTGATCTGGTCTGGCCTGGTCGCTTGGCTTGTGATAACAAGAGGAGGCCCCCCGTCATGATAAGCTTTGACGCCAGATGAAGGTGTTGTTTCAAAGCGTGGATGATAGAGCAATGACGCCGGTTCAATGGCACAAAGCGTATTCCCTAACATCTGACCATTTGTGTAATTCTCACGATAAGGAGACATATCAACGGGATGCTGTACCCGCATGGCCGCAATAGCCGGCACAACCGGAGCGTCAATCAGCGTTAACATCATGACTTTGTTGAGTCACATCCTGTCACATCCCATCACATCTCCTTCCATCGCAAACCAAACCAAGCCTAGTCAAGTCAAGTCAAGTCAAGTCAAGCCAAGCCAAGCCCAGTTTAAGGCTGAAAGGAGGGATCCATCCGAATGCCCCGAGTGGGTTTCCCGGGAAAGAAAGGTAAATAAATAAATACCCTTGGATCCACCCAGCGGAGATACCCATTTAGCAACACAGCCCGCCTTTTTCGACCATGAGAAGGTTCATTGTTGATAAACATACGGGTAGAGGAAAGTCAATTACAACAAACGGTAAGCACAAACAGCAGCTGAAAACTGTGGCTTTCTGCGGAAGATAATACCAACGGTGGAGAAATTTGATGATACGGTGAGATGCAAGGGATACATTCAGCAGAATCATCATGCATGTTCAATATTTGATGACAGTCATAATTTCAACATCATGCAAACTGCACCCCAACATGCAGATATTACTTCAATATAACAAATAACATACCATCTAAATGGCGTCTCCGGCACTACGTCAGATAACTGGTATTCATCAGTATCCTGTGGCGTCAGCTTTTGGTGGCGTCCTCAGCTGTGCCACATTTCCTGGAATGCCCCTGAACGATCTACTGTTGAAGGCCACCACCAAACTATGCACTCAAAGTAGCCGTGAGGAATGGGTAGATAAGCGATTGGGTTCACGGCTGTCAAGCGTCTGATACCGAGAATTCGCTTCTAGAGTTTGTTGATTAAACTCTCGGCAATCTTGGAGATCTGATATCGAAGGCACCTTGCGACAGCGACGTGAGATAAGCATGTCTCAAACAGTTTATTCTCCATTTTTATGTATACATGTGGCTACCTGCTAATAATGTACTTCCATCGCTCCTAGAACTGCCGCCAAGGCTCAACCTGGCTGGCCGTGCGATGTGCTGGTGGGACGAGCATGCATCAAGCACTTCCTCAAAGGTAGAAGCCCTAGTAAGCAGATTGATTGCCTGCCCTGGCCTATAACGCACAGAAGGAGTTAGATACAGGATAACGTTAATCGGCTGTTTATGATGAGGAATGCCCTTGAGAAACCTCGGCTCGTCAGGCTCTATATGCCGATGGATCTCGGGTATTTGATCATTAACTGCCAAGAGCTGATCCTACAGGCCGGGGAAGCTCGACGCGGTGCTAAACTTTGCGACGTATTGTTGAATTTCTGTGCTCCCCGTTCATTTGTGTTCTAAATAGAGAAGCTATGGCCTAGAAAATGGCCTTCATACTCGCGGTATTGATCTACTGGAGTTTATCAGAGCCTTGCATATATTCTTGACAAACTTCGGAGTAACTACGAGGCCAGTTCTGTGTTTCAGGCGGACTTATCCTGGAAAGAGTTGTCTTAGGGATCATCTTGGGTGGAGTTGTCTTGAGGGGAGCCGTCCAGCGTAGACTCTTCCAAGGTGGATTATCTTGGGCAGAGTCATCTCGAGTGTTGTCTCCAGCCTCGTTCTGGTCACCGCCGTTTCAATCAGTGGATCGGCCCTCGTTAGAAGAATGAGATATTGTGTCTCTGTATTGTTTCGTTTTAGATGGTGACGAGTCCCATGGTTGGTGCTGGATATCATGGAAGTGTTGAAGAAGATGAGAGTTGGAGACGAGGATCATCAAGACCGGTTCTGAAGGCTTGCCTTGAACTACGAACTGTGATGCATTCGATTTAACGGCTTGGAAGCAAACATCTTGTTTGGCCACTAAGGTGCGAACTGAGTGTCGAGATGAAGGTGATGTAGTCTGTATTTCAGCTTCATCCGGATCACCTCAAACTCCGGTTTCGACTTTTAACAACCATAATTCGATAGTCCAATCCCCTTTTCTCCCTGAGCCAGTATATAATTCTGGGAAACGGCAGTCACGTACTGGCCCGTTTTGTCTTGCTCGCTTTGACTCTTGACACTCGTTACTACTTCATTGTCAGTCACTCTTTTCTGTCCAGTTGTTATTGGGGCAAATGCTGTGGACTCAAGCGGCTGTAAACCCTGCCATTCAAGTAATTCTAGTAAAGCGCTTTGTAATATTACACAAAGATCCCGAGAACCTGACTCGCCTAAGTACTCTATCTACAGATGTGACAACCTCGACTCTAGCAATTGGTTTTGCTACAAGTACCGAGTTTGAGACTACGGCCACCAACATCGCTACTTTGGATTTAACAACTACAACTACTGCTTCAATCGATTCAAGAAATGAGGCAACGACCGGGACATTGCCTCCAGAGACCACTGCCACCGAGCTGTGTGCTTCCGCTACCACAAGTGACTTGGCCTCTCAACCGATTGAGACGTTCTTGTTGTCCGCTGCAGTGAGCGGCGCCGTAAGCCCCTATTTGCTGAGTACAAAACTCGATGGCAGCCTAAAAGGATGGAATATCGCCCGGTCCATCATAGGAGAACGACTAAGCTTCACCATCGAAGCTGGCATGAACTACGCGGTGGAGGTTACCGGATACTACCTGTGTGTCAACACGGCATGAGAAACCTCACTCCAAGCTATTCCCGACTGTGTTCTCTGGTCGACATGAGCCAAACTCACTATGGAGTTCTCACATGCAAGCGGACAGCTGAATGAAAGCTCAGGTGCTCCATCCCGGATGGGTAGTGAGTTATCGATTAAGAAGCAGGATGGGAGACATTTTCCCTGCTAAGCGGCTCGTTCAAATAACCCTATGCTTATGCATCAAGATCGACGAGAAACCTGGCCATGGTCTCGCCGGATAACCACCCCCGTCCGATTCCTATCAGGCCATTGGGTTTGAGGTCAAAGCAAGCCAGACTATGTATCAATCTCCTTGAGGGGAGCTATCAATGAGGTTTCAGCGTCATTCAGACGGAAAGAGAAACGGAGTCAGGGGTTGGAAGTGGTCAAAGTGTATGGTATGTTGGAGATCGGCTGAATAGCCAAACTACTTTGCCAAGACCAGGCATCTGCAAGTATCAGGTAGGGCTAACACCATAAAGACAAGTATCGCATTTATGCGTGGATAAGTAGAAATGTTCTTCCCAGTCGTAGTTACCAAACCTCTTCTTCTCGAGCATATATTGTCTTACCATCTGGTATGGGCAAAGCAATGCAGTTTGGCGCCGAATTTGACATCTACAAACTGACCATTTTGAACATGCTGTTCTACTCGCGGAGACGATCATGATCACCATGACAGCCCTTAGTTGGAGTAGGAGATCTGCAAACGCGAGTTACTCCAAATACAATGGATTCTCGACCTGTCAGGCCTAAGTAGGCATGTGGTGATTCTTCTCAATTTGCCCGTAGCACGCACCACTGGACCCGAAGACTGTACGATGGACTAACCTCGTGTACTAGAAGAGCCTCGACTTCTATTCGTGTCCATCTCTGTGGAACTGGAATGAGTAGACCCGAGGTCTCGGAACAATCGTCGGAGTAACGGCGATCGACATGTTGGAGAAATGTGCATTGTCGATCGCTTGTTGACCTAATCGAAGTCTACGGCACTCATGTTGGGGTCATAGTCGCGAGTGCTGTCGGTAGCCACGATATCTTCTGGAACTGGAGAGGATTACGCATCTAGCCACCAAACACCCTCTTCAAAACAGGGCCATATCAGAGAACAGCTGAGTGCCGGATTTCTGAAGTGAACGGTAACCCTTATCTTCTGCCAAGTACTACGCATCGCGTGCAAGTCCCAAACGGGCGCTCGCCTTCTTGATAAGCTTCACCGCATCATCAAAGCCTCTTCTTATTGTCGTGATTATGAAACAATCCCGCTTGCCACATCAATCACCAGAAAGCGAATGTGACCGGGCCTTCACTTCCGAGACACAGCACAACGGAGGCGCTCCGTTTAGCATAAGTAGTGACGGGAGATAGGCATGACGACTACTATTGAGACACAGGACCCTTCTTTTACTTATCTATTTTCACAAGCAAGTGGCAACCTTAGCAAAAACTAATTCTTACAAATCGCATATTCCAAATCACCGCCTCAACTCTCCAGTACTGAAAATCACATGTCCTCGGTTTCGCAACGAAACGTCTGTTTCGTTTCGGTACACCCTCGATCGACAGGCAGCGTCGACGTCATCAAAGAAACCATGGGATTCTCCAAAATCCGGACTCGGGATTAATCGAGAACTTTTTTGATGCACGAAAGTGAATCGGGGTTTTGGATTTGCACGTGGCATGACTGTGTGCGTGACCTCATGTGTGGATCATCTGCCAGAGACGGCATGATGCGAAACGACCTTTGGAGTTTGACTGAGGCACTGTAACGTTGTAAGAAACGTGACGTGAGTCAAGGCGTGGGGGGAGAAAGTCATGATTTTGACACAGTATCTTGGGTGTAAGGTGATAAGTGGGTTGAGAAATATTTTTACTGACGGTTCACATGCACGTCACGTTGTTAAGAGACAATATTGTAGTGTAAGTTATGGTATTTCTGCCATTCAGTATTGGTGCTACCTCTGCGGTTCAGCACCGCCATCCTTCCATCAAACCACTCTCCCATCCACAGGAGAAGACAATGCTCACTCTATACTACGTCCCTTTCCGTTCGATATCTTGGCGACCCAGGCCAGCCAGATAGTGCAATCATCCAATATGGGGTATCCCAAATGCAGAGTAGTAAAAAAACAAGAATAACAACGCCTGAAACATGTGTGCAACCGAATCCATGATGCATGGAATGAAGAGTCCCTGAAATCTATATGCGCTTCCCTGTCGTGATGGTCCTGATGCTAATGCTGATGCCAATGGAGAGCATGTTGAGAAAATGTGATGGGGAGAGCGAGAGGTAGTGCAGGTTGTGTGAGCGATGCGTGGCGGGTATTGTAGGTATCTGAGTGTCTATAGTCGTTCATGTGGATATGTCGAGTGATAAGAGTCGAAGCGATGACAAGGTTGAGGTGTAAATGATGGTAGAGATGTGATGTCAAGCATCAAAAGTATTGAGCAAGGTGTTGCGGCGGTGAGAGTCGTGTAGTGTAGATGTAGGTTGAGAGTGTCTAAAGGGGTATCATAATGTCGAGACCTGCCACGTCCTTGCTCCTCATAGCGTAAAAGCCAGTTTACTTCTTGTGCGACTTGCCGGAACGCGAGTAGTTTCTTCGCACGCGCTCGCGTCCACGGCGCTCCTCCTCGTCGCTTCCACTGTGACGGCGACGGTCCTCCTCGTACCAGGCGCTCAGAGACTTTCCGCCGAAGGTGAGGTCATCGTCTTCAATAATGGTCGGCTGCACCCAGGTGTAGGCTGAAGGGTCGACTTCGCGGGCTGTAGGGTCCAGGGCCTGGAGATTGGGGACGTAGTAGTAGTATGTCTCTGTTGTGTGGGCCATGATGACTGATGTGTGAAGATTTGTGTGAAAAAGATTTGTTGATTGTTGGCTTTCACAGTGGACGGTTGTCGTATTGTTATATGTTGTCGATTTGTTTGTTTGTGGTTGTCCCTTTGTTTTGGTGGATGCGGAATGGAATGAACACGCCCTGGTAAACAAAGCAGGTGGCACTCTACGAAGGGGGTGTGGGTGAGATTTGATTGATATGTTGCGTCAAGCAATTTCCGTGTGTATCGTGATAGAAGAGGTCCAGCTCGTGAACAGGTAAAACAACGCTGAATTTAAGGCTGTGACGATAACTCGTGATGTGTATATGGTATATTAAACAAGAAAGAGTCTGGGAAGGGATTTCGGGGGGGAAGGCTGATGGATATAGACACGAGCAGAGGCTGTACTGTACTGTAAGTGGAGTGCTAGGATGGAGCCTCAGGTGAAGCGCAGTGGGCTGCGTCAACTTTCAAGGGGGGGGGGGGGGGGAGTGGCAAACGTCTGGGTAAGGAGGGCCAGGGGGCGTGGGGTTGAGGAGCCGCACTGTGCCGTCACTGAAGATGATGAGCTTTAGCGGCACAGTCACAGCATCATTCTAGGGGTCATCGAACATCCACAGTGGCAATAATGGACGTGGCTCCGGCACCAAACAAGGCATCCCGTCTCGGCAGACCTGGCTCCGCGCACGGTGAAGTCTTTGGGGGTGGATTTAGCCAAGCCGGAATCTCGTCCCTGGGCCTTTTTAAAGTGGTCTCCTTTTGAGGCCTGGAGCCTGGCTACCTGGCTTGATGCTTGACAAGGCCCCCCAGGGCTGGATCCATTCCTCACAGCGTATTCTGCGGGGATGCGCGAGGGCCTGGATAAAGATATGCCCTACCAGTGCATTCCACGAGCAACGATGTAAAATGATTTAATCTTTCGGGACCACCGACTATTGTTTGCGTGCTACGCCGAAAACCGGCGTCGTAGATAGCAGCTCGCATCCGCATATCTACGAAAACCCCCAAAGCTAACGGGATCGTGAGGGAATTATCGCTGCTGTTTTTGTTGTTGAGATTGCAATTGTCGCGCACACACACACTTTTGGGAAAACTTTGAGGGGGGAAGAGTCGGGTTGGGGTGTTGAAAATCCGCTGTGTTGGAGTCAAGATGGATGGACGGTCTTGCACGCGACTGGATGAACTATAATGGGGACGCTGAGTTTTTTGTCTTTCTTTTTACGCCTTGTTCCATTCTTCTACGAGGGAGAGGATCAGTACCTGCTTGAGTCACTACATCTCACGCATTACAGCCAAAGTATAAAAACCATCGTATTCAAATTATGCATATTATGATTATTTACGCTGATGCTCTAATACGAGTTCGAGTTGGTATGTCACCCTCACCCTCACCCTCACCTCACGCTGGAGTAAGACAGAAAAAAGGGCCGCTCTTTCGGCGATCAAAACTTGGCGGGATGTCCAAATGGGGAAACTGGTCTAATCTCTTGACTCGATTTCAGGTATTGAGTGTGTCAAGTTGCAATTACTCCAAAAGTGCTTCTAGACATGTCTCGAATTTCTGAATCAATTCAAGGGATAAAAACAAGAATAGCACTGTGAGCGGATCCATTTCGGTGAGCGATAGAAACCGGCCGACCGGTTTGATAGAAGTGAGGCTAGGTTCTCCTTATCGTCCCAAAAAGCTCGGGCCAAGAGCCACGAGTCGATGGTACGATGTTATTACGCTTACCGATACCTCGGGGATTGTTCTAGGCTTATCCCATGTAACTTCATTGATGATGTTATCTCAGATGGGATACCACAGACACTGTGCATGTTTGGTGATGTTGGATTTTGCGGTTGAGGCTGAGTGTTGCCTAACAATGGATGTTCAGCCAGCTCGCCTGCCTTGAGCGGCCGGATTATTACCACCTTGCGTAGGACTATTGACAAACAAGACTGCAGGACAGGCTAGAAGCAGGCCTCACTGAAATGATAAGACAACTGGCATAAACGAACTTGGCGGTAAGCGATCTCTGTTCTGATATTGGAGAAGAAAAAGGCAACAATCTTAGACTCTTTATCCTCGTTGTCCGCCGCCAGCTGGCCAAGCCAACAAACACCACGTATCCATATGTACACTTTTCGCGACGGGGCCTGATTGCGGGGAAACAGGCATACGGAGTGGAGGCTCAGTTCTGACAGGGGGACCACGAGAGAGGGGGGAGTGTGGATAAGCCATTCACCAAATCGAGCTACCTCTTCGAGCGAGCTGCCAGATGCAAACCATCCATGGAGGATTTTCCCCGCGCGCCCGATATGTTATGCGCAACAAAAGGCCACATGGGGAAGAGATACGATTACCTCCACCACTGATAACGAACAGGTTTCTGGTTACCTGCTGACTGCTGACGATGACTGCCTACGATGGAACGAGGACGGTCGGTATACGCGCAGCTGACGGCGTCCTGGGCTGAGTAGAAATACGACATCCGTCTTTTACACCCGCGAGCAGACAACTCAGAAGCTCTGGACCCTGATTCTCAGCCTCGACGGACAAATCGCTCCTCAATAAGAACTATATACTTGCGATAACACTAGTTTAAACAGACGCAACATGTCGTAGCGACTGCGGCTCATGTCAAATCACCTGCAGCCCAGAACAAGATAATCTAAGACAATAGGACGGGGACTAGCTTGATGAAAACCCCATGATTTGAACAAAGAGCGCATGTGCCGCATCTTGATTTGATCTTATCGCAGCAGAACACAGGTGGGGGAGAGCGAAAACTGAAACTTGGGGTTGCGTCGTCGTCACATGTTGAACTTGGTGTTTGTCCTAGGCCCTAGACAATGAGCCACCAGCGACGGAGTCTCACGCCACAAGGACTGAAGCTGAAACGGTGAGCAGCGCGAAAGAGCGGTGTTGTTTAGCTCTAGACGAGAAAGAGTTTATCGCGATTCAATATTGTCCAATATTGCGTTTGTGGAAATACGTCCTTTCGTGATGCAAGCTCTGGAGGCATAAGCCGAGGTGTTCTGTAAAAGGTAATCTGGGGTCAGCTTGCAGGGGCTCGGCAAGCATCCTTGTCAAGCCGACTACACCGAAAATCCCGGAGCCGCGAAATTCCTTTCATCCAGGATCCCGGCTGTTAATTTTGCGGTTTCTATTTGTGTACAACACGAGAAACGGGGGACAAACGCTCGGACAGTAACCGTTAGGGGCTTATTTTCCCCGAATCTATTGAAATGGTTATTGAAACTCTTCTGATAATGCCCGAGACATGCCTCAGGCTATCTAAACCTTGGAAGTTGCCGAGCGAAACAAACTTGTCATTGTTTAAAGTTTAAAATTCTTAAAAAGCCTTCGCGTCTTGACTCATTCGCTATTCGCGTATCCCCGTGAAACAAGGGACACGATGGATCCCCTTTCCCTTTTCTATAGAGTTGTCCGCCACTGAGCAAACCTTTGAGTCAGTCATCGGTCACCGTTCGGGGTACAGTGCGCTACTGAATCATTCAAAGCACACCCTTTTCCTGCAATAGCCTTGTCGCTCTCGTCAGCCACAGCCGACCTGAACATGTCAAGAGTGGTGATCAGAAGGCACGACACCGCCTTGATAATTGCTGCACATATTATACAGAAGAAGCATGCTCTTCACCGACTCCACAATCGTCCTGTTTGATCTTGATTCATGGCTTGACGATGCGGCAACTGAATGACTCTATCGTCGCCCCCGCGATGCCAAGCACCCGCACCGTTCCCCCGCTCCGGCTTCGGCCCGGCTCTGAGCAAACAGTGGGCTTCCGTTACCCGGCCGGCCCTTGTGAAGAAAATCCTTTTTTTGACTTTCGGACGATGAAAATTTGCGGTTTTCCTACTCCTCAATTAATCGCACGGTACCAGAATTCTGGGGAAAGCAAGAAGCGAACGGAACTGGGAGTGGAGGGGTGGTTTAGCTGCAGAACCGTTTGAAAGGTTGTAGTGTGTGCGATGCAGCCGTGACCCAGTTCCTGGTCTGCCTCTTGTTCGGATGTCAATGTCAATATGATCTGCAAAAATGGCAACGGCATTGACGGAAGCCGCAGGAAGGCTCGGAGAACAAGGCGTCCAGTCACAACACCAGAAACAATCTCTGCCTTGCGCTGCTGCAGGATCCAATGCCTAGAGCTTGCCCCCAAACGACGTCACTAGAACCTCACGGATGTTTATCAATTCTACTAGAGTATGCTTCCCGAGATCCACCCCTTGTTCGATCCCGTCATCGCAGGGGTGAAGGATTAACGGTGATAGACAAAGGAAACAAAGAAAAAAGTCGTCACAAATAATAACCTGTTTTGCAGCGGACAGAAACGGCCGGGGTTTAAGTGTTTGTAGCCTGTCAAACAGGCGTTGCCCCTCTATGATGTCACTGGAAGGTTCGCTGCCCTGGATCAATCTCTCGATCTGATCCGAGATCTTGGGTACAGAGCTGTGACTGGTGAATTGCAGCTGCTGTCCCAGGGGCGTGCAATGTTTAATGGTTCTAAGTTTCCCTCTGCAATTCACATGCTACAGTATGAATTTGCTGTTCTGAAGAAACGAGGCTTGTTGTCCTTGGCGATTTCCACGACGTAATTATTGTATCAAGACTCGTAGGCGATGTTTTGGCGGTGCAACATGCACTCATCAGAGATGTTGGAAGGGGCTTACATGTAATTGCCACAGCAGCGGGAGATCCGGGGTTGATGACTCCTCTGTCAGCTCGTCCTTCAGGCGGAAGGTCCGCGATCAGCATTAAACAGTTCAGCTCGGGAGATAAGATGGCAGTGATTAGAAGAAAGACAGGGCGTTTATTGTGGAGGCCTGGTTGATGACTGATCTATCCTCATGCCTTTCTTGGTTTAGTGACGGCTTGAGTGCAAACGAGCGTTGTTGCGGCAAGGGCCTGTTTGAATGAACGTGTCAAATTGTCGATCCATTAATAATAAACACACCGTTTATAACTCTAGATTGTTAGTTCAGTATGGAGCAAACTATACACAAATCATACTGCAGTATCGTGACTCGAAAGTTTCTACCATCTCACAACCTCATTAGAACATTGAACATCAGGGAACACTAGAACGGAACGCGTAGTCACCTGACACATCCCGCAGAATCTCAATCGCAAAAAACCACATCCCAGGACGTGACATCTCAGCACAGGACGCGAGCTATTAGCCAAATCATAGCTATAATATGCATTACTTGACATTGGCCACAAACCTCACAACGACGTCATCATTCAATCGTTAAACAGGGGCTGTCTGGGGTATCGAAACTTAAGCCAAGCGAAAGCCTCAACGTCTAAGCCGTGCAGAGCAGCAAGTTCCCCAATCTCGCCCCTGCGCCCCCGAAACACGACGACGCTCCACTGCCCATCCCAGCGCGCGTCGCAGAAATCCGTCCTCGTCCCAGAGCCTCAAGAGCGTCCAGCTCACGCAAGACTGCCACAAACTACGCCTGCGTCCAGTGCCGCAAGACAAAGACAAGGTGCGATGGCAAACAGCCCTGCGCGCGCTGTCAGTCCGGCAGCAATGTGTGCACGTACGACACAAAGACGCTCTCGGGCGAGAGGCTGAACCGGCTTACTCATGCATTCAATGAGCAGAAGGGTAGGCTGAATCACCTCGAGACTATCCTGGCGGCTATGAGGGGCGGGACGGACGCCGAGGCCGCCGAGCTTATGGCGTGGATAAGAATAGGCGAGTCGGTTGAATCTGTCGTTTCCTATATAGAGTCCAAGTCCAGGGCTGTTGTTGTATCTCAAAGGTCAGTTCACTTCTGTAGAATACTACTTGTGAATGTCTTTCTAGAGACGGTCCAGATATGAGCATTTTCAAGTGAAAGCAGTTCCATGTCAATCTATACATCTTTATTCCTTTCATCTACGGATCTCATGACATTTAAACTCCACTGTAGCCTCATGAAGTTTGATTATTACTAACCATCTTCAGAATTATCGGTGCAAACAACCAAGCCAAGAGCAAGTTCATCGAAACACTATTCGACAGAACAGAGTGGCTCGACGGCACCACTTTCGAAGCTGAGCTGACGACGGGCCCATAGATCTCGGCTCCCGTACCCAGAGCTACTTCTCATACAACTTCGGCAACCTCCCCTTCTCCAGCGGCATCAAAGCGAACCACTATCCCGCCGTAGCCCAGCAGGGCCAGCTCCAGAACTACTACGCCAAGCACAACTGGGCCACGATGACGGCCAATGATGGCCACGGCGTTGACTCTGTGACCAAAGCCTGGGCAGACACGCTGCAGAAGGCCCGGCAGATGGTTACTGAGGGTGCGAATCCTGATGATCTGACGGGGACGTTTCCGTCTGTGGCGGCGTTGTTTGATAAGACCGAGTATGAAAATGCGCCCATGATTAGTAAATGGGCTGTTCAATTCATCTACAGCGCGAGACGGCAGGATTATGTATTTACGTCCATGGCTGCTGTGTGGGTTGTTTGGATTGTCATGAGATGGCAGATCAATCCCACCCCTGAGACCTATGCTGTAAGCACTCCCGTCTATGCACACTTGATTTAGTTTCACAGCTGGTCTGTATAAGATTGTTGATCCGGATTATTGCAGTGGCATCTTACTGACTATCAATATAGGAAATGCCTGATTGGATTAGACCAACCGAACTTCAAGTCTTCGTCCCTCATATTGACATGCTGGATTGCATATCATGGCCATTCTTCCGAGACTACATCATACAGCGTCCAGAAATGCAGCACGGTGAGCTACAATGGCTTGCGGCGTGTACTTCAGGCGTACAAGCGTATTGGCGTGGAACAATAGAGGAAGCACTATGTGTTGACGAAGCTACAGGAAAGCGACGGTTCACAGTAGAAGCTGAGGTGGGTTTCTCGATATTGACAATGTGACTCGTCTGACATTTCGTAGGAAGCAGTTAGGGACCTTAAAAATTGGTCGCTTGCGTCGTCGTACCGTGTGTTCATGCCTGGTATCGATGGGAATATCCCTATAAGAACGGTGGTGGATGAAACAGCCACATGAGAGTGATAGACCTGGGGGTTCTAGTAACTTTTGTGCATCATTCGAACATGGACTAAATAATCTTATAAATCTTATCAAGTTTAGGAAATTCCACACCAAACCTCCTCAATTCTCCAGACTCAGTATCATGGCCACCAATGTATAGAATACGATAAAAATCGTGTTTCATACCGAAATAACCCATGGTGAGCTGATACCAACACAATTCCCACCCTGTTCTCACAGAAATATGTAAAACTAGGATACATGGGGGATGTTGGTCATAAGGAAACCAACAGAGGGCCCAACTGACCCGGGAACATCAAGAGTGGCCTTGAGTCGTGAACTTCGTAAATCGCTAGGGTATTACACCTCTAGGGTATGTGAGTTTCGTACTACAAACATACTAGGTACTAAGGTAGGTACGTAGTAACTAACGAAGTGTAAAAAGTCCTCAAAACGGCATCAAAACACCAAGTATCCTTTTCGGATTGTTCTCGTATCATCCACATCCTCTCTATAGAGAAAATAAGAAGCTGCGACTTTCTTCACCGCATCCAACATGGCCCACAGACTAAGAGCCAACACGCATTCATTAACCGCCCTCACTACAGCCGGGCGCATACCTGCATCTGCCTAACGCCTGTCATGAGACAATTGGTCGACTCACCATTTGAGGCTCAGCGCTTTGTTGCAGAATTCCAATAAACCGAGCTATCGTATGTCGGGCGAAATAACAGGATGCAGCTTCAGCTCAGCCTCTTCGCGCAACCAACACAACAACAACCCCTGGCCCTGGTCCAGTTGTGCCACAAAATGGAGTCAAAGCCCAGCGTCGCACGCAGAACTTGGGTCTTTTTACATCTTTACGAAAAATGGCAGAGGCACAGCAGAACATACACCAGGAATGCGCTGATTTCCGAGTCCTCACATGGGACAAGCGTTAGTTTTATCTACATTCTCCAAGCCATGAGACAGTGCTGACCAGAGTAGCGACCACGAAATGGAACAATCCTGAGGATATCCGCCCGGTTGACTTCTGCGACCAGACGTTGCACCCGGTGCTACGGACAGACTCGCATGTTGTGGTGATGTATGTTGCGAGCTCATCTTGTGTAATTGATTGCTAACGAGATGGCAGATTCGCAGACGCAGATAAGGTGCGCGTGTGCGACTCCTGCAAGAAATGCTTCTCCGATAAACTCCGCATCCCAGAGCTGTGGTGGTCAAGCTACAGTCGCAGATCAAATGGTTACTTTGGCAGTGAAACATTTCGAGATGAACAAGGGGATATTTCATCACTTAGTGAGTCCCATGGATCTCACCAACGTATCGAAATTACTAACCATACTAGATACATGGTCGCGCTTCCTCGCCAAACAATTAAACGAGGACGGTCATTCATGGCACAAATTCAACATCTTCACACACTGGGTCGCTTCGTCTCATCAGACCTTTCTTGTCGTCTTCGAAAACCACAATCAACTCAGACTAAGAGAAAGACTCCCCGATCCGCTACTCAAAGACTCTCACAACGATGTCCACAGCGATCCCTTCTGGTTCTACCCTCGCTTGTTTGAGGAGCTGTCCGTTCTCCAGGACAACACCGTCTGGGCAGTCCGCACCCGTGTGAGGAATATTGAGAAAAAAGATCTAACCAAAAAGCCGAAGCCGAATTACAGATACCTACATGACACTGCGAGACATGCTATCCACGTGTCGGAGACGCTCGAAGTGGCCGAGAAGACCATCGCGGCCATCGTGCAGCAACACAGCGCTTTTCAAGAAGAAGTAGTAGCCTCGGACGATAAGCGGGCAAAAGCAAAATATCGGTACGTTGGTGAGCGCATGGTATGGTACGACCACATCCTGCAGAGCCTTCGATGTCGAGCATCCGCGAACAAGGAACGTCTCCTCAACGAGATCCAACTAGCCTTCAACTCAGTGGCACAGTACGACTCGCGAATCTCTGTGGAGATCGGCCAAGCGACACAATCCGACAGCGCGGCGATGAAGACAATAGCCTTTGCGACACTCACCTTCCTACCAGCCACGTTCGTCTCAGCGCTCTTCAGCATGTCTTTCTTCAAGGTCGACGACGACACTGGCGTGTGGAGTGTTTCAGATAAGTTCTGGATTTACTGGGTGATTGCGATACCTGTTACTCTGCTCACGGGTGTGTTGTGGTTGTCGGGTCGGAAGGTGTTCCAGCCTCCCAAGATTGGAGAGGATGAACCGTTTGTGAAGAAGTATCAAACGTTACTTGGGTTTATGAAACGGGGTGGTGATAAGGCTGATGAGATTGAGATGGTGTAGTGATGGGGAAACTGTATGGATTGACATTGGCATCGTTGTTTTCTTGAGATTGTATGGGCTTTTACGAATATTACGAAGGCAAGACATTGCATTTGGCATAACTATTCATTACGTTAAATTCGCGTCATGTTAAGCGCATATCATTACAATAGACCCATTCCAACTAGTTCATCGTTGTATCACACGCATTACCTGAGCACCAAAACACCATCATACTAACATTCAGTACATCGTCGCACATGGCAAATAATCCTCGGTATCAATAACCCCAACCACTTTTCAAATAAGAGCATTGCACCTTTCGCCCGTATTGAAATCAATCTCCGGCTGCACAGTTTCAACCGATACAAAAGAAGCTGGCTTTGCTGAGGCGTCGTATTGCTGTACAACCAACGGCGCGGGCGTCGGGGAAACTTCGAATCCAGACGCAGGCGATGACTGAATTGTAACTTCGACTACGACGCTATCCTGTGGCATCGGCGAGTTGCTCTGCTGAATAATCGCGTTGTTCTCAGCAGCTAGACTGGTACCGGCGAGAATGTCGTTATTGTTGTATCCGCCACCAAATAACCCATTCGTACTATCAGGTGTACCTGGGACTTCGACCAAAGGAACATTACTGGAAATGATTTCTGGTTGATTGTTTTGCATGAAGATTGGATAAACGGGTTGCTGAGCTTGGTCGAACGTTGGTGCTGGAGCTGGCTCGGTAATGTAACTGGGTACTTGATAAGAGACAGTAACTTGCTGCTGGGGCATCTGAGTTGGATCGTAGGTATATTGCTGCGCGGGAAAGACTTGCTGAGTGACTTGATACGCAGGTTGAGGCGTCGGCTGCAGAGGTTGCACGAAAGGCTCTTGTACAGGCGGCTGAACATTTTCGTTCTGCTCAGGAGGAACAGCAGCCTCAAAAGACTCCTGCTGTTGAGTATGCATAGGCTCTTGGCACGGTGCCGACTCGTACGTGGATTGCTGGACCTCGTTGCTAGGCTGCTCGTATGCTTCTTGACCGAACTGCTCCTGCTGAGGTTCGTAACTCTGCTGCTGCTCGTACATTGGCTGAGCATCTGCCGTTGTATATGACACCTCTGCTGTCACGCTGAACTGCTCAGGCTGTTGCTCAAATGATTGCTGTTCGTACGCGGGCTGTTCATACTGTACCGAATACTCAAACGTGGGTTGCTGATCGAAAGCTGACTGCTGGAACATGGACTGTTGCTGGTTATCTTCAAAGGAAAATGACTGCTGCGGCTGCTCAGAGAAAGAGCTTTGCTGATAGTCGAAACTCTGCTGGAACTGTCCCTGCTGTTGATCTTGGTAACCGCCCGAGTCATCCCCGAAACCGAAACCGCTATCATCATTGTAGTCGTTGTACTCGCAATCACTTCCAGATCCATCGCCAACTATTCCATTAACTGAGTTGAGCATCCTGCCCATCTTTCTCCAGTTCTTCCTCTTTCCCAGCTTTCCGACTTGGCGACTTGCCATCTCAACACCTTGGCCTGTGAGCCTGGCCGCATTGATGGTAGCGGAAAGGATGTTGTCGCCAACATTTTGCGGAGCGTTGGGTTGCCCGGGTCTCGCTCTTCTAACGACTACTTTGTTGCCCTGCTTGGTCTGTTGTCTCGGCTGCTGCCCTGGTCTGTCCCATGACGATAGCCCAAGCTGCTCGTTGATGTAGAATGGCACCAAGTCCGGGGTTCTCAGCTCTCTCCAGCCGTCGGGCAGAGAGTTCGCAGGTTTCGTCCAGGCACTCGTTCCCAGTCTTTTGTTGAAGTAGAATGTTCGGCCGTCGGGTGTCTTGCGCTCATCCCAGCCAGGTGGCAGTCCGGAAAACCCAAACAAAGCCGCTGCTGTGGGTTTGAGGTGCGTCTTCAAACCTGTTGCATTATGAGTGTACCAAAGTCGACCAGAGACGTTCTTTCGGATAGTCCACATGTGAGTTATCGGATCTTGCACTGAAGGTTGTACTCGTGGATCGGATTCGGTTGCGTAGTAGGACTTGTCATGGTTGTGGGAAGCGTTGACTGCGTTGGAGGTGAAACACCATACACAGAAAGTTGTTGCGGTGTGTGCTGTGCTGCAGACGAGACAGGTGTATACCGATACATTGAGAGGGATGCCTGGGATGGTTAATATCGTAATATCTGGCTCGATCATGTCACTCACCTTTCCGGCAGTGGTTACACAGCTGGGTCTGCCCTGTTGAGGTACGCCTCACATCCACCGCTGGCGCTTGTTGCACTGCCGGAGGGATAACATTGGGTTCCCATCTCGGGGTGCCTACGCTGGGTGAGGCGACGGTTGTGGCAGGAGTTGCGATACCGGCGCTACTGCTGCTGATGCTTGCAGGCCTCTCATGATCGAGCACAAATGAGTTGATGTTGCTGTTGCTAGTATCGACCCGATGAGGCTGCGGAGCTGGGCTTGTTGAAGATGGTTGTGCTTGTGGATTGTTCGGCAGTGTCTGGTGAGCGGGGTTTGGTGTTGGGCTTGCCGGGTTGGGGGGCTGTTGCTGCTGCTGTTGAGGAGGCTGTTGCGGAGGTTGCTGAGCCTGGACATGCTGATGTGGCAGTGATGGTTGCTGTTGCTGCTGGTGATACGGCTGTTGGTACACTTGCTGTTGCTGTGGTTGTTGATGCTGAACATGCTGCTGAGTCGGCTGTTGATGCTGAACCGGCTGTTGAGTCGGCTGTTGGTGAAGCTGCTGGTGAAGCTGCTGGTGAGGCTGCTGGTGAGGCTGGTGAGACTGCTGATAGTGTTGAGGTTGACCCTGTTGCTGCTGAGGGTATTGTACAGGCTGCGCTTGCTGTTGCTGCTGGATGTTCTGGAACGACTGAGGTTGCTGACCTACCGATTGAGTTTGATGTGTCGGCTGCGGATTCTGCTGCTGATGAACATGCTGAAACTGTTGTCCTGGATGAAAAGACTGAGGTCTCTGCTGTTGCTGTTGGTTGTGAGGAGGATAACCCTGCTGCTGCTGCTGCTGCTGTTGCGGATACTGCTGAGGAGCAGGCCTATGTGGAAGAGAGATATTCTGTGTCGGTGCTACAGGTTTCCCAACAGGTTTTCTGACCACAGACCTCTGGTGCGCCAAAGGCTGAGGCGGCATTGTATTATGTCGCACAAGATTGGGTTGAGGCTGCGGAGACGCCATTTTGACTTACACCCAAGACCCAAGAGGACAAGAGAAATGACAAGACGGGAACCCCGCTTGGCAAACGCTTGTATTTAAACGCTTCGGTTTGTCAAGAAACTCCCCTGTCAATCATTGCATGCCACAAGGTCTCGAGACTTGCCGATGGAAAGATTACTTCAGCTCTTTGGATGTGGTGTCTTTTCTTTCAACCCCTCAACTGGCATGCACAAGGACCCCTGTTGCATCCTCAGCCGCAAATGCGTAACCACTTACAGCGTCTCGTCTACGACTTCGTGGCGCGCTATTGAGAGGCATCCAGCTTGTTCAGGAAAGGACCGCGAAGATGGTGGTCAATTGCAGAGGGCTGCTAAATAGCATGCCGCGTAGTACCCCGTATCCGTAGTGTACATCCCAATTAAGAAAACTTTTGTTCCTCGTGAACGCCTTGATTATCCCCGAACCATGATATCCCTTGTATCAAAGCAAAAAGTCGTGATCTTCTCATGTTCCCACTCGCATCGCTTAGTTGCTCCCACCTTGGGGAGGAGGAGGAGGAGGTGGAGGGGGCGCGGCCTGCGGCGGCGGGACCTCTACCCAATGTGTTAGCACTGGGGGCAGGGCCGGGCCCGGGGCAGGAGCAGGAGCAGGCGGCGCTGGAGCTGGAACAGGCGCTGGAGTTGGAGCCGGAGCCGGAGCGGCGGCCAGGGGCTCCTCCCCGTGACGGAGGGCCAACTCATTGTACCGCAGGAGCAGCTCCGCCAGCTGCCGTCGGAGGAACTGCTCCTGTCTCCGAAGGCGACAGTCCCTGGCCTTATGGCCATAATTGCGGCACTATCTACGTTAGACATCAGGCCTATTGTATGATAAGTATGAAGGGAGACTTACAAAATAGCACCGGGGACCCCCGGCGACACGCACGCCGTTGATGTAAATATTGTTCATCTACACGTCTATTAGCATATATGAAACAAACTCGTGATAGGTGTATAGTTGGGGAAGTAGGAGATAAAGGAGGGTTAAACTAACGTTTGCCGATGTTTGTGAAGAGTTGACGATTCAATGTTGCAGAGGCAGGAGCTACGATCTGTAGTGGGCTCCTCAGCTGCGCACGTGACATCGTGCCTAGGCAGCTAAAGGTGAAGAGATGCCTAAAATAACTGAGGCATCTGCCTCTGGTATTATGAGTCTGCAATGGGATGAATTTCACGAGCCTTGAGCTGTCTAAATCTTTTGGTGTTGAGTGAACTTAGACGGTGTCCACTAAGATCAAGTTATGCAGGGATTTGGGTACGTACAGTCCAGTGCCAAAGTTCCGACAACGAGTTGACTGGGAGTACACATAAAAATATGGAAAATAAATATTGTAAAATAATCCCAAGATTATATATGACTACATGAAATGAAAGAGTTTATTATCAAAACATTTCTTTATATAAACTTGGACGAGAGGAAGTTGGCGACTTCTGCACACCCACTGTATCTGCAGCGCGTTTTTGTTGGCTCATCACACTAAAGGAATCCATGTTAAAGCCGATCGCCTGGCAATCGCTTTTAACACGCCTACCATCCCAAAGTCTGATACTCACGAATTCTTTCAACAAAAAAAGATTCTTTCCCTTTCTAAGACATCCCCGAGTCAAGAACCCCCTCCAAATTCCACTGCGTCGTCTTAGAGAAGGCGGGAGCGTAAAGAAGAAGGAGGCGGAGGTCGAGCGCGAGGAGAGGCCGAGGGTGGAACTAGGTTGGGAGATGGGTGCACCAGCAGGAACAAAGAAGGCCTCCCGAGTCGATATGCAGATACTTGTATTTCTTTGAATACAAGTCAGATCTACCAGAATAGACGAGATATTGACTGCAATGGTCATGAAACAACCGCTGCCCCTCAAAACACAAGTACCCTTGGTGCTATCCGTACAGTCGTCGCCTCCAAGACCAACAACTCACCAGCATTTGTTTTCGCTTCTTCGCCTACCTGCTGTACATTCAAGCTCGAACTTCCAGTTCTATTAGGCTGATAACCGACGGCCGTGACAGAAGCTCGTGGAATATGAGACGGAGTGCCTGAGGCTTCTGGCTGATGTCGCTGCTGCGGCTATCGCGGCAATCCTCTCTGTGAAAGAGGCTCACGACAACAAAACTCTACCACATGCGGAAGAAACGGAGTCCGAGCTCTTGTGTTTGTTTCATTCACCCAGGCCGCGTGAACGGGCCGTGCGAAGCGGCGCTCCAGGTGAATTGCTGGCTAGTCTGTTCATTGAATGTTCCGAGTTCAACTAATAAGCGTACCAGGTCCACATCCTCGTTGCCGGATGTGAGGCAACAAGTCTCTGCTCATCCCAAAACCCCGACGCATTATCTTGGACGTCGCATGATACTGTCGGCGTGGTCTACTTTGATGCTCATCGGTTGTTGACAACTTATCTGGCGGACAAAGCCTACATCGACAGAACAACCTGGGAGAACAATCTGGTAGAACAACAAGCATCGCAATATGATGAGTTTCATGTCCAAAATGGCTACAGCCGCACATCCCTCCGTTTGGTAAGCGGCAGTATCACATGGTGAGTCTCTTGGATTGTGCTCGAGCAGTCGCTAATGGACAGTCTTCTACAGATACGACATAGTCTTTCACCCACGACTTACTTGATCTCTCGAGAGCCCGAATTTGGTCATTTCACCAATCAATTGAAGTTTATTTCGACCAGGATGGGATACGACAAGATAGGCATTTGGACTTCCTGGGTAAGACGTGATCAGTTGTCCCACGTCCGAGATCAACTGCATCTAGGTGTGTATACCGACTATCACGCTCATTCAGCCTTTCCCCTGTAGCAAAGCAACTCTCAGAGTTTTCTCAAGTCATTCCGAATCGACAGTTCACATTTGGAATCTCCTTCAGGCTCGGATATCGAGTTCTCGGGACGTCAACCCAGTCGCTGTTCGAGTCTCTACAACAGCATTGTTCATAGCAGTGCAACTAGCAATGAGTATCCGAACCACTCGGGGCAAATGAACAAAGACGGTTCTACCTAGTGGTGACTTGAACAATTCACTTCGAAGGCCTACAAGTTCCTGGGAACTCAACAGGTTCGCCTACGGCAAGGCCCGAACATGAGCTTCTCTCTCCCCGTTTCTACGAACACGGAACATTCATCGAGGCATCGAGCACCAGAACAACCTCATTTTCCTTCCTATAAATTCTCGGTCTCTACCCTTCTTCTTGGCCCTTTTCTCTTCTCACCAAGCTTTCATTGCATATCACACTTGTTCAGCACCCTCAACACCACAGCTATCATCAACAACATCATCAAAACCTTCTTTCTCTCTTACCACCACTCTTCTCATCATGTCTGGACGTGCTTCGCATCACAAGAAGGATCGCCGCGATCTTCCTGATCGTCGTCTTCCTCAGACCCCTTCTCGCAACAGCTATGTCCCGGAAGTGAGCTCTCGCCTTCAGCAGTCGTGGGTTCCGTCTTCGAACACCTCAAACCGCTCTGCTTCCCCTTATGACAGCTTCGGTAACGAATACACTCCTAACAGCCAGACTTCTACTAATTCTCGACCAGGTCAGTCAACCCGCGCTCAGGGTCATCTGCATCTTCGCGGTTATGAATCTCCCAACTCTTCGCCCGCTGGTCCGTCTCAGCCTCACACCCCCCTACACCTTCGGGGTTCTCATCCCGGGTTCAACCCTCAGGCCGTGGAGTTCTCTCCCAGTCCTCCTCGGTCAGCCTACGCGCAGCCCGCTTCCTATGACAATTCCCCTGAGGCCCAGCGCGCCAACCGACTTAGTCACATCAACCAGATGGAGGACTTCCGTGACCGCGAGGAGGCTATGAACGATTTCATTTTCGACCAGGCCACTCCTTGCACCCGTGAGGACTTGGCTCGTGAGAAGGAGGAGTTGGAGTTGCAGAGACGCAAGGAGCAGTTTGAGAAGTACCGAAAGAGTAAGCGCGACGAGTGAGCGCTAGGAATCTGTCTTAGAATTTGGAGTTCAGGATTAAGAATGTACCATAGACAATTGTGAGAGGATACCGGGTAAAGGGATATGGATTGGAGTTTTTGCATTTTTCAGGAAAGCCGCGCTTTGGCAACTGGATGATTGATCATTGATGAGCTGGACTCATTTTGTTCCTACCATGTAGATTCTGAATAAACTTGGTACTACAGAGATATTATTACTTATATTATTTAAATGTGATGTCGTGACATGTATGTGTGCATTGCGGATGAATCCATGTGAACGATCCTGCTGGACAATTTTGGGCACAAGGCAAAAAGGCGTCTCCGTCGTGACTGAGTGGCATATCTCAGTAATTACTACATAAACTGAGCCTCACTTGGTAAGCAGTACGTATTTCGGCGCTCATCGGATGAAGAAGCGGCATTGGCAATTATGTGAGTACAGTAACATCCGGCGAACGGCGATACCCCGTGACCGCCGACCGGTAAAGTGGATCTTCGGCGCCGAGACAAGCGGAGATCATTACCTCGTCATACTGACGCCTCTGCAAAGAAAAGGTTACGTCCGAGAGGATCGATCTTGATTAAATCTAACCCATAGAGCATGAAACACAAGCTCCCCTCACAAAAACGTGTTCTGATAGATCCATGACGTAATCTCCTCCATCGCTCTATTTAACAAGATGAAACGTCGCACACAGACCCGACGATCGCAAATCTTAAGTTGACGACATCTGAGATTGATTCAATATGGCTTCAAAAGAAAATGAAAATATTCCCGTCACTAATGACAGCTTGGGGCAGCCTCTTTCGGCGAAGAACCAGGTCCTTACTGCGGGTGCTGCTGTGACGCAGGTGAGTTCAGTGAGTGGAACAGATCAAGAGCTTCAACTGACTCAATTGATCAGGAGTTTCGACCGGTGAAGCATATTTGCGCTCATCTCAATGCATTTCACGCATACGCGGATGATCCATCGCGATTCGTGGAGACAAACCACTATTGCGCCCACCTGAGTACGTTGCCAGTCCCGTCGATCCGTCTCACTACTCACAACATCAGACGAGGACGTGCGCCAATGTCTCCTCTATGACTCGGACCAGCCCAACGCCCGTCTCATAGGAATTGAGTACATGATCACGCCCAAGCTCTATGAAACACTCGACAAAGAAGAGCGCAAACTATGGCACTCGCATGTCTACGAGGTCAAGTCGGGAATGCTCATCATGCCCAACCGCGCCGTACCTGAGAGCGCATGGCAAGTAGCCGAGAATTATGAGATGGAGCAAGTCGTTTATCTGTATGGAAAGGTGTACCACTTGTGGCAAACGGATCGGGGGCATACGCTGCCGCTGGGTGAGCCGAAGCTCATGACGAGTTTCACGGCGGATGGGCAGTTTGACTTTGAGAAGCATGTCGGGGAGCGGGATAAGAGGTTCGGAACGGATTATAAGGTTAAGAAGGAGGCGAGAAAGGATATTCCTGTACCGGAGATTCATGAGGGTGAGTGCTGAGGACAGGTTGAGTGAGGGATTGTGCTAACGGTGCTAGATGCGGACCAAGCCTGGAAGAAGAACGATTGAGGCTGACGAGTAACGGAAATGAAGTGGTGTGACAAGCATTGGGCGAATTAGCGGACTGCGCAAATGGAGTTGGAAGCTGGAGTAAGAGGCATAGATTATGGAATAGCGCTGAGCTTTGAACGGTCGGAAACTCATGATAGATAGGCAATTGAAGTGTCTATCATACCGGGTATCATTTATTAATTGGATGAGAAGTATTGTCGGAGAGCCAACGCGGCTTCGACTTGTAGCGTCATAGACAGGTCTGACGACACGACGCTGTTCTGCCAACTCGCGCACGTAACTCCTTCGTCAAGCCGAGCTTCACGCAAGCAGTCCTTACTTCCCAATGGTCACTTTCTGCGGCAACTGCTGCACTCCCTGCGCTTGCAGCATGACACGCGTATCGTGAACCTTGCGATCAATTCCTCTGAAGTCAAACACCCCCTCGAGCTCTCTTCGGACGGCTAGTAGCTGATCCTGCGCCTTACGGATCTCGTCGGGCTTGTTGTCCTGCATCACATGTGCCTTGACGTGGAGGAACCATCGCTTCTGCTGGTCAACGGGTGTGAGGGCTTCCCACGAAGGAAGGACGTCTAGTGGGAAAGATGGCTGCTGTTTTGTCTCCATAGAGACGTAACTCTCGAGGGGTTGGAGGAAGTAGTGTCGTACCAGACAGAACTCGATCTCATCCCGGTAGAAACGGAAGACCTCCTCGATTGTCTCCGTCTTGAATCTGCGCAGTGTTAGTATCGTATCAATCCCGCTGACAAGAATGCTCAATTTACGTGTGGTTGTTGTCGCGCATGACGGAAGGTAACTTCTTCTGCTCCCAAAGCTCAACCTTCTTCCGCTGTGTGAGCAAAGGTTGTCCACGAGGTGGATCAGGGAAGTCGGTCCATCGCAATATTCCCTGCGTCGCATCAAGGTCCATCGCTGACGCATCGGGACCCATATGACGATCCTTCAGGACATCATATCGTGTTTGAAGTATGTACGACTGCCGTGTCAAGTTCTGATGAAGCTGATTCCACAGGAAGCCTGTGTCTTTCCGTAGAGGCTTCTCAATGGAGTTCTGGTTGGAGATACCCTTTGGTTGCGATGGCCCTTGGAAGTAAAGGACTCGCTGGACGGCTTCCCAGGCGTCCATGTTAGTGAGACCGCCGAGCACGTCGCATGTTGCGCCGAAGTCTTTGTCCTCGATGAGGGCTGTGAGAAAGATTTCGTGCATGGTGATGTCGTTGATGACGTAGGTCTGATAGCTGGGTCAGATACCTATACAGCTTCAGGCGGCAGTATCTGAACTGTAAACTGATATTTAATGCCGACAGGTAAGATGAGCGATTGCGATGTTCCTTTGGGTATACCTATTGGAGATGAGTGGTGGTGTCGCAGACCCCACCAAAGCTTAAGCTCAAGCTCTGCCTGTCAAGGTCACGTGATGGCGCGCCTGGCTACGCGTTGAGTGAGCAGAACGTTTGGGTTCAACGGTTTGTCACTAACCAAACAAATAATCAGGAGTAAGCACTTTGGGAGTTAAATCACAAAAGAATGAGATAATAATAAAGAGAATAATACCAATGGTTTTTTTTAATTTGTAACAGGATATCATTTCAGTACCCAAACATTGAGAATGCTCCTAATTCTGCCTGTTTTCTCGAACAAAACACATGAGTTTAGGTTAGGTACCTGAGCTTAGTTGGCCTTGGCGTCATCTTTTCCCGCCTGGGCGTCGCGTGGTTGGTTGCTGGGTCCCTTGGCACTTCAACGTCGTTTGACAACAAACATCGCATCGCATCGCAATCACGACTCAACCAGATGCAGATCATTCCATTACTCGTGCGACGATGCCAGACGATCTCAATCCAAAGCGCAAAGCCTCCGACGCTGCTGTGTCTCCGCCGCCCGTCAAGCGCAAAGTCCAGAGCGGAACAACCAGTGAGTGCGCAACCCTACCATCGTCGCAAAGACTCGGACGATGACTAACCTAAATCTAGAGACTGCTATAGCGAACTTCTTCACGCCGGCATCGCAAAAGCCTAAAGACCCTACTGTTTGGTCCGAGCGAAGCCCCAACAACAACGACGATATCCCCGCGACTCTCCTTGTCGGCCGATTCGAACCAGACAAGAAAGAAGATCGAACCATCAAGAGAAGGAGGATAGCCGCCTTTGATCTCGATTCGACACTCATAGCTACCTCCTCAGGCAAGAAGCATGCCAGTAGCGGGACGGATTGGAAATGGTGGCACAATTCAGTCCCCGACAAGCTCCGAGAGCTGTATCAAGATGGCTTCCGAGTTGTCATTCTATCGAACCAGGCGGGATTGACTTTACACTTTGATGCGAAATACAAGGGTCCCAAAGGCAACGCGCAGAAACGTGTCACAGAGTTCAAACAAAAGTGCAGTGCCGTTCTGAATAGTCTGAACCTTCCTACCTGCGTCTACGCGGCGACCGAGCACGATATATATCGAAAACCGAGAACAGGTATGTGGAAGGAGGTATGCGACGACTACGACCTCTCGGAGACCGACGTGGACCTGGAGAACAGCATCTTTGTCGGCGATGCAGGGGGTCGCACCGCAACCTTCAGTAGAGGCCCGGAGGGAACTCCGGCCACGGCCAAAGACTTTAGCTGTTCAGACAGGAACTTTGCTCACAACGTGGGGATCAAGTACCGAACGCCGGAGGAGTTCTTTCTCGGAGACAAAGCTCGGAGTTTCGCTCGTGAATTCGACTTGGCCGAGCATCCCTTCCGCAACGATGCTCAATCGGGGCACTCCGTGGTGACATTTGAGAGAACTAACGATAAAGACATGATCTTGTTCTGTGGGCCACCCGGGGCTGGGAAGAGCACCTTCTACTGGAAATCCCTCAAGCCTATGGGATACGAGCGAATCAACCAGGACCTACTCAAGACCCGGGACAAGTGCGTGCAGGCAGCAGCCAAATACCTGCAAGACGGAAAGTCTATCGCAATAGGCGCGTTTCCCCAAATTTCTCCAGAACCCCATTCCCTCCCCTCACGGCGCTAACCAGGATCTTGCAGACAACACCAATGCCGATCCAGAAACCAGGACCGTTTGGGTAGAGCTTGCCAAGAAATCCGGCATCTCTATCCGTTGTGTGTGGTTCAAAACTCCTCTCCAAGTGTGCGAACACAACAATGCTGTGCGGGCGCTCAACGAATCGCTGAACCCTGAGTCAAGATCAGTCTTACCCAAGATGGCATTCACGGGTTTCGCAAGCAGGTTTAAACCACCACAGCTGAAGGAAGGATTTCAAGACATTACAGAGGTACAATTTCAATTCCGTGGTACAGAGGATGAGTATCAGATTTGGGGTCGATACTGGACTTGAAAATCATGATAATACAAAAGAGGATCCCCAAAGACTGGTCTTGGCATCATGCCATCTCCGCATCATGCAAATTTCCTTCATCACAAGTCCCCAATTCTCTGGGGCGCCCTGAGGTTCGAGTCGCCCCCGCAGAACCCATCAGGGAAGGTTAAGCGCAGAGGAAGCGTGGAAGCGAATATTGGTCCGTTCACGATTCCCTCGTGCCCAGACGGGGTCCTGGGGTAGCATTTGGAGGTGGTGGACCCTGCTAGGGTCGGGGTTCAGGCGACCGGACCAGCTAGAGCGCCTAGAATTGTCATCTTACTCGATAATTACCACAAGAGGTTCGTGTCTGACTCTGGTTAAAGGTTTCAACTCGTCGGAGATGTGGGACCGTCGGTTGTCAGAAAAAGAACCGGACCGACTTTTTAACGGAGTTATGTATCCAAAGACTAAATCATCCTTGACCTGGGGCGACTTTATTTGCGTTAAGCACAGTTTCAAGCTTATATCCTTAAAAAGATCATCTGTGGGGGAACGCGGAGGTGTTCGGGTCGTGGGATGACACCCGAGATCTGGCCAGGCCCATTCTTTAAGCGTCGCGTAGGTGTTGTTTTTATTTCATGCAGAAACAATTCAATTTTACATCTCTTGGAGTCGTTGTTAGTTATCTCTTGGTATTGGGATTAATCACGTCTTGCTATTCCCGCCTCCAATTGACGACTCTGCCCAGCCGGCCGATTTGCATTGGCAAGCTTGGCGTAACGTGGTTTACTTGCCGTAGCGGCTGGGCACAGCGGAGGCTGCCTTGCAAGGAAAAGTGGTGGCTGTTTCTCTGACGTTAAAAGGACCAGGATGTCATTGAAATGGAGGGGACAAGACTGGATTCGGCGAACAGAAGTTGAGTGCTAGCGCCCCCTGTTCATAGAATTAGGCTCCGCGTGTGGATATTCCTTGATCCTACTGTAACGCTCTAGAACTGACTGCATCAGCTCATGAAATTCGGTAGCGTCTGTGGATGCATGGACTCCTTTCCTAGCATTCCATTTGCAGAGAGATGAATAAACATTTAACTTATGCGCTAAAGTTTGCAGTATACGAAGTCACCGAATGAAATTACTGCTCTGCGATTCGCAGGCACGACCAAATTCCTTCTATCGATTCGGGTAGTCTAAACCGTTAATGGAGGGGGTCCGATGTTAGCGTATCACTGTGAGAAGTAATGGGGTCCCCGCTATTGGCTTTCTCGTGGGGCCAAACTTTGTAGACTGAGATCATCAACGATAATTTGGGGGACACTCTCGACTGTTACCTACTCAAGCTAGTCGGTGTAACGAACCCCAGAGAGATCAGCGGGGTTATGTGTGGAGGACCAACTTCTCCGTGGGGAAGCAAGATTCACCCAATGTATAAAAGGGATCGTCGCATCTCACTTACACCCACCTCTTGTTTTCCCATCAGGCTCTTTCTGAACACCCTTCCTCTTATCCTTCACACTTGACAAAAGCAACCGCAATCATGGCTGGAGGCGTCAAGAAACCCGTCAACATCTTCAAGCTCAAGGACCTGGGCGAGCCAGCCGGCGCGTTCAACTGGCGACTTTGGTTCGCAGTTGTATCGTTCGCTCTGCTTGGTGCTGCGCGAGGTATCGATGAGGGTCTTATCTCTGGATCGTTCAACTCCAAGAATTTCCAGGAGAAGATCAACTATGACACGTACACGACTGTCGAACAGGCCAACATCAAGGCCAATGTCTCTGCTATGGTCCAGCTCGGTTCCGTTGCTGGTGCTCTTATGTAAGCTATTAATCCTGCTCTTTTTGCTCATTCGGAAGGAGTCAGTGCAGCTCGCACCTTCCCCGTTGCTTCTTCAACCCGAACTCCAAATATCATCCATCACCAACATCAATCCCAATGTTTCACCCTGCTAATATCTTCCAGTGCTTTCTTAATTTGCGATCGTATTGGCCGAATCTGGGCTACCCGTGTCCTTTGCACACTTTGGATGCTAGGAATTGTTATCTTTATGGTATCTGGTGTCAATGGCAGTCTGGCTGGAGTATACGCTGGGCGATTCATTGCAGGATTAGGAGTTGGTCAGACACCTGTCGTTGGACCTGTTTATATCGCTGAGATTGCTCCTCCTGCTATTCGTGGTCTCTGTTCTTGTCTCTTCACAGTACGTCCCAACCCAATTTGATCAGCGCCGTTTCTAACTAGCGACAGGGTTCTGTCTACATCGGTATCGTTCTCGCTTACTTCACAAACTACGGCGCTCACCTGAACATCGCCGAGGAATCGCATAACCAGTGGCTCGTCCCTACCAGTCTTCATATCTTGTTCTCCGGCTTGATCTTCATCCTCATGTTCTTCCAGAGCGAGTCCCCTCGTTTCCTGGTCAAAGAAGGAAAGCCAGAAGAAGCTGCTAAGGTTCTTGGACGTCTTCGCCAGCAGCCCGCGGAAGGCGAATACATTGTTCGCCAGATCTCCGAGATCCAGGCTGCTCTTGACCACGAACTTGAGGCTACCAAGGGTGTCGGCTTTCTCGGCAAGGTCAAGGAGCTGCTCTTTGTCCCCAGCAACCTGTACCGTCTTTACATGACTTCCATGGTTCAATTCCTCTCTCAGTGGTCTGGTGCTGGTTCTATCACTCTTTATGCCCCTGATCTGTTCAAGATTATGGGTATTGTTGGAAAACAGGAGGGTCTCCTTGTTACCGCCGTTTTCGGAATTGTCAAGTTTATCGCCGCTATTATTTGCGCTCTCTTTCTCGTCGATGTCATTGGCCGAAAGCGAGCTCTTCTTATCGGTATCACTCTGCAGACAATTGCTATGGCGTACGTCGCTGCTTTCCTCACCAAGATCCCCCAGCTCGGCGTCGACGAGGACTTCGTTCTCCCCGATTCTGACAAGACTGTTTCGCGAGGTGCAGTGGCTATGATATATATTTCAGGCTTCGGCTGGGCTCTCGGTTGGAACTCTATGCAATACCTACTTACAGCAGAGCTATTTCCTCTTCGCATTCGCGCCCTCGCTACATCCTGGGCCATGACACTACACTTCGCAAACCAATATGGTAATTCTCGGGCAGTTCCAAACATGCTTCTTGCGGTTTCTAAGGGCGGCATATCCCCTAATGGAACCTTTTTCTGCTTCATGGCTGTCACATTTTTGGGCGGCCTTTGGGTCTGGTTCTCCGTTCCTGAGACCAGTGGACAGAGTTTAGAGAGCATGGATGATCTATTCGAGCTTCCTTGGTATAAAATCGGTCTTTACGGTAACAAAAACGCTGAGGAGATCGGTGAGGCTCGTACCGAGAAGCAACGCTATGTCGAGGAGAGTCACGCCACTGGTATTGAGCTTGAGCACCAGCGAAAGCAGGGTGTTTAATTGTCTGAATGTGTTTAGTGCTAGGGTTGGTTTTGGTCTAGTTACGAATATTATGAATCTGTTAATGAGTAAATATGTTGCTCATCCTCACAATTGTCTCTTTGCGTAAGTTGACTTAAGCATATGGCACTTCCCGATCTCGCTTGTGTTGATAAGGTTTAGCGGCCGTTGCATAACCGCTGACCCACGGGTTCCTTCCTCGAAGTAAAACTATCATAACGTCAGGCAAGAAGTACATTACCCGAGCACCTCTCTCTCCTTCCTCTCTCAAGCTACGGAGTCTTGCTTATCTAAACTTGAAAACTTGTTGTCCACCACTCAAATGCACTCCAGTCACAATAACACATACGCATAAAAAGCTGACCCAAACATAAACGGATCCCTGGTGAATCTCATCAACTGATTCAACGATTTGAGTATCAGGCTTCTCTGCCCTTGGATACTGCTCAATCAGCGCCTTTGATACTGCCGCGGCCGTTGCAGCAGCAAAGTTTTGCCATTCTTTGTTCTTGAAATGATCAGCATAGTCGCAGACACCCTTAACGACAATGGACGGAAGTTGATCCCAAGCACCGGCGCCCTCCATCTCGAATGCCACGAGATCATAAATTTTCGCAAGTCTTTCTCGCTCTTTGGCGGACCTGAGCACTGTGTCTCCGGAGCCAATATTTCCGATGATAACAGCCGGACTTGGTGTTTCGAATCGAGTGACCTTTTCCCAGTTCTGGTCGAAGCTCAGGTTGCGCACAACGAGTTGCTGTTCACCACACGCGAATCCGCGACACAACACTTTGCGTTTCGCATCACACACCTCACCTGGGTTGTTCGGGCGTATATCATAAGGTGTGTGATGTTTGCACTTGTATGAGGGAGTGAGTAGACGGTCCTTTTCCGCCCCCGGGTATTGGTAATTGGCAGCTCGCCGTTTTCCCTTGGCGCGCGATTGAAGTTCCTCTAAGTATGCAGCTGCCTTCGTTTCAATCCTCCTTTGGATTCGATTACTTTCGAGGGACGTCATGAAATTACGAATTTTCTTCCTAGGCATTCCGAAGCCTTCGCCAAATGTATCTCTTTCGCAGGGGCTCTCCACGTCATACTGAACTATGGCTTTGCCGATAACGACGTCGCCGAGAAAGATTTTGTTGCCCGATTGGGGTTCAGGAACACCACCACAGACTCCAACCACCAAAAGAAGTTCGAGGTTTGGAAAGGAATAACGAAGGTGGACGGTTGCGCTCGCGGCAGCGACCTTCCCTATCCTGGAGAGAACAAGAAGAACGACATTGACATCCCCAATGCGGCCATATGTGTAAGAGTTCGGGTCTGCGGATGACCTTCCAAGATTGACTTCGTCCCAGAATTCGTCGACGGCATAGCTCATGGCATCGTACTCGACAGAAAGGGCACAGAGAATACCGATCTGGAGATCATTGCGACTCTTGGGCGGAGCGAACATTGGCTTTTTCCTAAACAACGACAAAAAATGAGATAACTAAAACATCGATCATCAATTTTGTCTTTTGCTTTCAATTCAGATCTATATATGGGAGCTCAAATCGTTGTCTTTAGCACTCAGCGGCTAGCTAAGCGCCGAGTTTGAGGAAGCCAAGGGTTGATGGTTTCATGTGGTGGACATCTCCACAATCTACTCAATGCCAATGGCCTGGCTCAATCTGCCGCTTTGTTTGTCTATTGACAAAATGGATTTGCTGTTCTGCATCTTCAATCTTAACCAAGCAAAAAAGATATAAATACTAAAAAACTCAAAAAATCTTTAGTTACAAACCATACTCGCCGCGACAATGTCGAATGGCCCGACGTTCACAAGTCTATAACTACAGGACAGTTTCATCCTTACAGGGTTCAGCGCCACAAGTAACGCTCAGCAATGCTTCAACTTCAATATTCATGCCGAGTCAAGACCAATTTATTCAATATCCTATGAGAGAAATGAAGATTTTATTCCCAGGCCGAATATAATCTCGCAAATCGAGGAAGTGTTACCAATGGACTCGAAGACTTGCTCGAAAGAAAGAAAGAAAGTGACACCATGCCTCCCCTACCAGCGACTCGTAATGACTTCCACCTCGGTATTGTCTGTGCTCTTCCACTTAAGTATAATACTCTGGACTACATTATCGTTGAGTATTAGGACAGTAATAAATTCGGAAGATTGCCCGGACACCTGAATACCTATACACATGGTCGGATCGCAGACTTCAACGTCGTTGTGGTTCTTCTCTCAGGCATTGAAAAGGTCAAGGCTGCAAGCGCTACCGCAAGCATGCACCATGGGTGGCGGACGGCCAAGGTACTCAGCCTCCTTAGCTTCGCAAAGCTTTCTGTCTCTGACTTATTTAATAGACTTAGTAGTCTATATATGATCGTCCTTTGTTGTTATGAACTTTCGCGATCTTGAGGACTCTGCAGAAGGGTGGAAGTATTCTCTGCCATGATGGGTTTCCCCTCCCGTCCCCTCCCTCTGCCACGATACCTTATATCAAGTGTAACGGGATGATATAATTATAGCTATGAACTTTCGCGATCTTGAGGACTTTATAGAAAGGTAGAAGTATCCTCTCCATAATAGGTCCCCCCCCCCTCTGCCATGATATATTATATAAAGTGTAACGGGACGATGTGATTGTAGTTATGAACTTTCGCGATCTTGAGGACTCCGCAGAAGGGTGGAAGTATCCTCCCCGTGATGGGTTTCCCCTCCCTCTGTCACGATACATTATGTAAAGTGTAACGGGATGATGTGGAAGAGAAGGAGACATATACACCAGGAGAAGAGTAAGATCTTAGATACCAAGATTTGGGCAGAGGTAGATAGATACCGGCAATCCAAACGAGAAACCCGTGGGTCAACGGTTATCTAACAGCCGTTGGGCCACCCTTGAGTGAGCGTGATATCGCAAGATACGGTGTGTGGATTTTCTTTCTCCTTTGACCTTTGAATTTATCAAGCCCATGCTTCCCTAATCTCTCCATGATATCAACAATGAAAATAACATCCTTCAAGGTCAAAACAATATAATCAAAGCAGTAGAGTCGCACACGGCAACTAAACTCCAATCAAGTGAACACGTAGATGACTCACACAGCCGTACGCATAAAAGCTGAATTTTCCTCCCACATCTCAACTTGTCCTCAACCTGTTCCATACCCCAAGCTCGTCAATCAACCCCTTGTCCCCTACCCTTCGGTCCACATCCATAACCTCTTCCGCAGCTACCACGATGAGTTCTGCTATCGAGATAATAAGCATCTGTCGCAAAGCAAACCTCCGTCTGACCTACAAAGACGCCAAAGAAGGCATTGGTGACTGCTATAATAAGTAGAGAGTCGCCGGTATGTGAATGTGGTTGGAACAGGCTTGGGTCGGTAGAATCAGGAGCAGAGGTTGTTACAATCAGCTGTCTTGTAGATTGGTAGCGCTTCCAACCAGAAACCATTTATGTCTTGTTAGTGCAGAGCTCATTTGGTTTGAAGTAGTGACATGATTTGTGTGTCATGAGTGTCGTGGAGAAGGATTTGCTTCGGGGTTATCGACGATCGTGAGATCTCACTGCTGTGACCGCTGCGGCTGTTCCAAAAGTGCTTGTAGGTCGATACCCCATGACGGAGAGGCCCAACTAGAGCGCCAAGGGATTTGTCAATGGATCAATTTCCACGGTGGATGAAGCTTTGGAGATGGATGAGGGCGAGGTGCTTAGGGTGCCTCTTGCCTGGCTTTTGTGGTAGCCTTAACTTGAAGAAGAATTTCGAAGAAGGACGTCAGTTTAGGATTGCTCCATTTCATATTCTCTGATATTGGCAGTGCCTTGATATAGCTGGTGAAAAGGGAGATGCAGGCTATTATCAAGAAGAACATTATCCTTTTTCTCATCCTGATGCAAGATGTTGACGGTGATGTACTGCATGCCGTGATTGATTTTGGAGCAAGGTTTGCTTCCAGATAGTGCGATCTCGGCGGGTGGGTAGCTTTTGGAAGCTGTGAAATGTCATTGGAGTCTTATCGGTTGGTTGTGTGTGGCTTCTGTGAGAGCTCTCGATTGGAGAGGTTCAGCCATGGTCTCTATGGCATGTTACAGCGTTAATATAACATACCTACGCGCATCTGGGCTCGGCTTGATTGAGATCGAGAGATGCAAAGGGTCGTTGTAAAAGGATGACACGGGGTCGATATGAAAGCAGAAGCCGTGAGCGGGAGCTTGGACTAATAGCTTGGTACTAAACGTTAGGTAGACATCCGTTATGCGCCTGATTAGGTTACAAGATCTCTGGGTCGTCATACTGGTGATGGCTTGAAAAGGCGGGACAGGGTGAGCCCCTAGCAACAGCAATGATCAGCTTGCAATTTGAAGTGTGGTGGAATAGCTATGCATCACTTACCATTGGGGATTGTCTGGGGTGATAATCAATCAGTAACGGATCGACTGTAGCTCCTTGCGGTCCTCGGGGACAGTAACGCACTTGGTACTCGTTGAGGTAACGGTCTTGGCTGGAAGTTGACATGTTGCGACGTTGATGTAGCTCTTGGCTGAAGATTAAATAATTAGTAACGGTCGTAAAACATCCCTTGGTACCTGGACTGGACTGGGCCTTACCAAAGAATCGCTTGCATTCAGTGGCGTCGCGATTTGATGTGTACTTGCAGTACGAGGGTGAGGAGCCCTTGCATGTTGGCGGTCCTGTGGCTGAAACAGCAGCAGTGAATAAGATGATGACGTTCTGGAACTTCATCTTGACCAATGAGATAATAAACCGGTGCAAAGAAAAGGAACCTGTCGTGAGAAAGAGGTAAGATTTGGGAGGATTGCTCTTGTTTATATTCATATTTAATCTCCTACTTCCTCCTCTAAGGCCTGTCTACTTCTCCTATCCCCTCGCATCTCTACGCATCATTCCATGCTGGTTGTCGCTCAATGAGGATTACCCTGGTTGGTGTTTTGTACGAAGCGAAAAGGAAACCCTGCACTCAGCTGTTGATAATCCCTACTTAGAGTGGGCTGATGCACATATTCCGGGGCGACAGGTCACGCCCACTGCAGACTATTGGCAATAGCTTCAAAAAGCAGATTGCTTTGGGCCTAATAATGCAGCCATCCCAACGGTTTTGGCAGTCTGGACTGCTCTATTCGATTTAAGCGATCCCACGCGCCTCTCACTGCTATTCTCAGCACGCAGCTATTCTGAGTCTGTGAATATTAGGCGTTGTCCGTCGGCGGGAATCTTGGAGTAAAAACTCCGTAGTGCGATTGCAAAGCCATCATCTTGATTTATTACCCGAGCGCCATTTCCGATATAGCTTGTTTGCTTCTCCGCCTTCACTCAATATTGGCTTAACTCAAAGTGGTAGGTTCTCAGCCCTATAATGTAATCAGGGTTTAGTATACTTGTATCTCTAAGCATGGGAGCATAACACTTAGGTGGTTGTAAGTAAATACTTGTGAAAAAGGCTAGAGAGTTATAGTTATAATTAAGAGTATTTTCAATATAGATAAGAATATTATAATAGACAACTTTAAACACTCTTCTTAGAATGGAAACTAGAAGAACTCCTATATTTCTTACTGTCTTACGTGATTATTGTTATAGTAGCTATAATTACGAAATCTTACATTTTACTAACATAGGGCCTCTATCTTAAAACTTAATTATTTTTATTTCTATTTAATAAGATTACAATTCACTTTAGCCTACTATGAGTACTAAAGGGATCATGTAGTATGTCACTGACAGGGTCTTGGAAGGATACTAGACGCAGACTTGATATATTCAATCCAACAGCTAATTCAAGCTATAATACCTATTTTATCTATATGTGTGCATTCTACAGCAGGCGAGGCTTAAGAAGCTCCTTAACCTCCTCATCCGACACACTCTTAACACCCAAAAGCTCATTATCAAGCTTAGGGTACTTGGGAACACTGTTTGCATCAAAAATAGATCGCACAAGATAAACAGAAAGCGTAGGCCAATCAAAGATCCCCTTTGCAACATTGGCATCGGACTGAGCAACAGCATCGTCAATCTTTGCATGCTTAACATTCCATTCCTTGCTAGGGTTGACCTCCTTAGCCAGCTGGAGGAATTTGTTCAATGTAAGAGACGTGCTCTGGACATATACAATGCGATCCTGCGTCTCCTCGGGGTGGCTCAGGACACCAACGACCGCGTCGCCGACGCTGGAGAGAGTTGTGGTGCTGAACTCGGCGTTGCCGTCGTCCCAGATTGTAATCTCTGATTTGGCAGAGTCGAAAAAGAGATTATTGTTGATACCCCAGTCGAGGAACGCCGAGTTGTAAACAAAGGTATAGCTAATCTTGCCCTCATTCGCAAGCGCGATGAGCTTATCCTCGATGATGACCTTTGCGCGAAAGACGGGAAGGTTGCGAACGCTGGGGATAACCAAGTTAGACCCGAACTCGGATGGGAGGAAGCGCTTGACACCGGCGGCAATGGCGGCGTCGATGAGAAGATCCTGGCTAGCGATGGCGAAACTGCCCAGTACCGAGACGACGGCGTCTTGGCCTTGAAGAGCGGCGGTGAGAGAGTCTAGAGAGTCGTAGTCGACTTCAATGACCTTGGTGCCCTCGGGGAAAGTGGCCTTTGTGCCGCTGCGGGTGAGGACTGTGAGGTTGAATTTGTTGGAGGCGACGAGGCGGCTGAAAACAGCGGAGCCGAGATCACCGGATGCTCCGGCTACAGCAATGTTCTTGAAGGGAGACATGGTGGATGTGTAAGTTATGTAGGCAGTAGTAGTGATGTGTTATGTGGGTGGTAGTTGTAATGTGTTGATGTAGTAATGGTGTTTGATTGAATGGTTGGATGAGTGATGAAAGAGATGGGATAATGGAGTGAGGGGGTTGTATATATAGTTTCAACAGGCTTGTAGGATATGTGACAATTGCCAATGGTTATTCTTTCGTCATTGCCATACTTGATCATACCATACTCCATAGTTTGGTGTATTATAAAGACAACTGCTGAGGTAACACCGTCACGGACTAGACTGGAATGGAAGGCTTTGCTAAGCGCGGTAGGAGAATGCAGGTAACCTATGGCATTACAGAGCAATGAGCTCTGTCGCATCAATTAATCAGTAGCCAGCCACCTTAATCCTCTACCTACGGCAATACCCGTGTTTATTCATCTGTGGCGGATGTTTAGTGGCATCTGTGCTGTGCTGTGGCTTGACTTGGAGTCGTGAAAGGGATAAGGTGGGATATTGGAGGTGGGATAGCCGAGTGGGATGATCTCCATGCCTCAATCCCTCACAAACCTTAAACCTCATCGGAATTATCTAATTGGCTCAGAGGCTCATGTCATGCCTGTTACCCCAGTCTTTTATCCCACCCCCGAAATAGCTCATCCCACATCCCGACCGGCCATCCCACCCGCGATTACCAAGTTCAAGCCTCAAAAGTCTTTGATATGCAGGGTCGCACGTAACCATGCAGCGGATTTCCAAATTTCCTCATGTCAAACCCCCATTCGATTCCGATTTGCTTCTCTCCAGTAATCCCACTCGGTCGTCACCGCCTTTGCTTTTCTGTCCCGACAATGGAATCCCACAATGATATCGATACGATGTTAGATAGTAGGTCAGTGTAGTCCACACTTACACACTCGCTAGAGTGGGATCTCCGACACAACAAGCTGACACCGATATACCCTATCAGATCCTCCGCTGATAGTGCTGAGCCGGCGCCGTTGCGTCATGTTTGTCACTGCGGGAAGAGCTTTATCAGAAAGGAGCATCTGCGGCGCCATCAAGCGACCCACGGGGAACGTAATTTCGTTTGTCCTATTTGTCAACGATCCTTTACAAGAAAGTCAGTTCTTACTGTGCGTGTTCTCAGTTAGTATGATGTTAACAATTTCCAGTGACTTGTTACGCCGTCACTTGGCACGACATGATATGCCAACAGCCCCTGATCCACGACGAGGAAGAGCCTGTGATACGTGCCATGCCAACAAGACGAAGTGCGATGGTGGTACAAAGTGCACGCTTTGTCTTAAGAGAGGTATCAACTGCACGTATAAACACGCCTCGAAAAGCAGCAGTGGGAGTAAAAGCCCAGCCGATAATGCACCAGAGCCACGAGCGAAACGTCCTGCACCAAACAGCACTGGATCCCAAGATGCTGTTCCATCTATCATCCTAAATGTCACACCGGGACCACCTCAGATCTCACCGATCGACGAAGTCAAAGCTGGCTTCAAACGAATAGCCAATCATATCCAAAGCGGCGAAATACCCATCGGCGAAGACACCCCAGTCCCCCCTCTGGACCAGAAGTGGCTGGAGAGAAATTCAAAAGACTATTTCGGGCGATTTCACGATACATGGCCCCTCCTGCATGGACCATCTTACATGGGTAATGAGAATTCCCTGCTTATAACGACCACAGTCGCTATGATAAGCTGCTGGTTGAAAAGTTCGGATGAGTTTGGTGAAGTTGTTTTGCAGTTCCACGAAGCTTTTATGAATGCATCCTCTGAGTGGATCGTAAGTTTTGCTTTGGGACTTGAAACAGAATTGAATACTGACGAGCAATGCAGTCAGATCCAAGATCTCGAAATGGTTTAGACAGCCGCTGGCCTATAGAGACATATCAGGCTATAGTTCTCAACATTATCTTTGCTTTCTATCACGGAGTTCGTACATTTCCAAACTTGATCCGTCATATACTGACTGTATCACATTAGAATGAGAGACTAGCCGCCAAAGCATCACTATTGCGAGGTACACTGGTTGTGGCCTTGCGCGAAATAGACTTTTTCAACAGCGACAACGCAGCAGAACAGCAACGGGTTCATTATCCTGGGACATTTGTTCCTTGGTTAATGACAATCGAAGATAGATGGAAACGGTCAGTCGTCCATTCGCTGAATCAACCCCGAGATACTAACATGTTCAGACTCGTTATTTATCTCTTCAAAATCGATATGTACCTTTCATCAGCCCGTTTTCAAGCCCCAACTCTCTTCAGAGAAGAAATCGACCTCACTCTGCCTTCAACATACTCCCTCTGGAACGCCTACGGTCTCGACATATTCTTCAGACGAATCACGGAGCAGCCAGCCGAGCGCTCTAATTCCAAACTCTCGGAAATCATAGCCAATCCAAATACTCCCGTCAAATCTCTTTTGCTTTTCGAAGATATCCACCTGGCTCTCTGCGGATTACTGCCCGCCATTTGGAACCGCAGCCAGATCGCACGGCGGAGCACAGAAGCTGGCAGGCCTACGCATAATTCTACATCCTCTTTGGCATGGCAGTTGGAGACGTGGAAGGCCGATGTGGATCGTCTAAGTCACCAGTGCTTCCAGAACTTTCATTCTGTTGAAGCTGGAGAATTACCCTTTGCTGCATATATCGGAGACTACGTCGAGGAGCCACCGAGGGCTAGAGCCGCGGCGATGACCAATATCAAGTTCTTGGTGTCGGATTGCATGATGACGTATCATCTTCAAGGGCTGCAGCTGTATGCTGATACACGCACGATCAACTCAGTAGCGAGGGCATCGACTGTCTCATCAGACCATGAAACCTCTTTAGGGCCTCGACTGCAAAAACTACACACGCAGATAAATCTCTGGGCCAAATCACTCGAGAGCAGACGGGCCCTACTCCACGCCCTGGCCGTGCTTCGACAATGCGAAACCGATCTCGAATCTAACGAGCCGCAAACCCAATTCGCCGACCCAGTAGCTTGCCTGGCTATATCAACCAGCGCCCTGGTAGTATGGGCATGGCTCCTCTTCTCCGAGGCAGCATGTTCCTGCGTGCCGAGCATAAACCACATAAACATCGGGGTTGATCCCCAGGATCTAAACAACACAGCGCGGTTGGAGAACTGGTTACAGGCGGATGGGACGGCGGCGGTGAATAATATCCCGCTGTGTAGGTGTATGTCTGAAGGGTGGATGGCTAGGTTCAATGCTTTGCTGCCACAGGGGAGCAGACGATGGGGATTATGTGATGAGGTTGCTCCTATTCTGGATACTCTAAGCGCTGGAAGCTAGAGGATAAATGATACCCTGTAAATATTGAAATTATACGCTTTTAGAGAGACTCTGTACTCCAGATCGTTAGATTTCAAACTTATGACCTTCTATTATTGGTTGTTGGCCAGGCCTTTGAGGACACGTAACATACGTGTACGACATTCTCCTGTAAGGCAAATAGTGGCCCACAGTCACTGCATATTTAAGTAACAAAAGCAATTAAGCGAGTCATAAGGATTCAAACCCAAGACAAAAAGTCCTTCCATATTTGTCAGCCGAAACAACAATCATCCGAAAGGGCGTTATTATGACGTTGAAACTAACACGTAACATGGTTGTAGATTCTGACAACCAATCGTTCGCTTAGTATCGGACTCAACGTCGAACTCAACGATTGTATATAAAAAGGCCCGCAGCAGGTTACAAGAACGACTAAACTACACATATATCTCCTTACTTTCGAATCAGTTAATCATGGGTTCTACTGCGTCGCCTGCCGATATGCCTAAACTTACACTCTACCGAGCCAACGGAGCATGCTCTCTTGTTCCACACGCTCTTCTCCGGCATTTCAAAATCCCCTTCAACGCCGTCCTGATTAAAGGTGGCCCCGATGGAGCTGAAGCAGCAGACGGGAGTTTCACAAATGCCCAATATCGCTCCATCCACCCCAGAGGCTACGTCCCCGCCCTGGCCGTCGACAACGAAGTCATCACCGAAATGCCCGCCATCCTCACTTTCATAGCCTCACTGATCCCGAATGAGAACCTTTTAGGGGTGACCCCATTTCAGCGTGCGAAAGTGCTGGAGTGGCTGGTTGTCTTATCGGGCACGCTGCACGGTATTGGCTACGGACCTGTTCTTCGGCCAGGTCGCTTCAGCGATGATACAGCCCACCATGATGCCATCAAGTTCAAGGGGGTGGGAGTGGTCAGAGAGTGCTTTCAGAGGATCGATGATCAGTTGAAGAGCTGTGAGTTTATGGTTGGACAGGCCTTGACAATCGTTGATTTCAATATCTATATTTTTGCGCGTTGGGCACATAGAGCAGACATTGATGTGAAGACGGAGTATCCTCATTACTTTGAACATCTCCAGAGGACGGAGAAGTTGCATGGGGTGAAAGAAGCTGTTGAGGCTGAGGATCTCAAGCTTGAGTTTACCTAGAATTGCTTCCCGTGCGGTTGATGCAAGGGTTACGGATGTCCTAGGAAGATAAAGATGGACTATATCACAGTTGACAATGAAAGCTGATTATACAAGGTCAAAATCAATAAAGTTTTCTACAAATATACACACACCCTCTCTCTACCCATACTCCAAGACAACTATTCTATACTACCCCAAAAGCCCCTTCGCATGACGCCGTCTATGCTTTTTCAGAAAAGCCATAGCCGACGACTTGTTGATATACAGATTCATCTTTGCCAGCCCACCACAGAACGTCTGGCTATTACCCGGACAGTTAACGCTGCATTCAGACATGGAAACATTCTTGCCCTGACCAAAATTAGGCAGGATACCTTGCCAGTTGACAGTGTTACCACACCAACACTCGCGGCCGTTCTCAACACCAGCGTATTTGTACATCCAACATTTCTCAAGACAAGTATCGATCGTCATCGAGTTACTGTCGGTGGCAATCAACTGCGGGAGCAAACGGCCCAGGAAAGGCTCGGAAACGCATGAGTAGCTCGTGAAGTTCTTGTTTCCCGGATCCACGGCCGGCGCCGCTTTAGGACCCGCCTTGTAAAGCTGAAGACGCATCGTACCGCCACAGTACTCGGTCTTATCGCCCGCGCAAGTCGCAGAGCAGTCCTTTTGGTTAAGAGCCTGGAAGCTTCCAAGGCCAAGTCTATCACCGCAGTAGCACTCACGACCGTTCTCAGTGCCGAAGTAATTGTAGGCGTTGCAGAAGGAGGCACAGCTTTCAAGGGTCATGTCATTGCCGGAGTAGGTCTTTGAGCTGAGGGCGCGGATGAAGAGACCTTCGTTCCAACAGCCTTGGAAAACCCATGTTCCTACCGTGTCGGAGATGGACGGGTTGGTGGGTACTGGCTGGGTTGAGGTGGTGCTTGTTGTGGATGCGGCTTTTGAGGTTGTGCTGCTGGTGGTCGAGCTTGTGGTGCTCGTGGAAGTAGCGCGAGAGGTGGTGCTTGAGACCGAGGAGGACGTAGTTGATGTGGAAGTAGAGGTGGAGGTAGATGTGGAAGAAGGACGCGACGTAGTAGAAGAAGTAGCAGAAGAAGTAGAGGTCAAAGTTGAGGATAGGCCGGCTGGGCCTACAGAGGAGACTGATGAGGGAGCTGAAAGGACTGAAGGGACAGCAACGGATGTAGACCGACTAGTCGTTGAAGAGCCTATAGCGGACAGAACCGTGCCCGAAGAGATCGTGGTAGGGGCCGAGGAGATCGTCCCTGAAGAAGCTGTGCTTGCAGAGACAGTATTGGAAGATATAGAAGTTGTGCTGGAAGAGACAGTACTGGAAGTTGACGAAGATGTTGTCGTTGACGTAGTAGAGCGAGAACTTGTAGACGAGATGGTAGAAAACGTCGTCCATGTTGTCGATGTACTCGAACCAGTACTGGAAGAGGCGCTTGACGTAGAAGTGGACGTAGGGACGCTAGAGGTCGACGCTGTTGAGCTGGTGGATTGCGATACTGAGCTAGTGCTGCTCAAACTGCTGACAGATGAAGAGCTAGTCGACGTAAATCCGGCAGAGGTAGAGGTAGATGCACCACTACTAGAAGAGCTGATCACTGAACTGCTGCTTGAGCTCCCAGAAGTCGAGACACTTGTCGTACCACTGCTTGTTGTCGAGCTTCCAGATGTAGAAGTAGAAGTCGAAGCACTGTTGATACCACCAGCGACATTGCCGGCCACGCTGACTGAACTGCTCGTGGATACACTACTGGAGGTTGATGCCGATGCTGAACTGCTCGTTGAACCACTGCTCGTAGAACCACTCGACGTGGAGCTACCGGAAGTGGACGCACTGCTGACAGTAGAGCTTCCGCTAGTCGATGCTGAGGTACTAGCACTTGAAGTAGAAGAAAGCACAAATAGAGCAGACGCAGACGATGTGGCAGCTGAAGAGGCCACACTGCTGCTTGCAGAAGACGTCGACAGTGAGGTCGGCAGGGAACTACTGTAGGCAGCATTCAGCTGGTAAACGTTAAGACGGTTGGGACCACCACAGTATTCACTCGAGTTGCCTAATCGCACGTCAGTCAAATCGCACGAGACTAGAAGAGATGTACATACCGTTACAGAGCATGCCGCAATCCGCAATGGGTGCTGGCACCGAACCATCTGAGAAGCTATTACCACAGTAGCACTAAGTTGTCAGTATTTATCAGTCCAGAAAGGATTAGAGAACGTACCTCTCCTCCATATTCCACTCCAGCATAGACGAAGTTATCGCTACTACAAGCCTGGACACAGTTCGCAACAGTAGGCGAGTCAACACCACGACCGTTAGGAAGGGCTCTACCGGAAGTAGCTTCGGTGTAACATCCAATACTGGTGTAACCGCTAACACCAGGGTTGACAGACGGACCCTGGGGCGTGGCGGTGCTTCCGGCACTGCTGGTAGTAACACTGGCGAAAGAACCATCCCACTGGAGGGAATTGGCGAAGACGCTGATGTAAGCACCGCTCCCATCAACGCCGTTTCCACCGCAAAACTGATTCAGGCTGCCCGCGCAGTCAAAGTTACAATTGCTATCGTCAACTTTCTGGCTAGGAATCTTGTTTCCAGCCCAGCACTCATCACGGTACTGCGTTCCACAGAAAGTCAAGCCTTGTGCGCCGCAGGTGTTGATGCACATCTCATTCGTGTTGGAGCTGTTAGCGTAAAGAAGACTGGAAAGTTGACGACCGGGGTTGTTCTCCTTGAAGCAGCCTACGTATTGGTACTGGCCCTGACCGCTAGGTAGGAGAGGCGCAGCCTGCTCAGAGACGGCGTTGCAGAAGAATTGAACAGCGCGCTTCTCGAAACTCCAGGTAGGATCGTTGGTGTTGATCGTCCACTGCGCGGTGCCATTGTAGGAGGGGATGTTCCATTGGCTCTTGGGTACGGCGCAGGTAAGCGTAGCGGTTTGGCTCTTCCCTGGGGCTATGAGCGTGCCTTCGGCGAGATCGACCTGGTTTGCTGAGCGGACAATGCCAGGTACGCCGAAGGGGGGTTTGGAGACGGTGAGGCCGAGCTTGACGCCGCCTGTGGCTGCAGTGTTGGTGATTCGGAATTTTAGGGATCTGAATGTGTTCTCTGTGACGTTGCCGAATGTGAAGGGTGTGTTGGGGTCGTATTTAACCCAGCCGCTTCCATCTGGTGTCTGGAACTCGAGAAGGGCTGTTGGCGGATCACCAGCTGAGGCAGATAGCGAAACCGTTGCGTTACCACCAGTAGTGACGAACTTGACCCAAGCTGTGAAGTTTCCAGTAGAAGACGTATCAGGCACAACAGAGATCGCAGTGTCGTTGCCTCCACCCACAGTCGTTGGGATCCAATAAAGCACGAACTTGCCAACAGTGAGACTACCAGTTCCTGTCCAGGTAGTGAACGGTCCAGAGGCAGAGGTGTTCGAGTACAGAACCGTCGAGACCTGAAGATCACTTGTACCGTCATTTCCAATGAGGATACTCTGGTTCAATGACTGGGTTCCGGTGACAAGGCCGGTGAATACCATGGACAAGGGACTGACGTCCAGCAAAGCGTTGGAACTCTTTCCGACACCTGTGAGTCTGACCTTGGTAGACTTGCTGTAAGACCCGTCTGCGACGCCCGATGTTTGAATGCTGATGGTGGTACTCAAACGGCCAACGCTCTTGGGAGAGAATTGTGCTGAGAACTGGAGGTTGTCGCCTGCAGACATGGACAATGGCAGAGATGGCGACTGGGAGATATTGTAGTTCATCGAATCTGCAAGAGAAATGTTGCTAATAGACAGATCAAACAGGGCAGTACAGTTAATCGTCTGGGGAGCAGTGACGTTCTGGAAATCGGTAGTGCCAAAGTCAACTGACGTGGTGCAGTTGAGAGGAGACTTGTTAGTCGATCCCATGCCATAGAAAAATCCCGTCGTAGTCCCGATATAAGCCATGCCATCTCCAAAGACAGGTCTGCTGAACTTTGTAATACCAACAATGGTAAAGTTTCGGATGACGTTGAGGTACCCGTTCTGAGGGACGGCGTCGTAGATCTTGAAGTTGGTATTTTGCACATCGGAGACCCACAGAAGACCCGTGCCTTCCTGACCGTTTAAAGATGTAGTTGTCCCATGACTAACTCCAAGTATATAGGCATTACTCACCGGGCTATCAGCCACCTTTGAAAAATAGGCGTTGCCGTTGAGACACGAGAATTTGAAGACGTGCGTGGGATATTGGATCACGTTGATGTATATATACCCTCCTTCTAACGGATAGACTCCCGCACCAGCATATACAGAATTCTCATTTTGGAATGTCTGAATAACTCGATCCTTCGAATTGGGCCCGTTACGATATCCACCGAGGTCATCAAGATTGAGCCAATACGTCTTTCCAGATTTCCCCGTGACGATGCCCATCCGCTGAACGTTGCCGCATGAGAATTGGCTCGGCAGGATCTGAAGCGGACTTGTTCCCAGATCCTTGTCGGCGCCGTCGAGTTCTTGCTTCTCATAGGGCATGAAGAAGTCCACAATGGAGAGAGTTCCGTTGTCGTTGATGGACATGTGAACGGCTGCTTGCTCCATCGCAGTTGGAGGCGTGAAGCCATTGACAGGAATTGTGGAGAGCTGCGAGGCATATCCGTTTCCAGTAGCGAAGAACATAGATCCTGCATCGTCGGACGCAAGACCACCTCCAGACTGCCAGATTCCCGCACCAGAGATATTGCTGCTTACACCGAGCCCCTCGGAGGCCCAGTGCTCAACGATGTTGCCCGTGGTTTTATCCCAGCCCATGATCCAGCCGGTGAAGTTATACTGCACGCAATGCGACGCAAAGCCAGCGTAGACATACTGGCCCGTGAGAAGCAAGCCCGGGCGCTGATGGTGAATACCGCCGGTGAACATACGCTGGGGGTTGTTTCGCGCGATTACACCCTCGAGATCAACGGGGAAGTTGGGTTGCTCGGAGAGGTCGTTGACGTTGATAGCGTGGATCTTGTACCGCCCTGCCGGGCGTCCTTGGGGAACCTGGCCAGCGTTCTGGTCGACGTATGTTTTGGAGGTAAGATACCAAGTGTCCGTCAAGGGATCAATGGTACCAGTAGCTGTGATCCCAACTGTTGGATTAACATCGACACAGCCATCGAGATCAGCCGTGAGAAAGGGGATTCCGATGTTACGTGAGGCGAGAATCACACCCGTTTTGGCGTCGAGCTTGTAGATGTTGTTCTGAGTCGTTGCGAGGTAGACATATTGCTTTGTGCCGCCCGAAGGAGTGTAGACTAAAGGCTGAGAAAATATTTGTTCAGTTGCACCAACGTAACGCCCTGGGAGAGCGGTTTTAAAGAGAATGTCGAATTGAGGGCTGCCGACGATGGCAGGGTCCATGTTGTGGTTAGTTTGGTAGCCGGTTCGGGAGTTATCACCTCCCCACGTGATTGTGTCTGTAGACGCTAAACCACATACCCGACCTACCAGGGTCGGGAGAATGAGTGTGAGTAGCAGCTTCATTTTGGCTGAGCTGAAGTGCAAAAACAATGAGTGAATGAATGAGTGACACGGAATTCTAATGCGCTCCCCTAGGGGTATTTCACAGCTAGGACGCACTATCTATATACCCTCTGGTTCTAACGCCCAGGACACACCGAGATCCAGAATTCCAATAGACTGGCATAAACTTCAAACCCAACATGATGGCTTACTGAAAGATATCCGTTTTGCCGTCGATGTCGTTAACCTTTGCTTCGGCCCCGCCGCGAGTCGATTTACATTCCAGTGACAATACGGGACCTGCATAGGCCCGAGGCTTGGCGTGATGCCATTTGCGGATATGCTAGTGGCGATGGAATGGGACAATAGTTTTGTTCCTGGTGGCCGTATTGGGATAGTGGCTTGTTTGTAGATCCGATTGAACCGGGGCCCTGAGATGAATCGGACTGGGAAAGTCGAGATTTGAGTTGTTTGGAATGTGGATGGTTTTGACTTTAGGTTGTCTCCTGCGGCCCGCTACAGGGTCAAGCGAGTCAGTACCTCAAAATGTGTTCTTGCGTGTTCGGACCTCACCTGAGAGGTGGTGGCCAGGGTTCTGATTGGACATTCTCGGGAAAAGTGGAGCACCTCTCAGGTCAGCCACAGGACCACCTCTCAGATGATGTCTGAACACGTTCTTGCACCACACCTTTTTTCACTGCGATTTTAACCCACCTCGGGGTCCCCTGCACCTTGAACCTATCTAGGGTTTTCTTCTCATGCCCATCGGCCCCCTTCCATTGCATGAAAGACTAGAACGAGTTACAGCATTGAAATAAAGTCGTCTCTAACACAGATTGAGGATTCGTTTCTAGAAGACCCGCATTTTACATAAGTACCCGTACTGTGGTAATAGAAGTAAGTCTATTTGTAGTAGGAACAGGCGTACTACAGAGTACAGTTACTTCAACTTGTACGTCGCGACAATGTAAGCAGCATATTCTATCAGAGAAAAGTTAAGTTCTTTTTTAGAATAATAATTGCCTTGAGTCTGCCTCGCTAACTTTTCCACGGCCTTTGAACCCAACCCAAGACTTCCAAACAACCGATTACTGGGAGTTTGGTTCATACCCTTCACTGCCTTTTTAAACCACCCGAGGACTCCCCCGTCTATACCCTTTTCCACCGCATTTTTAATATAACTTGAGGTTTCTTCTCGTGTTAACAGCCTTGTCATAGGAAAGGCCGGAACAATTTACCGCATTATGATCCGACCATCCGGCCACTCTTATAGGCATTCCGCACACCATCTTCTTTGCACTGCTTTTTTAACCCCTCTCAAAGGTTCCTCTTCTGAAAGCTGCCAGCCAGCTTCACTTTATAATATAACAGAGCCTTTCAGTAAAGAGGAAAACCCAAGACGCCGAGTTAATTGTTAAACGTACCTGGGCAATTATCCTTCATAAAAATGTCGTTGATGTATAATTATGTATGTCAATCATTTCATCCCACGAGCAGCACCTGTAGACAATATGAACACTCGACTTGCAACCTTTAGTGGCTGTGGCCAACTAATATTGCTTACTCCATAGTTATTCATGGCTCCAGCCAACTGTATTGTCTCTTTTGTGCATCCTTTCAGAGACTTGCATCATGTCAAGATTGAGAGCAACCCTGCCCTTCATTTTCACTGCAATTTTAACACTCCCCATCGTCTACTTACACATTGCTAATGCTGTGTTTAAGAGGTTGAAATTACAATGTAGGTTTGTATATGTTTCACAGCTTTCCGTAATGTCCCTGTCCCGAATCTTCGACAAGCTCGCATTAGAGCTACAACTGGTAGTTACTGAGCTGTATCGGTAGATAATATAGCACGTTCCCATGCCAGTAAATGTAAATAACATGCAGTATATAGTAGCAGGAAAAAGAGCCATAATAGGTAGCTGTCTCACAAATCATTGCATTACATTTATCTCCCATCTCAAGCCTTCACTCTGGCTTCATTTACCTCTATAGGATTGACATTTTGTCCCATGGGCTCTGGGCTACCTTAACAAACTTCTGGATCTATCAACCTTCACATGATATACGGTCTGGGATCTGGATAGACTAGATTACTGGTAAGTTATCGGGCCGACCTGGGAGAAGATTGTAGCAGAGCCTGAAAATGCTTCAAGGCACTTCTGCAGTACCATAGTCCGTAGCCGACCCTCCATTTCTTCACTGCAAACTTAGCCCGCGCCGAAGTTGGGTTTCTTGCATGACCTGAGCTTCGAGCTTGGTCACTTGAGCCTTGGCAAGTTAAAATATCCTGACAAAATTCTCTATGCTTTTCAATTATACTACAGGTTCTTTTTCCGAACATCCATAATGGGATAATCAGTGAAGGCCTAGCCCAGGAACATAACACTATACCCATCCTATCGACAGATATTATTTAATTTCACAAGTCTATTTTTAACTGAGCTGTATTTAAATACTCCCCTTGAAGTTTTAGCATTCCCTGATCTATTAGACACATTAACTCTAGTCGCAGAGCTTGTCACCCCCAGAACATGGCATTAGTATACTGCATATTTTGATTTAGGATAATTAACCATGCTGCCACTGTCTTATCAAGTTCTAGTGGGTCGAAGAGTCCCATGCAGTAGACAAGAAGTAAGACCCTGGAGGCACATTCAAATAGGTGCAATTTTGACCCAAAGCGAGTCACTACCATGTACCCACGATTCACTGCAATTTTAACACACTTCATGTCTCCACTCGCCAGTTTTCTTCTGCAACAAAGCAAAGCCACAATGTGACATAATGAATTCTTGATTCAACCACTCTTCATTCTTTAGGGACTATTGTTTGGGTTTACGAGACATGAATACTTAGCAAGCTATTTGTGATGCATGCTGTGAAGGTTGATGTCAAGCTTAGTGGTCTGTATAAAATGCTCCAAGTCATGCCATCACATTAGATCCAATCTGGAAGATTTCCTGATATTGTTTTAGGAGCTCTAACTTCTGATTTTCGTTGAGCCTACACAGGCTAGCCACGTTGAGCTGCGTAGGTTGAAGATGACATCCAGAACTTCACTAGGGTTATAGCCCACCTCTACACTGACATTAATCTAGCTGTTCTAAGCTGCACGCTACCTTCACTGCAATCATAACCCATCCCAACGATGGATTGAGCCCACCAATCAAATCTTGCCCAGCTACAAAGAGGCCGACTATTGATCAACACATGGGCTTACCCCATCGCATTTTCCACCTTTGTTACAGCGAGATTCCTTGTTCTCGTGTTTCTGACCACGCGCATTGGTCGTAATTACATCTTTTCAACCCCCCTACTGTGAACACTGCACTGCATTTTTAACCCATCCCAAGATCTTTGATATCATACAAGATAGCAACGGGGACATGGTGATGGCCACTGTAGTCGTAGGGGCTTAGACTACCTGGCCTGTCTATATGTAACGCCACTCTCGTAAGGTGACAAAATAATGTTAGTTAGTAGCATGGCATATCTTTTACTCATCATGGTCAACCATAATCGAGGACAGAGGTCAAGGGAACTATTTAGGGGAATTGCCACGAAACATCCTGGCCGAAACCAAATTGTAGAATTATGCTTCCCAAGCATCATCGCGCATACCTTGACATCTTCAAGTTATACTTGCAACGTTGTATTGAAGACGGTGAGATGCTTGCTTAGTGGCGATGTATCCAGCAGCAGATTCCACCGGTTAATGTCCTTCAAAAGCTTTCTATTTGAACTGCAATGAGGTCTCTCTCACCCTCCCTACCGATATAGTAGAGTGAGAATGTAAGTATATCTGCTTTTGGTTTTTTCTCCCTTTCGTCTTCTCTTTTCTTGTTTTCTAATACACGCAACTTTACCATTCCTTCTGCTTATTTCATGCGAGCTTCCCTTGCAGTCCCTTAGGCAACTCGAAATCACTGATCATAAATACCAAGACTTGCACGATTTCTGGGCTGCTGTGGTTTCTGGCACAAAACATTTCGCCTTATCTCGGATTCAGAAAAAAGAGGCCTTTAACCTCGTGATGCTGGAGCTTCCCTACTATCTCATATCTCAAGGTATAATATACGGAGCTACGTATGTGCCCGTCCAACTCACCACCAAGACTTTAGTCATGTAAACCTGGAACGAGTAGGCTTAATTTAGAGTGTATCCATGTTATTCCCGAGCGAATCAACATCTGCGACACGCTACTTCACTGCGATTTTAACCTCGCCCAAGCATGTCTCTGAAAACCAGCTAGTGTGATGTCTTGCATTTTAGATGCTAGCCAGACTGTGATCTTCAACCCATCATTGACGCTGAGTCTAAGCATTGTGGCCCTATTTAAAATGATTTCTTTTCCCCATTTCTCTTGATCAGGGTCATCTCAACTAGATCCAAGGGTATGAGCACTGGCTGTTAAACATGATCATTTTTCTAAACAAGAAATAAGCCGCGGTGATTCTACTTTGGTTCAAATCTCAGCTTTCTTTTCGTCGCCATATAATAAGGCTATGGTGAGACCATGGTGGAAGTAATGAGCCCCTGTTATCGGTCGAAGCCACTACTCAGAGAGCAGCCTGCAGGTACCCGTCATAATCAATTCAGCCATTTCCATGTCAGCATAAGCCAGCTGGGACGCCCTATTCTCCAAACACATCACTCCACGTTAATTCCCGTGATCACTAAGCAGAAGATCGAAATTCAATGAATTATCACGTTTTTCGACCAGAAACTTCGATCGGATGAATTATGTCCCCAGCGGAAGAGGCAACGGACCAACAACTGGCCGACTCGATTTATTTTTTCCCTTTTTGGCCATAGCCCATGTCCGTGCCTCGGCTCGTCTCAAGATTTTCCAACTTAATACCACGATGAGACCATATGCAATATACATCCCTATACATCAATTTCTCGATAACTCATCACCATCATGTCAGACTTGTTACTATCGAAGCCTCTTCAGCTACCATGTGGCCTCACGCTGCCCAACCGCATTGTCAAGGCAGCTCTCGCTGAGGAAATGGCCGATCGTCAAAGCCTCCCTACGACAGCACAGCTGCAACGCGCATATGGTGCCTGGGCCGAGGGCGGCTGGGGCATGATCCTAACTGGAAATGTTCAAGTTGACGATACCTACCTTGGTGGATTCGGCGATTGTGCTATGAGCGACACCCTCCCCGAGGAAAAGATTCTCGAGGCGTATAAGGCATATGCTGGGATTTGTCGACGAAACGGAACACCGGCTATTATGCAGATCAACCATCCTGGCCGACAATCGCCTCTGGGAGCGGGTAAGAAATCGTATATGGCGAAGAATATCGCCCCGAGCGCTGTGCAGCTTCATATGGGTGATGATATTATTTCAAAGATCATCACGACTGTCGTGTTTGGCACACCAAAGGAGATGTCCGTTGCAGACATTGAAGATGTTATTCAGCGCTTCGCCAAAACAGCACGTATTGCAGCAGAAGCTGGTTTCGACGGTGTGGAAATCCATGCTGCACATGGATACTTACTCTCTCAGTTCCTGTCAGAGAAGAGTAATAAGCGAACTGACAAGTATGGAGGAACACCCGCAAACAGAGCAAAGATCATCGTCGATATCACAAAAGCAATTCGTGCTGCGACACCAGCGAGCTTTTGCGTTGGTCTCAAGTTTAACTCTGCGGACCATCAATCCCCCAAGGAACTCCAAGAATGTCTAGAGCAAATCTCTCTCATCGCCGAAGTTGGTCTGGACTTTTTGGAAGTCAGCGGCGGAAGTTATGAAAACCCAACTGTAAGATGAACTACACTTTCATGAAGCCCCCAAACTAACATGTATAGATGTTCACAGGAACCGGAGAGAAGAAATCAGCAAGCACAGCCGCACGAGAATCATTCTTCCTCGAATTCGCCCGCGAGATGCGTGCCAAGCTCCCCAACGTGCCGTTGATGGTAACAGGAGGATTCCGAACGCGCGCTGGCATGGAGGCAGCATTAGCCGAAGGCGCTTGCGATCTCATCGGTCTCGGCAGACCTTCCATTATCAACCCATCTTTGCCAGCAAACACTATCTTGAACAAGGAGGTCAAGACGGAGGATGCCACGCTCTTTGCACGAAGGATTGAGACGCCGTGGATTCTTAAGCGCTTTGGGCCTAAGAGTGTTGGATCTGGAGTTGAAATTGTGAGTAATGAGATTTGGATGATTTACGATTTATGATTTACTAATTCCTTTTAGACTTGGTATAGAAAGCAGATGCAGGCTATTGGGAAGTGAGTGGTTGCGTCCTGGTGCCTGTTTTCTTTTCTATGTGTTTGTATATCCCAGTGCTGCTTATTAGATCACGCCTTAGAACACCTACCGTATGGGCTCATCATAGAATAATAATTAGAACAACCAAGTAAGTATTATATAACGAAGATTAATATTTTTATACAACTTATCAAGTCAAAATATCAGCGTGGGAACTGATCAGCTTGAATCACAAATCATTTCTCTTTTACTCCAGCAATACATCGATCGTGAAACACCATACAATACGCCCTACCTCATCATCAGAGCAATATCCAAACCAAGTGGCTTCCTCAAAAAGCCTTCACGAGTCTCCATAACCTCCTGCTTCAGCTCAGGCGCATACCTCCTAGCCCACGTCGCCGCAATCAACTTCATCTCCATCTCCGCCACATTCCTCCCAACGCACGCCCTCGGCCCATGACTAAACGGGTTAAAAGCAGTCTTTTGAAGCGTCGTAGCATTGTCCCAACGCTCCGGCTTGAAGTCATCTGCATCAGGGCCCCAGACCTCCTTGGAGTGATGGATAGTGTATGTTGGAACACTGAGGACGCTGCCTGGTGGGAAGTAGTGCCCTTTGATCGTAACACCGGGAGAGTTCTCCGGAATTTGGCGAGGGAGTCCAATACCTGATGTGGAGTGGTAACGCAGGGTTTCGTTGATCACGTTGTTGAGGTAGGATAGATCGCGAACCATGTCATAGGTTGGCACAGACACTTCAGCTGGAATCGCCTCATCAAGCTCTGCCTGCAATTTCTCGAGAACGCCCGGGGTTCGTGTGACGTGATATAGCAAAGCGCAGGATGAATTAGACGTTGTGTCACTACCGGCGATGAGCTGCGTTAAAGCCTCCGCCGTTAGTTCCTCGCGCCCCAACGGCTCACCCTTCTCATCCCTGCCTTCCATGAGTCGCGCGAGGAGATCCTTTCGTTCAATGGAAGGCGGGTTATCCAGCCTGGCCTTGACACGCGCGATGGCAATTCCTGCAAGGTTTTTGACCGCGTTGAGACCATTGCTAAAGAAGGGGTCAGGCAACCACTGAGCGTAGGGCTTCAGCTGTGGGAAGCAGCCTAGTGTTGCGCTGACTTCACCTCTCCGGTTGAGGATCTCAATGGCGGATGCGTAAATCGGTGGACTATCGGGGGTATCCCTGACTTCTGCTATGTCAGCGCCGTTGGCAAGCATACCAAATGGGACGCCAAACGCGAGATCGCCAATGACGTCGAACGCGAGGTAGTTGAACCAAGGGAGACAATCGATGAGAGCCTGTCGTTTGCCGTTTTTGTCCGTGGTCTGGCCAGATGCAACAAGTTTGTCTAGCTGCTTGACGAATAGCTCCAGGTTTGCATGGATGTATGGCTCAAATTGACTGATGGACTTGGCGGAGAAGACATGAGAGATGAGCTTGCGTTTGCGCGTGTGCTCGGTGCGATCACGGGTATTGAAGAGGCCTCGTCGGATTGAGACGAAAGCATCATAGAACTCGCTGTGAAGGGTCAGCCACTGGAAAGTAAGTGAAGTGTGGGAACGCACGATTTCAATGTTCCGTTCCCGTGGCCGTAGATAGTATTGATGGCGTCCACGTCGGCTATTGATGTGTGGTTTGGCTGGATGCGAACCACAGGGCCAAGCTTCTTGTGAATCTCATCCACAACGCGATATCTCTCACCACGTCTACAGACGTAGAGAAGCCATAGATTGGAGAACTGCGCGGGGAAAGGTCCCGGAATATCCCTGAGATGACCGTATGTGACGAAGTATGAGTAGAGATATGTAGCGACGAGGGCAGCTGCTCCGATGGGGAGCGCCCACCAGGTGAAGAGAACATCGACTACAGCCATGGTGTCGGGACTCGGATGGTGACGGCGTGCCTGGCTCGCCTAGCGTCTTGTCTGTGGTCACCCTCCTGATATACGTTATGAACACAGATATTTCACTTGCAAATGACGCGGCAATTGATTTGTACGTCAACTCGGATCCCGTGGAGATGTACGTAGTAAGCGGACAGTTCAAGCACAATCAGAATACTCAAAAGGCCGATGACCCAAGGTTTGGACTAGCTCACCCCGCATCTTAGCCGGCTTTCGGTAGTTGAGTGTGCAGAGATGGGAATATCCTCACAACGATACCCGGGATCCAATGGCAGGGCTTGGATCTAGGATGACAGCGGAGAAACTCGATTGAGCGAATCATGTCATACCCTGTTTTTGTTTCTTGGAATAGAGAACGCAGAGGGCATTTGGTGGTCGGGGCTTGGTGGGGTTTGTGAGCTACCCTACGGCACAGCAATTCGATGTCGGGAAATACAAGACGCATTAATTGGTCAATACCTACGATATGTGATAGTTACGAATTGCCCGAGTCTTATTATTAAAACGGGCCTGTTTATAGTGTACTCTGTGCTAACTAATGACGGTACGTTGTGCTAAAAGCGCTTTCATTGAGTCTCAGCAGTTGTATTACCGAAACAGCGTCTTGACTGATCAACACCAAAGAAGGAAGTGCTCAAAACACCAAAACGTCACCCAAATGTTATCAAAATAACGCGCTTCGATCCACTCAAGATCACGAAAATATCATCCAGATCCATACTTGCATCCGTTTCTCAACTATCAAACAATAGCCAAGATACTGGGTTTTGGCTGTGCGTCGCGCTCCTTGTTACCCCACTCGGCCCCATCACCACCCGCCAGCTCTTCAACCATCACCAAGTGTCGCGTGCCATCAATGCATCGCTATAGGGAACCCAGTACATATAGACCCTGATACAGGGTTTCTCAATTGTCGTATTTGACGCATTGACAGATCTGTTCGGAATAGCCTGGAACAGCTCCCATCCGAATAGCCGACCACCGACGCGTTTACACAATCATGAGGATCACAAAATCAACATCTGTCATCCAATGAACACACAAAAACATCAAATGCGGTGAAGTGCTCCAGGTTTTAAATCGAGCTGACAGCGTCGCAATCCGATTCAGCCAAGGCTTGTGAAAAACAACACAGCTGACAGATCCGAAACAAGGCCCCCTCATTGACAAACCTGCCATCTCAACAGTTCAAGATCTGGACGCGCAGCCTCACGGAAGCAGCAGCAGCCGGCTTGGTTTTATTCTTGGTATCGCTGCCAACCAAGGGAATTACTGTTGCAGAAACAACCCCCAAGTTTCCGAATTGGGGGGCTCAGCGGCTGTGGGCAGGGGGTCTTGGTTCTTGGTGTTTGATCTGCCGTCTCACAATGCCACCTCAAGCAGCACCCGGTTTCGCCTCACGCTGACTCCAAAACTCGTTACCATGGGCTGTGTTTACCGCACAGAAACGACTGCAGCTGAGATGCATATCTTTAACGGCGTCTGCTCTTTCTTTTGCATTCTTTTCCTTTTTGTGCCGCTCGTTGATCTGGTATCACTCGCGTCTTTCCTTTTTCGATAATTCCATTCTTACAATCTTTTTTATTATTCTTAAACTTTAATTGTAATTCCGAACAATCATTCAGCTCTGGTAGCTTTTTTTCGCCTGCTTCTAATTCGAATTCGACATATCGCTCCAATGGATGATCAAGCTATCGAACTGCAACTCTCCCGAATTATTTCTGCCGTCGAATACACCACAATCTCTACATCGATCGTACCAAAGGGAACAGCGCTAGCCGAGGCGGGTACAACAACTGCTGAGGCACCTGTTGTTACAGTCACTCAGGAAAGCAGCTCAGAGAATAATGATTCTGGATTGCCTGGAGGAAAGATCTTTGGAGCCCTCGAGATCATCATCGCGCTTGGCGTTCTAGGTGCGTTACATTCTGGTCATGCCAAATTCACATCTAACATATTCCAGCTGGTGTACTCCTCATGATAGTTGGCATCATCCTATGCGACCGACGAAGAAAATCCAAAAAGCGAAAGCAAGCATCTGAAAGAGTTGAGAAACGAATGACGGGGGAGAGAAGCGAGCAAATGTCACAGCACCAAGCACCCACAGGAGCGCGATTACCGGAATCAATATGGCCCAGGATGGCCGAGAAGAATCAAACCGTTCATGATTACTGGCATAGCGAAGCATCTCGTCAACAACAGGGTTGGAATCCGGGGCAAGGGCCACAGGCCAGTGGACCGGGTTTACCTAGATATCAATAACCGATAATCAAAGAAGCTTGTGAAGAACACAAAACTGATTGGACGCGCATCGTAGCAGTGAAATGATTGTAAGACCAAGTTTTAATGTGTTAGTGGGTGGAATAATTCTATAATTCTGGTGATATAAGTGGCCCTTGTTCGCCAAGATCTGGGCCGTGGCTGTGACGGTCGATGTCAGGCCTGAAACGTATAATCCCCTTTGTGCTATGTAATATGTTCCATATGCTATAGTTGTATGTGTTCCACCGCCTCTTAGTTAATACACCCGAGAATCTCGTAGAATAACAAGCTTTTATGTCTTGGTAACTATATCGTGTCTGGCGCGTAAGGCGCTTAGGAAGAATTCGGGTTTCGACTCAAGAGCTGCCAATACACTACCCCGAGAGAAGCTGCGAGATGTGCTGATGTCCGGCTGGGTTGTTATGATAACTCTATGCCGAATCTCCGTATGGGTGTGCAGTGTATTGATTCCCGGGATTTCCGACCAGCCAATAACCAACATCTTGCGATGACCGACCGGTTGAACAACTCATTGAAGAATAAAGAATGGTGGCTGACTGGAAACCCGACTGTTAATCCGACCTTCCTCGGCCAAAACAACATAGCTCGGAAGGAGGCTATCGCCGAGCCATATGGTGCCATGTATGCACAATAACCAATAGCTCGCTTCTTAATGGCTGCCACCTCACATCCGGTCACACCTACGGCGCTGCTGTACCTGACAGCACGCAGAGCTTCTAGTTTCTCTTCCATGGTCTGATCTGTCAACACCATCAGCTGCAGGATCTCAGACAACATTTGCGGCAAAGAAATGTGCCGGGGATTATCTTGGTTTTGGGCTTCGGAGCCCGCCGCTTGTAAGATGAGGAGTTGGTATGACCGGATGAAAAGTGCGCAGCCACCTGACTTGTTCCTATTGTTCTATATGCCTTCGATGATCTTGTAGGGTGGCGAGCGGCCCGGGCTTCGAGAATAAGAAGTCGTGAATGGAACATGTCTTGGCTCTTGGCTATTTGTTCGACACAGCAGACTACCACTAACATCTTTGAGACATCATCACACTATAACCTGTTTACAACAGTCTCCAATACCAAGATGCCCGCCATCACTACTTCTGCTGTTTCTCCTATCTCGTCACCAGTTCTCTACCCATCCGTAACCCATGATCTCGAAACCGCCAACCAAAAGTTCGCAGCAACTTTCACAAAGTCGCATCTACCCTCTCCGCCCCGTCGGTAAGCTTTCTGTGATCTCTTGGCTTCAAGGATCATGAGCCTAACATCTTCCCAGTAAAGTGGCTGTGGTGGCGTGCATGGATAGCAGATTGGATGTTGAACAAGTTCTGGGGCTAGATATTGGTGATGCGCATGTCATCAGAAATGGTACGTTCCCCAGTCTGATCATCGTGCTCCAAATCTGACAACTCAGCTGGCGGCCGTGCCGTGGAAGCGCTACGATCAATCTTGATTTCTCAGCAGATGCTCGGAACCCGTGAGATCATCATCATGCACCATGTAAGACAACCCCATCACCTCCCGTCCATTTACCCAGAAACGTGGTCTTGTTCAAAAGACCGACCATCCCCATCCCGCACCGACCGGCCCGGCTAACCCCACGCCTAGACCGGCTGCGGCATGCAGAGCTTCTCGGACAACGATTTCCGGAGCAAGATCCGGCGGGAACTAAAAGAAGATGTCGATCATATGGCGTTTCTTCCTTTCTCAGATCTGCGACAGAGTGTTATTGATGATGTTGCTTTTTTAAGGAAGAGTCCTTTGGTTTTGGATGTGCCTATCACCGGGTATGTGTATGATGTCAACACGGGCCGGATTGAACATGTTGAGGAGAGAGCGGACTCTGAGTGCTCTAGCCCGTAGGTTTGGAAATGGTTTTATTCTAATTGGCGCAGTGGGATCTTTGACGGATTGGAAACGGCATAGGGAAAAGGATAGCGATTGGAGTACACATAGCATTTGAAACATTATTCCCGATTTTACTCTTCTATCATACCAACTCGTTCCAACCTTGCTTAAGAGCCGACCCAATCATTCATTAGTGACAGATTAAGCGCCCCTCGAATCCATATAGCCTGTTGATGGTCTTTACATGCAGGTATTTACGCTTCCGGGATCAACGGTTGCGGCATGTGCCGCATGTCAGACCCGGCAGAAATAGCCGGGTACAGCCTTATATCTCCTGGGATCAGGAATCACTTCTAGAACATATAAGGGAGGATACCGCCGGAATTGCGGCTGATCTGGTCCAATTTCGTGAAATGTGCGACAATTTCAGTTTCATTGAGGTTTTGCTTGACAACCTCATCAAGCAAGCTCAATGGTTGGTTTAATCAGAACAAGAGGCTTGCCTAGTCGTTATAGACCTGCTCAAAAAGAAAGACCCATTCAAGAGTCAATTTCCCCGATGACTGAGATTTCAGTTACTACCAAACGCCAAGTACTAAACACGACAAGCATTTGACGTCAGATTAGCGGCGACAATTTATGGTATTCCAAATTAGGAATGGATCCATCGGTGTTACGTACATTCTCCGTTACTAACGAAGCGCACACTATGGTTTTCGGCAAGTTTAGTGATCAAATGATGAGTAAGAAGAACCTACAACTGGCCAAATATACGAAATGATAGTTAAATGAATTTGAGATTGCTGGATTGAACGAGGGGAGGCTGATGCCGAGACTCCCGGCGGTCAACTAATAAAACTCCTCGTAGCTCACCGAGATTGACCTTGCTTCCCTTCGTCCGTTAAGCAAAGGATTTACATCAACTTTTCTAATATCAAAATGCCATCAAGAACAACCGAGACTCCGGACGAGTGGTCCAGCTCAGCCGATATAATATCCCGCTTCTTAGCTCTCCAGCAGATATACAGTGCCACAGAACTAGACGCCTATCTCCAATCACAACGATCCATCGATACAGATACGTCTGACTCGGCAACCCAACCAATTGATGTGGTTGTTCTGTGCGCATCGGCGATCTTGGCTATTCCAGAAGCGGTGTTTGAGTGGGCAGTTCAAGACCAAGCCCGACCGGATGCACGACTAAGAAACACAGTCCTCGTGCTGTGTGGTGGGATTAAACCCGGCACTTCTTTCGTCTACGATGCGATCAAGTCCAGCAAGAAATACAGCCAGGTCTATGATGACATCAATGGCAAGCCCGAAGGACAGGTTTTGAAAACCATGGCGGAGCGCTTTTATAAGCTTGATATCAGCAAGTCTGAGCATCAACACTTGTCTGAAGCCGGGTTCAGGATCCTGATTTCTGACCGCTCAACGAACTGCGGAGCAGATGCAGTGGAGACAAGAAAAGTGTTAGAGGGAAATGGCATACACTCTCCGAGATCCATTGTTGTGGTGCAAGATCCCGCCATGAGCAGTCGGACAGTTTCATCTTTCAGCAAAGTTTACGATGATCAAGAAGCGCATATATCGAGCTGGCCTCGTTTGAAATCTGGCTCACTGCCCCGACAAGGAAAGGGTCAAGAAAAGAATATGCAAAGGGAGCTTTGGTCCATGGATCGCTTTCTGGATCGGATCATGGGAGACACGTCACATGTGCAGTTAAAGAATATCAAAGCCAACTCATCGATTGTTATTCCTGGAGAGGTGGAGGATGCTTGGTCAACCATAATGCACAAAGATAGTTTGAAATCATCGGATTAAGGTAGAATTCCACTTGATAATAATTAATCTTAAATGAATACGCGCCTTAACTGGCGATGTGAGTCTGTGATTATAGAAAGGAATGTTTTGCACGATCTGGCATCGATGGTATAATTCTAGAGTTATATCTGTAGACCGGCAGCAATCCCGGCACGGAGATCAAGACTCTACAAATTGTCGCATCATCGGCTTTGTCCGCTTCGAAAATATCAGATCAGGCTGCGGCTGAACGATATGTTTCACAACGTCACATGATGCACACCATCACAAAAACAACACCAACTGATTGGATTGCAACCGTGCCGCTGAAGATTCTCGAACCATCACCTCTCAAAACCACATCCGGCCCGGCCCATCATCACCACCACCAATTTCCAACTCAACTTCCCCGCAACACCAAAGACAGAAACAATGGCCTCATCTTCACCACTTCGCCGCTTCAGCCTCGTCTTTCACGTCCCGCCCGCTAACGCCGCAGCATGCAAAGCGGCTATTTTCGCAGCCGGCGCGGGCCGCTATCCGGGTCCCGGAGGCTATACTGAGTGCGCGTGGCAGGCGATGGGAACAGGGCAGTTTAGGCCTGGAGATGCGGCGAATCCGGCTATTGGTAAAGTTGGCGAGTTGGAGGAGGTTCCGGAGGTCAGGATCGAGACGTTGGTGGTGGGGGAGGATACGGTTCGGAAGGCGGTTGCTGCGCTTAAAGAGTGAGTTTGCTGGTCTGATGGTAGTAAGATGTGAAAGGCTAATGTTCTAGGGCTCATCCGTATGAGGAGTGTCCATATCAGGTTTATCGAGTTGAGGACTTCTGAGGGAGATCATGTGAGCAAGGATAATCTGAGGCATGATCTGACGTTTGCAGCACGGACGAGGTCTGAAAGGTCACAGTCTTTTCAAAGAATTGATCAACGAGCTGGAACGGAACTCTCGCCGGAGCTTTATCATTAGCAATTTTATCTTGTGGTGGATCCGAGAGACAATGCTTGGAAGGATTTCGTTCATTAACAACTTGTATCAAGAAATCAAAATTAGGGTATTATCAAAACCACTACTCTAACAACAAACATTTTATATCCCTTCTCAGAACTCCAAAATCAAGCAACGAGAACTTTTGTCTGCGGCAGCAAAGTCGTCCACCGTTCTCCAGGCTTCCTCCCCCATATCCTCTTCAACGCCTCAATGCCCTTCAGTAAATTCCCGAACCCACTCCGAGCATGATGTCTCCGCAGGACATCCTCGAAGTACATCTTATGCTCTTCAAGCTGCGCATCAGAAGCAGCCACGAATGTCGTCCAAATTAACATGTGCGCTACTGGCGATGTATCTGGGATCTGTTCGAGAGCGCCAATAAAGCGTTGTACGCGTTCCACGGAGCGGGGGTTCATAGGGATGGGGTCTAGGTCGAAGAAATTGGTAGTTTGGTCGGACATGACTTGTTGGAGGTAGATATCTCTGGCTTGGTAGACGAGGTTTGTGACTTGTGAGAAGAGGGGCGTGTGCTGGGGGTATTGCTGGAGGCAGTGGTTGAGACATCCGAAGAGTTGGTCGGTGCGAGCTTGGGATGAGATCATCTGGAGGCCCATTTCCTCACCAAGATGCGGAGCAGCATACACCCGAATTCTGCAGACTGTTATTAGTTTTTCTTCCAGCACATGGGCGAAAAAGTGACTGACTTATGAAGTTCTCGCATGATAAACTCCGCCAGGATGCCAGTCCCGAGTCCATCCTTTCCCCCAATAGCGTCCAGCGCTGACTCAAGCATTCGAAGAAGAACCGGGAAATCCGAACCACCCGTAACCAGAACGGATGTCATTAGTAGTAGTAAGCTGATTAACACATAATGTTGGGTTGTTTGGTCGCCGCAGACAAGTTCCTGCCGCTTTCGCAAACCCCGAAGTGTCCGACCGAGAAGTTGATACGGGTCAGGGACATAAGAATCGCACGATGTGGTTCCAAAAGAATTATACTGTGTTTCGTCTTGTTTGAAGTTGTTTGCTAGTTTGTTGATGTGGAAGTGGAAGGCTGAGACTGTAAGCACGGCGTCCATGACAAGTTCGTCTTGTTGAGCGAGGGGGAGTAGGAGGTGTCGCCAGTCGTTGTGGATGCCATCTATGGCGACCATTTCTGTTGATATACATTGAGAGACTATCTAGAGTTAGAATCTTGCGGTGAAGTTGCGTATGAGTCACTTACAAGTCATGAATAGGTTTCTTTTCCATGCTGGAGTGTTCTGTGGAATTGTTTGTAGAAAGATGGCGCGGAAGACGGCGTGGTCATCGAACCCAACGTGCCGTGTCGGAACAAGGTCGTGGATTTCAAGATCCGAGGAAACGATCTGGATATCATCGTCATATAATTGATCATCATCTGGTTCAAAGGCCTCCGAAATATCCTTTGTTGTTGGTGTGACTTCATCCTTGTCGGAGTTGGGCAAATTCCACGCACTGCTGCATGGGATGTTAGCAAGCTTATGAACACAATAACACCAGCGGATCTTACTCTTCATAAACACTTTGAATCGTCCTACCAGCCCACTTCCCTCTCGCAGCAATCCCCTTGTTGAAGCGATGTCGAATACCCAACCCGCTGCAAGTCAGCCCTCTAGACGTACACTTGTTACAACTAGGCTCAGTCCTATCGCAGTGGATTCTACGCTTTGAGCATTCGTGACAACCTAAATGACACGTTAGATTGGGGCCAAGCAGAACTGAGGCTGAACCGACCCTTTGTTTTTGGCACATATGCACGTTTCTTTGGTGGCATCGCACACGTGGAGTATAACCAGATGAGCTAAAGTGATCGACGCTCAGCGCACGAAACTCGGTATCTCAGGGATAAGAAGTGAGCCGGGGGATGTTTCCAGCGTTATAGAGGAAGGAATGACTTTTTTCTCGAAATTTGCAAGCATCATATCGAAACATGTTCTGGAAAATGAAAGCCGAGGTTGCGGGGTAGGGTGGAGCATTACCTCCGCAGAAGCTAGCAGATGTTGGGGAAGAAGGCTAGGCCGAATGAGGAGGGTCAAATGAGAGCATGCTCTGATTTGTGCGAACTCGCAAACTGTTACCCTCCTGAGCCCCCCCTTCACTGCAATTTTAACCCACCCCGGCCGTTCTTCCGGTGATAGAGAATAAAGTACTCCGTAAACCATTGGTCTTAGTGGCCCAGTCAGTTATATGCTGCCGAAAATTTTATTTCACTGCAAATTTAACCCATCTCGAGTATTCTTACAGTGATAGAAAACACAGTCAAACCATTGGCAATAATCGCCCAGCCAGTGACTTTAAGAGCAAGACAGGCTTCTAGGCTTCATAGTAAATCGCATACCTCAAGGAAAATCTCACAATTGGTTAGTCACCTGTCACATCTTGTGTCCCACACGCCCGACGAGACAATATAGACTTAAGTATTTCAGTATAATTTGAATACCACTAAAGGTCGGTTCATATCTCTAGAGGAGGCTATTAGTATTGTAATATCTAGCTGTCTGATATGGCTGTATTAAATAAATACAATGACTAAATACACCTTAAAGACCTACATATTAAACATAGTTGTTTAAGACTTAGCTTGAGGTTGTCGAAGTATGTAATCAAACTTAAAAATAGCTAAAGTCTAAAATAATAAAATTTACTACTAACACTATTCTAGGAGTTCTAGAAGACAAACACAATCTGAGATACACTCGCCATTTATCTCCACCAGCTATATAATATCTTTTGTGTAACTAAGCGATTCGCAATCAGCTCATTTTTTTTTAGCGTAATCGACAACCATGCCCTACAACATAAGGCTCTATTTCACTGCAATTTTAGCCCACCCTAACACCATACTTCTATCGGCGAACACAACTGAAATCCATAAGGATAGGACTTTGCGCTCAGGTAACTAATAAGTAAATTACTTTCCTGTTGTATTCTGCATCAAAATCTAAATGAAATATCAGGTAGACAGAACTTCAGCTATATCTCAATATTCATTGCGAGACTAAAAACTTGAATTACCTACCTAGACTGAAGACATGGCCAGGTGTGAAATCCTATTCCTGATGAGCAGTAATGCTATCTAATCCATATAAAACTGATACACAAATCTGCAAGGTGACAATGCACATCAGGTTATCAGGTTTACTGCTATCAGTTTGTGATAACGAACGAGCCAGCCCACTACTGCAACTCGAAGGCCTGCATCGGCTTTGAAGATGTAGGATCGTTTCGAATTTCAGCTTCACCCGAATTTTCGCGTTCGGTTTCTTTACACATGGATGATTAACTCCATTGGTCCGACTGGGTGGTCTGATGTGATGGACCTTGCGTCGAGGTTGGTCCAGCACCCAATTATCAAGTGGTAAAGTGTGATAGCGAGGGTGATTTATTGACAGGTTGCTTTTAGCTGTCAAGATTAGCCCTCAAATTTGCCCCCGTGCTATTCCCCTATTTGAACCTCATTCATAAATGCTCAGTCGTCCCTCATGTCCGGTACCGCATCTTGACACCACCGAGCAAGACGCTTTTAGACACCTCGATGCGTCTCCTAGCACATGTGGCAGCGTTCATGCTATTTTCGACCAAGGTCCTGAGCAAAGAATTCAGTCCCGTCTACAAGTGACCTCTCCAATATTCATCGACCAATGATCTGTCGTATCTCGGTAGACTTTCTCGCCGCGATGAATGCTCCGACTCTTATGGGGCAAACGCACACAACTCGATCTGCGCGCCTAGTAAAACTCGATGCTGTATGTTACCATTTCAGACATCACAAGAACTTGTCTGATAGGGCTTAGGCGTTCGTGATTCTCAAGACTTTCCGGCTTGCGAGAAGCACGTTGGCAAAGGATGGTGCTGCGTTGGAGAGTTAGTCGTTTCTGCCTGTATCGCTCCTATCTACTTGCTAATAGATGCCAAGGGATGGTGAATGCTACGTCGATCAAAAGTCCGTCTGCGATGAGGACGGCTCTGTCCCCTGCACCAATCTAGAAGAGGGGACGAGTGAGGCTTGCTGCCCAAAGTTAACGTTTTGTGATCCTCCCCCAAAAGCCTCTCTAGACAATGTCCACTGTCGGATCAAGCGGAAGGATCTTCTTGCCGCTGAAAGGGCAAAGAATGACGAAGAATCAACAACATCCAGCACCACGACAGCTTCAAGTACCTCCACCGTGTCAGACGACTCAACGGCCAGTACTGCGACTGGCACAACCACAGAGTCGGAATCGCCGACCAGTGAATCGAACTTACCCTCGTCCGCAACATCGTCACCCGAATTGTCTCCCCAAGGCTTGACTACAGGCGGGATCGCAGGAGTTGTCGTAGGAGCCGTGGCTGGCGGGGTGGCTATCGCATCTTTGGCATTTTGGTTGCTAAAAAGGAGGAAGAGAACAGACAATCAAGCTCCTATACAGCCGACGAGCTACGAGTATTACAACCCTCAGAGTAGAAAGCATGAACAGGTTCATTCACCGCAGGAAATGGATTCCCAGGATGGACAACGGATGATCCTGAAGCCACCTGCGGAGCTTGGAACTTAGCTATTCCGTTGGAATAATGTTTAGTACATGTTAAGGTACCGCTAACTAGATGAGGATAATAAGATTAGAAGCCACGCCTTTGGCCGTATACTGCTGTGTGTAACATTGACAAGATGGATTTAAACACACTTGCTTGCCAGCCACTACAAACGGCGTCGACCTCCAAGATAATGCTGCGAGACTGTGCTTATCCAGAAGAAAGTGGCTGCGATTGATCGACGAACATTTGTGAAATGTAGACCAGGGGGATTGAAAATGATTCGATCACACGAGCTACTACCCTGTAATATGTATGCAGCTGTGGCTTGACTGCTGTCATCATACGATGAAATACACGCTACTGTAAGACACCAGCCTACCACCAAGTTCAGCTCAATCCACTTGGAAACGTACTAGGTAAAAGATGAACGAATATGTAGCGCCAGGCAACTCAGTTTTGCGTCTCGAGCTTGCTTTTCGAATCACATTCTGCCTACAGCGCAGCCTCGTTGCCAGTTAAGAGGAGTTAACCAGTCCTGGTGGGCTAGATGAGATACTCCCTATGGCCTACGTTAAGGTCGACACGATATTGAGTTTATCACACCTGAAGTTCATTGAAGCTGCTCTCCTTGTTCTCTATCCCTGACTTTGGGCGGCGTGCTTGTGGGCTTCTGGTCTAGCGTTGGGGGCATTGCGATTTGACGTGATGTGTGGTTCCAGCTCCCACTACTGGCGGTGACGGGAGACCTTCACTGCAATTTTAACCCCCTCCAAGGCTCGGGTTAATTATGCAGGACTTTGTGATTTGGAACATATCATGCGGGATAATGCAAGATACAACGCAAAAATCTTGTTTGCTGCACTGATTTCTTCTTAGAGTTTAGAAGGGCGACGGGGATGTGCTGAAGGTGCCATACTAACCAGCGAGTGCTATACTAGCCCTTCACTGCAAATATAACCCCTCTCTCAAGGCTTAGAGCCTCTGCGGGGTCCTATGCTGACACCTCTCGAGGTTTGTTATCGTGAATTCTCGACTTTCTAGAAGATACATGACGGGACTATACGTCTTGGGATATTTGCGAATCCCCACCAACTCAGCAGTACCTAGCAATATGGCTAGATGGGATAGTCTCCATGACCCACAAAGGTCGATATAGTATTGGACTTACTGCACTTCCAATCCAGTAAACTCCCAGGTGGTTCGCATTAAAATCCGCCTTTGAAAATGGCATGTCAGAAAATATCAACACACTCTTCCCCGAAAATCACACTATTAATACTCGACTATTTTTATCGCTTCCATAACCAGTGCCTGTTTTTTTGCGACCCATCCCACTAGACGGAAAGCAGCAAGATCAAGGCGATTACACTGCAATTTTAACCCCTCACAAAGCCTTGGGCTGATTGCCTGGGTCTCTAAAAGAGGAACCAGCTTCCGCCTCAAGTTTGGAATGCTAATAAGCAGGGCGCTGTCAGACCAGAAAGGCTCGCACTATACATGTGCACTGCAATTTTAACACTCCCTTAAGGGTGCTGGCTATTGCGGGGTCTCGTGCTCACAGCTGACAGTTCCTGACGAGGTTACCATGAACAATGTGAATCAAAGACGATACATACTACACAGTAGTGGAGTGAAAAGTCGAATAAGTCACAAGAGACTCGCCCAAACCTATGAAAAGAATGACAATATCCCGCAAACGGCTCTTGCCTAGCATATCAGCCGAACAAAATGCGAGAAAGAAACCCAGGAACAATGCTCCCTGCACTCGATGCTCTGTCTGCACACGCTTGTTCTCGCAACAAGGACTTCGAGCTCTGAATTCCGAAGATGGCTTCTTTCATCAAACCCGTGAAGGGTTCATATCGAACCTGGAAAGTTGCGATTTATGCAGTTTCATATTCGGGCTGGCATCGATAGAGTTCGATGGTGTCTGGGCACCAAACACGCATCTCATATTCCGAAACTCGAATGAGAGTCTTGACCGCCGCAATCTTGGCGTCAACGCCCTGGAGGGGACTCTCGAGGACTCAGATAGGGCCATAACTATCTATCCCTTTATGAAAGAAAGTATGTTGAGCTGGTGCTTCAGTTGATGTGTTGAGATATAGGTATCAACAGCCACTATGATTTCATCCATTTTTGTATTTCAACATGTTGACCCTTTTCTAATGGCATTTAGATGACCCTCTCAGCAGAATGATATCCCGAAGGCCACTGTGCAGAGACGTGGAAAGCCCACAGGTCTTTGAAGCAGCCAAGAAGCTCATCGATGCTTGTTTGTGCCCAAAAGACCCGAAATTGGGACATCAAAGGTGCCGCTATTCAAGAGACAAAGTCCTACCCTCGCGGGTGATACGAGTCAGCGACCAATCCGCCCAGCTACAGATCAACAAAACTCACATACGCGGATCCTATCTGGCCCTGAGCTACTGCTGGGGAGAGCCAGACCCGAACAAACAGAGCAACATCTCCAAACTGCAAAAAGACAACGTGGAAAAGCTCGTGCAGCAGATCAGCGTTGAAGAACTGGAGCAATCGGTCCAAGACGCCATAAACGTTACACGGCAGTTAAGATTTATTTACCTATGGGTCGATAGGCTCTGCATCATCCAGGACTGTGAAACGGATAAGGCGCATGAAATTGCGAAGATGGCGACTATCTATAAGAATGCCGAGATCACTTTGGCAGCTGGTACTGCTACACAGGCATCGGAGGGGTTTCTGGGGAACTTGCCGAATACTGCTCCGTATTTGCCTCAGCACAAGTTTGTGGTTCCATTGGAGAATGACTTCAGAGGCACGGTATATCTTTCCGGCAAGCCCTACGAACCCAACCACCCTCTTGATAAACGAGGCTGGACGTTGCAAGAGTACATGCTATCGTCTAGGATGATCATCTTCTCTGACTATCAGCTACTCTGGCAATGTCAGGAGATTGAGTTACAGAGTGTCACAGGCAACGACTCGGGCGTGGAATATCAACAGCATCTCGAATCTCTTCCCTGGGCGGCTTTCGATGAAGAAGGCGAGCCATCGTACGGCACGCACGAATCCGAGAAGCTGTATCTGTGGAAGACTATCATCATGCAGTACACCGGAAGGGATCTGAGATTCGCTACAGATCGACTCAATGCCGTGACTGGTATCATAACTGAGTTACAGAAGGTATGGAGAGATTCGCATATCTACGGTCACTGGGAACGCTGGTTTATTGAATTGCTGGCCTGGAGCATCCCAGAAAAGCATAAACTGAGAGAGAGAAACCTCCTGCGAGCGCCAAGTTGGTCTTGGGTCTCAGTCGATGGCAAAATTGAGTTCAAAGATGCTGTCACAACAAGAGACGCAACTGTTGAGATCTTGACCGCAAGGATGGTTACGCTTAAGTGCCGGGCTCTTATGTACAATGATATCGACGATTCATACTGGCCGTCCCTTACACAGAACTTTGATCTTGTAGATTCAGCTGTGGAGGAAGAGTTTCTGGTCATGCAGCCCGAGTATCTCCTCCTCGGCAGCACAATCACAAGCAAAGATGAAGAAAAAGGGCTGGGTCTGATAGTACTCAGAATAGATGCTGGGAGTTATCGGAGAGTTGGTCTAGCTACTTTTGGAGATATGTCACTCTGGGATGGTATCAAGTATCGGACGGTTGAGTTGGAGCCGAAGCAAAAGTAGATCAGTATTATATGGTCATATATAGAACACCAAAGTTGCACCTCTACTTAATAACCTCTCCTCGCGTGTATCTTCTCATGTCTCCTACAATCATTAACTCTTGCAAACGCCTTCCCACACGTTGAACAAGCATACGGCCTATCCCCAAAATGGCTTCTCTCATGACTCCTCAAGTTAATGTTCCTCGTGAAGCTCTTCTGACAAATGGTACACATAAAATTCCCCGGAGCTTGCCGGCGGCTCAACACTTCGAAATGTGTGCCTGCTTCGCTCAAGGTCGGGTGGTAGATGTTGATATGACGGTCTCTGTCCTTGTTGCTCATGAACCCCAAAGGTGCTGAGCTGCATGAGACTGGACATTGAAATGGTCTGTCGTGTCGTTTCTCGTGGCTTTCTCGGGCGCTCTTCTCTTCGTAGCCGACGTAGAAGAAACGACAGAGTGTTCGATAGCACTTGTACAGGTTGAGACCGTAGTAAACTTCGATGGTGTCTTCATCGCCTACCACATCGCTCGGCGTGTATCTTTCAAGCTCTGTCCTGTTATCTTGTAGAGCCGTTTCGATCTGGGCGATACCGATCTTGTTTCGAGCTCCATAGTCACCGTTCTGGTGAGTGAAAATGTGATTCCACAACAAACGGATGTCGTAGTAAGACTGTATGCCACGAAAGCTTTCTAGATTGCTCGTATCAAGCTCAGCGTGTTCAGTATCAGACAAATCCCCTCGGTGCGTATTGACGAACCGAACCAGAGCAGAAACAAAATCCTGGGCTGCCTCACAGTGAGAGTTGCTGGTGAAGAGGTCGCTGCATTCTCGGAGGACAGTGTCGACGTGCCAGAGCCATTGGGAGCACGCATAGTCCTGAAATGAGAACCAGCCGAGTTTTGCGTGTTTGCTTCTTTCGGTTGATTCGTAGCCTTTCGCAAAGGAAGGAAGTGATAGATATCGGAGGCATGTTGTTGCTAGTTGGCACTGAACATGCATTTCTTTGATGTGCTTATTTTGGATGATATGCCTGTCGAACTATGTTAATGACGAATGGAATGAAACGGGCTTAAAGGGCATTGCAAGACGACTTACATTCGTGCAGTCGAGTGAACAAGTCGAATGTATCCACCATCCAAAACATGGACAATAGAGCCAAGGTAGTTCTCCATATCCTGCCTCAGCATCTTATCCTCAAGGTCGAACTTGAATTCTACCTGGTCAAAGGATAGGATGGCCTGCATTTCATGCCATCTGAGGGGTCTCTTTGCGCAGACAAGCCAGCCGAACAACAGCATTGTTCTCTGCCATTTGGCCTGGCCGTTTTCTAGTGCTTCAAGTCGCTTCTTGACTGAATCGAGTAGACTCTCGTATCTGAATAGGTTAGCAGAATACTATTGTGAGTGGTTAGGGGCTTACAAGTCTCCAAGCTTAGCTGGTAGAACGCCGCCTCTTAAAAGTCCTAGTATTTCACCTTTGGTGTCTTGCTGCAACAGGTATTCGATGGCAAGGTGGGCGTAAAGGAAGGAATCTGGCGTACTAAGTTAGCCATGTTTTGTTTTCTATTAACTAGTGGGTATACCTTCACTTTGACGACAGATCTTCCTCTCAATGTCCGTTTTATCTGCTTCAGAAAGACTGAATCCCCGAACATTATCTGACTTGAAAAAGTCTGGGAGTCTCTTCACTACAAAAGCCTGGATATCATCTTGGTTATCCTCTGGCTTTAACGCAATACTGACACAATTGTCTCCGGGGATATGTCGTCTTGTATCTGAAGTCTCTCTGCCGATGAACATCACCCTTAGGTGACCAAGTCTGATCGATGTGTCGTATTTCGACACAAGTTCCTTGAAGAATTTGGCCGTTTGGTGGATCTCTGTACTCTCACATTCATCTAACCCGTCTATAACGATGTATTGCCGTGGACAGTATTCGATGTATGTCTTGATGAGCTTTTGCGCTACCCGTGCGTCCATGAGGTTGACGCCCCCGCTTGTCATTCTTTCTTGATTGCAGAGTGGAAGGATATAGTCCTCTGACTCTACCATTTGTAGCAGTATTCCTTTGAGGATATCAAGGTGACTTCTGTGTTCGTTGTCGTCTTTTTCACAGTAAAAAAAGCATGTCTTGCTATCCTCCGGAAGGGAGAATCTAGTCTCCTCGCCTTCAGCAGGCTTGAGCTCATCAACAATGAGAGACGCCAAAACTGTTTTCCCTGAATTCTGTCAGTCCTTCGCAATCCTAGTTGGAACAACCAAGCACCCACCATAACCAAAGTTTCCGTGTAACCAGATTGCTGAGTCGGGAGTGTTTTCTTCACTCATCCACTTCGCAATAGTACTGTGATTTCGAAACAGCCAGCGACCACTGTTGGGACAAATAGCCATGCTGCGGAATTTCTTCTGGAGCCTTTCCATCTTACCAGAAGCAGAGATCCAGGTGATGACTGAATTCTTCTGCTCGTGTTTTCGGTCGCTTTCTTCCTTCTCAAAATCTGCCCAGTCGGACTTTGCGCCGTGGAAGTACCGCTGAAAGGCAGCGTGTGTGTCGCTGTACTCTGCTCCTAAGTTCAAGTCAGTTATTCTGGGTGGTTTGCTGTGACTAACAACGTACGTTGTGAATAGCTACTTTGATTCTTGATGAATTTGGCGGTGTTGTTTAAAGACTCGGTTAACTTCTTGAATCTTCGAGAGGAATCTTCCCATACAGGCTTTTGAAGACGTTGCCATACTAAATAAAAGCTTAGTGAGAGAAAAGTGACTGTATAAGAGGATAATTACGCTGTGGATTAAGAGAGAATAGGTTGTATGCCAATAGATGGAATCGCTGAATATCTCCAAAGATGTTTACTAAGCATTTGATGGTGTCTGGGAATTGACTGAAGAGTTGTTCATGTTCGGTCAAATCTATGAGTTCCGCTCCAAGTCGCTCATACACTTCAAGGACGCCGTCAAGAGCCCTGTCAACAGCATCAGTCGTCTAAATAAATTATTAGTCTCACAATTGAACATTCTTTAGTACTGTTGTAGCGTACCTTGAACAGGAATCTGACCGAGCCCCATATGATCGACATGACACTGCTTGTGTCGGGGAATTCGAGCTGACACAGAACTTTCTCCAAACTTTCCATGCCGCGGATGAACATGCGAAGTCGGTTCATGTTTATCATGTTGTTTGTCTTGTCACGCATTGCCTGCTTCTCGTGGATTTCCCTCTGCATGTCTCCGATGCTGATACCCTCGAACTCGTCTTTGTGGATGGTTTTGAGCGAGCTGCGGAACTCTTTTGCTATGTCGTTTAGTTTTTCCATGGTGACACTGAAATGACCGGGCGCCTATTGACGAAATGAATCCGACGAGAATATCTCTGAGTGCTCGATTGACGGTGAAGTCAAAAGAACAACTCACCGAAAGTAGTCGCACACAAACTGGTTCAAAGTGGAAAAAGACAGCTGACTACATCACAGGTAGAGGCCGCCAAAGTTGGATTGGATGCCTCGTAATGCCCTGTTCCAAGAGCCTCAAAACGCCTCAGCTGGCATTTTCAACCCCTTCCAGCCAACCGCTGCGCAACACGAGCGCTGGGCGAACCATATGCGAGAGAAATAATCTGCTTAGGTCTGCCTCGGGGGCTTAGCGGGTTTCAGCGCCGTAATATTGCAAGGTGTGATTCGATGATTGTCCTGCAGGAAATGTGAGCTAGCACAGCCTGATTTCGAGGTTTGTTTATGGGGTAAACAAGAGCCCCATCTCGCGAGAAAAATGTAATCTTTGATCTTATTTCCATTAGTAACTTTCTCTCAAAGACCTTGATCTCGTTAATTGAGAGATTGCGATCATGTCGTTGAAACATCTGCTCAACCCTGTCGACGAAGACAAAGACACCAATGTCTCTCAAATTCCTGAGGGCCACTTGGCCTCGAATGAGCAGCAATTCAATTTTGCGGTAAACGCTCCAGGTATGACGTTCAATATGGATGATCCAATCAACATGGACGTACCGATGAATATCTGGGATGATTATAATGGAGAAATGCCTCGAGTTAGCGACTACATCGGGCCCAGCGCCATGAATCCTCTTGTGTAAGGCCAAGACATATTCCTCTGTACTAAGCTAACAAACCAAGCAACTTTCCGATCATACAACAAGGAAATCTGTTTCAAAACGAGTTTACACAGGCTGATCTTCTTCCTGTGGATCCACAGTTCGATATAATGAGTCTGGATATGAGCTACAACATGAACGTTGGCTTCGACTTTAATAGCATGATGCCTATCGCAGAAGAGCAGTCATTTCCGTCGGAAATGCCAACTCCTCTCGAGAACTTTCAATACCTGGATATACCTACAGAAAGCTCGCGAGAAGGATCATCCACAACACCTGGAGGGCCTGACTCGAGCCAATCGTTACAAACACCTGTCACAGTGCCAGAGGAAGAGGAAGTGATGGTGCACTACGGTATGGTAAGAGTACACCTCTCTAGCTCCATCCTTCGTCATGTTGACGATCCATAGCTGCATAACATCGAAGTGAAACTAGTCCCGGACGACATGACCGCCATCGATGAGAGATTGAAGATTGGCGAGTCGCATTACCAACATTTCACACCCACTGAATATCAAAAGCAAGTTATGCTTTGCTTTCCAGACGATGACAAAAAATTTGGACATTTATGCTCAGCAACCGGACAAGCTCTTTTGCCACTTCTCACACGGCCCAGAGTGGACATCGAGCCTCTAGCTTTGAAGGGAGACCTGAGAGCCGTTATTCACCGTGCTAGCAAGTCAACCGACGCTAGAGTCAAGGTTGACATCAACATCTATGGCACACGAACTGACTCAGGAGTCATTGGTGACATTCTGTCTCAAGGTAAGCTATGGCTACAGAGTTCGAGTCACGGCAGAAGCGGGACAGAGTACGAGAATCCACATTTCTTGAGCATTGCCATTGAGGATAGTGCAATTGGAGTGCTAAACCCAGAAATCACCGTCAACAACGAGCAGCCTAAGAAGAAGACGAGAGAAGATCAACTTCGAAAGATGGTGGAGGATGTTTACAAGACCGTTGAGAATAATCGAGAACTCGAAATGGTCGAAGGTGGCGACAGGGTGACTCGACAGCTTCTGAGGTGGGTCATGTGAAAGACTCTATATCGTGCAATTCTAACAGCAAAAAGACATCAGAAAGAAGCACTGGGATTTATGCTCGAGCGAGAATCCGGCCACATCAACGACAAGTACAGACTGTGGCAAAAAGTCGAACAAGATGGAAAGGTTCAGTACAGACACAAAATTACAGAAAGACGAAAAGACATCAGACCAGAGGAGAAGGGTGGCGGTATCCTTGCTGATGACATGGGAATGGGGAAGTCACTCTCCATTTTGGCTTTGGTCATGAAGACATTGGACAACGGTGTAGAATTAGCAGCGCAGAAGAATGCAGAGCACAAGGGGAGAAGAGCACTCCAGTATTCTCGGTCTACCCTCGTTGTTGTCTCAGCAGCTTGTGAGTTTCTCAACTAAAGATGGCAGTTAGTGTTGCTGACAGGGTTTAGTGTTGGTGGATGAGTGGATGAACGAGGTGAAGAAGTGCGTAACCTTGGTCTAGACAAATGAAGACTGGCTGATCATATACAGGCATCTCAAGACAGGCCTCAAAGTGGTAAAATACCATGGCGACAAGAGACCAAAGAACCTTGACCAACTTCAGGAGATTGAAGATTCAGATATCGTCGTCACGACATACCACACACTCACTGCGGAATACCTGGTGGGCAAGGGGAAGTTGTCGCCTTTGTATAAGCTGGGGTGGTATCGAATAGTCCTTGACGAAGGTTAGTCTCAACTCTCGATACTCGTGCTCAAGCACTAACACAATCAATTCTAGCTCACATCATACGCCGACCATCAACGAAATTCTTCCAAGCATGCGAGGAACTCCACGCCAATTCCCGTTGGTGTCTCTCCGGCACACCCATTCAGAACAAGCTCGCTGATATCGGATCATTGTTCCGCTTCATCCGCGCCGAGCCATTTGATAAAGCATCTGAGTTTCGAAAGTGGATAGAAACCCCGTTCGACAACTCACCCGACGATACCAAGGTCATCAGAAACCGCCTTGTCATGCTTCTCGAAGCTTTGTGTCTACGTCGCACTAGACATGTTCTGAACTTACCCAAGACAAGGCAGTCAGTGCGATATCTCACTTTCACAACTAAAGAGCGCGAGCAATATAACCGAACACACGCAATCATTGTTCGGAATATGGAGCATCGTATGGGAGAAGTTGAAAAGAGATCAAAGTTTGGCCAATTTCAGCTGTGGCTCCAACTACGAATAGTGTGTAACCACGGTACATTCCAAAAGTTGTTTTCCTGGCATCGGAGGAATCTTCTAGAGGAACGAGAAGCCATTATCGGTTCGGCAAGATATGGCGAGATTTCATGCATGGGCTGCGAACAGCCTTTGCCTGTCTTAGGGCAGAACTTTAACAAGAGCATGTTCGATGATAACTGCTCGCATATACTGTGTGCGCAATGCATCAAGGAGTCGAACTTTGACGATTTGAGAATTACTGAAAGGCGATGTCCTGTTTGTATCAGATGGTATCGAGAGTCTTCGAGCAGTAAGGATGATCATGACTCAGAAGACAACCCCAAGTCAGGCAAGCGCCGGAGGAAAACAGGACCGAATGATGACCATGAGCATTACTTCAATGATGAAGGACACTCTACCAAGATCCGCGCACTGGTGGAGGATGTTTCGAAGGATCTCTGGACAACCAAGAGGTAAGTCACGCCCTCGTCCTATATGGCTTGGCTAACATATAACAGCATCATCTTCTCTTGTTGGACACGAACACTGCATCTCATAGCAAGACACTTGGAAAGGGCCAGAATCCCATATCTTCAACTCGACGGTAACAGTCCTCTCCCTCAGCGGCAAGAGACTCTTTACAAGTTCGAGAACGGAGAGGAGACACCTGTTCTTATCATGACAACTGGAACAGGAGCATTTGGGTAGCTTTTCCCTGTCTCTGATTCACAGAACTAGACTAACAACGCTTTAGATTGAATCTGACTTGCGCCAATCGAATTTTCATCGCAGAATTACAGTGGAATCCCAGCGTGGAGAGTCAAGCTATCTCTCGTGCGATTCGTCTTGGACAAGAGAATGAAGTTCGAGTCTGGAGATACATAGTCCGAGACACTGTTGAAGAAGTAAGTTGTCTGTTGTAGTGTGTGAGACAGTTGCTAATTCTTGATAGGATATTAAACAGCAGCAAGAGTATAAGAAGCTAATTGCAGCTCTGGGTTTCGAGGAAGAGGTTGACTAGTAGTGGCTAAACTACAAGGGCCGTGTTGCAAGGGCCGTACTTGTTCTATACAGGAGTAGAGACATGGAGAATTGTTGAAATATATAGATCAAAATCAATTGAAGGGTTCATGAGTTCCCTGCACTTTTATGGTGCACCGCACATAAATGACATTATGATGCAGTCATGTCTTGTTCAGAAATTCGAAGCCTTGAACAGGATTAGCCTACTGACACATAGTTTTGGTGTAGTCTTATCGAGCAATACTGGTGTAAGCCTGTTGACCCACGTTGATTAACCCCATGAAGAGAGTCCAAGTTTAGGTGGGGACTAAAATTGCAGTGAAGCAAGCCAATCTAGATGAATTCCAATGCTTCAAAACACTGTAACCTCGAAATCATGTTTATCTTCTCCCCATTAGAGATCTTTATTTTTCTACGCCACCTGTCGTGCGGTACGTGCAAGGCCATGATGTGTTGGTTCACCAGACTTGAAACCGTCGGCTGTGTTGTTGGGCCTGTTGGTCCTCAGTTGAGACCTAATTGACCTACCTAATCTTGACAGAGGCAAGGGTTCTAGTCGGGGAACCCCCGCCCTGGGCATGGGCCCTTGTTTAGTGTAAGAGGGTATAAGTTTAATTGTGACCCAGCAGACAAGCCCACTTCTGATACCATCATGTTTTCCAACACAGACACCGCAGACACCAGTCTGTCCTTATCCAAGACGTCGATGACCACAGCCACGGCCACGCAGCTTCTCGCCCTCACCACGCCGTTCAAGCAACCACGCGGATGCGATTCACATTGGGAGCGCACAAGCATACTCTCAACCGAGGGCGACACATCTACTGTGCTGGTCCTTTTGTCGAAAGCTGTACCATCATGTTACCCATCTGGCTGGGAGGATGTCGTGCCCGAGAGTCGCTGGAACTTCAACCCGGCCGTATGCCCTAGTGGCTGGACCTACTACGACATGGCGGAAGATCGAGAAATGGGGGTTTCCACGGCCTCCTGCTGCAATAGGTCCGCCGCCATGACACGTTCTTTGCTTGGGAAAGTGAATATGCTAACCAGAATATCTACCTTAGTGGCTATACTCGCCTAAACGATGACGACTGGGAACTCGTTGCCTACGACATCAGCACCTACCATTGTGGACGCTGGGTGCAGAACACCGATGAACTATCCACCACGAGCAATGCCGAGGCAGCATCCAGCGTGAGCACGATCCGAACTCTCATGTTACACAAGGCCTGGAGTATATCCTGGAACGCATCCGATACGTCGACGATGACACCGAAGCTGCCTTCTTTGACCAACAAGATGGAGGTTCCAGTGTGGACGCCTGGTCAGGATATTCCCAAGGGTAAATATGATGAAAGCCTGGTTGAAGATGGTCCACTGTCGGGTGTTACAGGCCGGTTTCTGCTCATTGGTCTACCTATTATTGGTGTTTTTTTTGTATTGTTAGGTGCTTGGATTTGTTTCGTGCGTCACAAGAGACGACAGAGAGCTGCGAGAAAGTAAATAATCGGTGGTCACTAGGACCTGGTGTTAGCACTCACGGCCGAGGAGCTGCTGAGTCTCAGTGAGACTCTTCCTTAAATACATCAGCTTGAAAAAGATGCCCTAGAAAACCTGTCAATGTGGACAGTAAGATGGTTTTCGCTATGCTTGAAGTTACATCGAGAAAGATGAGAGCGGGGATCTGAGGAAGTGATGAGCTTTCAGTGAACTATTTCTAGAGCCCTTGTTATAGCCGTGATACAACATGAAGGTGAGTAAAGTGAGGTATTTGGACCTCCGCAAATAGAGCTATGGCAGAATCGACTCTAAGGTATTGGACTAGGTAGTTGGGTCTCCAATAACTAAAGAATTTCATAAGCTGGCTGAGCTTCATAGTCTTTTTTTATGCCATGGAAAAAGATACGCATACTTCTTTAACCATTCATCGACAACTTGTTCAGTAGTCTCAATATCTTCTGGCCTTATGTTTCTATTTGAATAATTACAACAACTTAGGACCAGAGGTAGCAGAGTATGCCATATATTTCTATATTCGTTCATTAAAAATCAAACTTGGCAAGGTAACCTACTGTGCCAACATTTGCAGCCCGATGGCTAAGAGAGCAGTCGATCCCTTGGTGGGGGCTAAAAATGCAGAGCACATTTCGCCTCCTGCACCGCTCTGGAGAGTGAGGCGTTCCGCCGGGGTAGAAGGCCTGGCGTTGGTTAAAATTGCAGTGAAGACCGGCCCCGGTTGCTGTCGGGTGGCACACGTGTGCTGAGCCCTGGGGGTGTAAGACACGACTCTTGATGGGGGTTAAAAATGGAGTGCTTAATGGGGGGGATGGATGCAGTGGCGTGAAATCTGGAAATGCACTTAGGTTCCTTTTGCAATGACCACTAGTAGTAGACAAATTATTCTCGGGATGAGAATAAAGATGTTTCATTTGTTAAACCCAGCTTCCTGAGAAGAGAGCTGTTAGGTATATGTTTCTTGCGTGCTAATGAAGTTCACAGGTCAATCCGCAGTCAGACTTACGGCTAGTGTGGAATAACAGGCTCGGCGTGGGTTAAAATTGCAGTGAAGATATTTCACGCCACCAACTCTCGAAGCTCAAAACTCGGCACATGCATGTACATGCATGCTGTGCAACGAGGCGCACTGATTGCTCAATTCAGCCCACCAAACTCGGTTGCAGCGCGCAGGGGTCTCAAATCTGATGACAGATGCTCCTTATGACCAAACTCGAGCCCAATACAACGCTTCAGCTAGTCAAACAGCTTCTTACATCTCTTCTTTTTATCAAAATGTCAATCGCAGTCGAACAGGCAGTGCTTCAATATTGAAACGCTAATCGGGGAAAACAAGAACAGAATAAATCCCGAGCCTTTTTCTGTACCAATGTAGAACTGCAATCCCTTTACAAAGTTTGCACGGCGAATGACTTGAGGAGAATCAAACCCTCGGAGGGGGTTAAAATTACAGTGAAAGCGCAGAGCCTCAACGTACGTAGGCCCCATCATATGAGAGAACGGATCCTTTTGACAGCATCAGTAACGCCGCGTTATTCTATAGGGCCTTTCTCTTTGCCTAGCTGAAAGAATGTGTACATGGCGTATCTATAAAGAAATTATACTCCTATTTTCAATATATATTATGTCTTTCTTATCCCTCCCACTACACTTCAAACATTCCTAAATTCTGCCGCCTCTGTTAGCTTATTAACCGAAACGGTTTAAGTCTGGAGGCCGCCTTCGCGGGTCCCCTGCTACCGACCCTTTCACATCGAAAGATTTACGAACCCTCTGAAGTGGGCTAAATTTGCAGTGAAATGGGGAGTACATATACCAGTACAATTCCCCGGCATTTTCCAAATCCAAAAGACAGTCACTCAACCTGATCAATATTCCATTCCAAAGATAGATAAGTAATACAAGCCAAGAAATAACTGGCGCATGCCTTTACGTGGTGCACCTTATAGTGTCTGCAGTTGATGACACAAGCTCCGTGCTGTGCGAGGGTAGCCTGTACTTTAATTAATATACAAGAGTCTGAAGAATAGCAGGCTGTTTTCCAAGAAGGAGGTCATCGTCAGGCCTGAGCGTATATAATTAACTTTTCCATGGTTGAAAGTCATATTGCAGTATCATCTAGTCATTAACTACGGGGCTTCATGAAGCCCAACGATGCTCCGTATCTTATTTTCATCTCCAAGCTCCCCTATCTTCTGCGTATCCCAAAGTTCTTGAGGTTCTCTTGTTGAATCGAGCTCTGAACTTCCAATCTGCAACACCTGCGTTCCACCAAGCTCAGGCTTGAGAAAGTCAGATCCCTCCAAACTTGGCCCTGTCATTTGATTGCGCCTCCTATCAAAGCGCCTCCATAGAAAGAAACCTACAGCTCCGGAGATCAACAGTCCTGCGACTGTGACACCAACTGAGATTCCTACCAATGCTGCTGTGGACAGTCCTGACTTTTCTGGCTCTTGCGCTGGCACCTCCACAAATCCAGTGGTCTTTGGTTGGTTGGATGTCGTTGATGCTATGGACGTCGCTGATGCTAGGGATGTGACCATGGAAGTTTCCGGTGGTGGTTCAGCTGGGAGTGATGTTGACGTTCTTGAATTATCTAGTAGCGCGTCTGATCCAGAAACATTGAAAGAAGCCGAATTGGCCAGAGGTATGTTTGTTTTGGAAGAGTAAAGGATAAAGTGAAACACAGAATCTTCTGAAATATCCTTGGCTATTGAAAAGGAGTCCAGAGTTACGTTCCATGCAAACGAAGTGTCTGTCGTGTTTCCTAGAGAACTCAATCAGCCACCAAAGTTTGACCACCTTTATCTCTCTTACCTAGTATTTCTTTGTAGAATTGAAAGGATTTCAACCTGGGGTAGTCCAGCCAAACAAAGAGGTTGCAGTCACCTTCGTAATCTGTCTTCCACTCCACGTTTATCTGATCGTCGACGGCGTACACTTGGTTTTCTCCCTCACCAGAGCCATATTGCGCCGGGCCAGGTGTGGTAAATTCGGATTCACATCCTCCGTATACGGCAAATGCAACGGCTGCGACCAGCGCGGGAAGTGGTCTGATCATTTTGACAACCGCTCAATCTTGAGGCTCAAAACATGGAAAGAAATTCTGCGAGAGGGGAAGGAAAATAAAAACTCATCGAATTCTTAAGCAGTCAATGCTATACCTCGTTAATGCTTGTCAGCATCAAGGCCCCTTGTCACGCTAGCCAGCCTCTCGCAGGCTTACACTGCCACGATGGAGGGCCCAGAACGCAACAAGAGATAAAAACGGCTGAATAAGCCCAATTGAACCAATTAAGAACCTTGCCTTGTGGTCGAAGGAGCGAGTAATGACGCACTTGACTTTGGAGATTTGTTAAGCCATCCAATAGAGAAAACGACGATGGGAAATGGCATGTTCTGAGCAATATTTTTGCCTTTTGCAAATCGTGATCGCTATCGTTATGCTTTTGGAGGAGCGGCCGCTAGTTAGTAGGGATGTTAAAAAGCGGTAAAATGGACTGAGATCCATTATTTAAACATTTTCGCTACAATTCTGTGGAGGATCTGCACTCCGATTGGATTGTGCATCTTACATAGATATTTAGTAGTACACACAGGAACGTTACCAGCGTCTTGTATCATCTCTCTGTTATCGCCAAGAAAGTGAGGAGTATCGCTGTTGTAGTCAATTTGATCGGGATCGTATTGTTAGTTCGAGATATCGTCCAAGAGATTGTCAACGTCGCCGAAGAAGTCAGAGAAAACGTCCTCTTCGTCATCATCCTAATCAGAATTAGATTGGTCGCCTTCATCATCGTCTGAAAATTCATCGTCGTTGATCCAGATGTCGTCTGCGAGTTCGTCGATGTTTTCTGGTTCACTGAGGTTGAGTAGAGTGAGGTCCGTCCTCAATATCTTCCAATTGGATATCCTCATTCTTCTGAGCGGGGGATGGGTTTGATAGTCGTTGATGATAGGTCAGGCCGTTATGGTCGTCTTCGATGCCCTCGCCCCGTTGAACACGGGCGACCCCCACGCGGAAAACACGATAGTACTCATCTGAGAAGACACGGAAAATGGATTCGCTATCACATCCCACGAAATATTCAATCCAACATCGCGGAGAGTCCAATGTCTCAGCACTGGGGACTGGGGCGTAGCCTTAATTGTCCCCTACACCATAATGTCCCTTGTTTCAAAGCAAAAAGTCATAATCCTCTTATATTCCCACTCGCATCGCTTAGTTACTCCCACCTTAGGGAGGAGGAGGAGGTGAAGAGAGCGCGGCCTGCGGCGGCGGGATCTCTACCCAATGTGTCAGCACTGGGGCCGTGGGCGCAGCCTGCGACGGTATGATCTTTACCCAGCGTGACGGCGGGACCTTTACCCAATATGTGAGTACTGGGGCCAGGACCAGGCCCGGGGTAGAGGCTGGAGGTTGAGTTGGAGGTTAAGCATGAGCAGGAGCAGGCGCTGGAGCGGGAGCGGGAGCGGCGGCCAGGGGCTCCTCCCCGTGACAGAGGGCCAACTCATAATACCGTAGAAGCAGCTCCGCCAGCTGCCGTCGAAGGTTCTGCTCCCGTGCCCGAAAATAACAGCACTACGGCCGGGACCGGAGTGGAAGTGGGAGTGGCGGCGGCGGCGAGATTGGCCAAGCCGTTCATATTGCTTAGTTGCTCTCGCCTTGGGGAGGGTGAGGGGGCGTAGCTTGCGATGGTGAGATCTCTACCCATTGTGAGAGCACTGGGGCTGAGCGGGAGCAGGAGCGTGAGGAGGAGCGTGAGGAGGAGCTGGGGCGGGAGTAAAAGCGGGAGTAAGGTCAGGGCCGGAGCAGCAGTGGAACCTAAAAGAGGCATGGCGGCGGGATCGGCCAAGCCATTCGTATTGCTTAGTTGCTCTCACCTTAGGGAGGGGGAGGGAATGTATCCTACGGCGGCGGAACCATGACAAAAAAGCGAGAAGGCGCCGGCGCCGAGGCTGGGCTCAGGACTGGAGCGAAGGCCGCGTTGGCGGCGGCAGCGGAACCGGCCAAGACAAGAGTTAAGTCTCTATGACTAAAGGCCAACTGATTATACAGTTGGAGTAGCTCTGCTAGTTGCTGCCGGAGGAGCTTCTCCCGTGCCCGAAGGCGACATGATCATTTTCTTCTTAATATACCGACGGCGTGGAGTCCGTACTCGTACTTAATGTGCTGATGGTGTGGACTTTGTACTGATGCTTGCTGTGTTGACGGCGCGGATTCATGATTTGTTGTTGACGCGCTGATGTTGATATCGGAAAGTGCTTGATCGTTATTTATCTGCCAACTTGATAAACTGCTTACCTGCATAACAAGCCCCGATAAATTCATCTCACTTGAACCAACCTGTTTCAAGTTTCATGATAGTTTGTTAAACTTTTATGTCTTTATTTATTAAAATGTTTCGAAGGATCTACATACTTGTGATCGGCGACGAAACGATAAGCATTAACGGCGACTATTAGGGGGGCTGCTTTATTCGTGAGACGTGAGATGCAATCGTGTCCATGGGACTACACTTGTAGCTTTCATCTATTAATCACTGGAAACTTTCAGTCATCGATCTGTTTGCTCTGATTTCTCGGTGACATTGCATCTTGAATTATGTCCTATCTTAAGAGGGCAGGGCCAACCGACTTAAACCCATAACCTTGGGCCTGGTAGTTATACCCCTGGAGCAGCTACTGTAGCTGTTCTACAAACATTTCAACGAATGCCGGTCCAATCACTTTCATCAACCATATTTTAACCCTGCTTCCATCATCTCGAGTAACACTCATTAATTTTCCATGCTAACTAAAAAGCCTTTCCCAGGAGGAACTGGGACTTCAAGCTCGCCAGCTTCTGGGTGACGTCGCGCAGCTTATCAGCGTTGTTTGGATCAAACGCGAAGTTGACAGTAGGAATACGGCGAGGCTTGGTGTCGGGAGCATCGGAAGGGTCGTTGTCCTGAACTTTCTCCTGCACTTCTTCCTCAGGCACGGGATCAGATGGCTTGGGAGGGGCCCAGCGACTGGTCTCGATACCAATCTCACGCCCCAGTCCATTCTTGATACCTGCGAAAGGGAGTGTCAGGAACCTTTATTCTTGAGATGCAACAGCGACTAGAATCTTACCGGAATCGAAAGTGGGTTCAGCAGAAGCTTCCTTGTCATGCTCGATAGTTGGGGCAGGGGTGGCAGTCCACTCGTCAACGGCGGCAATAGGCTCAGTGGCAATAGGCTCAGTGCCGGTGGTTCCAACGACATCGGCTTGAACAGACCCAACAGAGGCGGAATCAACTTCGGTAGTCTTGACATCGGAATGCTCCTCTGGGAAAGTGTCGAAGGTTGGAGAGTCAACGCTTGGAGCGTCAGTGGCATGGTTGTCGACGGAGAAGGGCTTATTGACTGCGGCTTCGGCAACAGGCTGGACAGCAACCTCAATCTGAGCAGGAGATTCGACGGACACATCGCTCAGGGCGCGGGAGACGAAAGAATCAGGAACGTCCTCAGAATGGTAGGGGCAGGTGGCCTTGCCTCGCCAAAGGCTGCTAAGGAGTCTGGCATGGTTTTCCTTACTTGCCTTGTCGATTGCGGGTCGCTCGAGGAGAGGAGATTCGAGAATCTCGCGGTCAGATCGGCGGTCACCCACATTATCCTCTCGGACAACACAGGTAGCACATCGGATCTTGCTGATGTTGCTAAGATCGATCCCACCGGTGGTGATCTCACGTGTGACAAGGCCACAGGTGCCAAAGTAGCAAACGCATTTGCCCTCAGCTTTGTCGCAGACGACACGGCCCTGAGCTACCATGTGGAGTTTACCGCAGGTGAAAGAAAGGACGGGAGGATCGTGGGGAGCGCACTGCGCGATGGTGACGTTCTCGCGGCACATGTTGGCGAGAGAACACGGTTGAACGTGAAAGGAATGAGTCGATGTGCAGTTGTGCTGAGCGAAAAACAATGTCAGTATTTGAAAGGATGAGGATAGTTCGATGAAGTGTCTTACCGTCAAGTGAAAGGAACGACTTGAAGAGATGAAGTCTTTGGAGTGGATGAAAGAAAGGGGAGAGGAGGAGAATGGAGATGAAGAAAGAATGGTGGAAGTAAAGGCAGGAGATGAAATTGGGAGCCCTGAGGATTAGGCAGCAACAGGAGAAGCGTGAATGAGGGAAGGAACGAGAGAGAAGGTTAGAGAAGTTGCCAGTGGCCAACACTGGCAACACCGCTGTGATGCGGAGTGGTGAATGATAGGGGCTCTTCCAGTGACTTGACAGTGCTGCGTTAACCGAGTGAGGCGACGAGGCCTAAACTGCTAGTGAGGTTCTGGTAAACAAACGGTACTCATGAAGAATGAGGTGCCCGCGATAAGACAGAAGAGAGATGAACGTAGTGCTGTAGCTCCGCAAACACTTGTCGTGTATTCTTCAGCCGTTGGTGCGTATATGACTGTACCAAACACCAAACATTCGAAGATAATAGTGATTTCCTCTGCAATCGTCTTTTAACAATCGTAAACATAGACAGATAACGCGATGTAATAAGTCGCTGTAAGTATTTCATGAAACCGGAGGGGCGCTGTTGATGTACAATTGCTTAGAGCCGCCATGATGCTCAGCCGATACGGGGCCTAAAGCCGCAAACACTCAGTTGCCACGGACGATACGAAATCAATATTGAAAATCTAAACTCATCTCCGACATTTTATACTACTGAATCTGATCTTCACATAAGAACGCATTATTGTAGTTGTTTATAATTTGATTCTCATGATAAACTCGTTTTTGATACACCTAGTAGAGTCACTTTCATCCACAATCAAACAGAGTCACAAGGCTACCAGCTTCGGTACTAAAGCAAAAAGAGGAAGACCCATCGCTGTCTTCAGGTAGGTTCAATGTGTGGGATTGGCGAACGTTTGGCATCTTGAAGTTGTTTTGGACCAAGATCATGGCAGAATTACTTGGGGAAAAGCATTGTTTATAAGTGTTATCAGAGATTGGCAAAACCCTTGAAACTCCAACGATTTATATTGGTATCTCAAAATTTAGTACTACAATCGCTTCATAGTCCTGCGCTTCTTTCTAGTACTCTGGTAGGTTTTGCCAAGCCGGTTCACTTGGGAGAAGGGGAAGAATTGCCTCAGGCTAGCCCATTCGAGCAACCCAACGGACCTTATTCTTGCTTGTCATCTATCAGTGTCTCCAGTCATTGGATCTTGGCTTGAAAGTGTCTATGTGGGCTTGTTATGCATAGCTTGGTGGAGGTGCTTGTTTGATGTAGAATCGCGCTCAATGGGAAGAGGATCATCTGTGCAAGACGTCCGTTAGTTGGACTCGTTTTCAGACAAAGCAAACCCAAGAATGTCACTGATCAGTAGTTTAGTACTTGGCCAAGTCACAAAGAGCCAAGTAAACAGGCAGCAAAATTAAAGATTGGGTCTTCTCCATACCAAGAAAGGCTGTGGAGTGGGCTTTGGAAGTTGGATGTTGGGGCCTTGGGGGGAAACAAAACACCGGAGTCGCTGCCAGCATTTTATTTCTCCCCTTAGTGGGGTAAGTTGGGTCAGGTCCACTGTATCAACGTCACATTTGGTGTAGATGTCGATGATCGATTGAGTTTATTTGAACATCCTCTCAGAGAAGTCGATGCTCAGACGATTTGGAAAACAGTGCATTGTCGTTGGAGAAAAGGCACTGGCCACGTAATCCACTCTGCCAATCAAATCCTCCCCACACTCACTCCAGCACCGTGCTGAAGATAATCTTGTCCTTGCAGACTTTCGATCTAGCTCAACTCTACGTGCTAAATACTCGGGGCAATCGGAAATACCCAAAACGCAAACCCGGGCATTCTCACAGGTACGAAAAACTTGCTCCGGCAACCAAGAAGAGGTTGACGTCAATTGCAGTGCTTGCTCGGCAGACTGTGACGCACGCCCAGACTAGCGCCAAGCGATCCTTGTCGCGTGAGGGTCGCCCATTTAAGCTTAATCAAGACACACGGTCTTCGGATTACTGACATGGGTCTTGATGATGTTGATCGTTCTTGGAGAGGGTTGCTGCGCTTGGCGGATTATTTCACTTGCGGCTGAAGGTTTGTTGACGCTCTGGGTAGGAAGCCGATCGTTAACTAACTTTTCTACAGAACTCAATCCATCAGGACCTTGTCTTCAATCAGAAAACCGCAAAGTATACTCTGTTATTGAGAAGAAGAGCCAAAACGTCAGATATTATGCTCAACCAACAAGAGAAGCTGCATATGCTGTCACAGCCTCCTGCACCCGGCGCGTCATGATCACCCATTCGCTACAGGAAGGATTGAAAATCCTACTCAGCACCAACAATGAACATCGCATCGACAGTTCCTCTCACCTCTTGGACAACGTCATAAGATGGCTTGCCGAGACAACGACGCACCGGATATTATGTTGCGCCCAGCCAAAGAAACGGTTCAGCCTTTGGCGATCATCTTGGCACCAGTGGAGACGTTCGTCTCGGATCATTTCTGAATTTCATATAACAGTTCAGTCGTCCCCAAGTTATTCAACAGATTTTGCTGCATACAAAGCATTCGATCGATAATTCGGGGGCCCCAACTTCTCTCCAGATTTCGCTTGTCAGACATTGCGACCTGCATGAGCAGCTGCTTTTACCTGTTCTGTCTTACTTCATAAAGAAATATCCTTAGCAGACATCATGCCGCCCCCAAGAGTCGACAACGAGGCTCCTTACGAAGGGGAGTACTCGAATAATATCCCCAACAGCCATCGCAACTCCAGTAGCAATGGCACTTTCATCAATGACAACCCCGATCTCGGCGAGCGACGAGTTTCCAAAGCAACTCTTCTACGCAACCCTCTTGCCGGCATGACCAGAGAACAGGTTCTTGCCGATGTTGATGACTTTGTGTCATTCAAGGGCCTTGACGAGCATAGAGAAGACTTCCGAAAGGGAGCTCTAGTCGCTCAAGTCAACAACCAGCCTGGAGGTTTTGAAAAGCTCGATATTCTTACTGAAGACGACAAGATTATCCTTCGAAAGGAGGAGACATCTCGATGGCATCAGCCTTTTGCCTTGTACTTTCTTTGCACACTTTGTGCCGGATCAGCCATTGTGCAGGGTATGGATCAGACAACTGTCAACGGCGCCCAGGTATGTTTTGATCCTCAGGCTGATTGTACCTAACTAACATAACAATAGGAATTCTACTTCAAGGAATTCGACATCACTAATGAATGGATGCAAGGGTTCACAAACGGAGCCCCATATCTCTGCTCTGCTCTCATCGGATGCTGGACCAGCCCTGTTCTAAACAAGTACACTGGCCGTCGTGGAACAATATTCATCTCTTGTGCCATCTCAACCATCACAGGCTTCTGGATGGCTTGCACTACCTCGTAAGTCCCACAATTTCAAGACCAAACTCTCGCTGACACGCTCCCAGTCTAGGCAACTTTCTTGCGGCCAGACTGATGCTAGGATTCGCCGTTGGGGCCAAGTCTAGCACAACTCCTGTTTACTCGGCTGAATCCACTCCGAAGAACATCCGTGGTGCTCTTACCATGATGTGGCAGGTAAGAAGAGCGACGAGCACCCCCCCAACCGCCACTTTGGAAATGCGTCAACTGACTTCCTCCTATTAGATGTGGACGGCTTTTGGAATAGCTTTGGGTTTCGTCGTTTGCGTCGCATTTGAAAAGGTCACCATTATCGGCGGTCCAACCTCGCCCTGGCGTTGGATGATGGCTTCCACGTCTATCCCTCCGCTTGTTGTTATGCTTCAAGTGTATTTCTGCCCCGAAAGCCCTCGCTGGTACATGGAGCGAGGCCGCTACGACAAGGCTTTCCGATCAGTTAGAAAACTTCGGTTCTCTTCTGTTCAGGCCGCCCGCGATATGTACTACGCTTACAAGCTACTCGAGATTGAGCGTGGTGAGCGTGAAGGTCGAAACCTGCTGAAGGAGTTCTTCACCGTTCGCCGCAACAGACGAGCTGCCCAGAGTGCTTGGTTTTGCATGGTGAGTAGCTTTATATAAAGGATCACGTGCTATGCTAAAATAATCGCCAGTTTATGCAACAATTTTGTGGTGTCAACGTAATTGCTTATTACTCCACTTCTATCTTTCGAGATGGTGGTTACTCGCTATCTGAAGCTCTCTTGGTTTCAATGGGTGGTGGTATCATCAACTTCCTGTTCGCCATTCCCGCTATCTACACCATTGATACCTTTGGTCGACGAAACTTGCTTCTGGTAACCTTTCCCCTTATGGCTGCTTGTCTCTTCTTCACAGGTGGGGTGTTCAACATTTCCGAGTCGAACCGAGAGCCTCGTATTGCCTGCATCACCGTAGGTCTCTACATCTTCATGGCAGTCTACTCGCCCGGTCTTGGGCCCGTGCCTTTCACCTACAGCGCAGAAGCCTTCCCTCTTCACATCCGTGACATTGGCATGGCCTCCAGTACTGCAATCACTTGGGGCTTCAACTTCATCATCAGTTTCACCTGGCCCGCTTTGCGAAGGAGTTTTGGCGACACAGGCGCCTTTAGCTGGTATGGGACCTGGAATATCTTTGGCTGGGTATTCTGCTACTTCCTCCTCCCCGAGACCAAGAACCTTACTCTTGAGGAGCTCGACAACGTGTTTAGTGTCAGCAACCGTGAGCATGCTGCATACTACATGAGGAAGCTACCTTGGTACCTCAAGAAGTACATCTTGCGCAAGGATGTCCCCCCATTCCCTGAGCTCTACGAGTTTGCTGCCAATGATGGACAGTATCCGCAGGAGAAGCCTGACGCAAGGCATATTGAGGGTAACAACTCTGTCCCGCCCACTGCAGACAGGGAGGTCTTTTCCAGCACCCAATAAATGCAATAGGGAGTGAGAAACAAGAAGGGGTCATTGTAAGGTACCTAGAAATAGCAATCTTGATTATTGCAGAGAACCTATGACCCTGAGATGAGATGAGACGCAAGGGCTTTTACATGTATTTCAAGATGCCTTTTGTAATGTTGAAGTTAAATACCGTAAACGTTCACATTCCAGAAGATACATTGTACAGTTTGACGCAAAAAAAGAAAAGGGCATCGCCCCTTGATTCTCTGACTAGAAGTTAGGAATAAAAGTGCATGGGCTTTAATAGGCATGTAAAAGTTCTGAGATCTTACTCTATTATATACTTTATATAAATTATTCTAAGCTGTTCTTAATTTCTATAAATTTTTATCAAAACCTACTCAAAAATCATGTACAGAACTTCCTAATTACAATAAACTTTATATAATCTATTCTACTCGAATAAAATTTTCTCTTATTACCTTACTATCTCTTCTACAGAACTATAGCGAGAATATTTAAAATATAGTTAATAAAAGTATTCAGAATGGCATTCATTGAAGAATTTATAGAACAGCTATAGTAGCTCCAATAGCATCCTCCAGACCTGGAGCACGTCGATCAGTCGCACCAGACAAGAGAATGAGATGGCATATATGATTCTCCTCATTCTTTCTTTCTGCGACAGCGAGGATGTTTCTCAACAGTTGGTGGATGATGCTGCTGCACATGGACAAGACGAGCAAGCTCAAGACGCACTTGAGCGCAACAAACGGATAGCAGTGCGACGACTCAAGGACTTCTCTTTTTTGAACGAACGACGAGGATATTGCAATGTACGAGTTTTCGAGATGAATAAGCTCGTCAGAGATGCTGTTCGTTGCGGTCTTTGCATGACAAGCGTGGAACGAGAAATAGATGTGCGATTGAAAAGGCTTCGGCGGAACCGGACTTCACGGAAAGGCATGCTCAAATCGAAATAAATAGTCCGAGACGATATAAATTGCGTGAAAAAATTCTGATCTTCCTGATATAGCGTATCAAGGTTACAGTGTGGTCGCTTCCGCGATTCTAACTCAGGCGGAACTGATACGCAAGAGTTCAATGAGGATCGATTTCAAGAGTGTAATCCAATATGTTAATCGAAAATTACGACATTAATTCTAGCATGAGATGTAAATGACCTCCATATAATTCATGGTCAAATAGGTTTTGCCGCTTTCTGGTCTGACTTGGCTTTCTAGTGTCTACTGAAGGATTTGTCTTCATTGCCATTTACCCCAACATATTCTGTCGGTAGTATGATGACGATACTGCGCAAATTCAAAATATTCAATTACGATACAAACAAGATGATTGAGAAAGTTCTTGCTCTAAATGGATGATGCAGATCGGGGCAAACCGAGCCGTCCTACTTAAAGGGCCATGATGGTGACAGGGAATCAAGCTTTGATAACAACGCGGTCATCTACGAATACGTTTTATCCCACAGTAGGACATATATTACACAATGGAGTGGACTAGCAGGACTGCCAATAGACTGTTGATATTGCTTCCTTTACTCTTATAGTACCCAACTCGCAACCAGCCAAGTAGGCCACCCATTTACTCAAACATGCCTACACAACAAAAAAGGGGTTTCGGCTTCAAAAGAAGCATCGCATGGAAATAGCTCCTGCCATTTTCTAAGATGCAATGGAATTACACAGTAGATTAGGTATGGAGTTGCTGAGCTGTCTGTCTCTTCTGTTGAGTGGCAGTCGGCAGAATGGGAACGAGCATACGATGTGTCTTGCACACGATGAACCAGGCTCATCCACTCCTTCCGTCACAGAAAGATACAATTGACAACATGGGAAGAAGCAAGACTTCCAGTATGTCTCCACCTTGGACATCCTCAGTGTGCTAGGTATTTTAGTGAATATTTCGAATAAGATTTAGTAAAGATTTAATAAAGATATAGAATTTAAATAGAATTTTATAAGACTTAGAAAGGGTTTAAGTAAAATGAAACTATGTGGGCTCGTACAGGTACGCAATCTTTGACGTTGGTATATAAAGAACAGTCAAGCTGTTGGGGTAAGTGATAACGGCGGAGGGACCCTGTGTGGGGATCCTTCCCAACCACACAGTCTGCTTAGATCTGTAGTTAACTTCCCTACCAAGATTTGGAGTTGACAACCTTGCTCCTACAAACCTACAAATTCATTCACACGTACCTTTTTCTCAAACACTCTGCGATATCAACATCGGCACACCAAAAACAAACCATGAATCTGCACCACCGAACATAAAAAAACAACAAGCATTCCACGTGCCGGCACGTAAGAAACAACAACCAAGCATTCTGCGTGCCGGCACGTTAAAAAAACAAGCAAGCATTTAGCACCGCCGACACATCAAAAACAAACGTGAGTCTCATCTTTCCTTCCCTCCTGTTTACTATCCCAACTCTATCCCTGTCACTTGCTTGTCATACTATACTAACACTAGACTTAGATGAGTACATATTACTATCGTGGTGGTGGCCGTGGTGGTGGCCGTGGTTATGACGACATTCGTTGTCATCACGTAAGTCTCCCTTCATACTTACCATATTTTCCATTACTGACACTTAGATAGTGCCGCCACTACGGCCACCGGGTCGATACATGTCGTCTTGCCCGGAGGGAGCGGCTGCTCAAGGAGCGCCTGGAGCAGCTGCTCCAGATGTATAACTACCAGGCCCAAGCTTATGGGTTTCAGCCGGTGACCGTCGTCGCCCACTGGGCACCCGTCGCCGCCCTGGCCCCCGCTACCTCCCCTCCCGCCCTGGCCCTCCCCGGTGTCGGCTTCTCTTGCGGGAGCAGTTACTCCAGGCATATAACTACCAGGCCCAAGCTTTTGGGTTTCCGGCGCTGACCCGCGCCGCCCCTGTCCCTGCCGCGCCGCCCCTCGCCGCGCCGGTCCTTGCCGCACGCACCCGCTCCCACTCTCTAAATATACAACTACCAGGCTAGAGCAGCTGCTCTAGATATATAACTACCTGGCCTACGTTTATGGGTTTCCGGTACTGACTGCCGCCGCCCCTTCCCCTGCCGCGCCGCCTGTCCCCGCACCGGCCGTCGCCCACTGGGCACCACTCGCCGCACCCGCTCCCACTCTCCAAATGTACAACTACCAGGCTAGAGCAGCTGCTCCAGATGTATAACTACCAGGCCCAAGTTTATGGGTTTCCGTCGGTGACCGTTGCTGCCCCTGCCCCTGCCGCACCGCCCGTCCCCGCCCCTGCTGTCACTACTCCTGCTCACGGCCCTCCTGTCCCCTCTGATGACGGTGGCTCGGAGAAAGAGATCTCTCAATAAAGAAACAACAAACCTTTTTTCCTCTTCAAGAGGTTATTTCTTCTTCTTATACCACCCACGCCAAGCATGTTACCATCCAGTCCAAGGACACCCATCTAGCCAGCCGTCTCCGAGACAAGCGTAACTACTACGTAGTAAGCGATGCCTGCGTGGTCGAAACATTGAAAGCACTCTTCGCCGACAACACATCAAAAGCACTCTTCGTCGACAACACATCAAAAGCACTCTTCGCCGACAACACATCAAAAACACTTTTCGCTGACAGCACATCAACTGTTAGTTTGACCGTTTCTTGCCTCCTATTTCTCGTTACTACAACTCTACCCCTATCACTTGCTTGTTTCAGATTATATACCAAAACCAGACTTAGATAAGCAATCGTTATTGCTACGGTGGTGGTGGTGGCGGCGGCTACCGTGGGGAGTGATAGGCCAGAGGGCAACAACCAGGACGGGACGGGTGCGGACGGGCGTGGCGAAGACGGGCGCGCGGAGGGCAGCAATCGGGGCGGCAGCGGCAGCAGGGCGTGGAATCACAGGTAGACGGAAACGACCAGAGGGAGGTCGGAGCCGGGAGCGGGAGCGGGAGCGGGAACAGGAGCAGGAGTAGGAGCAACAACCCAACCTACATAGTAAGTTTAACGGCAACGACAACCGTAATAAAGAGTCTCTTCGTTAAACATTCGGAGCAACTACTTCTTCATTCTACTTCGAAATGGTCGATAGAGAGATTCACACCTCTAATCTTAAATAGGCAATCTACGCTGTTAACACATCAAAACCCTCTCGTGTTTGAGCTTGTGTGGTTGTTTATGCGAGTGACTTCTTGTGGTTCCCCGTTACGTCCTATCGGCAGCATAATTCGTCACCGTTCCGCTCCAACGACTTCCGGCCACAGTGCGTGAGAGCAGTTCGACTTCTCGGTCTCATGTATCAAACTAAAAACACTATAGGACGTCATCATCGATTCCCTTTACGAATACATCAACGCGTAGATTCACCGATGCAACCTGCTGAGGCATTACCCTCGAATGCCACAGATCCCCATTGCAACTCTCGACTACCAGCAGGCTCCTATGTCTGAACAGCGCGCTCATCTTCTTCCCCTACCTACCAAACTATTGCACGAAGAGTACGTAGTCGAGATGAGGTAGGAAGTGGGCTGTCTCTTTCAAAGCTAACTGCGGTAACTACAGTTTAATACGATACATTTTGCCAGGCGAGGGTCCCCTCGCACAGAGTCTACCCTCTTCTGTATCTGCCTCCTCATACATCATCTACGTCAACCAACGCGCCGCTAAACCAGTACCTTTGGATGCAACGGCCCTAACCTCTAGCCCTATCGACTTCCAACAAGTCCTGGCTATCCCACACTCTCGCTCCTGCTCCTACTCCTGTTCTTGAGCACGTCACAAACACGTCAACCCAATCATGAGCAAAAGTCAGCTATGATTGACAACACGGCACTTCATCTGTCAACCGCTTTGAAGGCAAGCAATTTTCTGGGCTGTCAATCCACCGTAACAGGAAACAAGAGTAATAGTCAACCACGATGGAGAGAATTCAATCCATCCATCGCCTTCAAAGCAGATAGACTACTCGGCTATCAATCCACAGCAACAGTTGGGGATATCAACTGTGGGAATTCAACTGTCCAAACTACTGTTTCCAAATGGGGAAACATAAAACCCAAGCACAAGCTTGAGTTGACAACATCTCAAGGCCATATTAAGAGGAGCCTAGTCCACAAAAAGATGAACCACAAGCTTAGGGAAACTGTAGGGGATACTCGCAAGACTGGTCCATCTTGGCCAAGAGCCGTCTTTCAACCCTCCTTTCAGCATATAACAACGGGACTGAGCCGCCACATCTTGTGCCCAATCCATCTGGAATTTCCGCGTTACTTTCATCCATTATGGTCGAGCTACCAAAAAGAGTTCTTCAACAAATTCAACACGAGTTTGCAGATCAACAAGATCAAACAAGCTCAACAAAAAGGAGAAGCGCCGAAAAGTTGACAGTAAAGGTATAAACGAAGGGCACGTCTCAAAAAGCAGAGCTTCAAATGCTAAGCAGGAAGCAAAGGAAACGAGGCAAGAACAGGTGATCTGCAAAGACGAACATGACAGCGAGAGGCATAGTGATGGAAGTACCTATGCACCACAGCATCTGTACCAAACCACTGACAGGAACGATTTTTCAGTACGACGCTTGAAACTGTCAACTACATTGGCAGCAAGCAAGTTCTCAGGCGATGCACACCGTACACAATATGCACGTCGACCCCAACACAGCAGCCTCAAGAAACATACAACCCAAATAATCCGACACTGGTTTTTCTTTCGACTATCTACATGATGTTGAGTATAGTCATGCCGCAACCTTACTCAACAGGCGCACCGTCATCTCAGGCAACTCTGGCCCGGAGGGACTACCGTTACCTGAGCGACGAGGCTCAAATACTTGTCATCCCATATGAACACCAGACCCCAAACAAAAACAGGCCATCTCCATAGTCCCGAAGACTTTTGTTGGTTAGGTACAGGGAGCTGACAGGAAGAAGGGCGAACAGTCCACGACCAGTCGATCCCGACAAACACAGGACCGTTCAACACAAGGAACACATGCTTTTCATGCATGCGGTCAATGGATGGAGCCGAACGCTGAACCGTTACATATTCAAACGTCAAATATCTCCACACAAAGCAAATGACTTCTGGCCCAGGACGGTGAGTTCCACCAACATTGGTGGACAACATGTTATCATAGTTCCGAACTAGCCCGCCGATGGGTTTCAGTTTCCTGAGTTTGAAATATCTCAGCTCTGGTAAGTACGGATCGAACGCTCATAAGACAATGCACTAACGCGGCCGTCACAGCTCATAGTTCTTGTCGACGGATGAAAATTCACTTAAATTTTGAACGACCATGATCAAGGATGAGATTCACCCGCAAGCTTAGCAGATATCAATTCACACTCTCCCCACGTTCCAACGACACTGGAGATACAGCCATCGCAGAGCTACATGGCTCGAAAATGGGCCACAATAAGCTACAGCATCTATATTAGTGGAGTCGCTATTGCCACCACCAGCTGGCCCTCCGTCATGGGGAGATGGTCGCCGCTTTCACTCCCGCTTCCAGTCCTACCCCAACCCGGGCCTCTGCGCCTTCCCAAGTGCAATTACATTGGTAGAGATTCGACGCCGCAGCCTGAACTCCCTCTATCTCCTTAGCCCAGCGCCGTAACTGTGGCCATAGGGCCAGGGACTATTGCCTTTAGGCGCGGGAGTAACTGCCTCTGCTATATAGCCAGCTGGCCCCCAATATCTACCGCCAGCAGGAGGAACTCCTCCGGCAACAGCTAGAGGAGTTACTACAGATGTTCAACGCAGCGACTCATCGTTACGGGTTCTCCCCGGCGACGCCTGTTGTCGCTGCCACCCCTACCACCGCCCAGCCTTCCATGTGGGCTCGGATTCCTGTTCCTGCTCTCGCTCCCGCTCCGGTCCCAGCCCCGGCCCCGGTCCCCATGCCGTTATTTTACGCTATAGTCTCTCCAGTTATATAACAAACTGGACCCCCGCCACGGGGAGGAGCTCCTGGCCACAGTTCCAGCTATCCCAATAAAACCCACAGAAATATCAACAATACTCTACACACCGAAAAGCAACAATAACTCAAGTTCAATAGTTACGCAGCCTCAGCCACCGCAATCTATTCCCCAAAGGCAAACAAGACCCCTCAAGAACCACTGCTGAGGCCACAAGTCCCTCACCACACTTCAATCAACCCACCTGAGCTTCCAAAGTCAGGAGTCAGCTTCGAATATCATTAAGCAATGCCCCTATGCGAGAAGGATATCGCGATCACCAATCTACCTGCCAAGCTTACATCCTACTCACCCGGAAGTACACCCACCGGTCACAACCTGAGTGGATCAACAGAGCTGACCTCAATCACGGTCAAGATACCGATCGTGACCAACCCTTTTTTATATGAAGTCTAGTAGCATTTTTGAAAAAGAGATCCAGCTATCCTGATAACATCCACAGAGATATCAACAATAGAGGTCTCTACACAGACCGAAATGCAACAGTATATCAAATTCAACAAGGTTACTCACCATATCAGCCACCGCAACTCTATTTCTCAAAAGGATAAACACTTCAATCAACCCACCCGAGACGAGAAGAAGATCACGACAAGCAACCTGCCAAACTTCCAATCTCCTACTCACCCGTAAGTCGACCCGACGGCTTCACTCACAATTGGATCAACAAAGCTGACCTCAATCGCAGCCGACATGTAGATCAACGCCCCAACCTTCGTGCCCAAGGCAGCTAGGTCCTCTACCGCCGTTCCGATTATTCGCCTCGTGGTGTATCCTGACTCGATTGATGAACTAGAAACTAGGATCATGACCGTGTTGCACGAGAACACTGTCGTCACCACAAAGACGCTGGCGCCACCACCAACAACTACAAAGATTTACACGACCATAACCAGGACTGGCAAACCGTAAGTTCCCTTTTGCTCCATCGTGTAACCATCCGAATAAATAGAGAATGGAAATCTCTCCAACTGTACTGGGCTAATTGATAATTAGCACTACGCTGCCAACTACCACCGTCACAGCGACGACAACCAAGATCGATACAACCGTTGTGACTGATAGAACCACAACCGTTGAGTTGCGAACAAGTACCACGATTGCAACAGTCCGATATACCGAAGTCACAAGTGTTACGAGGTAAGTTTGAGCAAGTCGAGTCTCAGCCGCATCTAACACCATCACAGCACCGCAACATCCACTACTACCGTTCCCTTCGTTGCCGAAGCGTCAGTCTGTGCTAGAAAGCGAGGACGTGCTGCTGGGTCATTGCCAAAATCATGCTGTAAGTCAATATCTGTCCAACATTCACCGCCCTAAGCTAACAACTCATAGCTTGCTTTCTTACTACCTCTAAGCCCGCAGCCACCAAGACTGCCACTGTCACCAAGAACAAGCCGGCTGTCACCCGCGTGGTATACACGACTGGCGGGCCCCGAAAGGTCATCCGTCGAACCGTCACCATCATCCGCTACAAGGCTGGCCCAACTCTATCAGCTCCCGAGACTACAGAGTCCAGCATTATTACCGTCACCCAGACCGACCATACTCTCACCACTATCACAGACTCTCAGACAATAACTTTCACAGCGAGCGATTATATTTTCGATACTGTTACCGAAACTAAGACTGAGACTGCTCTTGCTACGGCTACAGCAGATCCCTGCGACAACGTCGGAGATGGTTCGGCTATCAAACAACAGATTTCCGGCTCCACCATAGAGGTCACGTATTCTAATGACGCGGATGGACCCAACGCTGTAAAGTCGTGTTGCCAGGCTTGTTATAGAAGACTTAATTGCGTGCAATACAGACTGGGCGGAGGTGTCTGCGAGGTGTTCACCAGTAAGCCTAGTTTCAGCGGCTCATGTACCTCGTCCCGGTGCCCACGAGGCTACCCTGATCTTGATATTGGGTCGGATGATGGGAAGAGTTACTACCTGGGACCTTGTTTTGGAACCGCTTTATCCTAGTCTGGGTCAAAGCCATATCAACAAATATAATATTAATATAGGAATTAAGAAGCTATGATTATATAAGATTATTCTGTAAACTCTATGCATTTCAGTATCTCTCGGTTACACTGATTGCTGTTGAATTGCTGCTAGTTACTCTGCTTATCTTATTATCTTGTGGTCCTAGCATTTCTTGCAGGGGTTTCTAAGCCTGTGGTAACCTTATTGGAATTGAGATACTATTGCTTTTCGGTCTGTGTAGAGACCTCTATTGTTGATATTTCGATGACTTTTGTTGGGACAGCTAGATCCCTTTTTCAAAGGTGCTACCAGACTCAGTATTAATAGTATTTCAGTGTCAATTTCTAACATTCAAATTAGACCGGACTATAGCTTATACAGGGCTGATGGGCATTGATAAACACTTACATCGTTTAAGTTTTATTAGAACTTGAGTCTCATTATTGTACTAGGACGCTCAGAAGCGACAGGTAAATCCTTCATAATCATTTAGAGGGCTTACTCCGGTACATGTCCTTACTAAATCACATCTATTTCAAATCTACTTTTAAGTCATAGTCCATTTATACACGCTATTCTTCTCGGTTACTGGTCTGCCGGGAACATGTGCAACGCCATAACCAGTACAGCTTAGGTTGCCAATATAAAACACTGAATATGTATCTAGTCACCCTTCTGAAAAGGTCGGTAAGTTAGTAACTACTGTTTTTATAATGCAAATAATAGTGTGATAATTAATAGTGGCAAAGAGATGTATAGTATCTATAAATCGACGTATTTCTATAATTAGAACGGGCCAAATTGTATAAAGGATAAACATTAAAATTACGATCTGTACTAGGACCCTTAAGTTCCATTATAACGATTGTGGCCAATTGTTCTATGAAGTATTGGAAATCAGAGGTTGCGATATGTGCCAATCTGGGATTGCGTGATTCTGAAAGGAGTTGCACCATCGATAAGTCGGATCGCTCAGATCTTCCTTATAGCCGAGGGTACTCCATCAGATAAGACTAATGAAGATTCCCCGCATTTTGCGCTTCTTTCTGAAGGATTATTGATTGTATTACGATGGCGTTGAGTCAGTGGTGATCTCTGTGCTTGTTTGAGGTTACCTTGCTGGGTTTTTATCATGGAATGATAAGTGTGCTCCCAAAGGTTCAGCAATTATTAAACGGCGTAAAATGGAGTCTTATTTTATTTTTGAGTGACTTATCTATAGAGTTTGGTTTAATCTTGTACTGTCCTACTGTCACGATACGGCATATCAACCAGGACACCCCAGTTGCTCGAAACGATTATGCAGTAAATACTACCAAATCCTTCATTATTTCCGATCTTTCAAAGTCGTCTCCATCTTCACCACCACTCGCGGCTACTTGTATCCGGCATTTCACATCCCTGGAGTTGAGTAATCGATAGTCCAAATAACACCATCGCCCGGTGTGGGGATCTCACTCCAACACCAGTCATTCATAGAGCAAAATCAGACACGATGCGACATTTCTTTCAAGTCAAGTCGCGTCACGTCATTGGAGAATTGCGGGCATGGGATAACACATCTGAGCCTGATTCGATGGAAGCGTTTATGACGCCATCCGCTATGATATTCGGTACCTTGTGCGGTTTCGGCTGCTGCTGGTAGATTTATTGAAAAGGTTTGTTTCCCCTCCAATTGAAGAGGGCTTTTGTTTCATAAAGGTTGTTACTGCGGTATAGAATAGTTTGAGACTTATAGGTTCTATCGTTTTCATGATGAGCACCATCTCAGAAGAGTCCTCTTTTGGAGTACACCAACCTTCATCACAAGAACAATCCGTTCCTCAGTCCGCCTCAGCTACTCAACCTCGATACACACCACCAGCAAATCTATCCACGCAAGACCAACTGAGCGAGTCTGATGACTCACACCCTATACCATCTTCCCAGAGTGTTCTGCTATTGCATGGCATCCGGCAACCTTATCAAGTAACAGCCGGATATAGCGTTCCGGACATTAAGCACGACCATGAGCTCCTCGTTCGTACCGACACTATTGGACTCAACCCCATAGATTGGAAGGCACCGTGAGTGAAACCCCCTCCATAGTTATCACATCTTAACTCACAATATGGTTACAGTGACTACGGCTTTGCCATCCCCGAACTACCATACATCTCCGGCCGTGAAGCATCAGGCACAGTCGTCCGCGCACCTCAAAACCACCCAAGAATCAAAAATGGCGACAACGTTATCGTCATCTCAACAGACTACCGCGATCTTCGCAAGGCCACATACCAACAATACGTCGTCGCGTCCGACTTCAACGTCGTGAGGATTCCAAAGGAAATCACCGTCCAAGAGGGCGCTACACTAGGAGTTGCGTATGTAGCTGCTGCGCTATCACTAGGCATTTGTCTTGGCGTAGACTTCACTCGCGTCCACGACGGTCCGGATCTTCTTAGCATTGTGAAAGGCGTTCCCGAGGAATCGCTTCCTGAGGATATTCGGGGCGAGTGTCTGAATAGTATCTCACCAACTGAGGGGGCTAAGCCGGGAGATTGGATCGCTATCTGGGGTGGTTCTTCAACATCTGCAGTTATTGCTGTTCAACTAGCTCGTCTGGTTGGTCTGAAGGTTGCTCTCGTCGTCGATAATGCCAAGCACGGAATCCGTATCTCAGAGAACCCTATTCTTCGTCCTGATCTTCTGGTCGACAGCCACGACCCTGAACGAGCCATCTCCATTATTCGCGCAAACACAAAAGGCAAACTCCGCTTCGGTATCGACACACGCGGAAAAGACACAGCAGAGATCCTCCTGCGCGCTCTCGGCCCCGAAGAACTCCACCGCACCACCCAAACTTCACCACCCAGCACGCCACCCTCTGAGCCCATAATCCCAGCACATCTAGTCGGCCTAAGCGGAGTACCAAAGACAGGACATTCCGCGGGTGTTGTGCTCCATACTATTCCTGTGAAGCTCTACCACGAGGTCGCCGAGGTCGGAGAGGCGCTGTCGAGGTGGTTGGAGAGACTACTTTCCAGCCGTGCGCTTGTGCCGCCGAGAATCATTGATGTTGAGGATGGCCTACATAATGTGAATAAGGGCTTGGATAGGATGAGGAAGGGGGAAATCAGTGGGGGTAAGCTTGTGGTTGACTTGAATGGGATTTCACAGTCGGCTTGAGTGTGGAAATTCATATAAATTTTAGCTTTGAGTAGAAGCTAATGGAATTTAAAAAGCAATATTATCTGTTTGAAATCCTAGATCTTCTTACTGTCGTGGATGCGTACCTGAGGTTAAACACCAAATCGGCTGCTATTGGCTGCGTATTTCGTATTAGATGTGGTTGACTCCACGATTGTACATGGGGTTGGAACCAAGCATCAGGTAGCCTATGAGACTTGACACTACCATGACATTTGAATTTGCTATGTATATCTTTGACTCGCCCAGAATATTCTCTCTTCATTTCTACATAGCCCGCATTTATCCCACCATTCAATACTAAACACACCACCCACAAGTACATCAAACATCCCACTACAACCCCACCATGTCCTCAAACAAATCATCACAAAGTCTCCGAACCGAAGTCTCCAAACTAGCAAGACTCTCCAACATCCAGGGAGGTTTGCCACCCCTCATGAGAGGTCTCCCAGTGCTTGCAATAATGGCCGGAGGGGCTTTAGCAAAAGCAACAGATGGCCAGACCATGGTCGAAGAGCGAATGCTTGGGGCGGACGAAGTCTTTGAGTTGCAGAGTCCACAAATAACTACGCAGGTCTCTGTGGTGAAAGAGATTGGAAGGCCTGGAGTTAATATGATGTGCCGGGCTTGTGGCCAGAAGATAGACGGAAGTCTCATGCCACGACCTGATATTCTCAAAACACAGAATATACTTTTCAGGGGGGTTAACCAAAGGAGATAGGGTGGTTAAAGGGAGGAGAGGGTTGTTGTATAGCAACCATATTGTATAATATTCCAGATATCCCACTCCAATTACATATTGCGGTTCTATCGACGGTAAGCAAAGTTGTAGTCTCATCATCTTGACTCGGCTGGGCCAGTATATGGTATCAAAGATTTCGTTCTTTTATCAAACTTCAGTCGTAAAATTTCCAAGTAATCGGATTGTTTGCAGTTGGCGTGTGCAGTAAGTAAGAATTAACAAAGAGAGTACTCAACTTCGCCAGGACACATGTGACCTCCGTGTCCTTGACTAGATGTCTTTATAACTAGAGATCATGATTCCGTGTTTGGGATTAACAACTAGCAACATTCATCTTATACACGATCCAGACAATTCCTATCGTCAGCCAAACACTCAATCAGCCTTAATAAAAGGCGACCAAAACACCCCTTCAGCATCCCAAGTCCCTTTAACATCCTTCAGCACCTGAAACCTCTCCTCATCAAACATCTCATTCAGATCACTCTCAAAGCTCAAGTTATTCGGGAAGCTCCTTGGTATCGCTCCATCATCACCCTTTCTGTACCCAGCTATAACATCAGCCATGATCCCTATGTACGCCTGTCTCGTCGTCTCCTCTTGCGTGATAAACACGATGAATACGTTGAAGATTCTGTCTCGAACCTCTGCAAACTTATCGCTGGTGAGTTCCACGCTCTTGGCGGTGTTGTGCGCTGACATTATCAGAGCTGTTTGCTGAGCATCGGGATACTCCTGTGTTGCGGTAAGCCATTTGTTGAAACCGTCCTTGATGGACTGCGAATCTGTCTTGTAGAGACGAGCGGAGGCTATGGCTTTGTGGCCGCCGTGGAAGTTGTATACTTCGTTCTTGTAGTTCATCTTGGTAAACGGCAGCAGATCGGTCATTTTCATGACAGCCTTCTCGACTATGTCCTCCCGGAAGAGCACCGCTGCTTCTTTCTCGCCTTTCTCAGCTGGGCCGAAGAATTGGTATCCTACAATGATGATAGGTGCTCCAGCGGCGGGAGTTCCAGGGGGACTGCGCACGAATGCAAGCGTGACATAACCCTCTGGCACAGGGTTGCTGAGTTCCAAGAAAGCTTTAGCAGCGACGTCGAGGGCCGGAGCAGGGTAGATGAGTGTGCGCGTCCAGATCCTATCGCCTTCTTCGAGGTTGAGGTCTGAGAGAGGATACATCGAGGTGGTGACCTCGGTGATAACACCCAATCCCTGGCCTGCGCCGCAAAGGGCGTTGAAGAGAGCTAGTTCTTTGCCTTCGGACGAGGACTTGACTTCGACAATTTCCCCCTCAGCGGTGATGACTCGGAAAGAAACGACACTGTCGACCATAAACCCATGGATGCCGATAAGAACACCGTTTCCGGCTCCAATCACACAGCCAACAAAGCCTATGGTATCTGAGTTGGGAACCGGAGTATAGTAACCCTCAGCAGCCAAAGTATTTAGCACTTCTCCCACGATGGCACCACCGCCGATCTTGACTGTGTTTTCATCCTTGTCCAATTCGATCTTCTTGAAATTATTCATATCCAGGTACAGCGTTGTTGAGCTGACGCGGACAAACGTCCCGTGGCCTCCGCCTCCGGTGACTATTGAGAGCTTGTTCTCCCTCGCGATGCTAATAGCAGCTTGGACATCTTCCTCGGTCTTTGGACTGACTATAAGAGCGGGCCGGTCGATATGCGTGTCTGACCAACGGGGCAGTTTGGGGGTGCTTTCATTTGGGACGGAGAAATCGCATTGAAGCGCCTCAAGGCCTGAGAGTGAGGCAGTCATTTTCACGAAGAACAATTATCAAAGGTAAACAATATGAAGTCAACTTGATTGTATGTTATTTCTATCAACGGAGAGTCCGGCTCTTATACTGCTGGAGGATCTAGCGCTTACCTTACCAGAAGGTATCCAACGTAAGACCACCCTCGTAAACCGAATATCGGAACGCCGCTCACATCAGCGTTATTCCCGTTAAGAAGCAATCAGTAGTGAGTAACGGTATTCGTCAATTTACGTCCAAGCTGACCCAACTAATAGTCCAGTCTAACCCACGAGTCCGCTAGCCCATGACAAGCAGCACACCACAGCGTCTTCACCTTGAGCATATCCACAAACCCACCTTTATCATCCTTGACAGAAACGGGTACATCGCACGCAACCACGCACTCCTCGCAGTAGAGAGGAAACACGGCATCCGACGCTGCATAGCACTCGACGCACCAGCCCGGCCCGAGGTGCAGCGTGGTCTTCTTGCACGTCTCGCAGTCGTCGAGGTACGTGTCGGGCGAGAGGTCCTTATCCTTCTCCTTCTCGGCGTAGGCTGCCTTGATGCAGGGGAGACACATTGTCTTGACGCCGGTGTAGCTTTGGTGACAGCGTGGGCAGGTCTTTCTGGGTGGTTGGAAGGCGGGTGCGAGGTGGCCACGGAGGAAGGACTGGCGAACAAATGATTCACTTTCGTTAGTTTTTGATTGAGGAGTGTTGGATTGGCACATCTTACCTATTTTGTGGGTGCTGTGGTTGTTGGGAACTGTTTGCTAGTGTAGTGAGATGATAGTCAGGCCCTTGGAACTGAGCGCGAAGTGTTGTGGACTGTACTCGAACACGCAAATCTGGCATATTGACCATTGCTATATAGTTCACCACACCCGTCGGAAGTCGACACTGATTAGTTGTTCGCGTGGTGTAGTGAACATGACTCGATAGGCAAACGGTGAACAAAGCTTTGTTCCTATGGCAAAACATCAGCGCAAGGCACAAAACACAAAAGCACATAGCAACATTCACGAATTGGTATCTGAACAGTCTCAGGACTCAATTGTTCCTCGAGCATCATGTTCAATTGTCAAAAGAAGCCCATGTACCAGCAACATCCAATCTCCATCATCGTAAATCGTCTCTCGTATTCTCATCACTACATGTCCATCCATCTCACAGCAACCATCACCTACAGCGCTGGTCCTTCAAATTGCTCGCGACGCATTCGCACGAGCCAAGACTGCTTGTGAGGAAAGGAAACCTGCTTCTCGCGCGAGAACCCAGTATATTCAAGACCTTGCAAAAACCTGTTCATTGTTAGCATCGACAAGCACCTTGTGTTCAAAAGACTTGCCTCGCATTGTCCACTCTCGGCTCAAGACATATACTCATTGTTCGGTAGTCTGATGTCAAACACCAATGCACCAATCCGGTCAACCAGATTGGGACCCGGCCTCTGGCCCATTCCTCTCCGATGAAGACGTGAAGACCTCGGTCCCAATCAGCTGCATCGCTTCCTACATGCTGTCCAAGGATATCCTCCTTCACCCAGTAAATCTCAAAGTACCCGAACGGAACGCCATCCCATTGTCCGATAACAGGGAAAGAGTTGGATTGGTTGAGGGCATTTGTCAGAAACTTCTCATCATACTCTCCCCAGAAAGCGCTCACACGAGGCTTCTCCATCCACATCTGCAGCAATGCAGAATCGTTAAGTGTAGACAAGTGAGACTGCTCAGGCGGTTTAGGTCCTACAGGACCAAAATAAGGCACAGGGTTGGGCGAAATGGAAGCCACGCGGAATGAAAGATATTGGTTGACGCTGGGAACAAATCTGGTGTAAAATACTTCGCCCATTCGCGGTGGTTTTGGTCTCGTAGGATGACGGATATTATTCGTGAAGACGTACTGAAGTGGAGGGGGCGGATAGTAGGTTGGAAGATGAGAGCTGGAGAAGAAAGGACTGATAGGGTAGCTCGGCGGGTTCGACATCGAAGTTGGTGTAGGACCGCCAGGCAGATCATGGTCCATTCGATGGAGGGAAGGATGCGGCGAATGACGCTGGAAGGCCTTGTGAAAGGGTGATGAAGGTTCCATCGGCAATGGCGAGTTTGGTCGGCTGCCAATAGGTGATCCAGGGACCGAGTCGTATGCCGTGCCAGCTCTGGTTGGCTGCAGGGAGAATAAGAACAATCGTCCAGGAAGCTGCCAAAACATCCGCCTCGACACAAACATGTTCGCCCAATCATCCCCGTTATCATCCAAACTCGTGCCAACGGCAGTGCTCCCGGAGGTGATAAGTCCCATGCGCTCAAGCTTGGGGATTAGGTTGCGCCCTCGCAGCACACCATCCCGCTTGATATTGATCTTCCATTCACCCCGCGGCTTGGCCGCCTGGGGAGTCTTCTCCGCTGCTTGAGCAGAAACCTGAGGTGCAGGTTCCCGCTGGTGGAAGTACCAGTAGAGTGTGATCCATAGCATCATAGCAATCTGGCGTGTAGGGCTCGCAGCGGGCTTAAACTCGGAGGTCGAGGGGTTCGCGATGGACGAAATGAAGAGGTTATCACCCTGGAGGGTGGGCTTGTCGAAAGAGTGAATATGGCGTCTCGGACGGCCCCCATCAAGAACGACGCCATTCTCTCTACCATCAGCGTCCTGTTTATCGTCGTCTTCGTCATCGGAGAGACAATCGCTCTCGGTATTTAGCACCACGGTCCATCCGACAGGAAATGCATTATGATGCGTATTGAGCTCGTGGCTCTTGAAGCCCAGACCAGCAAAGACAGGTGTGACAGTAAAGGTCTGTCCGTCGGGCAAGCGAATGACCTGGGGCGCCATAGTACCGTAGTCACCTTCTTTTTTTAGGGGACCTATCCGTAATCGGGGTGTGTCGGGTGTCGCTTTGCGGGGGATCGGCTCTGGGTTATAAAGCGCAACTGGAGCTAGGTATTTGGGTATTTAGGTAACGGCTTCTGGAATGCGCCGAGAAGAGTTCCAGAAAACTGCCGCTTCTGGTCACATGCTGACCTTTGAAGGGGCGATCGTGACAAACGCCGACGCAATGGTTGGATGCCGTGGTGGAGAGATGTTGTGTATGAAGTGGTTGGGTTGATTTGGAGGTGGGCTGCTTGTGAAGTCGCTGGAGCTCCAGGCCATTTGCGGCACTGTATTCAGGCCAAAACAGCAGCAAGGCACAGTATCAACAGGGACATCATAATAATGTGAGGTACGTCATGATAACCCCATTCCCATATCATATCATCCCAGTTAAAGTATGATAGCTTAGAGTCTATCCGCATCTCGGCGACAATAATATGTTGCTTTAACAAGACATGTTCACTAAAGTTATAATGCTTCACAGGTTGAATTTCATTCAATTTCTCAATTTTTAACAAAAGAATCAATTGTTTGTTGCCTGTCGCTATGCGTCCAATGATCCGATCCTAGCAACTAAAGTCAGTTCAATCTACAGCTAAATGCATTCTCCCAAACACTTCATCACCACACCACCATAACATAGACCTCCAATGATATGCCCACCACAAGCCATTATTCGCCATGATCTGATGTTAAAATACACAACCATCGCCGTCTACCGCTTCCGCATCTCGTCGCTTACTGCTTCTTCTTGATCTTCTCAGACTTGGAATCCTCCCCGTCGTCATCTTTGTCCTGAGTCATCTTGGTACCGTCGCGTCCCTTTTGCTCTTCCTCGAGAACCTTCTTCACCTCTTCGCCTCCCAGGTCCTTTTTCTCATCCCATTCAACATCGTACTCGCTGGCAACGATCTTGATATCCCTTCGCAGGTCGTTGGCATCGCGCACCAGTTGGTCCCATCTGCCCTGGTCGAAACCGCGCTCCTGGTACAGAGCAGCTTGTCGCTTTGACACTGTCACCTTCATGGCAGCCTTGTAGCTCAGATCGCGGCTGATGTAGAGGAACCAGAGGTAGGCACCCATGACAGTGGTCAGACCAGCGAGATATGTGACTGGCTCGACCAAATCCCATCCTGCTTGAGTGTGGAATGTGACATAGTAGACAACTCCCCACCAGCTGGCTAAAGCTGCAAAACCTCCCTGTGCCAATCGGTGAGCTCCCTTGTGGGCGAGCGCATCGCATTCGTTCTTCAACTTTGACATGGATTCGATGTCGCGTGACGTGCGCCTTAAACTCATGCGCATGTAGTAAGTACGGTCTCTAAAACTAGGCACGGCGACTCGGAGTTCATGTTCGAAGCCCTCAACGTCAATCGCAAACTCTCTTCCACGAGCAGCATCTCGGATAAAGTCTCCAATCTCAGTACTGCCGCTCCAGCGCACCCAGTTTGCCTCTTTACGGGAAGGTCCCTCGTGGCCAAGCCCAGAGTAGGAAGCGACATTAGCTCCATTGTTGTTCTTCTTTTTCTCATCTTCCTTCTTTCCGTGCGGTTCTTCTTGGTCTGCTTCGGCTCGGAAGACGATATCAGGCAGCTTCTCGCGGCCTTTGTACTGGACAGGAGGGATCTCGGCCTGAATCAATCGCTCGAGGTAGGATAGTGGCTGGTGGGGGTGAATAAGCAGAGCTAATGGCTCAACTGTTTCGCCCTTGTCTTCGACATCTTGTTGTACCGGTCTGTTGACGTGTTCCTGCTGGGGATGAAACGGCATCGGGAGGATGAGCTTCAGTAGCCGTGTTGGGGTTGTCAAGAGACGTCCTGGTTGTGTTAATGCTTGTTTGCTGTATGGTCATTGATGCATAGCTTACCCTTTTTCATGTCCGCCTTGTCGGGAATGTCGGGATCCTTCGCGTCCGGTTCCTGTGAATCTACTCTGTGCCATGGCCGATCATTCTCTAATGATTGAGCACTTGAGCCTGTTGTGACCTTTTTCATTTCCCTCTTGCGCGCCTTTTCACTCAATTCCTCAGCTTTGGCAGCATCCTCATCTTTAGCCTCAGCAGCCGCTTCTTGCTTGAAGCATCTTGAAGTTGTGAAAGCGCGTCGGAACGGTGTTTGGGTAGCTTCGCATCGGTACAGTGCTGGTAATTGGTGCTGAGCGAATGCTTGTGAGTGTGATCGCGTGGCTCGTAGAGCTGGAGATAATCCAAGCGTTGCGCGCCTCAAAGCGTGATTCATTATGATTGTGTCTGTGTCGTAGGGGAATAAAGTTGGGTGAGGTTGCAGCGGGTAGAGGTGGACGTGAATGTAAGCTTTTTGGCCAAGGTTTAACCAGACGGGAACATGCACAGGGGAGACACGAGACAGGAGGTGGAAATAAGGTCGTGTCATCCATTAAGCAGCCAAGAGTGACTTCACCTTGCTGGCTTCCAAGTTCAGTCGCCATCATCTCATCGATCGGCGTTTTGGAGCTCGGAATGTGACGTCAGTATCAAGGCCAAGCTTCTCCGTCCCTGGAACATTCATGCACTTGTCTTCTGATTGGCCAAGAACCCGTTCTCCACCGTTTCTGTACCACCACTGCCACAAGTGTCAGCTCCAGCCAAGATTATCAGCTTGGTTTTGTCTGTCACTGAGAGCATAATTTCATTCGTCAATACCCGGAGGTTTTTCTCCCTGCTCATCGAGGCCTCCTCTGTGATGGCACGTGTCCTTCTTTGTTGTTCATGTCTTGCCCAGTGTTTACGCAAGACGTGGTGTGTCTGTCGAAGGAGTCCAAATCAAGGTCTGGACAGACAATGGAGCTCCATTGTGAAAGGGGTGGGAAAGTATTCCTATATCAGTGATCAAATAAGCCATAAGTGTTGTTGGACAGCATCACTCTAATGTTCAGGAACTCGTTTAATTGAGTTGAATCGTAGTGCCACTAAGACTTTCAGAGTAACGGCACGATGACTTTGATAATTAACGGCACGTTAACTTACCGACATGTCGGAGCTAACACACCCCAATGGAACATAGAAGCGTTTTGGCCTTTATTATCCTTGAAGCACTCGTTTTTAGAACGACGCAGTTGTGAAAGTCAGGTTACCCTATAGCATTGGCATGACATCGTCTAATTTCTTGACTTACATCTAGTCGGGACAGTGATATTATTGGGAGCAAATAGTAAAATCTCTTTACTATGTATCTATTTTACCTCAATGCATCCCAAGAATACTTGTACACTATAAATGTTTAGCCGCGTATATAAAAATTACAATACTAATGTTGTGTTGGTCACCCGTTCATGAAGACCTCTGGCTGCTCCATACACTGACAGTTGTCTTGGCTCTTTGCTTTTAGTGAGCCGCTACTCTTGATTAATTTCGCCTACCAAATTGCTCAATTGGACTTTATTCTCAACGTCAATAAAATACATCAACATTTTGTACATCCACTACAAAAGTCAGTGTAAACATCCGCTATAGCCCATATATGCCCGGGCCAGCTGCCACTATAAACCACTCCTCTTACTGGTCAATTCTTAAACACAAGCTTAAACAACATTGGCTGGATACCTGGAAGAACTCTCCTTGGTGTTGAGGGGCTTCAGGGGTCCAGAGGGGTTGGACCCCGCACTAAACCTCTTGAGGCTACAAGAGATTGTAACCCGCCCGCGGCTCATCTCCAACCCTTTCCGATACAACAAGTCGGTGAAGTCAATTTGCTTTTTTGTCAGGTTAGAATCTTGCGCCTGTCTTGTTTCAATTCGAAAGTCTGATCTGTTTCGTTTTAACTTTGTCTTTGCTTCGACTTCTCCAAACTTTCCCTCCTCTCAAACAGAACCCCGCTTCACAATGTCCGACACCAAGGTCTACCGCGCCAGCACCACTGCGCCTGTCAACATCGCTGTTGTCAAGTAATAACTTGCCTATTCGCATGTCCTGATCCTTTGACTAACATCCAACAGATACTGGGGAAAGCGCGACGCCAAGCTTAACCTCCCTACCAACAGCTCCCTCTCCGTCACCCTCTCCCAAGCCGATCTCCGAACCCTCACAACTGCTTCTTGCTCGAGCTCCTTCACCGATGGCGACAGTCTTACTCTCAATGGAGAGTCCTCCGACATCTCTGGCGCCCGAACACAGGCCTGCTTCCGCGAGCTTCGATCTCGTCGTGCCGCTCTCGAGGCTGCCGACTCTTCTCTGCCCAAGCTCTCCACCTATCCCCTGAAGATTGTTTCCGAGAACAACTTCCCCACTGCTGCTGGACTCGCTTCTTCAGCTGCTGGCTTCGCTGCGCTGGTCCAGGCCATCGCTCTTCTCTACGAGCTCCCCGACTCACCATCTGACCTTTCGCTCGTTGCCCGACAAGGTTCCGGATCTGCTTGCCGTAGTCTCTTTGGTGGCTATGTCGCGTGGAGGATGGGAGAGAAGGAGGATGGAAGCGACTCCAAGGCCGACCTTGTCGCTCCCGCATCACACTGGCCTGAGATGCGAGCTCTGATCCTTGTCGCTAGCGCCGCTAAGAAGGGTGTTTCTTCTACCTCCGGAATGCAACAGACCGTTGCCACCTCTGGTCTCTTCAAGGAGAGAATAACAAATGTCGTCCCCGCCAACATGGCCACCATGGAGGAGGCTATCAAGAACAAGGACTTTGCCAAGTTCGCCGAGGTCACCATGCGCGACTCCAACTCTTTCCACGCTACTTGCGCCGACACCTTCCCTCCCATCTTCTACATGAACGACGTCTCACGCGCCGCCATTCGTGCCGTTGAGTACATCAACGAGAAGGCTGGCAAGACTATTGCAGCCTACACATTCGATGCCGGTCCCAACTGTGTTATCTACTACGAGGAGAAGGATGCTGACACTATCGTTGGCGCTTTCTACCAGGCTCTTCAGGGTGTCAGCGGCTTCAAGGAGGATGCTGCCAGTGCCAAGTCCAGTGTTGGGCTTGAGAGCACTCTTGCTTCCACCCTGAAGGAGGGTGTGAGCAGGGTTATCTCCACTGGCGTGGGCGAGGGCCCTATCAAGACTGATGAGTACCTTGTCGGAGAGGACGGCCAGGCTGTTCGCCGATAGATTATGAAGAAGGAAAAGAATCTAGTGCCAGATGATAGTACATAGCATGATGATCTGATATAATACCAGTGGTAGCCACACCAGAATTTACACTTTCTGGTTATTGCATTATGTTTTCTGCACATATCTAACTTTTGAAACTCAGGTTTGAGGAGTGCTTAATTCCCTATTTGTGATAAATGATGACCCTGGCCAATTGCGCCGCTTCTTAAACCTCCGAGTTCACCGCGTGGGGCCGACGGGAGCGACAACACGGTCCTTCTGAATCGGCGCCGATAAATCGTCAGTCTCCACTCAGAGATCAATAAGAGAGCTTGAGGATAGAGCTTAAAGTTCAAAAGAATATTGCATATTCAGCAGCACCTACTCTGTTTACTGCTTAACGTAACCTTAACGCTCTTTGCACTGCGGGGCAGTGCCAGTGTTACTCACCAGCTGTGGAACACAGCAAACACATCTCACTTCTCGTTCACCCAAAACAACATCTTCATCCTGAACCTCACATCAACACCTTCACGATGGACGGCGTTACCAAGCTTCTCGAACGCCGCGAGCCCGTCGAAATTGTCGAGTACGACAAATCTGGAAATGTCTCTCGCACCTGGACTCATCATCCTGGCGACCGCGTTCGTGGCCTTAATTAGTATTTTGAGATGCTGCATTGCTGATCGTACTCATAGGTTGTGCTTAAAACAAAGCCTAGCATCTTCCTGCTCCCATCCATGAAAGAGGCTTTTATGCCTGTTGGATATCCTCATTCCGTTTCGAGCGATTATCTCAACTACCAATTCTTCGACTCTCTTCAGGCCTTCTTTTCGACCATCACCTCCCTCCTCGCCAACCGAGCTCTGCTGCAGGGTCTAGGTGTAGGAGATGCAAACTCGTCCGCCACCTTCGCCATGCTCCTGACTGTTCTGAAGGATGCAGTGTCTCGAATCGCTACTATCATCTTCGCCCAGCAGTTCGGCCTTCGTATTGAGCCAGACGCAAAGCGCTTCCGCTTCCTGGCTGATCTGTTCAACGACACTGCCTTCTTTCTGGAGCTGTACAGCCCGTATCTAGGTCCCTATGGAAAAATTCTTGCCATCACCAGTGGAGAAGCACTCCGCGCTCTGTGTGGTGTTGCGGCCGGTGCGAGCAAAGCTGCTCTCAGTGTACACTTTGCAAAGCATGACAACCTCGCTGAACTCAATGCTAAAGAAGCCAGTCAGGAGACCGCTGTGGGCCTTATCGGACTTCTTGTTGGCACGTTCATTGTGAAGCATGTGGAGGACCACAACAGTGTTGTTTGCCTAATGGTCGTTCTTGTCTTTGCGCACCTGTGGATGAATTATCTTGGTGTTCGCAGTGTTTGTATGGACTACCTCAACCGACAGCGCGCAACAATCTTATTCGAGGAATATCTCAAGACCGGAAACATCCTAACGCCAAATGAAGTTGCTAGCCGTGAGAACATTATTATCTGGCAACCTGTCGTCCGAAACCAGCACGGTGAGAAAGTCGTTCGAATCGAAATGGCACAAAGCTACGGGGACGCTATGGGCGCCAAACATTCCCCTGCCAAAATCTACCTTGTCGACGGCATCCGAAACACCCTATTTGTATGGTCGCACTGGAAGGATAGCCTCATACCTATCAAGATCATGCTCTGGAAGGACTCGGGAGCCATTCATGCCATTAGCGCCTGGTTCATGGCCATGGAGATGGCCTGGCTCATAGAGAAGAGCGAGGGATACACCGACAAGCTGGACAGATTCTTTTGTGGAAAGGAGGCTATTGATGGATACCAGCAAAAGTACGACCAACGTGAGCTTTGGGACGGATTGCTCGCCAAGGGGTGGAATCTGAACTCTCAAGCCTTTGAGACGGGCGCCCCTGTGCGTCTGCATGCTCAGATGGAGGGGAAGAAGGACCAGTAAGATATGTGCGACGAGCAATCTGGCGTCAAGGAGTAGCGGGCAGTGTATGATATACCAAAATGTGAACGTGAATTCAACGGAGATTCATTTACTTTTGCCATCCAGACTTTTCCTCTGCTCATGGTATGCCCTTTTGTACATTTTCCAACGCCACCTAGTGAAACGACCTCATATATCATACAGATTATATCGTACAGCACCTATGTAAATCACGCCAACCATGCCCACCTCTTAGCTCGCATTTTGACACCCTCCCATGTGTTCAATTTTGGCCGCACATCAAGGTAGAAGCTTGGCCCTCCCTTGCCATCGGGTCGTCCAGAGTAAAAGTCGATCACGTAGTCGACTCGCGTACCACACCTATCAATAACCCAATCGTGGCGATCAAACGGCGCCGAGTAGCCAAGGATGGTGTTGAAGCGAGCTGTGGGTGTCATTCGTTGCATCTTGTTGGCAAAGGATTCGAGCTTTGGACCGTCGCATCTTGACACTGTTAGTTACACCTAATGGACCAGATAACAGGGCTTGTAGGCTTACGGTGTGCCCTGGAGGTACGGCGCTTCCCACTCCTTGATCTTTTCCCATGCTCTTTCGTTAACGGCATTGTGAATCGGCACGACAGTCTTCATATCCGCCACCCGCGCATCATAGCCCTTGCGCTTCATAGCCTCGAAGAACATCTTCTCCGAAGGATACACCCAGTTCCCAGAGGGGTCCACCCCAGTCTCCATCTCGTGGTTCGCAGGCTTCGCGGGCTCCTTGTCGTGGTCGACGGGACACGCCGCAGGAGTGCCAAAGGTTCGTGGAATCGTGGAGATAACCCGGTCGGTGTCAAGGCTACTGTTCGGCGTCGAGGTTTGCGTAGATGTATGTGCAGGCGTGGAAGAAGCCCAAGGGAGGTAAGATGCCCATGATTTGGGTTCTGGCGCAGTGTGGTCGACGGGGCATGCTGCTGCAGACTCAGCTTGAGCCTTTGCGGCTTCGGCGTTGCGGGCTTGGGCGAGCCATGCGTCGCGGGTCTTGTGGTCGACGGGACAGGCGTCGTTCTTATCTGACATGGTGGAGATTGTGCGAGAAGTCTCGTCGGGCGCTGAGGATTGAAAAGAAAAGAAAAATCAATTACGAAAGCAGAGTAGAATGAAAATGGCGTAATTGGTCATGGAGGGGATCCACGTATGGATCGTAAATGCTCCGGGACGGATTGGCTTGGAGGTTTGCGACGAAGAAAAAAATATGGGCCGGTTTTTTTCCGCAAACCGGTCCCGGCCGGATACTCGGAGCTGAACATCGCCGACTTCACTTCACCTGTTTATTGACTGACGAAATATATGACATTATACAATACTGTCATGGTGATTCGTTGTTATTATACTAACTTGGTCTGCTGCTAACAAACAAATGTGTGCTAGTGATTCTCGGCTGGGCGCTTCTGTATAATTCTCTCTACCACGTCTCAAACCGGGCCCTTACTCCTGGGGCACGCTCCCACGACATAAGGCGGATAGCCAACTTTGGATCTGTAGTGTTCCTTTCGTGTTTTGCACTCCAGCACAGTTTGAAGTACGACAAGACATACAAGTGAAGAATGGAAGACTGTGTAGTACTATACTCATAGAACTGAATAATGTCCGAGATGCAGTTGAAGATGTATTGTGTTGAGTTGAAGGCAGGTCAGAGAAAGCTGAAGTCACTTGGTGTTGAAAGGAGGGAAGTCGATATGAATGCGCGGCTGTCTTGTCTGGGGAGAATGATGCCTATTGTGGCAAGTGATGGTAATAGTCATTGCCATGTTGAGAGTCCACTTGGGCAATCACCTTGGAAAGGAAGCTGTATTGTAGGACGGACCAAGCGACTGCCCGTGAGACATGCATCGAAGAGACATGTGCAGATGGCTCAGTAACCGGACCTTCCCATATAGACATTTGTATGATCCCTTCGACTAGGTACTAACCTATCAGACCTGAAGTCAGGTTCGTTGTCAATAGCACCGGGTTATAGGCAGAACATGGCCTTTTGAGACTAACAGAGTATCCGTTTGACTATAGGACAGTAAGCTGTAGCAGTAGCAGATGAACAAGCCGTTTCGACGGCATTCTTCTTTGTCTGTAGAACAGCAGGTGTATGAATATCTTCATATACTCCACTAAACGGTGACATACCGTTTGATATCTTCAGCGATATGCGCAAATCGACCTTGATAGACTGTGATAATCCTTGTCGCGCTGGTACCTTACCTGTTGCTACCTGAATATTATGTCAGACCTGCGAGATATGTCAATTTGTAACCTCTTTCTCCAAAGCTTGACTCAAGTCCCCGGGTTCAACTAAGGCTGAGGGTGGTTGTGCACAGGCTGCCAAGGCACTTTCGTATGAGCACGCCTGAGATAGATCTCGATTTACAGTCCTACATATGAAAGAGTTTTCTTTCATCGCCTTCGATCTTCTGACTCCATGACAAAATGGGATGCGTTTTGCTCAAGTTCCACATTTTCATCATCCATGTGAAATCATCAGGGAGTGAAATGAAATCATCAGGATGACATCACGAAGATAACTACAACTACAAATATACAGCATCCCAAGTAAAGAAGAAATCTAAATCATTATCTTCACTGCAATCTCATCAACTGCAAATAACAAACACAAATCTTCTTTCTCTCTATATCACAAGCACATCCCGCATATCAAAATGACCAATTACGAGCAGATCGCCAAGGAGGCCGAGCAGGACCTCAACACCTACCAGGCCAAGACTGGCAACGCCCGTCCTCAAGACGTTGGCGGTGCTGATGTCAATGCCTACGCTGAAAACAAGTTCGAGGGTGCTCACGTTGAGTTCGGTGATGAGCTGAGCACAAACGCTGGATACACCAAGCGCATTCCTCCTAGCGAGGGTGGCATTGTCGATGACAAGGGCCGGTAAGCATCATCCATTAGTATACTTCTTTCAATAAACTTACTCTTTTCTAGACAAGCTACTGGTCAGCTTTACGAGGGTGAGGGTGGTCCCCTAGACAAGCTCTCCAGGGCCAACGACGAGCGTGGTGGTAACAACGACAACGACGTCGTCGGTGCCAACGTGAAGCAGACTTCCGGCCTCGGAGCCGCTGAGGACCTCGCCTCCAAGGCCCAGGATGCTCAGCGCACCAACGTTGGTCGTAACCCTCCCGGCCCCGGTGGCTCTCAGTTCAAGGGTGCGGATTATGAGGATGCCGAGTTTGTTCCTGACAGCAGCTCTGCTGAGGGCAACATCGCTCCCGAGAGCGCGATTGAGACAAGTCGCGAAGCTCAGCGACCTTAAATGGAAAACAAAAACGAAATGGGAAGGAAAAGGCTATGATGGTTTAATTAAGCGAGCGCCTGTATGATTATCAAGATAATTTGAACCGGCATGATTTACGACCAATACAATATTTGTCTCTGCATCGTGATCTGTATAAGTCCCGGTGGAGGCTCGGTGACTTTAGCCCCCGCTGCGGCCCCGCTAGGCCGTCGATCAATTAAGCATGATCAGCGTCATGAGGCCTGTTCTTATCTCGTGACCGACCGCTAAATGCGAAACTTCATCTCATCAGCAATTGGAGTCGCGACACCAATTCCGACATTGCTACTCAATCGTCAGACGCGATGTCGCCAGCGCTGCTAAATCGAACAGAGTACTGCTAATCTATCGTTGCCATGTCTGGTTTGTCGCCATCTTCCTCTGGGTTACTTCCTATGCCCGGCGCGCCGTCGTCGTCATGGGCGGCATACAGAGCGAGAATCGCAGCTATGCTGGGACATCATGAAACCAAAGTTATCGTAGCCTTTTGGCTTTTTGGTACGATACATCTTACTTATCTTAAACTATTTGCTAACCGCAGCTTCTTCAGGCCTTATAAACAATGTCCTCTACGTGATAATCCTCTCCGCTGCCCAAGACCTCGTCGGCTCGCTCCCCAAGGGCGTCGTTCTCCTCGCCGATGTCGTCCCCTCGTTCCTGACCAAGCTGGTCGCCCCGTACTTCATCCACCGAGTCCCTTACCGTACACGAATCCTCATATTCATTGTTCTGTCCGTGGCTGGCATGCTCATGGTGGCTTTGACGCCAGGCACGCAGACCGTCGCCATCAAGCTAGTCGGTGTAGTGTTGGCGAGTATAAGTGCTGGCGGCGGCGAGCTGAGCTTCCTTGGCCTGACACATTTCTACGGACCGATGAGTCTGGCGGGCTGGGGCTCTGGAACAGGCGCTGCGGGCTTGGTAGGCGCAGGACTCTATGTGATGTTTACAGATTGGTGGGGGTTGAGCGTGCGTAGCAGCCTGTTGATATCTGCGTGCTTTCCTGCCATCATGTTTATCAGTTTCTTTGTGATATTGCCGCTTGGCCCTCTGAGAGACGGTACTACGAGGAAAGACTATGATGCGATCCCGGACTTGGAAGATGAGGACGTGGATCATATGGATCAAGGTACTGCTTCGTCGGCACTCTTGGCTCCTGGACCGTCTGTTGCGGCAACTGCGTACTCTGCGCATAACACACCGGCGCTCACAGTGAGAGACAGGCTCAACAAGGTGAAAGTGCTGTTTGTACCGTACATGCTCCCTTTGCTACTGGTCTATGTGGCAGAGTATACGATCAATCAAGGGGTCGCTCCTACGCTACTGTTTCCCCTGGACGAGTCGCCGTTTGACGAGTTTCGAGCCTTTTATCCCTTCTACGGGTTCCTCTACCAACTCGGTGTCTTCATCTCAAGATCTTCAACGCCATTTTTACGCATTCACCACCTCTACCTGCCATCTATGCTCCAAATTGCGAACCTCTTTCTTCTCACCTTCCATGCTGTGTACTTCTTCCTCCCCTCCGTGTACATTGTCTTCTTAGTTGTCTTTTGGGAGGGTCTGCTTGGAGGTGCCGTTTACGTCAACTGCTTTGCTGAGATAATGGAGAACGTGCCCGCCGAGGACAGGGAATTTAGTCTGGGTGCAACTACTGTGAGCGACAGTGGAGGAATCTCCATTGCTGGACTCATCAGTATCGTTATGGAGACGAAGCTTTGTAACTACCAGGTGGCACATGGAAGGGATTGGTGTCGACGCATATCTGCGCAGGGACATTGAAGGTTGATACATTTGGCGTTTGAGCGTTGATTCAATGTTGATCGATCTATATTTACATCTAGACACGGTATTTGGTACAGAAATTCTGATACATGCATTACGTGTCTTGTCATATGCCTTGTGAACGCGAATCAACTGTAACGCGTAAACTGGAGAACAGTTTATTAAGCTGCGTAATCCTCCGCAAGCGAGCGCAATTCTCTAACCTTGTCATATTATCTATATGATCGTCTCTGTCGATAAGCGGCCTCTGTTTCCTCAGAGCACGAGCGAGGTTTCGCCATCACGTCAACTAGCAGTGTTCTGGAACGATTCAGGGGCAACAGCATGTAATTATACGCATAATAGAGGTCAGCTTACGGATAAAGTATTGTCACTTCTCCGGACTCAAATCTTCAAGGTAGATGACAGGGAGCCTGGGTCCAATAGATCGGAAACAGGCCCTGGATCCGGGACGGTCCCTGTAAGGCGGCGGGAGACTTTGATTGCATGTGACGAAAGAAGGGAACACAATTAAACCCGGATCTTTTGTTCAGCTATGGGGCAAGAGGTTAAGCGACCCGACAGTTTATCGAGACTCTGTTGAAAAGGTTATCGAGAAACTCGTGTTTCGCAAAAGGCTAATGGGGGCATCACCACAAATACAATACATTCTAGGCCAATGGTAATGCGGGTGGTTGAGTTTCCAAGTTTAGATCAGAAGCATCGGGAGTTTTGTGGCTGACGGGAAGCCCGGTAGTATGATCGTTGATAAGGCGGCGCAGACACCCTTTCTCTTTGTCTTGACATTAGGTAGAGACAATGTCACGCGAGGAACCTGCCTGGTGGTCTTCTCTATACGAATGAACGAGATGCTACGTAGTAACGGATGGCTGGGGTTAATCTGATTGTGCTGACAGAGGGCTAAGATACGAGGCATCACCGCCAAGCGAACAACGGATAACGGCTTAGCGCTGACTGGCTTGGCGGTTTCATTTATGAGAATCGCAATGGACGGAAGTGCAGATCAAATATGGCTGTGAATGTATGCGTACGGAGTACACTACGCACGCGATATAGTTTTCAGAATATCGTGAGAGAGTGATATACATTATACCTTGCCGCGGGTGCTGTTCACATTGAAAATGAGCCTCACGTTGAAACGTATCCCCATACGTAATCACCTTGAATTGAGTTGTACTGGGCTGGGATACGGATGGGTCGGAGACGAGCCGGGTCGTTGGTGGAGTCTGGAGTAATGAGATGGTTTATCGTACTCCGTAGTTTTTAGTTTTAGGGATAGTTGACAGGCTGACAGGTCGGATGGCTGGGTTCAGGTTCGTTATGCCAGCCGTGCGTGTGAAGTACAAAAAGTCAAGACGAGATGGGGTCTTCAAGTCTTGGATCAACCAAGATGACACGCATGGTAAAGAGCTAGCCTGTGCGTGTACTACGTATAAATATAACAGTCCGAGACATACATATCCAAGGGACTGTCTTGTCTCTGATTCTGAGTTCCTGTCTCAACCCTTAAGTAGGGAGACTGACCAAATGCCACACGCAGGAGCAACAGCGACAATCTCTCAAGGGAGCCTCAGCATCATTCCTGCCTGTAAGGGTCCCCGCTTACGCCCTCCTCGGGTATTATAATCCTGTAGGAATTCGATTGCTTTCCTGCGTCTGCAAAAGTTCAGCTCCCAGAGAAAGAGGGGCAAATTCTCCCATGCAAATTAATTACAATAGAGAAGAAAAAAAGGCCAAGCCAAATTTCCGCCTAGCGAGGGACATTGCAGATAAGCTATTGTGTGATTGGTCAAATCAAGATATGACAATCAAGGTCGAACCATGCAAGCGGCTTCCCGAAGGGGAATGCCATCCAATATGTGATCGAGATGCGGTCTGCAGGGGGTTCTGTGTACAATAACCTACAGAATTGTCTGTGTTGGCGTTGTCTTTGCTATGCAATAAATGGGTTTATGGGAAGATGGAAAGTCTATACAGTGAGTCAAGGCTTATTCTAAACTCAATTGTCAAGTGTAGTCCGTAGGATCAATTGAGTTGCTGCTAGGAAATTCCATGACGCTTTCGCAATCACAGATAAAGGGGCTCCCTAGGCTTCTTTAAGTGTAAGCTCAACGCCAGGAACTCTACCTATTGGTCAACTACTCCTGCGTGTCGTGAAGTGTCTCTTCAGGGGTTGGTATGAATTTAACCCAATGTAAGACGCCTTTCCGGCCACTGCAATGCCTTAAAAGAACAAGATAAAGATTGGGGAAAAGGAGACAAGCAAAGCACCCCCTATTCACTTGGCGTTGATTCTCCTACAGGCTAAGGCTACAGTGCTGGGCGTGGCACTCATCGCCACTTCAAGCCTCATTTTATGTAGCCTTTGGTCCAAGACCCCCCAAAAAGCGTTTTAAAGCCGACATCCTTTAGCGCATCACAGCGCAAAGTACGCAAAGTAACAGTTGCAACCTCACGGACCTCCTTGTTCCCGCCTCCATAACTCGCTTCGTCCTCCTCTTTTCCCCCCTTCCCTTCCCCATCCCATCCCCGTTTGCCAACTTCCGTGGATTTCTCACATCCTTCCCCCCTGTCCGCTTTTATTTAATTTGATCCATCTCATCCCACCTAAAGCGCCTTCTCAACCCCCTGCGCCTTTTCTGGCCTTCTCAGAACCCGGTTCCTTTTTTTCTTCCTCGCTTTCCCTCCTCCTTCTTCTCCTCTCCTCGCATCTTCACCGTTCGTCTTTCTTTCTTCTCTACACTTCCATAATTTTTTAAGCACCCAAGCGACGTCGCGTGCGCTTCGGGTTTGTTCTGGTTCTGGTTGTGTCCTTTTCGGCACGTTTCATTCTCTCGTTGCCATCGACATTTTGACTGAATAATTCGAAATACCCCCGTGTCGAAGCGATCAACTTGCCACAATGTTCGGTCAAGTGCGTACAAACCGGTCGACGGTCCTCATGGCCGGCGCCGTGATCTTCTTGGTCGCTTTTGTTAGCTTGGCCTACAACCATCTCGACAAGTGGGAGCCTCCTGCTGATGTGTGAGTTATTCCGCTGAATGCACTCAAAATACGTGTTGCTAACGGATCGCGATAACAGCGCCACCGATACCGATACCCCCATCATTAGTGACAAGCACGACGAGCCCAAGAAGACCGAGCCTGAAGGAACGGAGTCTCACCACGACGCCATGTCCAAGCCCGACCACCCTTCTTCCGCTTCTACCGAGCTGGGCGACTACTACTTTAACTACATCATGAAGTCTCGCGTCAAGCCTACCGATAAGAAGTATGCTCCCTTCGGTGCTTTCCCCATGGAGCTGCCTGGTGAGGCCAAGTGGACCGACTTGGTCGGCGAGGATCTCTGCATTATCGATCTTGACAACCGACCTTTCGACGAGCCCGGTCAAATCTTCTCCCCTAACCTGATGAGCTGGGACCGCGCTGATGAGACCCACGGTCTGTCTCTCGGTGTTCTGAACCACTGGCTTTATGGTGCGTACGACCCCACTCGAGTCACTCTTTGTGTTACTAACCCCTCCCAGCCAAGAACCACGGTTACAAGTACTACTATGTTGACATCACCGATCCCTTTGAGGACCGCCGCAACTCATGGAAGAAGCCCCCGATTCTGTCCAAGATCCTCAAGAAGCACAAGGCCTGCATTTTCCTTGACTCCGATGCTGTTTTCCACCACCTCGACCTTCCCTTCGAGTGGCTCATGAACTACTGGCAGCTTCACCCCGACACCAACTCTCTGGCCCTTGCCTACGATCCTCACCACAAGAACAACATGGATAAGCACGACAAGGTCTACCTCAACACTGGTTTCATCGTTCTCCAGAACAACGAGAAGACCTTCGAGATTCTCCGCGAGTGGGAGGACTGCCCCAACGAGGGTGGAAAGCACCCCGACTGTGTCGAGTTCCGAAAGAACCGTCCCGGAAAGCCCACCGATCAGGGTGGCTTCGGTACCTACATCCGCTACGATTTCCCCAAGGACATCAAGGACCTGCCCTGCACTGAGGCCAACGGCTTCCCCGAGAGCAAGTCTGGCTGTGACGGCAAGTTCATCAAGCATCTCTGGACCGGAAAGAAGGACCACATCAAGGTCGTCATCGGTCAGCAGGTCCCTGGTGCCCTGCTGGAGATGTTCCACAAGCAGTTCATGGAGGAGAAGCCTAAGTTCTTCATCTCCGAGCGCGACTTGATGGCCCAGAAGGATTAAATAATGACCATGCTTTAATGAGACGAGGTACTACAAAAAGGCGGACATGATAAGGACGGCTTTGAATCTTTTTTTAATAACTGTACTTTAACTATACCATCCAGGAGAGGTATACCTTTTCCCCAAATGGGCTTTTAACATTGGTGTTTATGGGAGTGTTGTGGTTTACAATGGCATCGGCTGCTGAATCGGAAACATTTGAAATTTGCTTTTCATTTCTTCAAGCTGCAAGCAAATGCGATGCATGGCAACTAGAAAGGCGAAATCTATAGCATGACCTGGTATATGAGTAATAGGGAATAACATGAGTTTTTATGTTGATCTTGAGTTGCATGATGTTTTGTTTTGGCTACCCTGTGTCAGTTGTATGCCATTGTATGTGACATTGCGAGGCGTCTATCCGTAGTGCAAGAGAACTGAAGAACTATTGTTCAAATCTCAAGCAGCTCAAACTGTTGTTAGCGAAGGAGTACATATTTTGGGGGTGCTCGATTGTTCTAGAGTTTGAGTTAGCAGAACGTGGAGTGTAGTGCAAGCCAGTGTACGGCTATCCTTCTACCTGCAAGAACGCGCTGATGCTTAGTCGGAACTCCTGTCTTCTTGTGGTTTAGGTATCATTAGAATCGACACCGTATCAAACTCTTCCCAGTGTACAGGTAGCTTCATATAGTTCCAATCTATTCCTTACGTCGTCCGTGTGGAGGCCGTGTCTTTGACATGTCTGTATGCTGTGCATCAAGTCGCGACTGTTGGTGCTCATGACAAAGGCACACACCAATAGAATTGTTGTCTTCGCCTAATCTAAGGCTACAGCTTTCCCTAACAATTGTGTGTGATTGGCTTGGGTGTATTTGAGGCGGGTAATTGTGTGCTGCTTGATAGTAAGGTCAATTAAGCTCGTACTCTGAAATGTTCGAAGTATAGTTCTCGCGGGAATCCTTATCATTGACTTGAGAGCAACATCGTGCAGACCTGGTTTCGAAACAATTCAGCCACAGCTACTTGATGATGAAATACACTGTGGAAATTGGTAACTGAGTTATTTCGGCCATAGGTCTGAGAAGATAGTAGTGAAACCTGTTGCCGTGATTCTAGTGCCGAGGTATTCACGGTCAATATGGAGGAGGAGGTTGCAGCCAAACCTTTATAGTCGGGAGAATTGACAAATAAATACTATATGCTGACTGGCCGCGTCTATGATCATTAATCTTAAGCCCGGGCTGTTTGCAGCCGTTACGGCGTGTTGGCTCAGAGCTGGTCAAGACCGATCAGTAATCACACATATCGACCGGGGGAGTCGCATAAATCTCCCAACGGCCACTATTCCGCCATTTCTAATGCACATTATGAGGGGAAAACTCCGTCGGGGTTTTGGACGGTAGATAAAGTACATCATTGAATTGGAAACTGAGAATTGGCTGTTTGGTTATACGAATTGGTTTCATTATGGCGACTATCAAAGAAATCGACGATGCGCCTGTGGATTCACTTGGGGATTCTGTGACGGAGAAGGACTTGGAGGTTGCGAGACCGAGGGAGCAGCAGGAAAAAGATGATCTGGACTGGGATAATAGCCCTCATAACCCGTTCAACTGGCCAGGCTGGAAGAAAGCATTGCAGGTCGTGATGCTCTCCTCATCAGCTATACTGGCGTGAGTAAACTCAAACTCCCCTTCAGAACTACAACTCTAATAACTCAGCTCTATCGGAACATCAATAATGAGTCCAGCCCGCAATGAGCTCATGCAAGAATTCAATGTCAGCAGCACCGTCGCCCTCCTCCCTTTGACGATGTACGTCCTCGCTCTGGGCTTCGGCCCCGTCATCGGCGGTCCTCTGTCAGAAACCATCGGCCGCTACACCATCTACACTGCGAGTGTTCCCCTAGGCGCGCTCTTTACCATAGGTGCGGGCTTTGTCCATAACATCGGAGGGCTGTGTTTTCTTCGTTTCATGGCGGGATTGTGTTGGGGCCCTGTTCTTGCTGTTGCGCCGGGGACTCTGTCTGAGACGTTCAAGCCCAAGTCAAGAGGGCCTGTTTCGGCGGTGTTTATCCTGATGCCGTTCTTGGGACCTGGTTTAGGGTGAGTATTCCTTTTAACAAACTTTAAGAGCGTGGCTGACGTTTTAGACCGGTTATAGGAGCCTTTGTGGTCAACCGTAAAGGATGGCGCTGGACGCAGTGGACGCTCATCTTCTTCTCCATCCTAGCCATGATCGTGGCAGCATTCGCTCATGAGACATTTCATCCGGCTATAAAGCGAAGTCTGGCCAAGAAGAAAGGTCTGAAGGTCGATGCGCCGCCGCCGATGGCTGCGCGGCTCAAGATGTTTGCTCTCATTGCTGTTGTGCGGCCTATTCGAATGCTTCTCTTCGAGCCCATCACCGGATTCATCTGTTTATACGTGGCAGCCGAATTTGGAACCCTGTTCAGTTTCTTCGCCGCTGTTCCGTTCACCTTTGGGAGGGTATACCAATTCTCTTTGGAAGAGTCAGGCCTGGTGTTCCTATCCATCGTCATCGGATGTGTCCTCGGCCTCATCACCGTCATGCTCTGCGACATCTTCCTCTACCGAAAGCAAGCAGCGAAATATCCACCCCACCAGATCCCGCCCGAGCATCGTCTGTATCCTTCCATGATCGGCAGCGTGGGATTGCCCATCGGTCTGTCCTGGTTTGCCTGGACTGCCAGACCAGGAGTTTCCTGGGCGAGTCCCGCGGCGGCGATGATTGTCTTTGCGTGGGGAAACCTGTGTGTTTTTGTGAGTACAATGCAGTACATCACGGATACATACCATGGTAGTGTTGTTGCGAGCGCTGCTGCTGCGAACAGTCTTGCGCGATATGGCTTTGCGGGTGTGTTTCCGCTGTTTACTATTCAGAGTAAGTTTGTTCATCACTTTATCCTCACTGGGGCAATTGCTAATGGTGTGATCAAGTGTACGAGAAGCTGGGTATCGATTGGGCTAGTAGTCTACTGGGGTTCATCGCGCTGGTGTTGTTGCCAGTCCCGTGGGTATTATTCAAATACGGCCCGGCGATCAGAGCCAAGAGTTCTTATGAGACGGTGCAGTTCAATTGAAGTAAATAGCATATGCTACATACTATAGTACTTTTTAACATGAAAACGAGCATGATTTGAAAAAGGCTAGTTCTCAGGAAGCTTGATCAACTTGTAGTCCCTGTCCAGGTAGTACCACAGATCGTACTTCGCTGGCCTCTCAGCAGCCGGAAGAACATTCGCCTTGGCAGGAAGACCAAACTTCTTGGTAGCATCCTTACTCTTGACGTAGCTCTTGTACTTCTTGGTGCTAGTCTGGTTGTAGTTGATCTCATTGGAATCAACCTTACCACGCACAAGCTCTTCCCAGTCGCCGTGACTGCTCTTGATGGTCTTGGCCATGAACTTGGCGTTCTGGTATTCTCCGCCGACGATCTCAAGAACGTCGTCACCTCGAGCGACTTTGTAGTACTGGAGACGTTAGAAAGGCATGGGTGGTGGCGGCAGAGCACTTACTGTAAACCAGTTGTAGTATGTTTGGGCGAGACCTGGGCGGTACTTTTCGAGATCCTCGACGGCTGAAGATGTTAGGTTGGGTGGCGAGCTTGAGTGTAAGACTTACAGTCGACTAGATCAGCAAGGGGATCCTTGGTATCGATGGCGATGACCTTCCAATCAGTCTCGCCGCCCTTAACGAGTCAGTTAGAATTTGTGTCGTTTTCTCTGGGCTGTACTCACATCGTTGAGGGCAAGTCCTCCTAGAACCTTGACAGACTTGACCTGACCAACGTGCGATGGGCTGTGTAGACGTTAGATCAAATCGCACTGCCGATAGTGGGCAACTCACGCTTCAGTGATGTCAAATAAGTCAATAGGGTCATTGTCACCGGGAAATCCAGTAAACTCATGGTCAAAGTTGGGGCTCTCCCAAGTCTGGGGGATGGATCCGTAGTGGAACGGGTACGACTTGTGCGGCCAGACACTCTCGACAAAACGAGGCTTCTTCTTCTTGTCGTCGTGGAAGATAGGATCTGTAATTGTTAGCAATAGATAGTGACGTGGGAGTGAGGTCTTACTTAGAGGTTCGTCGCGACGGGTCTCGATCTTGCCATCGGTCCATCGAGGAATCTCAACAACATAGCTCACGATGCGGTTGTTGCCCTTTTCAGGGTACAGCGGAATATCGTGCCAGAAGGAAATAGGTTGACCATCCTTCTCTAGCCACACACGCCAATCCTGAGCATGTCAGTAAGATATTCTCCTTGGGTATAGCAAACAACTGACAAGGGTGTTGCGAGCGCCAACTTCTCGCAGAGTAAGGGAATCATAGTCAAAAGACTTAGCCCGAGGCGCGAGCGAAGAACCTAGAACAAGAGCAGGCAACAGCACCAGCTGAACAAGTGAAGACGTAGTAACCATTGCGGAAGAGGAGATCAGAGAGCGAGAATAGCTGCTGAGAAGTAAAGAATTAAAGTTACTTTGGCGTTCGGGTGTCTTTTAAGCTTAAGTTTGAATCAACAAATCGCTAAGACTGTACATCACTCGCGTGAGGCTCATCCCATCTTATCCTGTAGCTTCGGTGACGGAAATGGAGATCCTAATCGGTGCCCAGAGAGGCGGATCATTACCCCGGTCGATGTGTTTGGTTTGGTAGTACCAACGGCGATGCGCAGGCGCTGCACGTGCATGATGAGTGTAGATCTTTGGGGGATGCACGTGGGATATGGTGATGATAAGAAGTCGCCGTTGTCTGAAGTCGTCCAGCGCTAATGCAGGGCGACTGTACCTCGAAGCCAATGAACCTTTGTTAACCCAATTCGCAATTAAACTAGGAACAGAACTGTCTCCTTGCGTTTGTGGTTGAGCATCTTCACATGCACTGGGATAGTCTAATCAGGCATGATGTTATTCCCGGGTGAGGTGGCCAAAACTCCACACCCGATATCACCAACTCACTAAGTGGAAAGCCGGCAGCACTTCCAATAACGAATGGCAAGGCACTCCAAATGGAGACATCTAGTAGCTTTTGTAGCGGTTATCTCTACGCATTTTAAAAGGTGGTAGACTAAAAGAAAAGTCTCGATGTGAGAAGAAGCGTATCCAAGATATCACCCACAACGTAAAAAATGAGCGACAACGGCAGGATTCGAACCTGCGCTCCCGAAGGAACTTGCTTTCGTCGATTCGAGGCAAGCACGTTAACCACTCCGTCACGTTGCCATATCGCTGGAAAGGTCGATACTATTATACAATATGGCTGTAGCACAGATATCACGCACGACTTTAGCTGCGATGGACACCAAACCATGCTGCTGAGATTGACTTGAACGCCTCTATTTCGTAAGGAAACTCCCACTATGCCTCATGACAAACTGCTCAATTACAGCTTCACAGCCTGTCTATTGAGTGCTGCCAGATTTAAATGACACATATGATACGAGACCATCTCAACAACGCGATGTCGAACCAGGAGCTTCCATAGCACTTACTCATAAGTTTCAATTTTGATCAGGACCAAAGATCCTTTCCTCCCTGGACTTATATAACTGTTACATGAATCGAATTCTCGTGTTAGTGATATGCAGATTGTGGCTATAATGATCGTAACGCCTTGGACTCTAGGCATGTTTCGACATGAGGCGTTGGTATGTGTCTTGTAAAGTACGACTGAGTGTTGCTACAAGCTGTGTACATAAAATGTTCAGTAACTTGGCTAAGATCGCCGTAATTGTCCATGTCTAAGAAAGCATCCAATCTTGAACATGTCCGTCGAACTTGATCCTGAACAGACCATGACAAGAGAGTACGAGCTACCATCATCATCCAGTACCCCACCGGTCACGATTTCATCGTTGACTCTCATGACAACACACGTATGCGCTAGACTGAGAAGTTAGTACACTATTGAGCCACCTACAACGATCATATATCTGACTCAACTTGGTAATAGGACCTAGGAAGATGTCGAAGCGGCCAGTAGTGCCAGAGACGCCATCAAAGACGAAAAGATCCTCGGCGAACTGCGCGGACAGCGCAATCGAGTGATTCCGTTACTCGATGAACCTCAACTTCACTATGGTTATCGAAGTCTAATAGAGAAACGCAAATGAGCTTCGGGTAAATAAAAAGAGACAATAGAGAAGGCGCAAAGGTAGTATTGGCTACGGTAGTAGTGATCTATCAGAGTTTCATCTCCCCCGTACCATCTACCAGCCGTTTCTAGATGTCATTGCTCTCCTTTGGTAATGCTAGTAGATTCCTTTTGAAACGATCAAGAAGAGGAAACATTAGTCTATGATCCCAAGTGGTGAACAAGCTTTGATCAAAGAGAGACCTACCACTTTGAGGACGGCATCTGGATCAGGAATGGAGCAAAGGAAAGCCCTCTTCATCGAGTAAGACTAACCACTGCAAGGAGTAAGCAAAAGTACTGTGACATGGGAAAGTGGACATGTAATGTCAAGGGAATAGACATGTAGTATCCAGAGGATGGATATGTAGTGTCCAGAAAATAGAAGTGGTGCAGAAGGAGTACTACTTACAGGTGTCTCAAGGTGTTGGCTTTGTTACAAGTGAATCCTAAGAGTCGTACAGCGCTGTTGCGTCAGGACGCGTTCAACGTCGACTCACTTAGACGTACTTGCGAAACATTATGCCACAATTACGTCCCTCAGAGCAAACCAAATGGGAAGGCCTGGAGACTGGTATGCTCCTCTGAACTTTTGTGGCGAATACGATCCTCCGATACCTTGTATTGGTAATATAGCGGTTCTTCGTTTAGGAAATAGATCTCCTGTAACTTAGGATGTCCATGGATGATACGGGCACTCGCCCTGTGGGAAAGGGTAAGCAGAAGCTCGTGGCTTCGTGGGGAAATGGGTTTGGGTATGGATAGGCGAGTAAAAGATGAAAGGCAGTTGGATTGAATAGGGATCTGTCAGGTAAATCGTCAACACCTTCGATCAAGAAACCAGGGAGACGGAACCTACAGGAACTGCATCCTATTTTCTTTCTTCGAGAAGAAAGCTTTCCCATCTAGATGATTCCTTAAAGTGCGATTAAATCATCCCCATGGAAGGCAGGGCCGCCTTCGCTAGGCTCGACCTCATCCTGGCCCTCGTCATCGTCACTCTCCTTGGCCTGCAATAGTTAGCATCGGCGTCGCCATTTACACGAGGGCTCGTAAGTACCTCAGGAGTAATCATTGTGTACAGGACGCTACGGGCCCATTCTTGGGTTACCGTGAGCGCCCTCCCCACAGAAGTGTCGTGACGGAGCTTGACAACTTTGTGGAGGAATTGCCAGTATATACAGTCACACATGAGATCTTCGAACTCATCAACTTTGCATCGCTGTATTTTCACGAGGATCTTGATCGTGGGCTTCTTCTCGATCAATGAGGAAAGGTCGTCGATGGTAAGAGCCTCCATTTCGACTAGGGGTCTTCGCAAGTGGAGTGCAGTGAAGTGATTGAAGGATGAGAGTGAGAGATAATACCAGAGTGAGATGTGTATTCGGAATAATGGCAACGTTGGGTTGACTTGGGCAGATCTCGAAGAGTGTGGTGAACTTGAAGGAAGAAAACAACGAGGCCGAGAAAGAGGATGAGGGCGATTATGTAGCGCCTGTTCGAGGGGTAACACGGTGAATGTTCAATATCAGTTATAGTTATTTGCAGAGAAACAGTGCCCACGACCGTTCGCCAGCTGCCCCCAGTCTTCATCACTCCACGGTTATGGCCCAGGGCAGAGTCGGGGGCGAGCAAGGTAGACGACGCAGGTTCTACATTCAAGCTATTGTCTATCTTTGGCCTTTGTGACTCTTCTATTGTTCATAAACCTGTGGACTTCATTGTGGCAGCTAGATATCTTTCTCTTTACTGTACAGAGATGCTACTAGGCTTTATGCAGTACATCAACCTTGCCGATTCCTCATTACCAAAGACTTTTCTAGACACTATGGAAATCGAGGCGCCCTTCGAAAAGCCCTTGTGCTTTTCCAAATCATTTTGTTGGCGAACCTGCTATCCTGACGTGTCTTGCTTCACCCCACCACTGCATAGGCTCAGGGGTAGCCGTCTTCAAAAACTCTCGTGGCCGAGAGTCCTTGTGTCGTCTTAGGTAAGCTTCCTCGAGTGCTCGTTCTGGCTGATTGCAAAATGTTCGATTAAATATTGGTTCTTTTCATCATAGCGCTCGAGTTGCTGGAAACTTGTGTCCCGTGGCTTCGAATGTACTTCTTGGCAAGGAGGCTCCAAGATTTAGACCAGGCGGTATCCATGGATTATCGATTCAATAAACATTGAAGACATCCCAAAGAAGAGGAATATAATGATGAATACGACGAGGTAAAAGAAGGAAAAGAACCCGACGAGGAAGAAGAGGCAGAAAAATGTAAGCAGGACGGTGGAAGCCAGACAGCTCTCAGCTTGAGGGTGTCGCATTTTGTCGATGTGAATGGTAAGAATGTCGAGTTACTCCTGATAAGAATGAGTATGTTGATAGGTGTTGTGATTTCCGTGGAAATGTGTCTTTGCGAAGTAAGGGCCTATGAGCAGCGATGATTGGTGTTTTGAGGATGGAAAGGAAAGCCGAGAATGCCGAGACTTGGTGTGGTATTTGAAGAGATAAGTCTCGACAGAAGAAAAGTTGTTCGGATGTTCGCACAAACAGGTTCAAAGGAAATACATTAAATTCAGTCGAGTTTATTACAATAGAACAATGCTGCCGTCTTTGAAGTCAAATGGTGATAAGCATTGACCCCTGAGCCACGATTGTCCATATTGAACTCTAATGTCTACATTTGTGAATTGTCTTATTGCCACGCAGTGGAACGGCAGATTAAGAATGCATTGTCTGTTGATTAAGTCAGTGTACTATTGTGGCAATCAAGTCATCGAAGAGTTGTTGTAGGGGAACTTGGCATCGTGAGTTTAGGGGTAGTCACGACAACCATCGTGCGACAGTCTTTCTGAACTCTACTCGTGATAAACATCAGGAAATGCTTTCGTGAAGGGACTTGAGCTATTTTTGGAAGTCTAAGTTGGCAATATCTGCCCTCTAACTTGCTCTTTGATAGAACTCTGGTTGTGTTCATCCAAGCTGCTTCGAACACGTTTCTAGAACATAGGTCGAGTGCAACTCAGTTACAGGGCTGTCACGCCATCAATTAACTTAAGCATTCTGAACCAACATTCTTTACGTTACTTCTACTGCTTGACTTTGTCAAGTTCCTGCCGGATGGTGCTGATACGTGGAGTGTAGGTGGAAGGTTTGCACTCACACGTGGGCACTGCCACGTATATCATCTTCTGCAAAAGTCTGATACTTCTCGCACCGAATACAATGCTCAAGTGTTTAAACCTTTTTAATTCACTCATCTGCCGTCTCTTTTTTAGTGCTATAAATACCTCTCCCGGCCACCTTTGGGACTCTGATATTTCTTTCCCTTTATCATCACACATCCCTCCCCAAACAAACTCCAGTCAACAACAAACCAATTTTTTAACTTTCCTCCCTTCGTCTATCTTAACACACACATACCCAAACACGTCATGCATAGGCTCTCAACGCAAGACATGCGTCGTCTGGGTCGTTGTGACCCCACCGTCGACATCCTGGTGAGGCTTTACAGAATCGAAATCGAATTCTTTGAATCCGCCAAGCGAGACCCAGACTTCAGGATGTTCCTGAAACGTGTGGTGGGTATCAAAGGCAATGTCCCTAGTTGCCTGGCCCTGAAGCGCACCCAAGATTGGGCATGCGATGCGATGTACTTCCTCAAGAAGGAAGAGGTAAGTGAATCCTGCCGACTACCTAACGTGTTGACTATACTAACTATGCACAGCGCAAGAAATCTGGAGAGGAAGAGAGTGTCTCTGATGATGCTCTGGGTGAGAAGGACGCTGAGACTAAGGTCGAGCCCAAGGTCGAGCCCAAGGCTCAGGCCGGCCCCGTCTTCGAAGGCGACAACTTGATCGCCTTTTAAGGACCTTCCCTGGGCGACTCTGCCTACTCCCTTTTCTTTCCCCTCAACCTTACACCTCATCAAGCCCGAACTTTCCACCCCTCCCAAGGTCAGAACTCAATATGACCAAGACAATACAAGTCACACACGGCAACCAACCTTGACTCACACAGCCATACGTGTAAAGGCTGTCTTTTCCTCCCACACCCCTCAACCTGTTCCACACCACAAGCACACTAGTCAACCGACCCTTGCAGCTCCCCGTCGTTAGTCAATCTATCAAGAAGCCAAGACTAGTCAGTCAATAAACCCCTGGCCCCCTACCCTTCGGTTCACATCGCCAACCTCTTTCGCAGCTATCACGATGAGTCTCGAGATAATAAGCATCTGCCGCGACGTAAGCCTCGGTCTGGCCTACAAAGATATCAAAAAATGCATTGACAACTGCCATGACAGGCAGAAGATCGATCGGCCAAGACAAGAGGCTAGAGATCTCAAGATCAATTCAGAGTGGGAATTCAATAGCCTCTTACCACCTCCCCATACCAGACGGGACGATCATAGCTTGGTCAAATTGATTGCCTTTGGCTATGATCTCTTAATCCTTTACGGTATAAGGCTACCACGTCGGAATCACAATATCGAACGGCAGCTCAAACACCTAAGAAGTCTAGCAATCAACCATTACGAAAAAGAGATCAAGATATCCCAATAGAATTCACAGATATATCAACAACAGAGGTCTCTATAGAGACTGAAAAGTAAGAGTATCTTAAATTCAAAAAGGTTGCCCACCATATCAACCACCACAACTCTCTTTCCAAGAGGTATAAGAAGCCCCTACAAGAGGCTGGTACAGCCTAGCAACGAGGTTATCAGGACCGTATCGCCAGATAACACCGTCTCCGAGGATCGCAAGGAGATGCGGAGAGAGGCCAGCAAGCTATCGGCAATCAAGCAAGATACCGAGACTGACGACGAGCTGCTGGCCCTCGTCATCTTCGGCTGCAAGAGGTTATCCGTCATATCAACCACCACAACTCTCTTTCCACACTTCAATTAACCCACCCGAGCTTACAAGAAGAAGATCGCGATCACCAAGCAACCTGCCAAGACCTCCAACTCACGATTGGATCAACAAAGTTGACCTCAATCGCAGCCGACATGTCAATCAACGCCCCCACCTTATGGACCTTCAGCCAGGCGACAACAGCAGCGTAGCTAGGGCATACAGAGGGGAATTTCGTTACAGCCAAGAGGCACTTCTCAAAGTTGTTGCTGGAGACCCAATCGACCATTACAACTGCATTCAGTCAATCAACCGCTGGTCCCCCTTCGTTCCACATCGCCAACCTCTTTCGCAGCTACCACCCAACACGATGAGTCTCGAAATAATAGATATCTGGCGACACAAGTCTCAGCCTAGCCTACGTGAAGATCAACAATGCGATCAAAGACTGCCATGAGCAGAAACGCGAGTGACTCAAGCACAAGGCTAAAGACCTCAAAATCAATCTGGAGTGACTTTTGATAGCCGCCTTCTACCACCTCCCCATAGCAAACAGGATGATCACAGCTTGGTCAAATTGATTGCCTTTGGCTATGAGCTTTTAATGCTTTGCGATATACGTCTCAGTAAGGAAAACTCCGATTCTGATACTATACCAGATAAGACTACCACGTCGGAATCACAACCTCAAACAGTAGCTTGAAAAGCTAAGAAGCCTAGCAATCAATCATTACAACTATTAATATTGAGTTTGGTAGAACCTTTCAAAAAAGATCAAGCTATCCCAATAAAACCTACGGAGGTATTATCAATAAAGATATCAAGATATCTACACAGACCGAAAGCAACAATAACTCATTCAATGAGGTTATCCAACCATATTGGTCACCACAACTCTATTTCCCAAAGACATAAAAAGCCCCAACAAGAATCACCCCGAGGATCGCAAGGAGCTACGGAAAGAGGCCAGCAAGCTATCGGCAATACTTCAATCAGCCCACCCAAGACGAAAAGAAGATCGCGACAAGCAACCTGCCAAGACCTCCTACTCACCCGAAAGCAGGCCCACCAGCTTAAGTAGATCAATAAGGCCAACCTCAATCACAGTCAAGATATCAATCGCGACCAACACCCCCCGCCGAAGCCTGCAGACAGGGCTAGATGTCTACAACAAGTTGCAGCCCAGCAATAAGGCTTTGCTTGGCAAGTTGGACGAGTATACTGCCCCCAAGGACCTCAAGGAGCTACAGAGAGAGGCCAACAAGTTATCGGCAATCAAGCAAGATACCAAGACCGACAAAGAGCTGCTGGCATAGGGGCCCAATACCACCTCCCAGAATTGAGTTGGTTGATCTCAACTTGATCAGGCTGATTGCCTTTGGCTATGAGCTATGGGGTGCGGCTGAGAGATACGCGTCGGAATCATAACCTCAAAATGCAGCTTGAAAACCTGAGAAGCCTAGAAAGAATTGTCTACTTCTTTGACTGCCAGAAGAATGTTCTAGGCAAAGTATACGCTGCATCGGGTTTCAACAACATCAACAACAACAACAACAAGATAGACGGGAACCGCAGACTCTACTGGGCACTGATTAAGGTCAACAAATCTCGAATCGGCACGAACAAGCTGCCTGATGAAGAGGCTTGGCTCAAAAAGGCTGGGTTGGAAGATCCCATCTTGACATATGGCGCCCAACACCAGTCGCAGGCCAAGATTCCAGAAGCATATTCATGAGATGTTGTGGAAACACTATCGGGGTTTGGGAGGGTGCAAGCATAGTAGACACTTAGATAACAAGTCATGGGTATGAGAAATAAACTCACACGTTAGTATTGCAAAACTATCTTGCGTTTTGTTAACCGTCCAACTCCAAAATAATTATTTACATATCAACCATGCAATTCCTCTTGCAGTAATCTCTCATGATGTGTAACAGGCTTATGCTCATAGTGCAATCATATCATCGCCATGAAAGATTGGAACCAACGCGGTGGTGGACGGCAATGAGGCGGTCGCCTTGATGGGGTTCTGCTTCTTAGAGGAATTAGTGGTTATCTTTTGCGCTCCAGATGTACTTACCTCGCTGTTTTCCATCATACCGAGGGTCCATAACGCCCATCCCTGGACTAGGATATATTTACAGACGGGGGAGTTTCCAAGAACCCCGGGGATTTCGTTTGCAAAGCCTCGAAATTCGTCACGCCGGTAGGAGTCTGTAAACTCCCACCTCTCTAACGAGGCAACTCTTGCTAGGAACTCCTTTGAGGGGATTCTAAGACACATGTCCTCCAGGTCCTCAATGCTCCACCAATATAAAAACATGTTGAGAAGAGTCAAAGCTGAGGCGGCGATGACAGGGGAGTGTCGCAAGTGATCGTGATAGTGGTGTTTCCGGCGATGGTAACAAAGAGGAAAGTAATAGTAGAGATGATAAGGGATGTGTGTAAGTTGGTTTGTCGATTAGAGAGGAGAGAAAATGAAAGAGTTGATGATGTTGAGCTCAAAGCCGACGATGCAGAGTCGAACCTGAGGGTAACGGATGAAAGTTTAGAGATCCTCGGCTTTAAATGTTGGGACTAGGCGTGGATGAAAGTTCGAGGCTTGCAAACGGCGGGTTCTCTTGGCCCACCAGCGTCAGGGCAGCACAGCAGTGTATGTTCGCAGTGCCACGCCTGACAAAGGACGTTCACTCCTAAGGCCAAACAATTGACTAAGACTAACGAAGTCTGCATAGAAGAAGGGAACCTCAGGAGCTTGTCATTGGTTGTATACTGGGAATCGTGTAGTGGTGAAAGAGCTTTGCCAGTGTCACTCGAGTGATACTCTTCCTCAGGGGGGGCTACCAAGGCGAGGGACACTGCAAACTATGCGCCGCAAGGGTTCCCTCTGGAAACAAGCACTCCCAAGGTACTTACGGAGGAGTTTGAGAGAGCAGCGGGTGTTTCGACTGATCCCATGAACAGACAGTGTATATTGATCAGGGGCCGTTGTTCTACGCACTGCAGGATTTGCCAGACTTCTGCTGATGGTTATACTTCAAACATCTATGGAGACATCATACTTCGGATTCTATCTTGACAATGGCTTGGAAGGCTATTGAATCTCTCAAATCGATTGGCTATGCAAGGCAAGCTGTTGTGGTTTGTACTCACATCTAGCTGACAGTACCAGCAAGGTTTCTCAAACATCACGGATTGAGGGGACTCGTCGTTCTTCGCTGCTATTTCCAACAAAGAACTTTAGTTCGTATGTCCTTCGAAGATCTGGTGCATTCTCTGACAGTTACAGGTCATGATTCTCACGCGTTGATACAAGGCGGTAGTTGTTCAGGCATGCCACCTCTTACCTCCTTGATGCTCGCCTGATCTCGAGAACACCAAACACCAGCAAAAGTTACACACATGGACTATGGATTGGCATGTATCACTTCAGCCTCCAAGTTATCTTTCGTTTCTTTTCTCCCTCCGACCCGTTTGGATAGTTCGTCTGACAAGTATTCGATATTCGACTGCCAGCGCTGCAAACCCCTTACCCTCAGTATGACCGCCAACAACGACACGATGAGCGATCTTCAGACCTTCCACAAGCTCCAAGAACTTCCTTCTTCTCGAATTGTACCGTCAAATCTGGACGCATGCTCCCAGCATCAGTGCCCCGCGAGCTTACTATGAGGACGTCAACATCCCAAGTAGCACACAAACGCATGAAGCAAGCCTTCAGCAATCTTCCGCGGGTTATGTCCCTTGCAACTTCTCTGTCATTTGTAACATGCATCGAAGGGCAACGTATCTCAATACTGTAAGCCAAGAGGCTCGCATCGAAGTGGCACATGCTTGAAAGACGCTGAAAGCCAATGTTCCTTTCACTCTGATGACCGACAGCAACTGATGCGACCCATCCAATTTGTATGGAGAGACCAGCAGGCCCGGCGGCGAATCATTTACTGTTATTTATGCAGAAATCTACCTCTTCATCATCGAGAAATGGCGTATTGACGGTGAAGTGTTGACTTTACTCAACGTCGATCCGAACAACTCTGTCGATCTACCGAAGACCCGTACAGCGGCCTAGAGACAATTAAGCAGATCTCTATCCCTTGAAAGCGATCGCGCTGAATGATAACTTCCAAAGAATCATCATGCGCGCCTTAGTCGTGTTCCCCAACCTGCGCGCGCTCTTCGTCTACCTGGACCCTACAGATCTTTTCTCAATGAATAGGGGATTTGCTTACTTGGGTGTGAGTAGACTCTTAGAAGACCGGAAGGGGCTTCTATACTCGGCCCTCCGTGGTATTTCGCTGCTGAAGACCGTCAAGACGGGATGCCCTTCTTTACCCATACTCGAGACCGCATTTACTATGAACTTTGCCCCAATGGTGTACTAAATAACACCAAGATCTATCCTGTCCGGGGAGGGCTTAGGGGGTTCATTAACAATCCGCGGGATGTGGGAGTCAAGTTCCTATCTTGGTGGAACGAGTAAGTCAAGCAATGCCCGTTAAGAATGGGGCGGAAAGTTGGCTGACTTAGACACAACGTTTGCAACGGGTCTGGGGCATGGAATGGGCTCCATGATCCAGTCTTTAATGTCCTTACTTTTCCCTCTGAATTCTCCTCTGTAAATTCAGATATAAATGATACAATTGGCATTTCTCTTGCTATTCATTCACGTTTTAGCTAATTCATGCTCACTTCCATACAAGGACCATCCACCGATCGTCAGATCTTCCCCATTATTCACGTGACGTCGTCCCTGAACCGCGGGATCTTCCCGCACGTGATGGTAAGCTACTCGGCAGCTCAGCCCATCAAGTGTCAACTGTACATATTGCCTGCGGCGAAACCGGAGCTATAACTAAAGCTCCCAGCGCATGGAAATTCCCCAAATCCAATTCCTTTTCCCACTTCGTCTCAATCGCATACTCCTCTCCGATTTTAATCTATAACGAAAAGCGGAAACCCCGATTCCCCTTACATCCGAGGCATCATGATATCGACCCCGCCACCCCGCTCCTTGCGCGACAAGTGTCTTGAGCTCAGGGATAAGGTCGAGGCGTTTATTGCAGAGGAACCAGATACACAGATACTGCGCGATGTGCAAAGCCAGGTTATCAAGTCGATAGGGGTTGTGGATGAGGCCCTGGAGAAATACAGGTGTGTATGGCGAGTTGGTGGTGTGGAATAGGTGCTGACAGGCGCAGGCCGGAAGAAATATCGTTATCATATAATGGCGGAAAGGACTGTGAGTAGCATTCATGGGGAACTGGCGGTCTAAAGCTTGAAGCCTGCTTCTGCCGCTTCGCGCAAACTACAGGGAGCATACTGATCTCTCCAGGCCTCGTACTACTTGTCGTAATCCTCGCTCGCATGGGCCGTCTTTACTACTCAGCACCCGACTCAGCTTCCGACTCAACCACCAATGGAACCTCAATCACACCCCCCGAGAAGCTCCAATGCGTCTACATCGTCGCCTCTCACCCCTTCCCCGAAGTTGACAAATTTGTCGAGACGTCCAGCGCCGAGTACGGTCTCGAAGTGGCTCGATATGTGTTACCGATGAAGAAGGGACTCGAGATATACCTGGAGGAGCGACCGAGCATCAAGGCTGTGTTTGTGGGCACACGAAGGACGGATCCGCATGGCGAGAACTTGACGTTCTTTGATCCGACGGACGCTGGCTGGCCATCGTTCATGAGGATACATCCCGTTATTGACTGGCATTATGGTACGTTCTCTATTTTGGTGTCCTCTAACGGAACAATTACTAACGGTACACGAATAGTTCAAATCTGGGCTGTAAGTTCACCACGATCAAATGCGCTTCGCAAACTAACACAGCCAGTTTATCCGACACTTGGGTATCGAGTATTGTCCATTGTACGACCAAGGCTACACGAGTCTGGGCGGGAAAAAGGACACACATCCGAACCCCCACCTAAAGAAGCAAGATAACGGCGGAGAGACCTTCCGGCCGGCATATGAGTTAACTGAGGACGGTGAAGAGCGGCTGGGTCGCGACTTTTGAAGATAGCGTGGTGCGATTTGTATTTGTAAGGGCATTTTGAGTTGCATTGGTAGCATTGTAGAGCCTTGGGGTGTGATACACACCCTTGGATACTTCTCAACTTGAGGCTAATATTTTAAAATTTTAAAGCCTTGACACTAGATGGTATCAACTACACCCAAGGCATAGGCATAGGGTTGGTAAATTTAGATCTTTGTTTAACGTTCATTGTGAGTATGCTCATCAATCCAACTCTCAAGTACGGAAGAGAGCACGCTTTCAACATTCGGCATTTCCCAATATGGTATTCAAATCTCATCTAGTGGGACCTCATCTACATACTCCTCAAGCCTCTTATACGTCTCTTCCCGTATCATATCTGCCTCAGAATCATGTCTGCTTTCCCGTAGAAAGGCCTCTAGCTTCCACATATCATGTATCACCTGCGGCGCCGTAGGTGAATATCCAAACTCGCGCATAGCAATCACATCCCGCATCCTATCCGTCGCAATATCAGTGCCAATGCCAAGTTCCAAATCAATATCGGCAATGAGCTTCATGAGATATGCTGCAATCCGGGCTTGGAATCTATCCACATGATACTGGTGTCGCGGCGATTGATTTTCAGAGTGAGAGTAGTCGTTGACTTCTTCTAGTACTCGGCTTTTCAATACCCCCAGTCGTATAGCGGTTGCCAAATTAGGGTCGGCAAAGCTCATTGTGCATCGGTGCTGTATCGCTGAGAGGGAGGTGTCTTTGATGAACTTGTAATCTTTGGGTGGAAGTATCTCAACCTCTGGAAGTGTGGGTAGAGGACAGCTTGATAAGACGATCTCTTGGAAGAAGGAGTCTGTGAAGGGAAATTTGTTTCCAATCGCTGAGAACCAACTGTCCACTTCATCGAGTTGTTCAAGACGTAGCTTGAGACATGAAGAATCCCAGACTAGGCGGTAGTACATGAGTAAAAGCCTAGAATCGCGATTACTAAAGACAATATCCGCATTCAGAGCCCAGGCTTGTTTAAGTAGCGGTAAATGTGCTAACTTTGAATCCTTCTTCCATATACGCACCGCCATTTGTAGGTTTCGTAGAACGGTTATAAGAGGGTGCGTTGCACTATGAATCTTACTCGCAAGTTCGACAAGCTGCACCACAAGCATGTCAAGGATCTGTGCCTGGTCAAGACGAACCATGTGATACATGATTTCCAAAACATTCCAGATAAATAACGGGCCTTCAACATGGAGCATAGCCTCGATGTCGAGAAAAGCTCGGCGGGTTAGGCGGCCGGCTAGATCGCCTTTGCCACATCTTACAAGCTCCAGGATTGTTCGGAAGGCGAAACTCAGCTGCTCTGGGTCGTAACGGCTGAATCTGTCGTTGGATGACGATACTATTTGGTTTTCCGGTGGTATAAGTCCTTGGGTAACTGACTCATGGAAAGAAGTGCTCCAGTTTTGTATGCTTGTCAAGAGTGCGAGACTTGCTGCTTCTGAGGGGCTGGACTTGAGGGATGGATGTAGTCGCTGGTAATCATGGGATGTGGTATATGTGACAGTTTGGCGTTTGGGGCATTGCAGTGTAGTGGACGTATTCCTCGGTCTGTTCTTGCAGAAACCCCATTTGGTAAACCGTTTCTTGTACATTTGAATTCTACATCATGTAAGCTTATCAAATACAATAAGTTCTGAAAGTCACGTCACCATACGTAGCCTTGAAATTATGCTTCTCCTCCATGATCTCCATGACACAGCGAAGTTTCCGCCGCTCTCGAGCATACAAGCGTTCGATGACCGGACATACAACTTCCCACTCCTCTTCACTGTGATGGATCGAGAGACTCGGCTTCTTTGGAGGTGTGTTTGTGTTCAAAGCTGATTTGGCAGCTAGGGGCGCGTGGGAAGCCATATTCACGCAGACTCTTCCACACCAGGATTTCAAGTTATAGTGCTGAAGTTAATAGTGCCCATATGGCTGTAGGGGGGAGATAATGAGTGTCGCTATGTGATGTTGATGTGAACAGGATCGAGGAGTAAGATTACCAATCATTGGGGCGGTCGTTGTGACAGCCAATAGGGTAGCCGGAAACAACAAAGTGCTTGGGATATGCACTGACTATTGAAGCTTGAACATATCTACACTCTAAATCGACTGGAAACTAAGAAGACAAGGTTCAAATACTAAATTCGAATTCTTTTAGGTTAGATCATCATATTTCCTGTGTCATGACGATGCATCAATGGCTTGTCTAGAGGAGAAAGTAAAAAGAGATGGAAACTTGCTATTATTCTCGGAAAAAGCTATTTCATGAATTATACATTAATGTTTGAACTATCCGTATCATCTGAAACTCTTCCTAAATGTTTACACTCGTACTTCTTGAACCTTTGGACAAAGGCGAGGTTTTTGAACGATACAGAGTCATTGAGCTCTTGGTTCAACTTGTCGCGGTTAGTTTTGAAAAAAAAAGTCATCGTTGACAGCATGAGCCTGATTGAGTGAAAAGACACGAGTCTATAAAGTGAAGCAAGAGTAAATAAGAGGCAGCCTATGATTAGTATCCAATTACGCAGTATGGATACATGATGATTGAGAAGCCCTGAGAGTTTGCACTTGAGACGAGACTTGGCCGGGATTTTGATAAGCGTCTAGCGTACCTATCTTGGCTCGGTATACCACTCAAGAGGAGTGGAAGAGCTCTCGCAACAGTGTAGTATTGAAGATAAACGGCAGTTCTCTCTGTAAGTTAATCATTCTTGGAAGATTCTGGGGTATTCGCCAAGTTTTCTGACTGTAGCCGTTATTCCCGATCGTATATGATACGATACGATAACGTTACTTGGCAGCTTCACTCAGGTAAATTGCTTTTGCAAGCAACCCCAGCTGTGCTTTTCGTCTCTGTCAGTTCTGGAGGTTTAGCGAGATTCGTTAACGGAGTGGGTATTGTCCCCAGGCGGGTCGCAAGAAGATCAGCGTATCGTTGAGGTATTAAATGCCCAGATGTGTACCGTACATCAAATTACGGAAGATCTTACGGATAGGTCATGAGCTGTCCCGAGGTATTTGGCCGTCTTAGAATGTTAGACATCCTCTGTAATTTCCTTCTAGAACCCCCCAATCATTCTTATATATTCCCGCGAGCCTGGTTCATTCCACCTGACAATAGCTACCCTGCTAGCAACTCAACCATTCCATCAACATGAGACGAGACGAGATGAAAAACTAGCTTGGAAATAAGCTATGAAGGATTACTAGCGGCGGGTATCTGAAACATGGAAAGAGGTGGATCGTCTCCTATCAAGATATCCTCCAATGTTACCTACAATTTTCATTCCCTCTTCCAGCAAGAACAAGCCGACTCTGGTGCATCAAAACAAGAATTGAGCGGCTCAAGGCAGGAGTAGCGCTTGCAAATGCTGGTGATATCTATCTCTCCTGCATTCCGCATATTTAACCGCTGCGCTTCTCTTTACCCGTCGCCCGTTCCTGAACTAATACATAATTACGACCTTGAGGAGTTAGGACAAGGGTCCAAATGATGCAAAAGCTCCACTTGCAAGGTACCAGGCCACCAGCAAAGAACTGACATTGCCGAACTACCCAGCAAAATCTGCCAATTTATCCGCGTTATCAGGCACAACCTGTCGATCTTACAGGGCGCTTGGCACGATAAACTCGCTGCTCACTGCTGATTACCGGTTTCGGTGTCCCTGGCCCGAATACCCTGGTCACAGACCTGAGACGAGGCGGAGATGCGACAAGGGACTGCGACTGACGGAATCAATTTAGCCGTTAGATCAAGGGGAACGAAGCTTTCGTATGCTCAATCTTATGGGACGATTCACATCATGGGCTTAATCGATCAAGGTTGCGCTGTCATATATATCATGATGCTTGGCCCGCTGTCGATAATGGCTGCTCTGTTATTTAGATACGCCCGCGGTGATCCTTCTTTTCTACCAGTTCTCTTCCATTCTTTTACTAGAAGTAAAAAGAAAGCAAAATACATTCATTCGTTTGCTTTACTTATCCACACTCATTTAGATCATCTACAAAAATGCACAAGTCAGCTATCCTCGGACTCCTGGCCTCGAGCCCAGTCTCGGCCCAGCTTCACAGCCTGGCGCAGGCCGCTGGACTCAAGTACTTCGGCAGTGCCGTCGACAACGGATACCTGAGCGACGCTCCTTACCAGAAGCTCGCCAATAACGTCGAGGAGTTTGGCCAGCTCGTCCCCGAGAACGGCCAGAAGTGGGAGACCGTCGAGCCTCGACAGGGCGAGTTCGTTTACACCACCGCCGACGTCGTTCCTGATCTGGCAAAGAAGAACAAGCAGATTCTGCGATGCCATGCTCTGACTTGGCACAGTCAGCTGCCCAACTGGGGTGAGTTATGGAGTGTGGGCTTTTGAGGGGTGTTTGTTCTAACAGGCGTGTAGTTTCTGCTGGAAAGTTCTCTGCTAGTGAGCTCACCGAGATCATCGAGGCTCATATCGCCAACGTTGTTGAGCACTACAAGGGCGACTGCTACGCTTGGGATGTAGTCAACGAGGCCATTGACGACAGCGGAGAGTGGCGAGACAGTGTCTTTTACCAGACTCTTGGAACTGACTACCTCCCCATCTCTTTCAAGGCTGCCAGGAAGGCCGACCCCGCCGCCAAGCTGTAAGTTTCTCTCACTGTGTTCACCAGTAGTTGTCTAATAGTCCCAGGTACTACAACGACTACAACCTCGAGCAGAACGGCAAGAAGACCGACCGTGCCATCGAGCTTGTCAAGATCATCCAGAAGGCCGGTGCTCCCATTGACGGTGTTGGTTTCCAGGGCCATCTCATCGTCGGCCAAACCCCCTCTCGCTCTGAGCTCGTCACCATGCTCAAGCGCTTCACTGCTCTTGATGTCGAGGTTGCCTACACTGAGCTTGATATCCGCCACGAGTCCGTTCCCGCCTCTGCTGCTCAGCTGAAGACTCAGGGTGACGAGTATGCCGATGTTGTTGGATCTTGTCTCGATGTTGAGGGCTGTGTTGGTGTTACCGTCTGGGGCATCACTGACAAGTACAGCTGGATCCCAGGTGTCTTTGAGGGCAACGGTGAGGCTCTTCTCTACACCGACGATTACGAGAAGAAGCCTGCCTGGACCAGTGTCTCCAGCCTCCTCGCTGCCGCTGCTACTGGCGCTCCTGTCACCAGCTCTGCTGCTCCCGTTGAGACCACCGATGCTCCCGCTCCTGTCACCACTCTCCAGACCAAGACCAAGCCCGCCTACACTTACTCCGACGAGGAGGAGGAGACCGAGTATCCTACCACCACCTTCGTGAACAACACTGCTCCCGCCAGCACCGTGGTCTCCCGCACTGCCCTCGCCACCGAGGTTGATGATAACGATGATGACTGTGCTGAGACCGACGCCCCCTACACCTCCTACGCCGTCCCCAGCAACGGCACCTCCGTCTACCCCACCGAAGCCCCCGTCGATAGTGACGATGACTGCGAGGAGACCGAGGTCCCTGTTCCTACCTACGAGGTCCCCAGCGACGGCACCTTCAAGCCCACTGCCGCAGCCATCAGCGACGTCCCCGAGCCCACCACCCGCGTGCCCATCGTCCGCCACAGCAGCGCCGCCTACACCTACAAGTGGAACACCGAGACCGCCCCCGTGTACCAAGTCCCCAGCGGCACTGCCCCTGCTGGACCTGTCGGAACCGGCACCAACGGGCCTGTCAAGCACTACTACCAGTGCGGTGGAAAGCACTACAAGGGCTCTACTGAGTGCGAGAAGCCCTTCAAGTGTGTTGAGATGAACGACTACTACTCCCAATGCGTTTAAGCGATGGGTATGATTGGGAGGTGAAAGGGGGTTTTGGACTTTATTACTTGTATATACTTCAACTGGTTTATAATTTAGATCCCTTGCTTGATGCGGGGAGAATTGGGTAGATCTGTTCAATGGAAGCAGTCAACTACCACAAGCAAACATCTTTCTGGCAATTTCATTATGGTGACTGTAACCGCTTCTATCTCATGGATTAGTTGTAACGACATTGTACATATCTGTAGATGTGGAAGATCTGCGGACTTCCATCCTGGAGGGAGATCAAGTCAACCATCTTTTGTGACATGGGACTTTCGACCAGCTTCCTATCGAATATGATATCGTAGTCGATGATGTAAAAATGGCCTCCAGACTCAGAGATACTGGCCCCTGGTGAGGAAACCCCCAAAGATCATTCTCTCCGACGAAGAAGGTCAACGAGGTTCTCGATGAGAAGTTTAACAAGCAACTCCATGTGATGTTGGCGATTGATATGAGTTTACTTAACGCTATTGACGAGACACTTAGGGAGTGAATTGTCACTGCCATTCAAGCGACTCCACGATGTAACTCAGGCTCTTATGATCTACGAGCTGGCAAGAGAAGATATTTTCGTCCATACACTCAAAGCACTGTCATTGATACACGCTGATTTGATCACCAAGGACAAGAGTCTGACAAGGTTTGAAGATAACGGAGGATATCTATTGCTAATTCTAATACAACTCAAAGTATTTCTCATCGATGATACCGAGCCATAAATACATCCCCATTCCATAAAAGCATCATGCACGGAGTGGTGATGAATTCGTATGTGTTTGATCTTGTTATGCTTGATACCGTGATCAGCGGGTCATGTTCTGAGAAGTATTTTCTTTTCCTCTGCATAAGTCGAGTGAATAGTTCACTGGGTCAATCTTGAAGACATGCAATGCTGCCTTGAACACTAGAACCATTTTAGGATGACTGATGAAGTCGGGACCAGAAGTCATGTATTCCGGTGGTGTTCCCTGCCAATATGTCTGGATAAGGCTGGCTTCATCATCGGCGTCCCAGTGGTCATCGAATGCAGGGAGCATATAGACTACTACCGCCTGCTCTCTTGATTCATCTCATGATGCGTAAGAGAGATTAATGCATGAAGGCCAGTAGGGTCTCCGGTTCTGGAGTATGCTGTACTGAGGTTGAAACTCGTGATGTGTAGAGATTCCATAGTACCGTTGGCGACTGGAGGGCAGGCAACACCAAGTTCGCACTGTTGAAAGGTGTCTTTATATATATATGTGACTTTAGACCACCTAGAACAGCCTGGCTAAGAGTAGCCACTGGCTGGTTTTTCTTGTTTTGTGTGATAGTGCCTCTCTTTTATCTTGGAAAATAATCATAGTTATGTTTTCGCAAAAAAGCGCCAGTACGCTCTTCTGCTGACAATTCGACAATTTGAGAGTATCGAGGCGAGTGTTGTCTTCGGGAAGAGGAGGGAGGAGTGTCGCTGTCCAAATTCTCCTCTCCTGTTATCCATTCTTGTGTCGAAGAGAGGCTGGCTTCAAGTGCCATTCAAGATGTATTCATCCTCATGGTGTATGCATGTTCAACTGGTCTCGGTAGCAGCCGTAGGTGCAGGAGTGGTGTCGAGCTCTCTTTTGAGCCTCTCGCTACTTTCTTTAAATAGCCTTCTTCAGCTTGTCTGGGAGAAGACTGCTTTGTAAACCATGAGTGCTTTGTTAAGCTCCATAAGCGATTTGAATTGTTTCATGGAATTCTGAGTTATGACCTCGGCTTTCGTTGTAACTACTGATACCGTTTACTAGGCACGAGGGCAAGTAAAGGGTATTCTAGGAAGCATGATTCTATTCAGAAGACCCGAGCTTGGTGTTGCTCTTGTGGGCACACCAAGCTCGGACCTCTACGGGACGGAATATCTATAGGTCCGGCACCCCACTCAAGGTGACGATGCCTTCATGCATCAACTACTCTCCGGTTGAGCTTTCTAGGCAAGTTGGGAGATCTTATATGTGAAAGGGGCCATCGGCGATATCGATGAAATCGAGTCCTTGAAGAGTATGTGGCGGGTAAAGCAATAGATTGCTTTGGTAGGGTAGATGTCGTCGGCTCGGGTTGCAGCTTTCGCCTCTTCACGCTCTGGTTGGCTGCTGATACTCGTTATTCGTCGCCAGCTGATCTTTTCGCGCCTGTGGTCTTTGCAAGTATCGCCTCCACGGTATCTAACTTCTTCATTCCAAGATTTGCCTGATTGGCGATATTCCAGGAGCCACAATCCTTGCATGCCTTTACCCCTTGGTGGGATGCCTTGAGGTCGTTATTATCGTATGTGTAGTTAATTGAGGAGGCAATGCTGTCTGACCAGTTGAAAACCGCGTGGTACTCCTTTAGCTGAGTGGTTACGGTACTGTGTTGGGATCTTCGCCTATAACATTTTATCTGGCCTATAAGGTGGTTTCCAGAAAATGCCAGCGGTATAACCTTCTCTGGATGATGTATGAGGGACGAGACTCGGAAGAGACTAAGACTAAGCTCCTAGCTATTCTTGGTTTTCGGGCTTTTGCAAGGAACTTTGAGACGGACTAGTGGTACTCAATACCGCCCAGTTCTCATATCCTGGAGATTTTGGTAGTCGGCAAACTCCCAGAAGAGGAGGGGCTTGGAAATAGATGATGCAGCGATGAAGTATCTCAAGGCACTGTAAACTTAGAGGTTCATCGCACCAGGTACGGCTTTCTTGTTTAGCAAGCTTAGAGGTTTCGTGAATGATGAGAAATAGAAGGCTCTGCTGGAGTTCCTTTCGAGCTACTTTGAGCTCGCGAATGATGTACCGGATGATTGAAACATCCTCCTCTGCACCGAGTTGGAAAGACTTATGTCTTCCTTCAGCTGGTCTAGAACTTGTGTGTGCAAGTGGTCGACTTTGGTGTGGCTGCTCTTGTATGTGTCTAGCGGACGGCAACTTTACCAAATGTCTTTGTTGGCAGTGATGATCCGCTGTAACATTGGACAACATGTGGTCATTCAGAGACCACTCCCGCCCCGGGGACCAGATGTGTTCGCCACATATTTGTTTGTTATAGTATAGGCTGTTGACAGGGCATCCAACATCACCATGGGCACGCATGTTCATCCGCAAGGTTGAATGTCGTGCACCACCTTCGACGACGCGATGAAGGAGCGAAGTCTGCTTCTGAAGAGCAAATGGGTTCGAGGTTGTTTTGCCTGGACCAAGATCATGCTCCATAGGTAGTCAAGTGTGGAGGTTCGCCACGTATAGTGCTGACTTGGGCAAGTGTCAGACATCATTCAACTTCAGACCTGATATAGGTCAAGTGTAATGAGTGGTTATTTTTCATAACAGCCAGGTAAGTAGGAAAAACAACGTTTCGGAGGAAAGGCTGGTTCCTTGTTCTAGAATCGCAATGTCTTGTGGCTTGGCTGCAGGGTTGAGACCGTGGAGGTGACTGACGAAACTGAGCCGACCTAAAAACTGATCATCTCCATCGAGTCACGTTCATGACAAACTTTTTTCCCTGGAGGACGAGTACAGCATGAGAGACTTGATAGTGTGTCGGCTGGCTATAGTAGAGAGTCGACAAGATCTCGTTTTTTAGTTCTTGGGCTGAATGGCGAGACTTTGGCAAGCAGAATGAGGTCTTCTCTGTAGCTCTTGGGCACCTACACCCGAGCAACGAAGTGGGGATGGATGGGGCCGCGATAGTAGGCGCTCACTTCAGCGGGGGGGTTGTCCATGATGTTGACCATTCGGATCAACCAGTCAAGACGCAGCCTCTCACTGTAGCCTTGGCGGGATTCTCTGGGAGTATGACATGCCAAGACCATTGGAAGACCGTGTGTTCGGTTTCTTCGTGGAAAGAGAACAAGTTGAAGGGTTGTTTCGCTGGTGATCGACGCAAGAAACAGGCGTTGTGTCCGTGGTGATTTTGACAATCAGGTTTCCGATTTCACTCCATCTTTGGCAAACGGCGGCCATCGGTTTCCATATCTCATTCACGGCCGCCCAGCGGTGATGTACTCGACGGGATCTATGGGAACTCAGGAACTTCCGCGGCCGTAGGTGTCGACGACAGTACGGCCAATTTGGGGAAAGAATGGAACCAGGTTCTGATCCAGAAAGCCAGTGTAGGTTGACTTGTTGTATCAGCTACAAGCACCAAAGACGATACATGACTCTTCGAACTCAAGCCTCAGTTCTTTTCTTAACTGATCAGCGAGTGAACCAGCCATCTCGGTTGCAAGTTCTTTGTCTGGTAACCTAGTTTTAGGCGGGGAATCGGGCAACTCCGATGACAGAGAAGGGGATTGTGATGCTAACACCAATAATCGCGAACAAGATTGCGAACTCGAGTCCGGGGAGAGGCTAGGCATTGACATCGCGTTAGATCGAGGTGACTTCGCCTCGAAGGCTGTCCACTGGGGGTGTTATAACAAACACTTGAGGATTGAATAGTAGGCGGTAAATCGGTCGGGATTCCTGAGCCCACAGGATCATCGCAGCTTGTTCAGCAATACATGCTGGTAGACTGGGTTGACTGGAGTGCGTGCAAGCTCATCATGGTTAAGGTTGCTTCTCGTGCAGGGAGATCGCGGTTATATTCAACCTCGGAGATCTTGTAGTCTCAGAACTGTCTTCTCATTCAGGAGACTTTGGTTGTGGGATCCCAACAATACCACTGCGTGGCGATGATAGCATTGAAACACCCAAGCGGAGTCTGACGACCTGGAAACTTCGAGAGGTTCGGCTTTGAGTTCTTCATCTACCCAACTTCGCTCGCCCTCTCAGAGCTCGATGAGCAGGTTTCTTTCCGACTCTAGGCAAATTCACACACGTAGCATGGTATGCTGGGACGTGTTCTGTAGCTGTCGGCGGATGATGAAGTCGAAAGGGTACCTCCATACCGCCTTATATCTCCATCTTCTTCTAGGCGATTGCGATTACAATATAGCAATCGTCTTTCCTTGTCTGCAAATGAATACGGGCTTTGAAG